ATAACTGGCAGGTATGAAAGCCTGATCCTGTGGAGAGGGTTTTTAAAAAAGGGGGGTCGGTCATTTTTGGTGCCAGATTTTCAGTGCGGGATTTTTAGTGTGGGACAGTCAGGGACAATTGATCACTGGACATTTGGTCCTGGGACAATTGATCACTGGACAATTAATCATTGGGACAATTGATCATTGGGACAATTGATCACTGGACAATTGATCATTGGGACAATTGATCACTTGACAATTGATCGTTGTACATTTGGGTCCGGAAGGGGGGGGGGGGGGTAATTCAAAGTTCAAAGTCTAGGTCAACGTCTAAGGAAGCCTATGCCTAGTGCCCTACTGTCTACACCTATTGAATAAGAACCCGTGCCTTTGGATATAACTGGCAGGTATGAAAGCCTGAACCTATGGAGAGGATTCTTTAAAAAAGGGGGGTCGGTCAGTTCAGTGCGGGATTTTCAGTGTCGGTCATTTTGGTGCCGGGTTTTCAGAGTTTGTTCCAGAAATGGAGCAAATTCTGGAACAAAACGTTTTTGGGGTTTGTTCCAGAAATGGAGCAAATTCTGGAACAAAAAAAAATGTGGGACGAATTGGGAAGTGACATTTTGTCAGGGACGAGTTGGGAAGTACGTTTGGGTCAGACTTGGATGTGGGGAAGAAAGGTGGGTCTTATAAGATAGGTGTTGACAGTAGAGTACCTTGTTGGACCCGGGGAGGGATTAGAGTACCATGTCGGGGCCCAGGGGACAGTAGAGTCCGCGCAGTTGAAGTTGAAGACGGCTGGCAGGAGCAGTTGAAGTTGTAGACGGCTGGCAGGAACAGTTGAAGTTGTAGACGGCTGGTAGGAGTCGTTGAAGTTGTAGACGGGCCGATGAAGTGCGGGAAGTTGGGGGGGGGGGGGGGGTTCTAATCAAATCTAAGGTCTAAGTGCCCTACTGTCTACACCTATTGAATAAGAACCCGTGCCTTTGGATATAACTGGCAGGTATGAAAGCCTGATCCTGTGGAGAGGGTTTTTAAAAAAGGGGGGTCGGTCATTTTTGGTGCCAGATTTTCAGTGCGGGATTTTTAGTGTGGGACAGTCAGGGACAATTGATCACTGGACATTTGGTCCTGGGACAATTGATCACTGGACAATTAATCATTGGGACAATTGATCATTGGGACAATTGATCACTGGACAATTGATCATTGGGACAATTGATCACTTGACAATTGATCGTTGTACATTTGGGTCCGGAAGGGGGGGGGGGGGGTAATTCAAAGTTCAAAGTCTAGGTCAACGTCTAAGGAAGCCTATGCCTAGTGCCCTACTGTCTACACCTATTGAATAAGAACCCGTGCCTTTGGATATAACTGGCAGGTATGAAAGCCTGAACCTATGGAGAGGATTCTTTAAAAAAGGGGGGTCGGTCAGTTCAGTGCGGGATTTTCAGTGTCGGTCATTTTGGTGCCGGGTTTTCAGAGTTTGTTCCAGAAATGGAGCAAATTCTGGAACAAAACGTTTTTGGGGTTTGTTCCAGAAATGGAGCAAATTCTGGAACAAAAAAAAATGTGGGACGAATTGGGAAGTGACATTTTGTCAGGGACGAGTTGGGAAGTACGTTTGGGTCAGACTTGGATGTGGGGAAGAAAGGTGGGTCTTATAAGATAGGTGTTGACAGTAGAGTACCTTGTTGGACCCGGGGAGGGATTAGAGTACCATGTCGGGGCCCAGGGGACAGTAGAGTCCGCGCAGTTGAAGTTGAAGACGGCTGGCAGGAGCAGTTGAAGTTGTAGACGGCTGGCAGGAACAGTTGAAGTTGTAGACGGCTGGTAGGAGTCGTTGAAGTTGTAGACGGGCCGATGAAGTGCGGGAAGTTGGGGGGGGGGGGGGGGGGGGGGGTTCTAATCAAATCTAAGGTCTAAGTGCCCTACTGTCTACACCTATTGAATAAGAACCCGTGCCTTTGGATATAACTGGCAGGTATGAAAGCCTGATCCTGTGGAGAGGGTTTTTAAAAAAGGGGGGTCGGTCATTTTTGGTGCCAGATTTTCAGTGCGGGATTTTTAGTGTGGGACAGTCAGGGACAATTGATCACTGGACATTTGGTCCTGGGACAATTGATCACTGGACAATTAATCATTGGGACAATTGATCATTGGGACAATTGATCACTGGACAATTGATCATTGGGACAATTGATCACTTGACAATTGATCGTTGTACATTTGGGTCCGGAAGGGGGGGGGGGGTAATTCAAAGTTCAAAGTCTAGGTCAACGTCTAAGGAAGCCTATGCCTAGTGCCCTACTGTCTACACCTATTGAATAAGAACCCGTGCCTTTGGATATAACTGGCAGGTATGAAAGCCTGAACCTATGGAGAGGATTCTTTAAAAAAGGGGGGTCGGTCAGTTCAGTGCGGGATTTTCAGTGTCGGTCATTTTGGTGCCGGGTTTTCAGAGTTTGTTCCAGAAATGGAGCAAATTCTGGAACAAAACGTTTTTGGGGTTTGTTCCAGAAATGGAGCAAATTCTGGAACAAAAAAAAATGTGGGACGAATTGGGAAGTGACATTTTGTCAGGGACGAGTTGGGAAGTACGTTTGGGTCAGACTTGGATGTGGGGAAGAAAGGTGGGTCTTATAAGATAGGTGTTGACAGTAGAGTACCTTGTTGGACCCGGGGAGGGATTAGAGTACCATGTCGGGGCCCAGGGGACAGTAGAGTCCGCGCAGTTGAAGTTGAAGACGGCTGGCAGGAGCAGTTGAAGTTGTAGACGGCTGGCAGGAACAGTTGAAGTTGTAGACGGCTGGTAGGAGTCGTTGAAGTTGTAGACGGGCCGATGAAGTGCGGGAAGTTGGGGGGGGGGGGGGGGGGTTCTAATCAAATCTAAGGTCTAAGTGCCCTACTGTCTACACCTATTGAATAAGAACCCGTGCCTTTGGATATAACTGGCAGGTATGAAAGCCTGATCCTGTGGAGAGGGTTTTTAAAAAAGGGGGGTCGGTCATTTTTGGTGCCAGATTTTCAGTGCGGGATTTTTAGTGTGGGACAGTCAGGGACAATTGATCACTGGACATTTGGTCCTGGGACAATTGATCACTGGACAATTAATCATTGGGACAATTGATCATTGGGACAATTGATCACTGGACAATTGATCATTGGGACAATTGATCACTTGACAATTGATCGTTGTACATTTGGGTCCGGAAGGGGGGGGGGGTAATTCAAAGTTCAAAGTCTAGGTCAACGTCTAAGGAAGCCTATGCCTAGTGCCCTACTGTCTACACCTATTGAATAAGAACCCGTGCCTTTGGATATAACTGGCAGGTATGAAAGCCTGAACCTATGGAGAGGATTCTTTAAAAAAGGGGGGTCGGTCAGTTCAGTGCGGGATTTTCAGTGTCGGTCATTTTGGTGCCGGGTTTTCAGAGTTTGTTCCAGAAATGGAGCAAATTCTGGAACAAAACGTTTTTGGGGTTTGTTCCAGAAATGGAGCAAATTCTGGAACAAAAAAAAATGTGGGACGAATTGGGAAGTGACATTTTGTCAGGGACGAGTTGGGAAGTACGTTTGGGTCAGACTTGGATGTGGGGAAGAAAGGTGGGTCTTATAAGATAGGTGTTGACAGTAGAGTACCTTGTTGGACCCGGGGAGGGATTAGAGTACCATGTCGGGGCCCAGGGGACAGTAGAGTCCGCGCAGTTGAAGTTGAAGACGGCTGGCAGGAGCAGTTGAAGTTGTAGACGGCTGGCAGGAACAGTTGAAGTTGTAGACGGCTGGTAGGAGTCGTTGAAGTTGTAGACGGGCCGATGAAGTGCGGGAAGTTGGGGGGGGGGGGGGGGGGGTTCTAATCAAATCTAAGGTCTAAGTGCCCTACTGTCTACACCTATTGAATAAGAACCCGTGCCTTTGGATATAACTGGCAGGTATGAAAGCCTGATCCTGTGGAGAGGGTTTTTAAAAAAGGGGGGTCGGTCATTTTTGGTGCCAGATTTTCAGTGCGGGATTTTTAGTGTGGGACAGTCAGGGACAATTGATCACTGGACATTTGGTCCTGGGACAATTGATCACTGGACAATTGATCATTGGGACAATTGATCATTGGGACAATTGATCACTGGACAATTGATCATTGGGACAATTGATCACTTGACAATTGATCGTTGTACATTTGGGTCCGGAAGGGGGGGGGGGGTAATTCAAAGTTCAAAGTCTAGGTCAACGTCTAAGGAAGCCTATGCCTAGTGCCCTACTGTCTACACCTATTGAATAAGAACCCGTGCCTTTGGATATAACTCGGAGGTATGAAAGCCTGAACCTATTTTGAGTTTTGGCAGTTCAGTTTGGAATGCTACGCCAATACATAAAGGAATTGTTGGTCTGATTCAGGGGGCATTAGAGAAAAACCCCGAAATTCCAGGAGTAATAAACACGAGGTCATTCTAGTTTGATCAGTCTTGGAGGATAAACAATTTTCTTAAGCTCTTTGAGCTTGGATAAGTCGTGAGCGAGGTAAGCCCTGGACCCGTGAGGGGGAACCCAAAACTATTTTTAACCACAAACAAAAAAGTGAAAATGAAAAAATATACCACTTGTAAAGAAATGGCCTAAACCTTTTTTTACAAGTGGCAAAAATTAGTACTTTTCCGTTTTTCAATTACAATTACAATTTTTCGTGTTTTGCTTTATTTTTGAAAACTTAGACTTTGTAATTTTGGAAATGCTTAAAAATTAAATCATAAATAAAATTTGACTTGTAAACGGAAAAGCACTAAAAAGTATACATGTCATTAAAAAAATTTCTAGATGACCTTTAAATGTGGCGGAAGCATCTTTGCCACATTTTTTAGCTTCACTCATCTTTGTAATTCATCACTAATTTGTTGCTGTCCTATGCGCATTAAGAACACTAACTTGGTGTAGCTGTTGATGTTTCAGAGTCACTACCACACTTGGAGGAGGTGATTGTTGCTAAGGCACACATCTGCATCATACCTTTATAATAAATGCGAAATTTAAGAGAGAATATTTATTATGAGGGGCAAATTCAAATAGTCTGTATCCCCATAACTCCGCGATATCATCCAAAACCCGCTAAACCACACGAAGCCCCCGATGAAATATTCTATTGCTTTGGCACCAGTAACCCGGAGAATCTAATAAAATTGCCGACCACGACCACCAAACGTTTTACTTATAAAGGAATAACAGACCAATAAAATCACCCATAGCCGACATTAATCTCCTAAAGGTTCAATTAGACTCGTAAACTAAACCAATGCCACTAATGGACTCATAAACTAAACTAGAGTAACCAGGGTCACCAATAGACTCATAAAGAGTGTTTACTGTCATCACGAAATTTGATATATTATATTTTTGATACATTCAATAGAGGACCCCCGACTTCCCGTTTCAAGGTTATAGACTCAAACTATAATAGATGGAAAACATGAAAGTAAAGAAAAAATTTCAACCTGATTTTGATAAATCAATGCTAAATTATTTAATTGTTTTGCAACATCCGGATGATCAGCACCTAGCACTTTCTCACGAATTTCCAATGCTCTCTTACACAAAGGCTCCGCATCTTTGTACTTTCCACGCTTCCCGTGAAGAACAGCCAAATTGTTAAGAGTGGCCGAAACCTAAAGAAAAATAAATTCATAGCGAAAGAAAAAAATACCGCAGGATGGTCTTCACCAAGACAACGCTCACGAATTGCCAATGCTTCATTCAATAACATCGCAGCTTTTTTATACTTACGCTGATCACTATAAAATTATTCAATTTATAATAGTTGAAAGAATTTAAAATACCGGTAAACGAGAGCCAGAATGTTGAACATCCTTAAAAATCCAAATCTTCCAATGCTGTTTACAGAGTGGAACAGCTACTTCATAGCGTCCTTGCGCCGCATAAGTGATAACCTTAGAAATTTTTCTAAATAAATTAAATAGACAAGAAAAACATACAAGATTATGAAGTGTTTTTAGACGTTGCGGTATATCATAACCAGCAGTCGCACTCGCTGCCATTGCATTTGCCGGAGTTGGCATTGAATATTGACCACTTGTATCTAAAAATAAATATAAGATGAACGGTCGTTATAGTCCCCCCCCCCCCGTCAGCGTATACCTTTATGTACAAAATGGTCAGACATTACATTCCTGTATAATTTCAAATACCCGAATTCATTCTTCTTTCAATACCTTCCCTTTTTATTTGTGACCTTCCTTAATATGTATAAAAAAGAAACATCGATTTATTCAGCCATTTACTAATAACAAAGGCAAATGTATGAAAGAAGCAAGCAAAAACATATGCAGAATTGAAAGAAGAATGTCTGAATGAATGAAGCCACAGGGAAATTTAGTCAAGTGGGGGAGGGGGATAGGGCATCATAAATCAAAGATAAAGAAAACCCTCAGGAATCTAAGATAAAAAAATCTCAGGAACCAAAGAAATACCTCAGGAATCAAAGATAAACTACTAATTGTAAGCTTTCTCCCATCAATGATTTTTATGAAAACTACAATTTAAGACAAAAAAACAAACTTTGCAAATCCTGCTCCTCATCACCAAAACCAAGTTCCTGTAATGTTGAATTATGGGCATCGCTTGCAGGGCGTTGTTGCTCAGCTTGCTCCCTTTCCTTGTCAGCAAGTTCAGGCAAATCCTCATCAAATTTCTTAATGCTATTCATAAATCTCATGTGCTTGTTTTCTTCTTTCAATTGCGCAATATTCTGAGTAATTATTAATTCAATTAAAGAAAAATTAAAAAAAACCTGCATTGCTGTACGAAGTTGTTGTTGAGTCGAGTTCAACTAAAACACTTTGTTATAGAAAATAATAGCTTAAGAAACCTCATCACGAATCCAAGCATTTTCTTGACATAGACGACGAACTTGAGCTTTATACTTTTGCTTGTCAGCCTCCAAATTTTGAAAATGTGAAGCAAGTGCAACCATGACCTGCAATAAAAATATCAAAAAAATAAATTTATTTTAAGAAACTATGCCTCCTCAACGCCTAAAAGTATATTCTCCAAGTTCTTGTCAACAATTGAAGTTTTTTCGTCAATCAAATGAAGTTCCTCAGGCGTATATTGAAAACCGAATATAACTTGAAGAGATGATGAATGAAGATAAGATCAACACATTACGTTTCTTTCCAATTATAGCCACCTTCATCCTCAATCACGCCTTTCAGCATGTTTCTTCGAGTAGTCCTCTTAATAAATTTAATTAAAAAACAAAATTTACTAAATAATAGTTACCAGCATTCTTAAGAAACTTCTTCTTATCCTTTTGGAATTCCTCAGCTAAGTCAGCCCTAAGCGGATGATTAATTTCTGGCTCAGCAATAAGCGAAACCAACGCATTGATAACTATTGAATAACAATTACTTCAGATTATTGTCTCTAGACTTGGAGATAACCCATTTTCAAAAATTAAAAACCTTGCTCCGTTCGTGTAGCCGGCTTCCAGTTCTCAGCTTGAATGATGCCCAAACAAACCTGACCTTTGTCATCAACATTAGGGTGATATATCTATTATATTAAAAATAATAAAAAACTCTGGCATAATCAATAAAATTGCAAACCTTAGTCACAAACGTAACACGTGGAGGGTTGAAAGGATATCCGGTTGGAAAGTCCACGGTGACACGAAAGGCTCCACGGTTGTAAGGCTCACGATCCTTAAAAATATAATCCAAACAAATTCATAAGTGAATCCATAAGCTTACAGGATAGAGGAGCAGAACCCAATGCAGAAGATTCGCTTCATCAACTTCAGCTATACGAACAGTACCAGAACTGTTGCTTCTCATTTGACAAAAATAAAAGAATTGAAGAGATCCGAATAAACTTCGTCGTTGTTAACATTTTTGTTTAAAAAAAACTCTGAAAAATTTACATATAAAGAAATTAAAAATCATGGAAGGATACATTAAGGCGAAGCATAAATAAGTAATGAAAGAGGAGGGGAGAAATAAAAAGGCTTCCTTGTTTAAATCAGGGAAAAAACTCTTGGAGAAAAACATATCAAGGCCAGACCCAGCTTGCAGTGGAAGTCCCAAAATTATTGAAAGGAAATTGACAACCCAGTCAAATCTCCCTAATGCAAGGTGTGGAAGATTCTCGAATTATTCAAGGGTAGAAATTGAAGATCATAAAAATTATATTGGACAAACAAGAGAACAAGGGAAACAACAAGAAAATGCAAACTCCGGAAACTAATGAAAATCGATAAGTGACGCCAAATGAATTTGAACTAAATATTAACGCAAATTGGTTAAGCTAATTTAATTTTGGAAAATGTCAGTGTCAAGTCGTTGCTATTCTATCAATTACTCGAAAAAATAATGAAAAAAAAATTTCAAAGCCTAAAGAATTTGAAAATTTTGTTTAGCTTCAGAAGATAACGAACGAGAATGTGGTGATAAAGAAGACACGTTTTAAGTCCGACCATTTTTAATATTTTGAGGAAGGAAATGAAAATAGCCACACTCCCTATACAAGACCGATTAGTAGAAAGACCGATACAAAAAAGACAGAATGGCCAAAAAGGGGTTAAAAGACCGAAACAAGCAAAAATGGGTTAAAAGGCCGGAGCAAAAAAGACCGGTGTAAAAAACAGTGTAAAAAAAGACCGGAACACCAAAAAAGACCAGAACGGCTAAAAAGACCGGAACGACCCCCCGTTCGACACCGGTCTTTTTTTTGCACCGGTCTTCTAACCCCTTTTTGGCCGTTCCGGTCCTTTAACCCCTTTTTGCCCGTTCCGGTCTTTTTTGCACCGGTCTTTTGTACAGACACACCTTCAATTTCAAGGCTGTAAAACATTAACTCAAAGGTACAGTGATCTACTCATAGATGCAGACTGTATGACTTCAGTAACGATGTGCAATTCTACACGTCGACGCGTCTCGACAAGTCTTATTATTCAGTAAAATTTAAACTCATATTGCCAATTTACGCTATTTATGGCAAAATAATTTTCTCATTTCTTCCTCATTTTTATTCTTTTTTAGCATCTTTCGCCCCAATTTTTTGTTACATTAAGATTCTTTTCACATAAATTTTTATTTTTAAATTGTCATAAAAACGATTGAGTGCGTTTTAATATAAAATCCGATATGTGCAATTCATGCACATCTTAAAGCGGATATTACTTTTCTTTTTCTTTAAAGTGAAATTCCACATGTACGAAAAATTGTTAAATTTTTATATTTCTCAATGCTTGAATCATTATTGCTTAATCATTTTATTTTTATACAATCACGTATGTATTGAATTAAAGATACATATTTTCTTCCGTTTTATTACACTATTTTCCGGTTTATTACACATACATTTATATGTTCATTATAAAGGAGGAAAAGCATACGTTGGCCTTAGACAATTGTTTTTGTATATTTGTTTATATGTAAAATAGAACTAGTTTTGCGCAATTCTTTTTAATGATTATATGGGATGACATTTTATTTTTTAAAAGCTTTTCAGAATACAATCTACTAACTATTTTCTTTTAATTTTTTTTATTATTTCATTTGAACAAATGCTTTAATTAATATTATAGTACATATTTGCTTTCATTTTAAAGGTATGCTTATTACTTAGACCTATATTAAGTTTTTTCTTTTATTTTTCAGTTCAAAATGACCACGCGTTTTGTTGAGGGCGTTCAAATAAGTCCAACAGAACCAAGCACTAGCAGTGAAAGTACAGCTGAAGCTTTTTATTGTGGTTTTGATTCAACACCTCAATTATCTTCAAATTTTTCTAGAGAATTAAATGGACAATTTTTCAATAAACAAAAAACTAAAGCAAAAATTAATACGAAATCAATTTGGAAAGCAAAGTAAGATTTTATTTTTTAGAGAATCTAAAGATTCATTGTTTCTTTTGAAAAATCGCGTTAGTGTTAGTAACTTCACAATTTATTGTGAACCTACTATATATATTTTTTTGTTCCAGTTTTCTTGTAAGAAAATCTCACATTACAATAAACAAAAATGTATGTGTAAATTAAAAAATCGAAGCTTTTTTATAATAAAATCACTTTTTTACTTTAAAACACCTCAATCAAATTTCTTATGAGTTAAATTTCATAATTTTAATGTAATACATACCAAGAATTATTGATAATTTCTATTAGAGATGAGCTAAATAATTAATTTTTTTTGAAGATTATATATTAATTTGATTGCTGGTGCTGCAATTATGCTTACCATACTTGCTGGTATTTTACTTTTTGTTGTTATACCACACATGGGGAGAAGTAATTCTGAACAAAGACAAAGAAGGGTAATTTTATTTTTTAACGTAAAAAATTTTTTAACGTTAAAATCTCATAACAAAATAATTAACAGTTTCCTGGCAATCGAGAACATCGTTATGATTGGCCACCTCCATCCTATTCTTTAATGGGACGCTTTAAAAAAGCAGCAATTACTTGTGATCATGGAATTTGTAGTGAAATAGGTCGAAATATATTAATTGCTGGTGGAAATGCAATAGATTCAGCAATTGCTTCACTTTTTTGTTTGGGTGTTACAAATCCACAAAGTAGTGGTTTGGGTGGCGGTTTTATTATGACATTTTATGATAGAACAAAACAAAAATGTTTTGTATTAGATGCAAGAGAAACAGCTCCTAAGGCTAGTCATAAAGAAATGTATGGAAAAGATGAATGGGCTAGTAAGTATGGTAAGTAAATTTTTATAAAATGACATTTGAAATATGTAAATTGATAATAAATTAAGGTTTTCGTGCTATTGCAACTCCGGGTGAGTTGGCTGGTTATTGGAGAGCTTTTAAAGAATGGGGAAGTGGGAAAGTAAATTGGTCTGATCTGGTTGGTAAATTTATTGTTTTAATTTTCTCTTTCTCAACAGATAATGCCTTCAGTGAATTTAGCTAGAAAAGGTGTTCCAATAAGTGAATTTTTAGCTTATGTATTGAATATAAAAGAAAATCATTTGAAAACATTACCTTCAATGAAAAGTTGGTTTAATCCAAAAACAAATAAAGTATGGCAATTTGGTGATATAATTAAACGTCCAGAATTGGCAGGTTTATTTGTTATTTTTTAATATTGCAAAGATTGGTAAAATGGCATTTCTTGTGTCGACTCTAGTTTAAAACGAAAATATTGGTTAGAGAATGAAATCATATTTTATAGACACACTGGAACGTTTAGCTAATGAACGAAATCCTGTTGAATTATTTTACAGAGGAAAAATGGCTGAGGAGATTATTAATGAAATGGCGGACAATGGTATGTATTTTTTGTTTAAAACATGAAATTTTTCTTTTAAAAATTTTGGGCGGTATTCTCACAAAAGAAGATTTGCAGAACTATAGAGTATTAGTTCATGATTCTCCACTTTTGGTAGATGGATTCTCAGGGAATTTGAGAATGTGTGGTCCACCCCCTCCTTCTTCCTTTGCTGTTACACAAGCAATTGTTGCTACAATGACTTGTAAATTTTTCAACTTTCAGAAAATTTACAAAAATGAAATAATTTTTTAGCTAAATTTTCTAATTATACTCGTTGGGGCAATCCGTTAAATGGAGTTCTTGATGATACCGAGTTTTATCATTGGTTAATTGAAACACAAAAATTTGCCTATGCAAAAAGAACCCGTCTTGGAGATATACATTTTGTACCACAGGCAAAAGAATTGGCAATAAATATGACACAAAGAGAATTTGCAAAAATGATTTTAAAAAAAGTACCTCCAAAAGCCATGTTTTCAACATATTATACTGATGGAAATCCTATTAATGCTCAAGTAAAATTATAATTATAATAGAAAAGTGCAAGTTTGCATTTCTAAAATTGATAGGAAGAGATATAGTATTTTGTAATTAATTTAGGATTATTCAAAAAAATTTTTTGCTTTTACAGAAGGAAGATCATGGTACTTCACATGTTTCTGTACTTGATGCAGATGGAAATGGCGTTTCTGCAACCAGTACTGTTAATCGATGGTTTATATATTTTAGAAATTAAATAAATTATTATAAAGGTTTGGTGCTGTCGTGCAATCCGAAAAATTAGGAATTGTTTGGAATGATGAAATGGATGATTTCTCTTCTCCAGGAATGCCTAACGGGTTTAATTAATTTTTTTAAATTTTACAACAAAAAAATCAAGCTTTGGATTTGCTCCATCGGATGCGAACTTTATTGAGCCAGGTAAACGGCCTATGAGCTCGATGAGTCCAATGGTTATTTTTGATCGTGAAAATGGAAATGTAATTTTTAATATTTGATTTTTATTTTAAACAGAATTTAATTAGTTTTACTATAAATCTAAGGAAATTAACATTCTAGTTAAAATTCGTCATTGGAGCATCAGGAGGGTCAAAAATTATCTCTGCTATGGCGAAGCCAATAATTCGAGTTCTTTGTTTTAACGAAACAATCAAAGAAGTATATTTTAAATCAAAATTATTTTAATTTTAAAATTTAGGCAATAGATTCACCAGTTTTGGTAGGTATCAAATTTAATTTGAATAAAAATAGTTATTTAGCATAATCAATTTACACCAGACGTGACTCAATATGAAGAAACAGTTCCAAAAGTAAGTAGAAGGAGAGATCCGAATGAGTTCGCTATAGGGAGGTTCAATATTTCTAACATTAGTTTCAAATATTTTTAGCAACTACTGCAAGATTTGGAATCAAAATTCGGTCAAAAATTCAAGCCAACAACTGGTTTCGAAGGAATTGTTCAAGCAATCTTGGTAGGAGATGATGGTTATATTTATGCTAACGGGGATTACCGAAGAAGAACTAACATGCATCCAGAAGGTTTTTGAGGGCTTTTCTGACATATTTTTGTTTCTGCCTTTCTACTTACGGTGGTTTAATATTTTTTAATTTAATATTGATATGTATTTAATTTTTTTCAATACTTACATATGTATCTAAATTTAGATTTTTCTTTAAATAAAATACTAAATTCTAGTAAAAAGGTAAAGAATTGTTTTCAACAGTAAATCTCATTATTTTATTTTAGTAAATAAGTTTCTATATCCAAAAAGTCAAAAATTAATCCAATTCCATCTACCATTAAATACAAAATATTAAAAAGAATTTCGTGATAGGACAAACTAAACACCTAAACATATTTTTTCTCAAATGAAGTCCTTCTTTAGTGGTCTTCTACTAATTCACCACCATTTTCTGTTGAATTTGTGTGCCCATTAGTGAGTTGTTGTAGTTTCTCTTGTTGGATTCGATTACGTTCTGCCTCTTCTAAATGAAAAATAAATAAATATAAAAACTTTCCATGATTTTCCGGATCGAAAAACTACATAAAACATAACCCCTGAAATAATTATAGATTAAAAACTTTTACTTGAAAACTAAAATTTCCGCCTTACAAAATCTTATTTGGAGCAATTTCTATTAAAAGAACCTTTTACTGCCCGTTCTCGCCAATTGCTTTTATTCTCTTGTAAATGTCGAATCCATGGACTAGGGATTTCCAACTTTCCAAAATAGTTGATAGGAATTTTTCGAACAGATACCGGATTGCCAGGTGATGGAGATTTCCTATAAAAATAAAACTTTTTGGAAAAAATATCTCGAAATTTCAACGTACAAATCAGGAGGCAATGGAGATAATGAAGTAGCAGACGCACTTCCATCACCATCTGCAGCATTTTGTCCAGGAGGGAAAAGAGAGTCAGATGAGGGTAGGGAAACAAGTGGTTCAACCATTTTTGTAAGCATTTCACCACATACAACCATTGTCGGCTTTAATTTATATTTTTTAATTCAATACATTTATTTTTATATTATATTCTAGTTTATCAGTTTAATAAAAGATAAAAATTAATTAAAATTTAATAGAATATATTTTACCTCAACAATAAAATCTATAAAACCAATTTGTGACTCCGCTACATGTGTTGTATGTCTATCGCAAAGAGGGGAATATGGAAGTCCCATAGATGCCTCGAGGTCACCTTGACGGAAAAATTCCTCTAAAACGCCCTCAGTCCTTTAATACTTAGAAATTATAATTAGTTTCTTTTACCATCTATAATGTAAATCCCATGGCTTTGAAGCATGAGAACTGCAAAAATCATAAACATTATACTGAACTGTTTATTCTGAACCTACATATCACAGGCATGTACAATTAGACACAGAGCCTTCATTTTATCAATTCCTTCCGGTAGCGTTAGCATATTTTTCATAGTTTTTATTTGTACAAAATGGGTTGACATATCTGTTGCCAACTAAATTATTTTTTAAAATGAAGATTAATCAAATTTTAAATAATAACAACTTTACCACAATTTCAATAATCATATTTCGAATATCACTGAAAAAATATATTCTTTCTCTTTTTAAGTATATCTTCTTACCGAAACTCATCTCTCGATAATCTTTCAAAAATATTTTTTTCTTCATCTTTCATTAATCGAAATACAGAACTAGCGTGATAATTCTCTAAAACGCTTCTATCATTATATACAAGTGCAAAATTAGACCTAATTAATTTTTAAATCGTTTTTAAAATATAATTTGTAGAATAACCCGGATTGAATATGGAAATTATTTGTATGGCCAGTATGTTCATAATCATGAATTAATGCACCAAAAAGAACTGCCAGTAACTCCAAATCGGTTAAAGTACTCTTTAAAAAACTGTTTTAAACTTAAAAAACACAAACTGCAAGTCCAGTCTGTGAAAGTATCCAATGTGATGTTTGTGTGACATCAGCCGCATGAACACAATTATGATAAGGATTATTATGTTTACTATAACCAACTTCTAAAGCTAAAAGAAAATGTTCAAGAATTTGAACATTTATCTGGAAAAATTAATTTAAAATATGCTTATGTATATTTACCTTGAATCGTTCCAAAAATCCATATCTATTAAAAATTTCAAATCCAACATATTTTAATGCATGTCCATTTGTAAACTCATCCAACTCAAATGAACTAAAATTCCAATTATTTATATTACGTAAATATCCTTTATATTCATTTGGTATTGGAGCCAATACAACTTGAGTGCGCCGAAATATCCTGTTTTAATTAATTTTTATTTCGAAATATTTTTATTTACTTTTCAAAAAATATTCCAGTTCTTATTGCATTAGCAACAGATTTAAATTTTGGCTTTTCTCTTTTAGGTTGAACTGCTTGTCTTGTAAAAGTAGCCGCTAACCACTCCCTAACTTCCTCAGGCACTGCTTCAGGTGTAACCTGGAATAACATTTTTAGATGACGTTTTCTATAAAATCTTGCCTCTGCCAAATCATCATCTTCATCACATATTCGTCTTTATATATTTAAATAGATTATTAAAATTTTAATTTCAAATACCTAGTCTCATCCATATAAGCAGTCTCAAGAACGAGAGCTGCATATTCAATATTTCTTTTAAGATCCTCCAAAGGTAATTGGCCCGAATTTAGTTGGTGAAGGATATAGCGAAGTCTAAATTAAAAAATTTAAATTTTAAAAAATTAAAAAAAATCCACCGGGCAAAATTGAACCTTCTTTTATCAGTTTTTCTTAAGCGCTTCGCCTAACACGATCAGGTGCCCCAATGACTGAGCTATGGGGGTTGTGGTAAGTTTCCACCTCATTTTATTATTCACTTCATTAGATAATTTCTATACCTGCAAGCATGCTTTCTCAATACTAGCTGATAAAAGCCATATTGATCGCCAATGATCATCATTTTTTTAAAAAATTAAGTTGGGAAAAAATAAAAAAAGTTTATTAAAAATGTTCAAAATATGATTAGGTGCTATGAAAAAGTAAAAGAAAAGGGAGTTATTCGGGTGTTACAAAGAATTTATTTAACCCCTTTAAGTTTTCTTTTTGATTTGACACATGACAAAGTTGAAAAGTAAAAATTGGTCCATGTTGACTGTTTGTTTTATATATGTAAAAAGGCTTGCGAAATTAATAGGAAGTCTTTCGGAAAATATTTCTTGATTTTATTTATTAGTCATTTTTCCAATGTAAAGCTCAGACAGTTATCATAAAACAAAATAACTTGCTATCTTTCATGTCACCATGCCAACCAAAACACTTTCCGAAGCCTTTTAATACATAGTATTTTTATATCACTTTATTTAAAGAAAATATTTGTAAAACCCTTAAAAGGTTAATAGTGATACAATTATACATAATTCAGAGATCTTTAATTATACACCCCGATTCCTAAACAATTTATAGTTAAAATTCTAAAAAATTTTCCAATACCTTAAACTCAAATCCCGAAGCACATCTGGACTCGCCTGACAACGCGATGCAACAGATTGTGACCTACTTAAATAACTTGGTGTTGAAGGTTGTGGTGAGCGCGGAGAATTGTTTTCCTTTTTATTGCATGAAATATTGTTTTGTGTTGTTCTTAATTGTTCTAAAACTGGTAATAGTGCTGGCAAAGTTAAACGAGGTTTCCATTTTGAAGAAACGGTTGAAGGAAAATTAAAATAATTATTGCTCGTATCATTTATTGTTTCCTCCATTTGATTTCCATATTTTCTACAAACCGCATTATTTGTGTCATTGTTATTTGAAAGGGAATTTTTTGCAGAGTTAAAAGTTGATTGTTCCATTAATTCGACTATGTCAGTAAAAAAGAATTTTTTTGATGATCTTCATTTATTGAATTTCTTTGATTCATGAATAACAAGGAAAATTAAAAAATAGCAACAATAGTCATACATTTTTGCAGTTTATTGTGAATTTTTCAAATTTCTTGATAAATAAAAATAAAAAAGGCAAACACCCGTGAACTAAATATTTGATCGCCTCCCTTCCACCAATCAAAAATTCAAAGATTTTCAAAAAATAGTAAATTATAAAATCAAGAGACTTACTAATTAAAAGTATTAATTGGAAATAATATAGAAAAACAAAATATAGTTGAAAAAAGTGAAAAATTTGATGGAAAGGGTTTCTTCCTCTGGGACCTTCTTAAAAGAAGAGAACTCAGTTATTCAAAAAAAGAATTTTGTTGTTTATATTTAAATTAAAATACATAAAAAAATTTTATTAAAAATAGAAGCCACGAAAAAAAATGAATTATTAATTTATGTCAACAAAAATTCTTAATCGATTTTGAAGGTAAATAATATAAAAAATTTTGGAGTAAGATAAGGCTTTAACACTTTGGATGAAAAGGGCTAAAGTGGTTGAAGAATTTAAAAAGTGGAAAAAGAAAATTTTTTCAAAAGAATTAACTCTTCAAATCCACTTGGAAAAGTTGCGCGAAAAACTATTTAGGGTAAAATAAACATGTTCTATTGTTTCATTTGAAATTGAAAAAAAAGATGCGATCTCCATAAAAACCTCATATTATATACTGATTTAGTAAAAATTAAAAAAATATTTTCTAACATTAAAAATAATAATACGCACAAAAAATAAAACTTTACCTTTTAACAGTTTCAAGAGCCATTTCACCAAAACGTTTTTGTTGTTGTTGTTCCTTTTCATTTGGTTTTTCATCATTACAGTCAAAATTATGATAATTATTATGATTATCTTCCTCGCTTCCCGCTATAGAATTATCAGTGTCGCAACTTCTTTCTAAATTTATGTTAAATTTTATTTTTACCTAATCAAATAAAATGTTTCGTATTTATACGTAACTTTTTTGTGATTAGTCACCAAAACTTTTTCATGTTTTAATATACGAATATTAAATCTCTGAGTGAAGAAATCTAAATTCAAAATAAAAATATAAACCTGAAAGTCCCCAAGATGTAGGCCTTTTTTGTTTTTGACTTATTGGGTTTGTTTGTTTATTATTTATAATACCATCATTAACAAAAATTGAAGCCATCCTTCCAACAACAGACATCTTAGGTTTATTATTAATATTAAATTTATTAGTAGCAACAGAATTTGAACGACGATATAACCGATAATTAATATTTAAATTATTGTTTTTAGTATTTCCATCTTGATTTTTATTTATATTTGTTTGACTGCCACCAACTTTAAATATATAAAATATTTTACAAATTTGGCTAATTTATATTAAATATTCAAAAATGTGGGAAAAAATATTTCCTAATATAAAAAATAAATTAACATACATATTTAAAAAAATAATGAGAAAAAAGAAGAAAGATAAAAAAATCTAAGGGAATGTTTTCACAAATTTCATATGTATAATTCAGAAATTGACAAAGGAAAAAATTTCTCAAACAAAAGAAAATATCAACAAAAGGGCATAACTTGAAATGATTTTGTCTTTTTAACAAATTACCCGTAAAAAATAGGAAATTCATAAATTGTATTATTTTTATTTTACTTTTTCTCTCATTCAAGATAAAATTTAGCAAAAATATTTGTTTAAAATTTAGTTAAGTCTAGAAGAAAATGGAAAGATATGAGGAAGAATTATCTATAGAAAAAACAAAAAGAATTGAGAAAAATGTTTTACTTATACATTTTAGATAATATTTATTTAAAAATACATAGAAAACTGAGGCATTATTTCAGAAAAATTAGTGTATAAAGAACAGGATAGATAATTATTGAAATATAGAGTATATTTATTTAAATATTCACATACCATCAACAACATATTCTGTATTGTCATATTTAATCGTAAATCTTCCACTATTACTACCACAACCAGCTTCTCCTTGTAAAACGGTTGAATCAGCTAAAGAAATACTTGGTCTTCTAGAAAGTTCTGATTTTGGTCTTGTAGGTAAAGGTGAATAATTAGGAATAAATAAATTGTTTGGGCGAATACATGAATTATATAGTTGTTTTCGATTTACCTCTTCTACACGGATATCTTTATTTCTCTGTTTATAATTTTGTAATATTTTTGCCAAAAAATTTTTTTAATAAACCTGTTCAATCATCCCTGAACATAAAAAATTATTTTGCTTTAAACTTTCTGATTTTCCATCTTTTATTAATGTTGTAATGGCTAATGGTCGTACTATTTGCTGTGACGATTTGTCTAAAAGATGAATTATAATGAAACCTTTGTTTTGTATATCATGAGAATGCGGAGAGTCGCCTATGTTGGAAATTAAAAATTTACCAGTTAAAGAGGAGTTGATAGAATCTAAAGTTGAAGTAGTACTTGTAGCTGGATGATCCTTTTTGTTCACAATCATTTTTGGTGACAATTTTGAATAATTAATATTTTTTATACATTTTTGTTCACAATTTTGATTGACTTCTTGGTTAGATTCAGTTATTGGTGTTTTTTTAAACCGTCCAAAAAACTAAAAATGATTGAAAATCAAGATTCTTAGCATATTTGCTGTTTATTCTCAATGAATTTTTGGCAATTGTATTTATATCAATTTAAAAAAACTCTTAAATTCCATTTTATATCCTATACTATATCATTCTTTCCGCATAACATAAATTTCCATAAAAAAGAAAGAAACGAGGCATCTAACTGTCCATTATTATGCCTTAAGGGAATGCAAATTAGGAAAAAACTAAAAATCCGTAAAAACCAAAAAATTTAAGTTGAACGAAAAGGAAAAGACTAGGATAAATTTAGAATGAATACTATTAGAAAAAATTTAAAGTAAATATTAGAATCAAAAAGACTAGAATAAATACACCTAATTTTGGCCACAATTTTTTAGGTTTATTTAAATTAGTACCTTAATACGTCTTGTTCGCGATTGCTTTGACATTATGTTGTGTTTGTGCTAATTTTACATATCATCCTTAGATTTTCGATCTGGTCTATTTGTTGTTAACACGATAAAAGTAGTTAGTCACTATTTTTGAAAAATAAAATTTCTACTGAAAGGAACGTTTCAGTCCCACTTTTAAGTCTCAAGAGCTATTGAGTCTCTTCTTAATTAGTCAGATATCCGTATTCCGTCTCTATGATATAATCTAATCAAACTGTTGGAAATAAACCTCACAACAGAGCTTTCAATTAATATAAAAATTATTCAATCAACTAATTAAAGGAATTAAAAATTCGAGCTCCGAAATATGGCTGAACGCGGACTGAAACATCCCATACCAGAATTTTTTAATTTTGCGATTTTTGAGTTAAAATAAAAGAAAAAAATCATTAAAAAGTTTAAAAAAGCATTAAAATAAATAAAGCATTAAAAACATCTTTTAGTAGATTTTGGTCTTGTGTCTTACATTAGCTCCTTTTTAATTGCGGAATAACGAAATATCTTGCTAATTTTTCTACATACATGAAAATTTTCTTTTCAATCGTATTACTTTGTTTGAATTTTGTTTGAGTTTCTACGCAAAAATATTCTATGTTTTGTGAAAATATGTATAATCTCGCATTTATGTATGAGGGAGTAGTTTTTTTTCAAAAGTACATACAAATTACTCTTTTATTTAACTCCAACAATCGAAAATAGAAAAGGAAAAGCCAAAAATTTAGCTTCTTATTTGGTTTATATTTTCTGATTTGCTTGTTGACATGTTTTTCTCATATAAATATGTAGTAATTAAGTAAAAATGAAAGGATTTGTTTTCTTTTTAAAAAAGAAGCTGCCAGTTTTTCCGTTTTGTTCTTTTTTTCTTTTCTTTTTAATTTAAAATTTGTCAATTATGTCAACTTAACAAATTTTTGGGGTTTTAAATGAAAAAATTGAAAAAACTGACAAGATGGGAGGAATGAATTCGGAATAAATATATTTATTCGGAAGTTACATACATATGTATGTGATGAAACAGATTTTTAAAGCTAAAAATTAATATTTTTGTTTAACTACTAATGTGTTCATACATAAAGTATAAGTATTTATAAAAATGTTCTTATTATTCTTCACATCTGGACCGGACATTCCTCTTAACGTTAAATTATTTTTTGAATGAGAAAAAAGCCTTAAATGGATGGATGTGTATTCATGTATTTTACTTGTTTTTATTATTTTAAGTTTTATCCAAATTGAGAGGAATTATTTGCTTAGAGAGATGAATTGACTTTGGCAAGTACACACTTCCCCAACACTTAAGTAGTTGACAGGTCGTTGAAAGCAGATGAGAAAGGATAGTTTTTAGGCTACAAAACGAGGAATTAAACTTTATTAATAATCGAATAATCTAGGATTTCGATATAATTAGTACACGAAATTAATTAAAAGTTTCTGTTTCATCATGGCCTCTTCAATAAAGCTGAGGTAAAAAAACCGTAAACGGGATCGCAGATCCTATTCCAACCTCTATATTCAAGGTAAACTGAACGTGCCAGGAAACGGGACTGAACAGTGCAGGTTGAAACGTGCAGACTGAAATGACCTGCTCCCTTACACTTGTTACCATTTTGTCTATACCATTTTGTCTTAACACACGGTGTTTTTGTTAAATTTCTATTTATTTATAGGTTCAGTTATTATTTAGTAGAATTTTGGATTTTAGACTAAATGGACGATCAAGTTTTCAATCAATATACTGAAGAAATGGATCATGATTTTGAAGTAATTGATAAATTACCTATTTAAAAAAACGCTAATATTTTATATTCAGTCTTATAACAATTCACAAAATTCTGAAGAGATGCATATTACGGGACAAGTTTCTAGTACAAGCGATACACATGACACTATGGTTATGCAGGCGTATCATGTAGTTGAAAGTGAGGAATCAATGTTGGATCCGGCTGTAAAACCAAAGGCTGTACATCAATGCCCAGTTTGCAACAAAATTTTTGTTTCTTTTAAAGGTTTATCTTTATTCTTTTGTTATTTTTGGATTGATACGTTTATGAAACTTCTTATATTTCTCGTATCAAAAAACTTTTGTCCGGAGTTTGAATGCTCTGCTCGATTTGCTTTCATTTTAACTAATATTTAAAGGTCTTCAACAACATGCTATTATTCACACGGATCAAAAGCCTTATTCCTGTGATATTTGCGGAAAATCATTTCGATTTAAATCAAATCTTTTTGAGCATCGTTCTGTCCATACTGGAACAACTCCACATCAATGGTTTTATTTTCATTAAAATAATTTTCTATTTTTAGTCCTATTTGTGGCAAAACTTGTCGACTAAAAGGAAATTTAAAGAAACATCTTAGAACGCATTGTACAACAAAGGAGGAGTTGGAATTGGCTTGGCAGCCATTTGCTAGGTTCTTTTTTAATTTTCAGTTGCGACTTAATTCTGATTTAACCTTTCTTTTTTAGTAATCGCCGTGCTCCAGCTGAAATTCCTCGTGATGCAATTATAATTCGTCCAAATGCTGATTCTACGTCTTTGTTCGCAACGCCATATAGACCTAAAAAACGAAAATTAGGGTTAGGCGCTGAAACGAAAATTTGGATTGAAAAAATTCGAAGAGGAGAACTTCTTCCTGGAATTTCTATTTCGGACAAGGTTTGCTTAAAATGAGATTTATTTTTATAATACTTAAGATGCGACGTATTCTTGATCTTGTAAAAATAACTGAGGATGGAGCTATGGATATGGAAAATTTATTTCATCATGCAAGGTAAACATCTGACATTTTGTCTTAATACTTATGATTTCAAAACTTATAGGGCTATTCCATTGGAGCAATATGACTGTCCGGTTTGCAAGACAACGTTCTTTTCGAGAATTGAGTGTCATGAACATATTGTAAATTTTTTGAATTCTTAATATTATCATTCAATTTTTAATAAAATTGAGGAAAGTGAACATTCTAACGTTAGGAAACAACGACCTCATTTTTGTGACATTTGTCTTCGCAGCTTCAATGAACGACAAGCTCTTTCTGCTCATCAAGAACATCATAAACGAGTACAGTCAATTTTGGACAATGACGGATTAAAGGTCAAATTTTTAAGAGCCTTTTGATTTGTTCTAAATTAGGTTGCTGAACCAATGATAATGATGCCAGTAATAAATGAAGCTGATGAAAAGGTGATTTCTGAAAATTTTGGTGCTGGAGGTGAAGGAGACGAAGCCATTTCTATAATTGAAAATACAACATTAACCAATAATTGGGATGAAAATCATTAAAATATGTATGTACGAATGACTTCCGTCCACTTCTATTTAAAAAACATTTTCATAACAAACAAAACCGTTCCATTTTTTATTCATTTTTTATCTTTTGTTATTTTTATAATTTATTGTTTTACATAAGTTGAATAAATAATAACGTTACAGTTTATTTATTATACATTAATTTATTATATGTGCATATATATTTTTTTAATTTTGTCCACCTTTGGTACGTTTATCTCCAACGATTTTAATTTAAGTTTCGACTTTTAAAACTAAACACTTGAGTCTTCTAAAGTTTATTCCGGAAGTGAGAAAAAATGATAGACGATTCATTCAATTTTTCAAGGTTTTTAGTGTAGATTTATTATTTTCTTTACTTTTCAGTCTTAACTTTGTTAAATTTACGACCGGCCGCCATTTGATTAATTCTTTCCCTTTGGATGCTGAGCAGTTGGCACGGGAACTTAAAGGTTCATATATATGTAATATTAAAATTTTCAAAATTTGTTGAAAAATACGCCTATAAATGGTTCTAAAAATTGTAATAAGTTTAAAGGCTTGATTGTTAACATTTTAATTAGTATTTATCATTAGAAATTGATTTCTGATTGTATGCAGTATAAGCAAATAAAAGTAAAAAAAATTTTTAGCTGTTGAGAGAGAATTAGTTAAAGCAATTAGATGCAATACTGGAGGACGACGCAAAATTTTTAAAGAAAACTATCATTTCTATCAAATTTATATTAAATTGGGACATATAAATTTGTTAGCTGAAGATTTTGCTAGAGGTTTTTTTAAATTTCAATTTAAAAATTTTGGTTTTAAGCACTTTCTGCGTATCAAAAGGCGTATAAATACAACAAGGATAATTTTTGGAAGGAACAGTCATCTTTGTATGGACTTGCAATGTGTTATTATCATTTTAGAGTTTATCATCCGTTGGTTTATTTTTAATTTTTAAATGTTTTTTGTTTAAATTCGTTATTGAGTAGGTTAGATTTTTTTGAATTTTCTTTGAAATCCTAAATCTCAGTTTCCCCTTCATTAATATTCATTTTTAAAATTTTTTTATTCCTTTCTCAATTCTTTCATTCGTTTAAATAAACCCAAAAACCCATTCGACATCGTGCTTAATTGTCCTTCTTATAAGCTGTAGTGTTTAAAGGACACAAAGATCGATGGTCATTTTACCCCTCCTTTGACTCTTCATTTCTTCCCTTAATGGCGATGCATCTTGCGCAGGAAATGACTAGTTTATCTTTAGATGGCTACTTTTATATGTATTAAATGGTTCCTTTACTTTAATACCTAAATTGATGTATAAGATACATACATATATGTATCGTATACAATTCCACTTTAAGAAACTATATTTTTCAAATTATTTTAATTATTTGTAAGTATTTAACACAGGTTCAAATCTTTACATATTTTTCATGGCCAAGCAAATAAAGCTTTTTAATTTGATTTCACTTTCTTACGAACTTGACCATCAATAAACTTAAAAATAAATTATTAGGCCTTTACACAAAAAACCTTGACCTCTGGAGTTTTTTCATTTCTGTTTGTGATGTGTATATTGATTTCTCTCTATTTAAATGTAGCCAAAAAACCCGGCGGTGATGCTCTCTTATTCCTACTATTCTATCCTTCCTCACCACAAATATATTTTCTACTAGTATTTCTTTATTTTTCCCTCTAAATTTAGAAAAAAAGCATAAGCTTTTTCTCTACTCTCTCATTTTCTCATCATCTCACTTCATTTCCTTCTTTTTTGATTTTTTATGGGTTTGGATAACCTTTTTTGCAGGTCACCCTCGCTTTCCTCCATTTATTTTTTGTTTTTACTCCATTGTGCTTGTTTTGAGAGGATTTGGCCTGCCTGCCCCGTATACGGCGATTTCTAATCTTACCAATTCATTTTATCTATAGTTTAGTTGCCTTCATAATGCCAAAATGTTTGCCTTCCAAACGTCAAAACAAGAAAATTTTATATTTACTAGCGCTTATTTTCCCAAGCATTTTTTTATTAATTTTAACTCTTATCTCATTTTTCCATTTAAAATTTATTTTTAGAGCAATTGAGCTTTTTTGTCAGTTGCTTTTTGTTCATCCATATTCTGAAGTTGCAACTGAGGTTAACGCTAGACTAGGTTGCTCAAATTTTTTGACCTTTTTAAATTGTATTTTAGGCCTTTGTTTCAAAGCACTCGATAATTTTCCTCAAGCATTAAAGGTAATCTTATTTGTTATATATCATAAATTTTATACTTTTAATTAGCACTTAAATATTGCCTTAGAAGACACAAGAGAGTGCCTGGCATTACCAAAGTTCTTTCTTCGTTTTCAGATAGCGCATTGTTTTGACGTTGCAGGTATTTTCTTGCTCAAATATAATTGCCAGAAATTGATATCTGAACAAGAAATTATCCCTTGGTTATAAACGAAAACTTATTTCTTTTACTAATTAAGGAATAGTGCGATAGGAATGGAGGGCATAAACGGCACTATTACCCCCAATTATAATTAATATTTAGGGGAAGTTCGAAAAGCCGTTGAGGAATACCGTCGTTTATTGTCTGATCACGATCGAAGTATTGTTCCATTAAATAATCAACTTCTTTCTGCTATTTATGGACGTCTTGGTTATTTTTAAATTTATGATTTTTCAGTTTAGAAATTTTTTGTAAGGCTGGATAAGTCTATGTTCAAGGGAACGCGAACCTCGAGAGGAAATTCGACTTCAAAAGTTAAAGGAAGCAGAAGCATTATTACAACGAGCTCGCGAATTACAACCAGTAGATAGCAAGGCAAATTGTTATTCAGGACTTTGTTTTAGTGAGCAGACGCGTGTGGCTAATAAATTTATACAGGAAAATAATTCTGGTAAACATCAACAAAGAACAAATTCAAATCAACAAAATAATCAAAATATTCCGAGATATAACCCGGTATGTGTTTATGTTTTTTAAATATACTGGTAGCTTTTTTATTAGCAAAAATTTTTAACAATAAATTCCGCGTTTTGAACTTCATATTTGTTTTTCTAGTTTTTCCATGTCCATCGAGTTGGATTGAGTCCTTTTAAAACTTCAGATTTATATTTAAAATTTTGTTTAGTTTTTGGTTGATTCATCATTTGTTTATATGTTCTTTATTTTTTCTCCTCTTTTCGATTTTTTTAAGTATTGACATAATAATTCACTTCACTCCTGCGCAACTTTTTTTAATTCCTTTCCTCCTACTCTATTTGATGATTAATAGCTATTTTCTGTTTTTAAAAGTACACCTAAATCGTAATATTATTACAAAACGATTAATTAATACACAATTATTTTGATATTTTCATTCTATTAATATAATTAGTTTGTATAATTTAATTTTCCTATCTTTTCAATGTTAACCTTTTTATGTGCTATTATTTAAATTAAGCTATAATAATTTTTAAAACATTTTTAGGATCACACCGCACAGAATGCCTTTGTAAGCTATAGAACGGCTATCGATAGTGACGAATCGGATGCGAATACTTGGCGATCCATTGGGGTTTTATATCAAGAACAAAGTCAACCTTCTGACGCTTTGGAGGTTGTATTTTTCACTATTTAACAATTGTTATTTTCGTTTTTCAACTTTTTCGCATTTGTGTTTTTATAAATTTTTAAATCTCACTAATTTAGTCATTTGCTTGTTCTGTGCAATTGAATAACAAACATTACGCTGCTTGGCTTGATCTTGGACAGCTTTACGAGAAGCATCGTCAATATAACGATTCACTATTTTGTTACGAAAAAGCTTTGCAAGCTAATCCAGGTATTTTTATGTTCTTTTATTTTATGTGAATAATTTGATTTATTTTTCATTTTTTAATATTTTACTAATATTTGGGTTTTACGGATGTAAAAAGTCTTAATGTGATTCGATTTTTGGGTAATAAACCTATTTATTATTTTATAATAACACTGCTTAATTAAAATGACACCCACAGCAAAATTCGCTAAAACTTTTTAAAATTTTGTTAAATATAAATTTGGAAATTTAATTTTAAAAATCGATAAGAAATTTAAGTCAATTGAGAGAGTAAAGGAAAAAAATTTTGAGTTGAATGTAGCTTTATCCTTTCAATATATTTTAGTCTTTTATACATATTTATGTGTGACTGACTAGGGTGTTTTAAATTTTATTGATTTTTTTCATAAATTGATTTTAAATTTTCACTTTTTATTTTATTTTTTTTTATTTTTCTTATATTAAATTTTAAAAATTTCTTGATGGTTTATCTAGAATTTAAATATTAGCCTTACTTTTTTTTCTTTTTCAAATATTTTTAATTTCTTTATTCGCTGTATTCCTAACTAACAATAAACTTTACTCGCTTTTTATGGTTAATTTTTTTTTAATTATTTTCCATATTTTTCATAAAATTATTTTTACAGAACCACCCGAACAACTCTATACTAGAATCCATATCATTCAACGAGAATTCAATAAAATTGGTGGGTCAGCTAATTACACTTATCTGGCAGAAAAACATTACGATTTGCTAGATAAGCACAAGCAGCTGCAACAATCTAATCGTCAATTGGATCCGTAAGATTTTTTTTAACATTTTTTATTAGATAAAAAAAATTATGGATATAGTCCAATAATGTTTTTAAATATACAAAAATTTAAGATCAAGTAGACAGCCAGGACAACCTAAGTTACCGGAGGAAATTAGGTGATTTTTATACTTTGTTAACTCAACATATTTACATATTTCTCTATTTTAAATTTATATTTGTATATGTAAATATGCTAATTTTTTTTCTTGAATAAAATTATCTTAAGGCTGGCTCACATTGAGTGTGCCTGGCAACTGGGTATACCTGCGCAAGTTCGTCAACGACTTTTGGATTTAAAAAAGGTAAGAGAAATAGAAAAAGTAATATATTTAAAAATTTAAATAAGGGGTAATTTTAATGTGTGAATGATAAAAGTCTAAAAATTAGTCTTATGATAATTTATGACTAGTTAGCCAACTATTTTGACGTCATAATTTTTTGACATGATTATTTTTTTACGTATTCTAAATTATTAACTAAAGCTTATTATTAACTCCTTAAATGTAAAAATAGTTTCCGTCAATGGTTATTATTTGAAATTATCAAGCATTGTCGAACGCATTTCTTTAATTTATCTTTATGGACTATTTAATGCAAAAAATTCCAACAAATTTTAATTCCATTAATTCTTTTCTTTTTTCTTAAATTGTATTTTTAAACTACATTATTTTTTACCTTTGGATTTTGCTACAAATGCCGCTCTATATCTTTTTCATTTAATCCTCTTTTTATCTTTTACTTCTAATTTTTCTTTAATTTTAAAATTACAGTTTTTTATAAATTACTTCTGAATAAGTTATTAATTTTTTCTTTATCTTTTATATTTTATTAGAAGCTGAACATTTTGGGCTTTTAAAAGTGTTATTAAGCTATTTTTCTGTTGGACAAAATTTAAATTCTATTTTTATTCTTTTCCATTTTTACTTATATTTTAAATGAATTTTGATTTTCTATTTTAATTTTTTTCATGACTACAATTCTACATTTTTCTTTTTTCTTGTAAAGAATACAATTTTCTACTTTTAGTTATTTTAATTTTTTTTTCATTTGCAAACTTTAAATAGCTGCATATGTATTTAAAATATGTACATATTTAATTCATAGAAAAAACTTTTAATTTTTTCCTCAAATACTTTATTAAATATCTAAGCTTTAATTTTTCAATGCCTTAAGATCTATTTATTTCTTTTGCATTTATATTAACAAATTTTATTTTTTAAATATTTTTTATCTTCAATAATTTTAATAAATATTTTCTACATAATTTTTTACTCATATACTTTATTTCTAACAAACATCTTCATTAAATTTTTTACACTTTTTTATTTTCATTTACGCACAAAGATTCTAGACCTTACTTTTTATATTTAAAATTTATGTTGTTGTACTTTTGCCAGATTAGTAGCTAATAACAACGAATGTTTTTTAATAACTAGGCACTTTTTACATGTTTCTTCTTCATTTAAGATAATCTTTATATGTATTAAAACCTTCCTCTTCTTACTATTTAATATATAATAGGTATTTAATAATTTAATTTTTAAACATGTTGCAGGAAATACTATTAATATGAGGTCGCATTCTTTTTTGACAAAAAATAATAACATTTTTACATATTTTTACCAACACTATTTTTTAATTTTTCATGTTCCTTAAGTTATAGAATTTTTATTTAACGTTTATTTTATTAATGTAAACAAAATAAATTGTATTAATTTTTCTTAAAATTTACAGCAACAAGAGAATAAATATCGTGAAGGCTCTATTCTTTTTAATATGCACGATTTGATCGCTAGCTCTATGAAGAATGACACTAACGAACGCTCATTGACACCTACTCAGCGACAGATTATGCAAATTCTTAAATTTAACCAAGACCAGTTAGAGTTTCATGAGGTGTGTTTATTTGCTAAATGTTCATTTTGTTATTGGTCTTTTAGTGAATATAAGCTTTTTAGAGTACATTACTTCACGAGCTCGAGCAAAGGGTGGGTGATGCGCATGAAGGCACTTCAACAACAAAGCATGTTGATGAAGCAATATCCGTGGAGGAAGAACAGGTTAAATTTTGAATGCGGATTTTATAATTAATTTTTTAAATGAACTTCTTTTCAAGTTTATTTTTTATGCTCTTTTTTAGTATACGTTTAATTTTAGCCTACCTTACAACCGAAATGCTCTCCTGGTACAAAACCTCTATTAGCTTCTTTTGAATTAGCTCAAAATAAATCGCCAAAATCCCCAATTGTTGAAATTTCCCCAGCTCTTGTTAACCTCATTCCTTTCCCTTCATCGATGCTTTCCCCAAAAGAAGAAACATCTACTAGCCATAATTATCATCAGCAATCTTTTTCATCACCTGGACCTCATTATATTCAGGAAGAAAAGATCTCATCGACATCAAACCATTTAGAATTACCTCCAAATCTTTCATTACTTGCCCCTGTCTATTTACCTGTTACTGTTACCTCTACAGAAGTGCTTGATATGTGTTAGTTTTTAAGAATAATTTTTAGATTTTATTATAATTTCCACATTTTTATAAATGGTTTGAAATATCAAAGATGACTTTCCATCAAAATGTCTGATTTTCGGAAACATTTCTTAACCGAATTTTATGATTAAATACCACTGGCTTTCAGACTTTCCTTTTTGCGTTACATTTTTATAATTTTTCTGCAACTGGCAAGGATTAGACTAGGATTATTTAAAATATTTTTACTTTAAATTTTCTGAAATTTATTTTTAAGGTAAAAAACGTCTTTCAAAACCAGAAGAATATAAGCCTATTTTTGATGAAAACTTTCCTCCACCCAAAGAGCCAGTACCTCCACCAAATACAACTTTTACATCTAAAGAAAATTTATTGTTAAAAACTCCTGTTGTTCTTGTTGAAAACCAAAGAGAGGCTATGGCAATTGAATTACAAAGATTTTGTTATACTCAGCCAATTGTACTTATTCATGGTTTAACACTAGCATTAAAAATCGATTTGAGCCAATTTTCTACAAAAACTCTTATACAAACTGCCGCAGATCATGAGGTTTTTTTATAATTCATATGGTTAAATTTCCATTTTAGATATTATAACTTACATTTTTAATTTTTATACATATAGGTTGAAGTTCGGACACAGTACAAAATGCCTTATGATGTAAATGTTGATCAAATGGGAAATCCAACATGGTCAATTGTAAGCAAGATTTTATTTGTTTTTAATAAATCACCAAATCTGTTTAAAATTTTGTTATTCTTTCTTTTATAAATATTTTTTAGAGAAGCAGTAAAAGTTTCACAACAATAAGTAGATTTGGTCAATATCAAGCAGAATCATTTAAACATTCATTAAAAGAAGAAACAGAAAAATTAAAACAATCAAATCCCAAACTTTATGGAAGTAGTAATATACCGTCATGCTCATCTTCTTTAAATTCTGAAAATATTGTTTCAAGCGATTTATCACCAATTCCAAATAAAAAGCAAAGGAAAATAATATTGAATAATAATAATGGAACTCCAACAAATAATTCTGGGAATTCTGAAAAGGAATATAAAATGATTAAATTTGGAACTAATGTTGATTTATCTGACGAAAAGAAATTTTCTTTTCAATTAAAGGTTTTTATTTTCATAATATTTCATTTTTTTTTTAATTTATAGGAATTAAATAAGCTTCCTCCATTTTGTCGAATAACTTCAGCAAGTAATATGTTATCTTATTTGGGACATACTGTTTTTGGAATGAATACAGTCCAATTATATTTAAAAGTGCCTGGTTGTAGAACACCCGGTCATTTAGAAAATAATTCATTTGCAAGTGTTAATGTAAATATTGGACCTGGAGAATGTGAATGGTTTGGTGTTCCTTATGAATATTGGCCTGCTTTGGCTCAAATGTGCAAAGAGTTTGTTTTTAATTTCTTTATTAAAGGCAATTTATGCAGAGAAACTTTCTAGAAGAGATTATAACTTACTATAATTTTTATAAAAATTTATTTTTTAGTCGCAATATTGACTTTCTTCGAGGTGCTTGGTGGCCAAGTGTTGCAGACTTAATTAAAGCAGATTTACCATTCTATCGTTTTACTCAACGTGCTGGTGATGTTGTTTGGGTCAATGGTGGTTGTGTTCACTGGGTTCAATCGACAGGTTTTTTAGTAATTTTTAATCTAAAATTATTTTTTAAGGCTGGTGTAATAATGTTGCTTGGAATGTCGGCCCAATGACTGCAAATCAAATAGAAATGGCATTAACAGCATATGAATGGAATAGATTAAATGTAAGATTTTTAATATTTTTAAACCTGTCATTTATGCTGTAAAAATATTTTTTCTTTAGTCTTATCGTTCCCTGGTTCCCATGCAACATCTTTGTTGGGCACTTGCAAAAGATGTTAGATTTAGTAATCAAAAATTATATAATAATATAAAAAATATGTTAATTCGTTCATTGGCTTATTGTCAAATGCTTGTAGACTTTGTGGGAACAGCCATGAAAAGTCCTATTAAAATGCAGCAAAAACAAAAAGGAGAATGTTTGTTTTTTTTTGAAAATATTAAAATTATTTTTAAAGGTGCCCATTATTGTCATTTATGTGAAATCGAAGTATTTAATATACTTTTTGTTAAAGAAATTAGTGGAAAATGGAAAATATTTTGTTTTAAATGTGCTAAAAGAAATAATCTGGATGAATATGTGGTTTTACAACAATATCCGTTTGAGGAATTACAACTAATTTTTGATAGGTTTCAACTTCAAATTGTAAGTTATTCAATTCTAAAATTAAAATTTTATTTATTTTTCAGACAAAACCTACAGTGATTTGCTAAGAATAAGTTTAAAACAAATATTTTTTGAATAATTAGTACATATTAGCTTTATTAATTTGTAAAATTTGCCAAAAAAATTTCCCCATAAACCTTTCACTTTTTTTTTTAAATATTGTCACCCTTTTACGTAATGGGCCTATATATATAACCGACATATTAAATATTCTAATATCCCTTATAAATTATGTAAAGGCCCATTACAATATTAATTAGTTGTAATAATCAAAATACTTCATTAAACATTGACCTCATTTATATTTTCCGCCTTTTCTTAGAATAAAGTTTTCATTTACTAGTTGAGGAAAAAATTAATTTTGTCTTTTAAATTAAAGAAAAATCAGAGAACGTTTTACTTTTCATTCATTTTCGCTCTTTTTTCGTCCTTTTTTCTTCATTATTTTTCTCAGCACTCTTCTTTTTTCTCTTTTTAGCATCTGAATTTTCATCTTTTGCTGTCCTTTTCTTTAATTTTCTCTTTCTTCTTTGTCGTCTTTTTTCTTCTTCATCTGTAGATTCCGAAGAAGAGGAAGATGATGATGAAGAACTAGAAGATGAAGAAGATATTTCCTCCTCTTTCTTAACCATCTTCTTACGTTCTTTATCTAATCGTTTTTGTAAATGTTCACGCAAGTCTACACTAGAAAATAAATGCTAACTAATGAAAAAAACTATTTAAAAAGATTACGTGAGTGCTCCAAGTCCAATTAACGAAAAATAGTTGATCGCAAATCGAGTATTTTGAGGATTGTCACGTGGAAAGAGGCCTTCCATTGCAGTTTGCAGCGTACTAAATAATAGGAAAAGTTTGCAGCGTACTAAATAATAGGAAAACTAACGGATCATTACAACGCTTGTATGTAGTAACCAAGGACATTTTTTCTACCAATTCAAGAAAAAGAATTTTTATATAAATTCTCCCGGCAGATGTCGTATCTTGTTCTGTTAATTTGATTTCTGAAAAAACTTCCCAACTTATAGCATCTGTAATAAGTAGATGAGCAACAAATTTAGCCATATTTTGAAGCTTTGTATGATCAAAACGATGAATGGCATTGTAAGTATCCCGAGCAATTTGTTCAAATGTTTCCTATAAGATTAGATGGGCATTAATCCGACTAAAATAACCTGAAATTCTTTTCGCAGACGGCAAAAACGTTCAGCTAGTAATCCATAAAAAGATTGGTATGTCCGTTGTTGGGCACAGCAATCAACTATCATATGACAAAGTTCATTCTAAGTAAATGAAAGTAAGATTTTATGAAAAATTAAAAGGTTAAAAAACCTCTAATTGTGGCTTCAATTCATATTTTATAAGCTTATGTGCAGCTTCCTGAAAATCAAGTGATGACTGAATTGTTAAATAAACATTTCGACGGAATGCTACAATATCTTGCTCTGTCATATCCAAAATAACAACGCCAGCAGTTGCTTGAAATTTAATTACAAAAACTCTAATCATTAAAAACAACAAACTTTCAGCAGCACGCTTTTCCTCTTCATTCTCATCATCAGCTTCTTCATCATTATCACCTCCATCGCCCCCTTCATCATCTGCATCTCCAATTATCTCTTTGCGAATATCATCATATTCTGCTTCATTCTTTTCAAATTCCGGATCATATTTAAAAATATCTTAAAGAAATATTTAAAAATACAAAACAAAAAACTAACTTAATGTCAATTCTGGATCATAAGATTTTCCGTCTTCAGGGTTTAACTGGACCAAATGTGCAATCTGGTCATCTTCATCAATCAAATCTAATTCTTCTAACATTATTGGGTAATTCTAATAAATATAAAATAAAAATAGTACGAATATAGCTAATAAACAAAACCTCAAATTTTGTTTTGCGAATGTGCAGCATCGTCTCTATCATATATTGTGTCCGTTCTTGAATAGAATCGCAATCATTGAGTACAGAACGAAGACGTTCAAAAACAGCTATAATACACAATAAATTAATCTAATTAAATCCGAAATATAAAATAAAATAGATCCCTAAAAACTAACCAATTGAACCTTTTGGCGTTACTTTAAGAAGCATTGCACCACATTCTTTCAATAACGTCACAGTCACTTCGATTGAATCATCTGTAGGTCTTTGCATCAAAAGAACTAACATTTCCAAAACTAAAATTTCATGTGCCACTCTTTGATTTGCCAAATGTGCAATAAATTTACAAGCTGTTACACAAGTTTGTTTATCATTACGACGAAATGAGCGTTTAAATTGAATTATAAGACGACGCAAAACTAATTCTCCGATATTAGGAAATTTAGAATTTATAATAGCTACAAGTGCTGCAAATACATGTGAAAACGAAGGAGAAAATGCTTGGGCTTGTATTATAGAACGAGCAAATAATCCTCTAAAAATAAAATATTTTTAATTTTGGGATTGGAGTCAAGACAAAATTCAGAAACGGTGTTATTTGTCAAAAGTTCCGGCTCGTGTTGAATATCCGAGTACTTTCTAGGAAACGAAATCCCTAATTGGGAAAAATATCTAAAAGTTGGCATAAAATAAACAAACCTTCCACGTATTAAATTCTCACGCAGTAGTGTTCTAGCAACATCAACAATATTAGAGACATTTAAACGGTTAATCTGACCATGAATTTTGCGTTTCAAACGTTCCCAATTTGCTCTTTGATAAGCTTCTGAACTTTTATCTGCCCCCAGATGTTGTTGCATCATACGAAGCCTTGCTGGCGGAATGTAAGCACCACCAGCTTTACCAATCATATTTGATCCTCCAGAAGCATTTACATTTTTAGCGTCTTTTTCAATAGTATCAGCACTTCTTTCAATAAATTCCGTAGCATTTTCCTCAACAGAATCGTTGCCCATATTTGAATTAATTTTTAATATCTAAAAGTTCTATAATTTAAATTAATTCGAAAAATAAAAGTAATAAATATAGAAGATGGTCAACATAACGATAAAAAATAAATAAAACAAATATTTATAAAAAAATAATTAAAAAATCAGCGTTGACTTAACATTTACTATCAAATTTTCATTTCTTTGTTGAAGCTACCGCCTTACCATCAGGAATTTCAATTAATACAAGACTTTCATTTGTTTTTGAATCACAAATATAAAAAGATTTTCGTTGTATTTGAATAATTTCACCCTTTATCACATTTTTCATTGCTTCCTCCACCAATAAAGAATTATAATGCTTAAAATAAGATAAATAAAATTAAATACAAAGAAATAACTTACAATACCATCACGATTAACAAATGCCTTCCAATCTTCATCCTTTCCTACAATGTCTTTGTTGATAATATGGTTGTATTTAACAGTTTTAACAACAAAATTAGTTGTTTTAGGGTCTGTATTTGTTAGCCAAGTTACTTTAAGTGTTTTTTTATAATCCTAAATTTGAAAAATAGGATAAAAGATAAATATCTAAATAACAAACTTTATTATCTAAATCCAATTCAGCCTCAACATTAATGACTTTACCAGTTTTATCATCAAGAATTACCTAACAATAAGTATATTTCATTAAAATAAGATACAATAAAATTACTTTTATTATACGCATATTTCCCCAATTTATAAATGTCACAGAATCTCCAGGTTTCATACACTTTGCATCGATTTGTTCTATAAATAATTCTTTTCCAAACCAAACATCCTTTTTTGAACCTTCTGGTTCCTTAAATAAAATTTTGTCAAAAAATACTTTTAAAAATAATTAAAAACCTTTGGAAGTAAAGGTATTTGACGAATTTCAGTATTTATTTGTTGAATAATTTTAACTGGTACAATTTCTGCCATATCAAGGCCTGTATAGCGATGAGCAGTTGAATCAATAACCTTTTTATTAAAAGCCCATATTTTGTCCCATTCCATAGTAACAACCGAACGACTCCCACCTTGGGCTAAAATGAATTGTTTAAGTCCCTAAAAAATGAAAAATAATTTAAAATAAGCATTCTAATATAAAGAAATACCTCTACTGTTAAACCACGACGCATAACACCTCTCACAGTGGGCATTCTAGGATCATCCCATCCATCAACTAAATGTTCATCAACCAACCAAGTAAGCTAAAATAAATTTTTTTCTTGAAGAAAAAATGTTTTAAAATTTTTAAAACCGTAATTTTACAAAAATTAAACATAAAAACCTTTCTTTTACTCATCACAGTATTTGTCATGTTTAATCTCGCGTATGCCCAAATATGAGGTTTTCTAATTCCCAAAGCATCGCATATAAAGAAATATTGTTCATCACGATCAGTATACTCTGTAGTTCTAAGAGCATGTGTTACTCCTTCAATACTATCAACAATTGGACACGCAAAGTCATAAGTCGGATAAACTCTAAAATTATTTAAAAATTCAAAATAAAATTAAATAATTACTTATATTTATCTCCAAAACGTAAATGTGGTTCAGTTTTACACCGATAAATTGTTGGATCCCTCAGAGCTCCATTGTTGTTTTTCATGTCAATTTTTATTCGAACACAACAACCCAGACCTTTTTCAGTTCCTAAAAGCATTTCGTTCCATAAAGACATATTTTCTCCTGGTGCTAAAATTTTTTTAATAAAAAATGAAAATAAATTTTAAAAATTTTTTACAATTATTTCTATTTTTTGATTCAATCCTTTCCTCACGCTCTTTGCGCATCGTTTCAGAATCTGTATCATCAACATAAGCTTTCCCATCTTTTAAAAGTTGTTCACAGTAGTTAATAAGTAAATCAAAATGATCAGATGTACGTGTCAATTGGTCAGGTTGAATTTTTAACATTTTCAAATCTTCAATTATAACCTTAAAAAAATGTAAATAGAAAATTTTATAAAGTATCTGAAATCCATAAAAATTTTTAATTCAAAATATCTAAGAAATTCAAATAGTTATAGCAAAGGAAACCTCTTCAAAATGTGCATCTTCTTTGGCAGGGTTTGTATCATCAAATCTCAAAATTAACTTGCCATTAAATGTTTGTTGATAATATTGATTTAATAATGCTGCTTTTGCATGTCCAATATGTAAATAACTTAAAAATTAATTAATTAGATTTTTTAGATTATTTTACCCGCTAGCTTCAGGTGGAAATCTTACAACAACCTTTCCCATTTCCGCGCCTTCAAGTTCCACAAATTTCCCTTCATCTTTAATTTGTTGTTTAGCTTCTTTCTTAAAAAAAGGTCATTGAGAAAAGGAAGTGTCAATAAATTTTAAAATCTAATTCAAAATTAATAAGGATTATTAATAGGGTGGTCCAAAATATGCACAGAATATATGCACAGAAAAAGCCCAAAATACATTGTTCGCATATAAAACATGCAGTTGCATGATTTGGACCATCCTAACTATTCAGTACTAAATTTTTAAATAAAAAATACAATATTTTCTTTTTTGCCTTCGTTCGGTTTTTTATTTTCTTTTTGTTTTTTATCGCCACAATTCTTATTTTCAGAAATTTGTGTAGACGAAGTAGGATGTACTTTAATTGAATTAACAAAATTGTGAACAGATTGAAAGTGTTTATTTTGTAAAATCATATCAAAATGTTTATTAAATAAATTATTCGAAGACAAAATCTAAAATCAAAATGATTTAGTATCGATAAAATTTTAACCTGTTTTCGAGCCAAAAGAAAAACGAAAAATAATAAATCGGCAAGACTAAGAGCATTTCCTACAAGAAATTGTCCACCATTTTTTAAATTTTGTGTAGCCAGGTCAATTATCTGTTTCTCTGCATCACGTTTTATCTGTTGATTTGCACTTTTCTCATTGATTAATTCAAATAAAGAAATAAAATTCTCAATTAGAAATTGTTCTTTTAAATCTCTTTTTAATAAATGATCTGAAGAATTTTGCGCAATAAATCGAGCAATTGATGAATCATTATTTAGCATCACTCCATTTCTTAAAAATTTTTTCTTAATTAAAAAAGCCTTTGTATTTTGTATAAAAACAAAAACTAAAAACAATAAATTTTATAAGGCCTAAATCTTAAAAAATAATTTTCAAAATTAATATACATAAAACCCGTACAATAGTAAACCACATTTATTCACTTGTTGTAAAGGAGCAGTATTATCAACAAGTGATACAATTTTTCCAATGTCAACTTCCAGCGCACGAAGAGTAAGTAAAGTTCCATAATATGGAGTATCTTTCGACATTAAAATCATTAAATTTGCTTTGGATAAATCCATCTGAAAATTAGAATTATTTAAGTATACATAGTAATTAAAATAACATAAAAATAAATGGATCATCTGGTATTTTTTTATTTTTAAAGTTTACACTTCAAAATTAAGGACCATGTGTTTTGTGGTCAATTGTCGTACTGTCCTATTGGCTCATTGTTTAATTGTCATAGCGCCATTTCACGATTGAAGTCAGTTGAGCGCTGCCAGTTGAGCCCAGCCAGTTGACGTAGTTTTGGGCGTGTCCCTCCATTCGGTTTAATTTTTCAAATTTTTAAAATAGCATTTTTTTAATATTTTCTTTTAGAATGCCTTCATACTCGCGCCGCTCTGAAAGTCGCGACCGTGACAGACATCGATCTTCGCGAAAACGTTCTAGATCTCGAGACCGTGATGAAAGCTCTGATCGTAAACGCAAACGTTCTGAAAAACGTCGTGATAGAAAGCGAGAAAAAAACAGGTTTTCGTTACTCTATATATTTCTTCTATATTTTTCTAAAATTTAGGTCAAAAAGTTCAACACCAACAACACCAAACGAACGAATCTATGCGCCTGCGGACGTAGCATGTGAGCTAGATGGAGGAAATATAAATATGGCACAACTTGATAAGAAAACTGTTGACTGGCTGCATGAAAAGATAAATGATCAAGTGAGTGCTCCGACGCCATTTTCGCGGCGTTCAAACCTATTGTGCACTAATTTATACTTTTTAAATCATTGAAAAGAGGGCGAACTTGTACACGTGGGAGGAGTGCTCGAAAAACAAAAATGCTCGAAAGCAATTAAAGTGGTAACTGTCTACCTACTTCTTGATTGAAGAAAGCTCAATTTTTGGGGCTCAAATTAAACTTTGAGAAATTAATATTATTTATTTTTAGGTGTCAAGCAGACTTGGCGACATTGAGGAAATTATTCGTGAGAGAGTTAGTGCTGCAAAGGTTGGATATTTTTGAATATATAAAATTAATGCGACTATTTTTAGATTGATATGGAACAAAGACTAAGACTACAGATTGAATCCGAGCTTAAAGAGGAAATGGAAGCCATTCAAAGACGAGAGGTTTTTAATTTATTACGTTATTTTTTAAATTTCATTTTAGAATGAGTCTAAAGAGCGATGCCTCAACATGGAAAGAGCGCTAATTGAGAAAATAAAGCAACTTGACGAATCAGAAAGACAACTGGTATAATTTTGTTTATTTTGAATTATTCAAATTTTAAAGAGTGATGAACGTCTTCAAATGTTAGAATCAAAAAGAATGTTCGAAGAAAAGAGAATTGAGCTTGATCGTGAAAAAGAAATCCTCAAAAAGAATGAACAACAATCTATACTCAACAAAGGTGGCTCTCAAAGAGCGCCAATTCGAATGAGACTTGGCAGTGGAAGATAATTAAAATGATATATTTCAGATTTTCCCCGTTCTTTTTCGATAAATGTATTTGATCGAGTTTATTATAAAAACAGATTTAACCAATAGATAACAAAGCTTATCTAAAATCGGATTTTAAACATTTAACAATAAATTATAAAATAATCCTGCATGTCAGTCAATATCCTTCTTTGAGTTTAACTCTTCTTCTGGAGTCCCTGAAATTCATTTATAAAAATAATTAGGTATATTTTTAATAATGTCTGAATTAGAATATTTTACTTCTAAAACAACCAGTCGACATGACACATTCCAAAAATTTCATAAATTCTTCTCCACACGCCCCCTCCTCCAATTCTTTTTCACTTGCAGATTTTTGGCATGTCATTGCTTTTCTAAAATCATATCCACAAGGGCTAGCAACAATATGTGAAACACAATGACATTCAAAATTAACAGAACCGTCTGGATTTGTCGGACCTTAAAAATAAAGTTTAAATCTAAAAAATGAGAGAAAAGTAACCTGGATTATAGTTATCATAAATTTCTTCGGGAGACATTTTCGATATTGAATTGACATATTCATCAGTAATTGGCTCAAAGAATTCTTTTTTTGTAATAAAAATTACCTTTTTAAAAGTTATTAAAAATATTTTTTTTAATTAAACCTTTTCTTTTGATTTATTTTTGTTTTCTTCATTTTGATCTGCTTGATTGTGAGAGTTGGCAATTTTTAAAATTGAAAAAAACTTTGAAATTGACGGAAGCATTCTAAACAAATATAATTTAACGTATTAGTTTATTATTCTAGAAGGTAAAAAAAGGTCTAAAATATTTTTAAATAAAAGAAGAAAATTATTTTACCTTTAAAAATTAAAAAAAAGAAACTTAATTTTATATATAAGGCATATTTAATTACAAATAAATGATTTCAATATCTGTGGGATAGCAAAGCACAAAAATGCATTTTTTTAAGTATTTAAAAATTTATATAGGAGTAAATTGTTTTCTACGTCGATTCATTAATTCTCCATCAACTTCAGACATTGCTTTATCATATTTTCTTACAATATTTAAAACTTCAGATTTGTAAAGTTTCATTATTTTTCCTTTAAAAATATTTCATAAAATTAATTTAAAATCAATCCCTTACTATCAAAAATTTCAAGATGGCTCAGTTTAAACAAATTAAAATTAAGTAAATGATCAGCATTTGAAGGAGCTAAAGAATAAAGTTTTAACCAATCAGGCACATCTTCATTATTAATTATATCATCTTTTAATGTTTCATTGTCTTCTTTCTCTTCCAAACCAATATTTTTATAATTTTTTTGCTTTTCATTTTTTAGTTGATTTCTTATTTTTTCTTTATTTTGTTGATCTTCTGTAAATTGAACGGAAGACGATCCATGTATAGTTGGAAGCAAAGAAACAGAAAGAGTTGTGGAAGCAGAAAAACCGGGATGTTCAAATTGTGAACGACGTTCGATATGACTTTTAAAAGGAATTTTTAATTTAAATTTAAAAATTAAATTAACCAACTTGTAATAAACAACTCCATGTATTTTATCAAAAATTTTTGTCCATCCCGTTGCCAAATTTTCTGGTGCCAGGGGATGAATCCAATGTGTACGCCCATTATTATCTTAATAGAAAATTAATATAGTTTTATATTTCGTAAAAAAATACGATCAATATAGTAGCGAACACCATCTGAAGTTAAAGCAACTTCCCATCCTGGCGGAAAACGATCCAAATCTAATTTTCCATTTTTTTCATTTGAAGCCAATAAACTTGTATGAGAGCCTAAAATATTTTTATTAATTATTTGTTGTCCTCCCCAATATTCTTGTTGCTGATTTTGATCTGAAACTGCCGTAGCATAAACTTTTTGGAAAGCTATTGGAGGTGGAATAAGTGATTCAACAACACTTAAAGATAAAAATTATATACCAAAAATATTTTTCAAAAACTACTTTCCAAAGCTAACAGAAGGTCCCAATCGACCTTTAACATAATGGCCTGTTGTGGAAGACTGAACACCAATTGCCTCGGCAGAGGAATCATGACTATCACGAGTAGCATTTTCTAATGAAGCTGGTTTGCCAAAACGTCTTTGTTGAGCATTTGTATTATTAAAATTGGACGTTGGAGTTTTATTTCGAAATGCGGCTGCTGGATGGTGAGAGGAAGAGGTTGGGACATTAAAAGAGTGGGAGGAAAGTTCGTGTCGGGGTACTGCTTTTCTTTGGGTTTGTTGTGGAGTATGAGAAAGCCTTCGAATTACGGAACTTCCACTGCCATCGCTACTGTTGCCTCTACCACTAAAACCACTGCCTATGTAATTATTGTTATCAATAGCCTTTAAGGAATAAAAATTTAAAATAATACTAATAATAATACTAACTTTTTCCAAAATAACAGGTGTGGGTGTAATCGTCGGAAATAAAGGTGCTATCGAAGCTGATGAAGAGTCCAAACGTGAACGCATAAGGGAGACATGACTGGAACTTAATGACCGTGAATCCTTTAAATTAGTAGAACGCTCGACTGAATGAAAAATATATTTAAAAACATTTATCTAATATATACCAATAGTTGGTGGAATCTGTGGCGGACTCTCTCGCTTTGCATATACACCCCTAAAAAATATAATAAAAATTAATGCGAGAAAATACAAATCTAATAATGAAAAAATAAAAAAATCATATTAAAAATAAAAACATACGGTGTCCCTTCAAATTGTGTGGGAAGTGCTGAAGAAGCGCTGGAGATCCTCTTGGAGAACATCTCATCTTGTTTTCTCAGAATTTAGGTTCATAATAAAGATTTAAGATAAATATAGCAAAATCTAAAACATTCAAAAGGGTTTTGACATTTTAATACTTTATCTTCTATAATTTTACCTATTTTAGCAGTTGATTTTTTAAAAAATTACCATTTAACAATGTGACGAATTATGAGGTAAGGGACGTTTCAGAATTACTGCAGAATTGGCCGTTTCAGAATTTATAACTGCCGCAATTTGTAAATCAGATAAAGATCCTAATTTTTTATCAGCTGTGTTTAATTTTTTGTTATGGCCAAATTGACTAGGTTCAAGCTTGTGCTTTTAAATATTTCTGGAGCGTTGTATACTGCAGTGGTTTGTATTTTTAAATTTTAATTTTATTTTTTACCAATCAAGGCTATTACTGGCATTGCTTTTATTAATCTTTATTGGACATGCCCAGATATTAATGAAGATGGTGATTGTTTCTGGCCAAGTATATTTGCTGTGATAATTCTTATTGAACTTTTTGCCAATTTAATTCTTTTTCATTATTACAATAAAAGAAATCAGGTTTTTTAAATTAACAAATGGGCAGAACATTTAATTTAACAAATAGGTTCAATATTGGACAGCCAAAAGCAGTTCCCTTCTTGATGGACGTGGCTTTGAACAAAGGGCCGACTATGCGTTAAATGGACAATTTATTGCTAAAAAAGGAAATGTCTCATTGTCAATGCAAAATGGAACATTACCTGTATCTTCGCGTGCTGAACAAACACCTAAAAGTTTTACTAAATACGCGGTTTGGATAATTTAAATATTTAATTTTCAATTGTCTACCTTAGTCTTTAATCGATAAATTTATTTTTTTTAAGATTTGCGAGGATGGTACTTATGTTGGCTTAGATTCTCTTAGAGAAGAGCTTCATGGTGCTTTTTCGGATAAAATTAATAATAATAATTCTCCTTGTAAATATTGCCATCAATGCAAACAGGTTTACTTTTTAAAATAATTTTTATTTTTAATTTTAATAGGTTGTTCCCCGTCGTTGTCATCATTGCCCTCTATGTGGAATTTGTGTTCTTCGAAAAGACCACCACTGTCTTATGTTAGGTGGTTGTGCAGGACTTGCAAATCAGGTATTTTGAAATTTTTTACTCAATTTATTTTCTATGTTTTGTAGCGATATTTCATAGTTTTTCTCTTTTGGGCATCGCTTGGGGCGATTTATGGTTCTTACTTTAACTTTGTGTTTTTGAATAAACATATGATGTATTGGTTTCCTTATGGTTGGCTTTGCTTTTTAGGACCGGTAAGCCTTCTAATTTTTTCTTTTTACGCTGACTTTTGATTATAAAAAAGGTTTCAATGATTCGTTGGGTGCTTGGCTGGGAGACGGCATTCAATATGGGTATGGCAGTTCTTTTTTCTTTCTCTTTTGCCTCAACACTCGGAGCCTTTGGATTTTTTGTTTTCCAGGTATTCTTTAAAAATATATCATAAAAATAGTTGAAAATTGAAAGATGATTTATACTTTGAATGGCTGCACAATGTACGATTATCACCACTCTGGCCCAAAAAGAATTGAAAGTGACGGTAAGGCTTTAGAAAAATTTGCAACTAGTTTTTTGTCCTTATAGGTGAAAACTGTGCTGAAAGATTGGCGCTTGTTTTTGGGCGAAGGTGGTGGCTAAATTTAATTATTCCACAATTTTGGATTCCAAATCAGATGAATGAGTCAATAGCTAGAAATATTTTCTTAAGCGTGTCCAAAGACCTGTGAATTTTTTTTAGTATAATGTATTTCTATTGTATTTTTGATCTCAAAATTAGTATTCTATTCTAATAATTTAATTAAAAGTACCTTTTAATTTGTAGTTTACTTAAAATAAAAATAAATCTAAAACAATTGCTTTATTTATGAAAAATTGAAATTATACAAAATGTAAAGGACAATGATTAAAAATGGGACCCGAATATCCAAAACCCGAATATCCAAAATAAATCTAAAACAATTGCTTTATTTATGAAAAATTGAAATTATACAAAATGTAAAGGACAATGATTAAAAATGGGACCCGAATATCCAAAATATTGGAATCGAGAAAATGTTTTATTGATTAACAATATTAAATGCTTTTATTAAGTGGGGTAAAAAAGGCAATTACGAGTAATTTAACAATGTATACAAAATTTGTGGGATCTGGCTAGTGGAAGGCTATATGAAAATACAATATTGAAAATTTAAAAAGTGAAAATATTTAGGTACATTATGTAGTGGCAAAGGTTTAGTTTGTAGTGGCAAAGGTTATTTAGGTACATTAATCAATTTAAGTAAACCTTAACCCATTAAAAAGTAAAAATACAATGACAATAATTCATACATTAGAGATTCGACCTCATTTGATAATTTTCATTCAAGTATAGTAACAATCAATGTGTATTATGTTGTTTTGGATTTAGATTCTCCCTCTTTTATAGAGAATCTGGAATTTGTTGTAGGAGAGCCATTCGAATTAAAGCCTAAAGAAATTCCCGAGTCATTAGTTTGTGACTCTAATTGCCGCTGATTTTCGCCTAATTGACAAATTTTAACATATTAATTATATAATTTTAAAAATTTAACCTTTAACCTGGTTGTGTACGTTTTCATTATCCTGCTCCACAAATTTACTAGTACTAGGTTCATCAACATAATCACCATCAAGTAAAACATAATCATCATCAAGTAATTCATATTCTTCCTCATTGCAAAACTAAAATTTAAAAACTATTTAAATCAAAAAATAATTTTACCGTTGAAGTATAATATTCAATTATAATCAATTCATTCAAAACTAACTGCCCTAGCAAACATTCAAAGGAATCAAAATCAATGGCAGAATAATAGTTTGGCTTTAAAAAATTTTTCCTAATTAATTTAACTTTTTTACCTCTCGTTTAATTTTTCTAGAAATATTTTGATTTTTTGTAAATGTCCAATTTACTGATTGTCTTGATGAATTTGCAAGATTACTTTCCTCAACTCCTAAAAGTAAAGCATCAGCAAAACGGCAAAGTTGTTGTAAAATAAATAGACCAAATTTTGGTGCATTTAAAAACCATTGTTTTAACCTTTAAAAACAAAATAAATTTTTTTAATTTTATTAGAAAATCAAACATAAAAAATATATTAATTGCAAGATCAGCATAATAAACAAATCGACCCAAAATATCAAGCCAAAATCGAATTAAACGAAAAGAACCAACAAAATCAAATAAACTAGGAGAAGAATTATTAGGAACAACAGCTCTTTCCCCTTGCAATGCTTGAAAAAAAAATAATTTAAAATTTTTTCCGAAAATTTTCATACATTTATGTAAAACTTCTGGAATTAAAGCAGATGTTAATTCTATACTTAAACGTCGATCTAACCAAGCATAGCAAATTTCACATTCAGAATCTAATTTTTTTCTTCGTCTCATTAATGCATTTGGATTGTTAGCAGTTGAAGATGCTCTACGGCAAATTATTCTCGGAAATCTAAAAAAATATTTATTTAAACTTTAAATTTTAATTAGTACTTCTGCTTAAAATCATGCAATCCATGCCCAAGACAACGATAACATGGAGTTATTGCTATTAAATTAAAAAATAAATTTAAATAAAAAATAAAAATACAATTTTTAGTTATAAAACGCAACGCATCTGTAAATCCTTGACGGCAAATCTTTGAACAAATTTCTTGAGAAGGCGGAAAAAAACACGAACAAAAGCGATAAAAATTTTCATTCGTAAAACGAATTGAACTTAAATTTTATTTTAATTATTCCATTAAAAAATACTTACGAGCCATAATAAACAAAACCAAGAATACTAGCACTTGCATGATCAAGTGGGCAAATATCAGCCTCTAAAATAAAATATTTTTAAATTTAATTTAGGATTATTAACCTCCAGAAAAAGGAGAAATAGTAATTGTATTTCTATCATAGACCGGCTGATTATCCGAAAAACCTCCATCTCTATATTTAACTCCGTGAAATTCGGGCTCTACAAGTCCACAAAAGATTGGAATATAACAGCTACAAATAATTGCTTGAATTAAATCAGCTTTGGATTCAAATTTTGAAACAAGAACATTTCTTCCATCAATACAACGCGTTAGAGCTTAAAATTAAAAAATTTTTATTAAATTGAAAGCTCTTTTCTTTTATAAAAATTTAAATAGAAAAATAATACATATAAAAAGACGGTCAGTACACAATACATGAGAATTTGCAGGGAGAAGTTTGTTTAAGACTTCCCTAACAATTCCAAGTAGATCAAATGCTGGATCAAATGATTGCAGTACGCGTGAGCGTGCCTGGAAACAAAAATATTTTAATTTGAAATCAGAAAATACTTCCGCAACAACTCTCATAATTGCACAAGTAGCATCGGAAATGGAAACATTACAAATCAAACCAGCCGCCGCAATTGAGCCAGCTGAAGCACCATAAATTCGATTTTGAGTTAGTTGAGGGGCATATTCCTATTTTAAAGAAATTTTTAGAAAAGAAAACTTAAAAAATTATACTTTTAAGGCAGCACAAACACCAGCATGATAAATACACAAAAAACCACAACCACACAAAGAGAGGTCTGAATCAGCAAAACGTGTACTCCAACGAACCATTTGTGATTTTTAAGTTAGTAAGTACCAGTCGGTTAATATAAAGGAATTTTTTCTAAAATAAACAAAAATATTTTTAATTAAAAAATGTTTAAAAAATTTTCTTTTATCAATTTTATCATTTTTCAACGAAAATAATAAAGGTAAACACGCGACCATAAAAACAACTTCCGGCTTCTGTCAAGATTGCCTTTCTTATCAAATTAAATTAAAGAAAATTTTCTTTTATCGTCTCAAAATAATATTTAGATCAATAAAAGACAAAAAATGATCAAATAATTTTAAAAAAATTTAAAGATTAAAACTTATTTTTTAACTCATATATATTTTTCGAAATTAAGAGACTAAAGAAATTTTTTTGATATTCTAAAGAAATAAAAAGAAAATTGAAGATGTGAAAAAAATATAAAAATGATTATTTCTTGAGAAAGTAGAGCTTAAAATTAAATATTTAATGTAGATCAACACATAAACGAATAGTTAAGTAGATTAACAATAAATTTTTAACACTACAAGCTATGAAAATTAGTCAAAAAAGAGAAGAGGATTATCTAAAATTTTCACTCGATTTTTATCATTTTATCGAAATAAAATACGGCGTCCGTCACATTGATAATGACGGCGATTTTTAATATTTTCAGGAATATTAAAGTAAATTGAATGTGACTTGTTCGTATTCAATTTACCCCTCTTCTCTTTCTTACGCATATCAGTAAAGTCAGTCAACATTTGGCCTAACGGCGTGCCTATACCACCCCCTACACCAAAAACAGCAAAAAATCATTGAACAAACAAACTCCTCCCCATGGGTCAGTCACTCACGAGGCTCTCTAAACAATTAGGACAATAAAAGAAATTTGGAATGGGAAATATAATTGAAAAGAATATATAAAAAATTCTTAATTATTATGTCTAGGTATTTCTCAGACATACAAAAATGAAGTATAAAATGAGCATCCCGCAGATTCATTCCCATAAAATTCACGCTGTGAATTTTGTGACATATGTATTATATAATATTTCTTACAGGAAAATAAGTTAGTGAAATTAGTGAATGATAAAACAGTAAAATTAATAAAAATGTATAGAATTTTCGTAAAATGTAGATGTAGTTTAAAGCAGAGATAGAACTGGGGGTCGTACGAGAATCGAGATCTCGAAAAAATCTCGATCTCGAAAAATCTCGATTACCGAGATTTTTGATTTAGATCTCGTCTAAATCCGGTCTCTAGTTTAAAGTAAGGAATTTTGTAATAATTTAAGTTAAAACGGGAAATTAAATAAAACACTTAATTCTGGTATAAAATACTAACTTTAAATTTTAACATCTGCTATATGGTGTCTCAAGTGGCAAAAAATGTTTTCGAATGAATGAAGGTCACCCTCTCCATATATCTTTTATTTTTCTCTTGGAGCAGATGTCCAAAAAATATTTCCTGTCGATTATTTGTGCCTTTGTAATTTTTTTGTAAAATGTCATCAAAGGAGTCTACCGACAAGTGCAAAAACAACTTTTAGTTTTTAAAAATTCTAATATACAAAGGCACAGAGCCCCGCTTTTATTTTTAAATCGTTACCTTATTTCACGACTCGTACATCCAACAATAAATCATGACTGATAAAAGATTTCATCCATACTTTATTACAAATTGAGCACTATTTAAAGCTTAAATTAGTTATAAAATTAAGAGAACTTTTTTAAAATATAAAAACAAGCAAAAATTATATAAATGCTATAATTTAAAAAATACAAAACATTTTATTTAATAATTTAAAACAATAAATGGATTTATAGGTAAATATTAAATCAACAAAAGTGCATTAATACATCCATCATTCTCTGGATGATTTGTTACTTGTGCATATTTAGCCCAAACAACTTTTCCACCTTGAGTTACCATTCCAAGTTCACTGACATTTACTTCAATAATTGTTCCTAAAATTTAGAAAATGAGATTTAATTTTTAAAAAATTTCGAAATAAAATTTTAACAATTACAGACAGGGAAGGAAATTCCGACATTCAGCAACAAACTTAAATTGTAAAAATACCTTTAGTTATTACACCAAGCGAAGTATAAAGTTGTGAAGACGGATTCTTTTTAACACCAGTTATTGACAAGCAAAAAGTTGTACGCAATTCGGGATGAGTTACATGCGCCTTAAAATTATTAATATTATCCATTTTGACCTATAAGAGGAAAGAAAATCAGAATCTAAAGTTATTAATTTTTATTTAATGTTAATAAAACTGAAAATTTCACCATTTTTTTCTCGTAATATCCATAAAAAAATTAAAAAAACCTTTCTAAATCGTAATCCCATTGGTCGAATAAAACGTTCAAATTTCGCCGGTTTCCTTGTAAACGTCTCGCCAACATAGGTTACTTTAGTGACCATTCTTTTCCAACCCTTTCTTCGACTTTTTCCTGTACTGACTACTTTGAAAGCTTCTGCGTCACTAACTGCTTTAACTTTTGGTAATGGCACTTGATATTTCGCCTTTAAAGTTAAAAATAAATTTTTAAAAATGATAAAATAAAGTTGAATATTAAAACTCACAGCTTTCTCCTTGCGCTTTTGTTTAACAGCAGAAGAAATCGCTTTGCCAACAGCTTGCTTCTGTCTGTCCAACAAATATGTAGGAATGGCACCTTCACTTGGCTCATCAACGGTACTCTTTTGTTCTTTCTCTTCATGTTGTTTGATCAATTTACGCATTTGAACCTTTAAATAAAATAATATTAATCTTAAAATACAAAACCTTTTCAGAGTAGCGCTTCTTGTTATAAAGCTTTGCTTTGCCTTTACGCATTTTCTTGGCAACTGCCGACCGTTCATGTGCAGCTCGTGCCAATCTCTTCCGGCTAAATTTACTAGAATAAAAATTGAAAGATAAATTTACGTTCGTTCCTCATAATCCAATCGACGTCCATGTCTTTTACGATGCAATTCAATATGTTCGTTCTGCGGCTAAAGGTTGAAAGAAATAAAATAATTAATAGTGAAAATTAAAAAATACCATTGACAACGAATTATCTTAATTTAACCTGAAACGATTAAAATTTTTTAGAAAATTTAATTAATATTCAAGAACAAAAAAAAACTAAATTAAATATTGAATAATTGGGAAATAAAAAATAAACCGAAAAAACTCTAACATCATCTTTAGAAAAACCCCTTTTCATTGCCAGTAAAACAAACGCGGCCCCATAAAAAATAAATATTTTAAAATATTATTTTGTTAAAAACAATACAAAAAAATTTCTAAAATTATTATTTGCCTTTATTTCTAAAAGTATATAAAGCCGACAATAAATTTGAAGCAATATTTTTGGGAGAAGTTTTATCCTTTAATTCAAGTCTAATTCTATCAAAAAGTTCCCTCTTTTCCTCTAATACTTTCTGATTTTCCTTTTCCTCCTTGTCAATCTGAAATTTTATTAATTGTTAAAATTGTTGATAAATGGAATTATATCTAGTTAGACAAGCAGTCATGGGTAATTTTACAGCTGTGGTGGTAAAAAATAAAATTCACAATTTTCAAAAATGATTGCTTATCTCCTCAAAAAATTTCGTGACTAGGACGATGAATTATTAAAAAAAGATACAGATAAAGTCCTCTCCATCTGCCTTTGCTCTCGAACAGCAACAGTTTTACTAAACTGAGCATCTCTCTTCTGGCGCATGTCTTCCATTTCGGCACGTTTTGCAATGGTTCGCTCCAATTGTGTGAAAGGATCGTCGTCAAAACTGCTTTGAGGTAAATTACGCATTCGATAATTCTCATAATGTACACATTTAGTTACCTGAAAATGGATAATTAATAGAAATATATAAAACAAAAAACCTCGATAAGATCAATCAAATTATTTCGAATAATCATATCACGAAGAGCAACAAAGTCATTATGTCCCAAATTGTCCACTTCTACTATACCCCAAGGGTATTCACGAACTCGAACCCTTTGTTTAGTAGCTCGATGTTCACCACCAACCAAGACTTCTTTGACGTGTGTAGATCCGACAATTGCAAATGGAAATCGTTTAGATGACTCAGGTTTGGTAGTATTTTGATGTGATTGAGATTTACCATTTGTTGGTAAAACACTACAACCATTAACAATCGATTGCTGTTGTTCACAATCAAAATCTGGTAACTTGTAAAGTGAAATATTGTTCTTATTCATGTCTTCCATTATCTTCAAAAAATAAAAACGTTTAAAAAATTTGTATAGGAATACATGTTGTTTAAAACGTCCAAGTTCAGTAGGAGTAAGTGTATCTGCTTTGGCAATAACTGGAATTATGTTAACACGATCTTGAAGAGCTTTCATAAAAGCTATATCTAATTGCTTGAGGCTTAAAAGTATTTTTTAGATACGTTGAAAAATAAAAATTTACCCATGTCCAGTAGGTGGAATAAAGTAAATACACAGATGAACACGTTTATCTTCAATTTTGGAAGATCGGTCAATTTTTGTCTCTTCTGCCAAATAATCAGCAAAGCGATCATCAATGTATTTAACTATAGGCTCCCAACTGAAATTTTTAAAATACATTTATTTAAATTTAAAAAACCATTTAGAATTGTCGACAAAGTCTCCAAATCCAGGCGTGTCCACAACAGTAATCTTAAAAATTGGAAAATTAATTCTGAAATTTTAAATAAAATACCTTCAATCGAACATCATTCTCGGAAAGTCTAAAAGTTTTGCTCTCAATACTCACTGTTGATTTGATCTCTAAAGATTTGTCGTTCTTCAGATCGTGAAGTTCAGCCATGAAAAGTGTATTCAAAAAAGTTGATTTACCCAAACCAGACTGACCTTGAATTTAAAAAATTATTTAAAAACTCAATAACTAACCAACAACCATCATTGTGAACTCAAATCCATCCTTTACGCATCTTCTAAGCAACTGGTTAGGGAAATTGGCAAAACCAACACAGTCAATATTACGAGAGGATATTCCACTTTTAGCTCTAGAGGCTTCCGTAATCGTCGACATAAAATTTGGCTTAAAAATAAATTTTGGAAATTTTTGAAAAATTTTTTTTGCCTAAGCCAGAACCTAGACTCAAATTTTCATTCCGGCGAATTTTTGTAATTCAAAAAAGGAACTGTCGAGTGTTTAAATGAAAAAGTTATTTATCGACGTTCCACTTAAATGCTTTCATTTTTTGATTTTTCTCGCGTAGGTTTTGTGTTCATTGTCTTTTCTTATCAGGAAAAGTCGGTGCAAGATTGCAACAAACAATATCTTTTTATTTAAAGTCCTAATTTTAATTTTTAGACATCACAATTCAATGTCAACAATTACAACAGCATCTCGAGCTAAAACTGAAGTATCATCTCGTAATATTGACTATGTTGGTTTTGCCAATTTTCCTAACCAGGTGTTTAGAAGATGCATAAAAAATGGATTTGAGTTCTCTCTGATGGTTGTTGGTTAGTAATTGAATTTTTCGACACGTGTATTAATTATTTAAGGTCAGTCTGGTTTGGGTAAATCAACTTTTTTGAATACACTTTTCATGGCTGAACTTCACGATCTGAAGAACGACAAATCTTTAGAGATCAAATCAACAGTGAGTATTGAGAGCAAAACTTTTAGACTTTCCGAGAATGATGTTCGATTGAAGGTATTTTATTTAAAATTTCAGAATTAATTTTCCAATTTTTAAGATTACTGTTGTGGACACGCCTGGATTTGGAGACTTTGTCGACAATTCTAAATGGTTTTTTAAATTTAAATAAATGTATTTTAAAAATTTCAGTTGGGAGCCTATAGTTAAATACATTGATGATCGCTTTGCTGATTATTTGGCAGAAGAGACAAAAATTGACCGATCTTCCAAAATTGAAGATAAACGTGTTCATCTGTGTATTTACTTTATTCCACCTACTGGACATGGGTAAATTTTATTTTTCAAAGTATCTAAAAAATACTTTTAAGCCTCAAGCAATTAGATATAGCTTTTATGCAAGCTCTTCAAGATCGTGTTAACATAATTCCAGTTATTGCCAAAGCAGATACACTTACTCCTACTGAACTTGGACGTTTTAAACAACATGTATTCCTATACAAATTTTTTAAACGTTTTTATTTTTTGAAGATAATGGAAGACATGAATAAGAACAATATTTCACTTTACAAGTTACCAGATTTTGATTGTGAACAACAGCAATCGATTGTTAATGGTTGTAGTGTTTTACCAACAAATGGTAAATCTCAATCACATCAAAATACTACCAAACTTGAATCATCTAAACGATTTCCATTTGCAATTATCGGATCTACACACGTCAAAGAAGTTTTGGTTGGTGGTGAACATCGTGCTACTAAGCAAAGGGTTCGAGTTCGTGAATACCCTTGGGGTATAGTGGAAGTGGACAATTTGGGGCATAACGACTTTGTTGCTCTTCGTGATATGATTATTCGAAATAATTTGATTGATCTTATCGAGGTTTTTTGCTTTTTAATTTTTTATTGACCATCCATTTTTAGGTAACTAAATGTGTACATTATGAGAATTATCGAATGCGTAATTTACCTCAAAGCAGTTTTGACGATGATCCTTTCACGCAATTGGAAAAGGAAATTTCTACACGACAAATTGAATCTGAAGATACACGACGAAAGAGACAAGCTCTTTTCAGTGAAGGTGTCGCTGTTCGAGAGCGTCGACTTATGGAGAGGGCTTTGGCTGTAAGTCTTTAAGAATTAATTTTCATATTATTTTATAATTTATTGAAGATGGATAATGAGGAGAAAGAAAATCGTAAGATACTCGAGGAGAAACGTGAGTTGTTTGACAAGCTTAAGAAAGAAATAGACATGAAATAGACTGATAGACTTTTCTAAAAAACATATTCGAAAATCTTGATTGTACACTTCTACATTGAATAAAATCTACTGACAATAGTTTTATTAAAAATTAAAATAACTCTGAATCATTCAATACCTATAATTTGATTGTTTTTTAAAAACTGTCAACACAGCAAATTTAAAACGATTTAATTTTTATAGTCTGATTGCGATCAAAAGGCCTTTTCATACACCCACTTTTAACTCTATTTATACGTTGGTCCTGCACGTAATTTTATTTTTTAGAGTATTTAATATTAGTATGATGTTTCAAGAAGATTCTACAAATGATAGAATTGAAGAAACTAGGGAATTACTTTATAAAATTATTAAGGTATTTATCAAATCTAAAATTATTATTTTAATTTTAGGAATTTCCTTCTGGTGTAGATTCAACATTTCTTGAAAAGCTTTATAATGAAAGGTTTTTTCAATTATTTTAACACTAAATAGTTAAATGAATATGTAGATATGTCAAAACTTCAATTGCTAAAAGCTTGCCAAAGAATTGGCTTGCTCTGTTGCGAGTTGCGGAAGAATTTCATGTTCAAGATGTCTCAACTTATACACTTTTGGTATATTAATTTTTTATTTTTCCTTCAAATAATTTTGTTATTTACCAGTTTTTGTCCAATGGAAATACAGCCAAGCAACGAAAAATATATTGCGAACCTGATATGACTAAAGTTGATAGTCCCCCTTCCATAATTTCAGAGACGGAAAAAATTGAAAGTGACAAATTCGAAATTAGAGATGAAAATAAAATTTTGGCACCAATTTCCAACTTCATGGCTGATCAATTTGAATCAGTACCTTTAGATAATTTGCCGATTGGTGGACCTCTTGAGATTATTATTATTTCTGCACTGGATCCCGACAATATTTTCTTTAGATTTAAAAAATGGGTAAACGATTATTTAAAGAAAATTTCGAAAAAATTATTTAGAATGTTTATTGTGAATATCTTTCTGCTGCTTTATCACGTTTACCTCAACTAACTTCTGACGATAGTTTTCTACCTGGACAGGTGTTTGGAGCACAAATAGATGGTGATTGGTGTCGAGTGAAAATTATTAATAAATCAACTGCAAATCCACAGTATTGGGTTTCTTAAATTATAAAATGTCCTTTTAATTATCTATTTTAAGGTAGTTTATGTTGTAGATGCTGGTTTTTACTATGCAGTTCACCAGATGGCGCTAAGGCCTTTGACTGAAGCGGTGACTGCATTCAAGAAAACTTTCCTAGCTCAATGCAAGGTTGTTACTTATAATTAGTATCCAAAGTTTTGTTAAATTAGTTGGATGGAATTTGTGTTCGAGGTCAAAATCAAAAAGAAATTGAAGCTAGCGTTGGTAAACGAACGACTGACCGTGATGAAAATGGTGACTGGCATCGCGTTCAGTGGCTACCTGAAACTCAGCATTTTGTTAATGAGGCATTGCATCCCAAAAGATTAAATAACAAACAGGTTAGTATTTTCAGTTTATAAATTGAATATTTTGTTTCATAGGTTGAATTGGTATTGACTAATGAATGGAAATTGCATGTGGAAAGAATGATCCCTGTATGTACTGGAAAACTCTTAATTGATTCAACTGATTTTGGTGAACAGCTAGTCTCTATGGGATTAGCTCAGAGAAAATGAAACTCATATTTAAACCATTCCAGAGGTTTCTTCAACAGAGAATCTAGTTAATCAACATTCTGTTGCTACAGAAAAAAAGTCCCATGCCTTGAAACAACTAACAGATCCTGCTAACATTTTCATCCATAATTTTGGATTTTCCCCCTTAATTTTCACTTAATTCTTTCACTACTTCGAATTGTTTTATTTTTGAGATTTTAAAAATTTCTACTTATAAAATTAAGAGCTTTTAACAAAATTTCAAAATCGAATATGAGCTACTTTTGTCCCAGTAATTGATCGAATTTCAGCTCTAAGGGATGATTTTTCTTCTAAAAATATTTTTTAAATAGAAAGATTGGGAAAAGTACCTTCATTTTCTGCGACCCTTAGTTTAGTATATAACATGTTCAAATTTGAACGAAGTAAGAATCTCTCAACAGTTCTAATCGAAGAACCTAAAATAAATCTAAATTTTTTCAAACACTCATATAACCTTCAAATAAAAGTTGTAAAGTACACCGGCACTTTCCAATTGTTAAAATAAAAGGTATTGCAGTGCTTACAAAAGAACGTTCATTTGAGCCGATTCGGATAACTGCAGTGTTTGTGGATGGATCACGAACTTTAACCTCCAAATCGACCGATTAAATATTTTCTTGAAAATATTTTTAAACCTGTAATGACCCTTTAATAGCACCAACTCCATAATCTCCATGAAGATGCCCAACTTGGTCAAAGATTGAATGATAAATATCTGATCCTGTTATGAACGCATCCTTTCTATCATCCACAAACTGTAATTCAATTAAAAGATAACGTTTTTTTAATTTCACCATCTTGTAATTAAATATTAATTGCAAAAAATTAATAGTAAATATCTTATTGTTAGAAATGAAAACTCAGATATTAAAAATATTTTTAAAAAATCAAGGAAATTTTATCAAAATAATAAATATATCAACATTTGATTGTTTGCTTTGACCAACGAGGGAAAGGTATAGTGTCTTTTATATTCTTAATACCAAAAAGTGATTGCATTAGTCTATCAACACCAATTCCAAAACCTCCACTTCGTGGATAACCATAACGTCGTAATTCTATGTACCATTCAAGTTTTTCTTTATTTTCTTTTGGGAGTCTTGCTGTCAATAGTTCTTCATCCCATTCACGTACACTACCACCAGCTAATTCACCAACAAAAGGGGCTATCAAATCGAAAGATTCTGTCTAAAAATGAAATAGAAATATTTAAAATAAGAAATTAACTAACAAACTTCCCATCATCTGTGCGTCGCATATAAAATGGTTTTTGTTCTGAAGGAAAATGAGTTACAAATAAAGGACCACCAAATATATCAACAAGATCAAATTCGTCCTTTTTACTCAACTGCCTTTTACTTTCATTTGGTTGACGTCTAAGAAGTTTAGTTGCTTCAGTGAATGATATCCTCGGAAATGTATTATTTTTATCTAAACATTCAGCAAAGGTCTAAAATTAATATTATTTAAATATTTATTTAAAAATACCTGAGATGAAGCTGATTTTTTTTCATCATTAGAACTTTGTTGACAAAAGGGCGAGGACTTTTCAAACTCTTCAAGTTGAAGAATTGTCTCAGTTTTTGAAACTAAAAAACGTATAAATTCCTCCACAATATTACAAATCTGTTCGAGAGAGTCAGTAAAAGCACATTCAACTTCCAACATTTTAAACTCTGCCAAATGTTGACGAGTTTCACTTGGATTGGCGCGGAATACAGGCGACAATGTATAGACATTTCCAAGAGAACTTTATTAGAAAATATGTCATAAAGATAATTTAAAAGTAAACCTGCTCATTGCTTCTAAGTGTAACTGTGCAGAAACAGGTAGAAAAGGCTTTGTATCGCTAAAAAAATTTTCCTCTGAACAGGTAGCCGAAAAAGCCTCACCAGCACCTTCACAGTCATTTTGTGAAAATAATGGCGTATCAATATGAGTAAAATGCCTGTCCTTTTCAACCAATTAGGAAATTTCTTAAGGATTAAAAATGGCTTACATTAAAAAATTTATGTATTAAAAAGTTGAGATGAGAGCGCATTCTTAAAATTGATGCAAATTCTAATTTTTTAGGTCTTAGATGAGGAATTAAGCGAAGAGCATCCTTTTCTTTTGAATCTACAACCTAATTAATTTTAACAAATTTTTAATTAAAAATTAATCTACATACAAGTTCACTTGGCTCATTTATAAATATGCAATGTTCAGCCAAAAATTCCATTTGCTGTTGTGTTCCTATACTTGGAACCCATTGCCCACGCAAACGAAGAGCGCTACCAACATGGATAGTATGACAAATTGTTCTGGGCACAACTGCTTGGAGTTGATGTGGACAATTACCATCGTTGAGTTTTAGAAAAAGAATTTTACCATACCGTTGAACGTGTCGGACCCATCCCTAAAAAATAAAATATTGGTTATTTTTCCACCATTTTAAAATATTTAAAAACTAACTTGTATTATAACGTCCTGCTTTTGCTCTGACTCATTTAGCAAGTCGTTAATTCTGACTGATGACGATAGGCCTTTAACGATAAAAGTGTGAGTCGACAAAGTTATTAGATTTTAACAAATTTTAAAATTATATTAAACTAACCACTGCATTTTCTAACTAGTTGTATTTGGAGTTGACAAGCCTTTCTGAAAAACATTTTTAACTACTGAATAAAAAATTAATATTTATGTAGGAAATTTGAGAAGAAAAATTTCATTTTTTTGAGTCGAGTCGACTCAACTGCTCTCTAAAAATAAAATTAGCAGGTGTCTCACTTTTTGTATCTCTAGCCTTGAGGGACGAAATGTCAATTTTATTTTTTGCAAAAATTTTATGTTTGAATTTGCAAGTAAAATTTTGGCTTGCAATTGTCCTGAAAATTTTTCCCATTTTCTAAGTTTATTTATTTTGTACTTGTTTTCGATATCCTTAATCCTTTTTAGCATCAATTTCAATTAAATTACATTTAGAAAATCAGTTATTTCGACTATCCAAATACTTATGTATAAAAGAAAAGAGAAAGAAAATCAATCTCCCATGAGTGATGAAAAACTTTCAAAGAAGAAAAATAATTCAAAGTATGTTTTCAAAGTTACACCAATCAGGGTAATAGTGTCGTTTCCCGGCCCCATTTTTTCTCCCCAATTTTTTACCCTATGTTTGTACGGAATGGTCAAATTTTCACTTTCTTTCATCAAATTTTCCTTTCCATATTTTGCCTAAAAACAATCAAAAATTTATTCATCATCATCACTCAAACGTAATTTTTTATGTAAATCAATAGGTTTGAAATTCTTTAGTTCTTCCATTTTTATTAATTGGGAAAATGATTCTTCTCATTACTCTAATACTTTTTTAAATATCACAAATTAATCTTTTTAATTGTTTTAGGCAAAATATGGAAAGGCAAATTTGATGAAAGAAAGGGGAAAATTTGACCATTCCGTACAAACATAGGGTAAAAATTTGGGGAGAAAAAATGGGGCCGGGAAACGACACTATTACCCAATCAGTTATAAAATTTAAAATTTATCTCTGTTTTTTTAAATTAGGTCTGCGCCTGATGACACGAGTACTGCCATCAATACGAGGTTTTTAATAAAAAACTCCTAATTTCAATTACTTTAGTATTTTGTCAAATGAGGCTATGAATGAGAATGGAACACCAAAGAAGAATGAACGACGATTTATGGTCTGCCATGAAATATTGGATACAGAGGAGAATTACCTGCGTATCTTAAAAGTTCTAATTGAGGTTTATTTCGGAATAGTTAATGTATAAGAAACGCTAAAATTTAGGTATTTAAAAAGCCGCTTGAAATGCGGATAAAACATTCCGAGAGAAATAGCAAAGATGTGGAGAGGGATTTGTTAAGTCTTAAGGAATTGAACACACTCTTCATGAAGATAACTCCAATTATTAATGCACATGCGTATATTCAGGAAGCTCTTCAAAGAAGCATCAGCAACTGGAATAATAATAATTTAATTGGAAAAATTTGGGCGGATTTTGCACTAGATCTTGAAAGGGTTTATATTTTTTCTTTATTTTCTTTATGTATTTAGGTTTATCCCCCTTATATCAACTCATATGACGACATTTTACGGACTCTTGACTATTGCGAATTCAATAAACCTAAATTTCATGAATTTCTCAAGGTAATTTTTCAATAAAAATTTTATTTACTTTTTTCTCTTTCACTCTTGAGCAAGCAGAAGCAAGTCCTGAATGTCAGAAAAATTCGATAAGAGATCTTTTCATTCGTCCGGTGCAACGAATTCCTAGTGTACTCCTTCTTTTACAAGGTAAATACCCCAAGTTTCCATATTTAGCATAGAATTTTTCAGAATTATTCAAGCGTACAGAAAAGAATAATCCTGATCATCATTGGTTAAAATTGGCAATTGAACAGCTTAAAGGAGTTTTAGAGTATGTAAATATAGTAAATATTGTTTTTAACATTTTTAAGAAAAACCAATGAATCGCGTAAAAAGACTGATGACTTACAGCAATTCATGGAAATTTGCCAGGATATTGAGGATCTTCCCGTTTGTCTCAAATTCATTCATTAATATTTTAGTCTATAGGACCATATAATATCAAGTCACCGTCAATTTATTCAATCTATTGATATGGTGGTGATTGGAGCCGGTGGGATTTTGCAAAAGTACAAAGGGAAGAAAATTGGCCTTTTTCTATTTAATGATTTAATTGAAGTAATTTTCTAATTTTTAAATTATAATGCATATTCAAATATTTTTCAGATTGCAAAATCACGATTCTGCACCTCTGAACTTGATTCAACACTCGGGACTTCAAGTGGCTTAAATACTTCGTTTAATAGCGGCAGTAGCGGAACTTTACCTCGTCAAAAGTCTTTGAGTTTTTTGCGCCGTGGAGCTAGTTGGAAAAAGGAGAGAAGGCGTTATAAACATATTGACCATTATCGATTTGCAAATTTTCGATCTGTTGAATTTGAAAGAGAACATGGTATTTGAATTATTTTTAACCAAAAGTTTATTTTTAATTTCAGAGGTTTTTATTGTGAAAATTCGAGACCAAAAGGCAGATGAACTTTGTTTTTTCCAGCCCACCAATGGCTTCACTATGGATATGGGTGTAGACTTTTTTGAAAATCTTGTACAATTGGTTGGAGTTTTCTTTTTATATATTGTATTAAAACTGTTTTTTAAAGATAGTTTCAAGTTCTACTCGAGATATTGCTGTTGAGGAAGTAAATATTGGTCGTATTCACAGTCAAAGTGAGAATAGGCCAGAAGAAGTAGAATCTATTGTTAAAGCATTGTAATATATTTTTATAAAAATTAACATTTATATTTAATTTTTATCAGAAGAATTGCATCTGAGCTTAGCCGAACTGGTACAATTCGCCGTAGGAATTCGCTTCGAAGAAGTATTTCAAATATTGCATTGGGCGCAGGTTGGCCACACATAAAACGAACTGGGAGTTTGAAGAAATCTAATTTGGGTGATATTAGTGAATCTTAATTGACAATAAATCGTACAAAATACCCAAAAAAATTTTGAATCTTTATAAGCATTTCACTTAAAAAATTTTTGACTGCTGCCAGAGGTAATTTTCATTGTTTTTGTTTTTTGTGTAAATGAGTAAAAGAGCTTTCACGATCTTTTGATAAAGTTGGATTAAAATAAATATTAAAATGTTTAGATATAGGAACAGGTTTCTGGCACATTTTTATCAAATGATTATGAGAAAAGTTTCGGAAGGATGTGCAAATGCGAGAAAACCAATTTCTCGCCAAATGCGCAACAAGCTTGTTGGATATAAAAAGAAAAAAAGATTTTTGTGAGGGGCTAAATTAAATATATGTGTATACAAACAAAAGATATGATTGACAGTAAAAATAAACATATTTTTACACAATTCTAGCAAAAACCTAAAAAAGAAATAATTTTTTCTAACAAATAGTTTCTCATAAATCCAAAAATATTTTTATGGTCATGCTTTAGAAACTTTTCTTTTTTTTCGGAAATACTATTTCATTAATCAATTCAAAATTAAATTATCAAATCAACGACCAGAAAAACTCATCGTGACATTGAACTTATTATTTTTACTTTTTTTAGTTTTCTAATAATATATGCTTTTCGCCTTTTTTGCTTGATTGGCTTAGATTTAGCGTGCGCGATTTTACATACTAGGTAATTAAAAGAAAATAAAAAAAAGCGTCGTCTCAGCTATGCTGATCCAGGGCCGTACATTAGCTATATTTTTACTTTTTAATTTTCTTTTCCTCCTTTTAGTACAAATTTTTACCCATTTTATAAATTTTCACTACAAGTGAAAAAGATATTTCAGAACAAATTAATGCTAATTTAGTACTTCTTTTGTGAAACAGGCTTTCTTCATTCTAATTATTACAAAGTTTTTACCTAAACATTTATCCTCATTTTTACACCTGTGACCTTTTTTGCACACGAAGTTTGTTTGAATTTGAATGAAAAAATTACTGAAAATAGGAAGGCCTAGAAATTTTTTAGACCAATGCATTATTATTTTTTGTTATACATCAATTATATTTTTGTTGTCAGGTGAGTAAAAATTCAGATTATTTAAAAAATTAAATAATTTTTAGTCGATTTATCCTATCAACAACAATGGTTTTATTTAATTCCTGGCATGCAACAACCCCAGCAACAGCCACAACAATTTCAGTTTGCCTATTCCCCAGAATTTCAACAATTTAGACTACAACCTTTCCAACAACAAGTTAATAATGACATTCCTTCATTTCAACAAACAACATTACCTTCCCAATTTCAACAACAAGGATTTCAACAAGTAAAAATTATTTAAAACTAAAATTAGGATAATAATTTGTAAATTAATTTTAGTCTCCACAACAAGAATCCTTCAATCATCATCAACAACAACCATCTAACGGACAAACGTTTTTACAACCTCAGCTTCGACAAGAAACTAGCACAGTTTTCTACAATAATAATCAACAGAAATTAAATAATGCTCAATTAAATCAACAATTTGTACCTCAACAATCTTTTCCTCAAGGCACTCATTTTCAACAACAACATCATCTATTAATGCACACTTCTTCGCCTAATGAATTTCAGGTTAATAATTAAGCATTTTTATTATTTAATTTAAATTTAGGAACAATTGCCTGAATTGATTAAACCTCCAAATATGATGGGAAGCGCTTCAAGCGAGCAAAAGCATTTACATAGGGAGCAGCAACAGCCGGTTCAACAACATCAATTACTTCCTCCACCCTTAGCTCCTCCACAATGGGCATTACAACAATCACAGCAGCGCTTCCAGATACCTCAACAACAGCGTGCTCGTGTTGTGCATATTCAGCCTGTTCAGATTGGTCAAAAGGAATTTCTTAAAATGTTACCAAACGAATTACAAGGTTAATAAGGAAATTTTTTTATTAAAATATTAAATTAAAGGTGGACAACCACAACAATTAATTACAACAACAAGAAAAACAACAATACCAGCATTAATTACAAAACAAAGAAATAAACAACAAAGGCCAATGAAAGTTGGAGAAACAAACAAAAAAGAATTAATTCAAACAAATGTGGAATTTGATCTACCTCCACCACCTCCATCTAGATTTTTACCTGAAAGTGAAAAAGTTAGAATTTCTGAATTAATTCGACAAAATAAATTATTAAAAAATATTGTAAGTTATTTACATTTAAAAAATAAATAAAAATTTGAAGGCAATACAAGAGGAAGGGAAAGAATTAATTACTCCAGTTACTTCATTCCCAACATTGGTTTATACTAAAAAATTACTTCCAACTTCAACAATACCACCACCAACTAAACTTCCCAAAAAATTGACAACACAATCTTTTTCACATAAAAAAGTATTTTTAAAATATTTTTTTTTTAATTTTTTGAATTATTTTAAGGATGCTAATAAAGTTTTTCTTGATTGTTGTAAAAGAAAAAGAGTCGCCAAATCATGTGAAAGTCGTTGTAATTTTGATGTTTTAAATAAAAAAATATTGAGTAAATTTTATTTAAAGAAATTTTTTTAATAATTATTTTCAATTTTTTAAAGCAAGTATGTTTCTTGGAAGTGATAAATGTCCAACAGAATTTGGATTAGATTTATTTACATGTGCAGGTTTAAAATTATTTTTATCTGAATTTATTTTTTTAAATAATCAAGATTATATAATTTTTAGCACAAGATTCTGACCACAGTTCTTGTTGTAAATCTAAAAATGTTCATTCTACGGCTGCAGGAGACAAATGTTTGGCTTTTTGTAATTTGGCTCCAGATGCACCAAAAATTCAATTAGATGCCAGTTATTTACCGTGTTGGGCTGTACTTAATGAAGTAAATAAATTTATATATTAAATAAAATATTTAAATATTTTAAGGTTAAATCTTGTTTTCGAGAGGGTATAAACAAAACTTTTTAATTTTTTATATATTTTTAAATTTAATTTAGGCATTTATTTTAATTTTATATCAGATAAAATATTTTTTTGTTCAAAGAACTTAAAGTTTTGGTCTTTGGCCCATTACTAAAAATACAATTAGGGTCATAAAATTGAAAAAGGAATTTTTCCAACGAGATGTTAAATTTGTGTTTTTGCAGACTGCCAAACAATGACCTTGGGGAAAACCTAATTTTATTTTAAGACTGCACATTTTTGTTGGGGTTTTGGTTGGCAACTTATTAGGTTATTTTTGTTTAGAGGAAAAGGGAAAGAGGAAATTCCTTTATTTAATTAATTTTATAATATTTATTTTCCTCAAAACTTTTTCTTTATCAAACAATCTTTTATTTATTTTTGTAAATCTTCATTTTTTAGGTAAATCTTCACCCGGAACCTCTCCAATCTTAATTAAAAAGGACAAAAGCTTTAATGAGTTTTTTTGCTATTTAAATAATTTTCTATCCCTTTCTCCTCTATTTTTCCACTATGTTGAGCAATGAAGTTTTAATCCGCCTCAAGTCTGCTAGTTTAAATGAGAATATATATGGCGGTAGTTGTGGTGGTAGTGGTCAATTTCGCTTCCTCATTTTTTTTTCTCTTTTATTTGAATTTTCTCGTTTTCATTTTTTAATAAGATGAGGGTGCAAAAAGCACAAGTTTGTTGGCATAATTTCCTTTCTTACTAGCCATATTTGTGAAATTTTTGAATTTTTTGAAGAATAATATTTTTCTTTATTAAATTTTTCTATTATTTAATTTTAACCAATCGACCTTCTTGGCAAATTTGTCCGACATATGGGTGTGTGTTTGAAGTAATTAGTGGTGCTCGCGTTGGCATGAACCCTAAAGCCTTTATTCACTTCTTTTTTACCTCCTTTTTCGTTTCTATATTATATGGCTTATGACCGTTTTGCATGAAATGTTTGAGGGAGAAAGGATGAGTGGCCAAATAAACTGACCGGCATCATTGACAACAAAAAGAAATAAGGGTAGAAAATATCGGGTGTTTACTACAAAAATGCCATTGTCATAATTAGTCGCGCATTTTACTCTTAACTTCAGCACAGTTTATTAAGTCCAATATTTTTGCATTTTTAGAGTTATTTCATTTTCTCAATTTTATTATTTTAAATAATAATTTGCCCCAATGAATAGTTAATAGGCCAGAAGTAAAATAATCGACTATGAACGCAACGGAAATTATTAAATATTTTCTCACTTCACTTCTGGTTTTCCCCTCTGTTTCATTTATCTTTTTTAATCATTTTCTTAATTTGTTTATTTTGAGAAGATTTTTTATAATTTTTCTGAATTTATTTTATACCCAAGCTAAAAAATTAAAAGGTTCAAGGCTAAAATAACGATTTTTTAAACAAATCTATTATTATAGAAGTCGCTCCAATTCAAACCAAACACAACATCCAGAGCAGTAAATGCTTTTGTTTTTTTCCATTCGCTTTCACCTTCTCCATTATTATTGTTTTTCTTTTGTTATTTTTTTTGTATTTCTCATTTCCCCTACCTACCCCAAATTTTTTCCATCTCATTAATAATGCCATTTAATTTTTGATTCGATTTTATTTTTTTTTCTCTTTATTCTCCAAAATTTTTCGGAATTTTTAAATCATTAAATAAAAATTTTAATGAACCGGAAACTTCTGTTTAGATTAAAAAAATAATGATGCATTGCTTATACTAAAACAATAAATTATATGCTGTTTCCTCTTTCAAAGTTTTTCCTTTTTTCCTGTTTTCTAAGTTTATTTTTTTAATACTCCGTTAAAAAATAATTAAAAACATCAAAGAGTGAGCCTTTCTGTAGGGAATTTAAAGCAACATTTCTGCTGTCACTTTTTTGACAATTAAAATTTTTAGGCTAAAAAACGATACTTTTTTTAATTCGGAATTTAATATCTAAAAAAAATATAATTTTATTTTTTCATCCCAGAAAGTATTTCGGCATTATATCTGGATATATAAATAATATATATGAATATAAAGCAAAATGTGTTAACTTAATTTGTTGTCAAAGCAAAGCTTTATATAGCTTTCCGGTTGTCTTTTTTCCCAAATTTAGTTTTGTCCTAAAATAAGCTTTGCGCCATTTTCTTTCCAATATTTTTTGACCATTCTTTTTTTAGTAAATAACCCTTTCAATTTTATTTTCAATTAATTTTTAGATATGTAGATTTATGTAAAGACTTTTAAAATTCGTATTCATTAAATTTACGGTTAGGGGCACTAAAGCGCTTCTACTAAAGAGACATTAGAGGCCATTAGAGTGCCTCTATATTTTTAAGTTTTCGAGGTTCGTCCAGATTATTCCGGATCTGGAATCTTGTTTTTTATGATCACTGTATTACGTTTTTGGGGCGAGATATTAGCCCTTATTTCTTAGTCTTTCTTAAAACAACTTAAATAACTTTAAATCATATCTCTAGTGGCACCTTATTGGTCGCACTCTAATGTCCTCTCTTTTTGCACTCTAGTGTCCGTTCCGTAAAATTTATTTTTTTAAATCTTGATGCTTTGGTGTAGTGGTTAACGGACTCGACTTTAAACTATAGGGAGTGCTCAAGTTCGATGCCTTGTAGTTTTTGATTGCATGTAATCCCCAAAAATAAGTTTCTACAATTTTTCTAAATAAATTTTTTAGATGTTTATGTAGTATTCAATTAATAAATTATTATAAAAATGTATTTATTAATTCTTTCTTCATCTTTAAATTTTTTGTAATTAAAGACAATCGATGCTGGTTTTGCTTATATTTATTATTTTTCTAACAATTGCTTTAACAACAAATCCAGTCTCAAAGGCGTTAAAGGTTAGTAATTATTTTTTCTTAATTTTTTAAATTTAAAATTGCTTAAATTTTGCATTGGCTAAATTTTTATCCAATATAAAAATCGCGAAATACACAAAATTAACCTGAAATCTTTTAATTGTTGGGATTAAACGCATTTATTTTGAAGGTTTTTTATTTAACTTTAATTCTTTTCGAAACTTTTTTCTTTAAATTGTCACTTTTCGCGTCCTTCTCAAAAAAGTTTTATTCTTCAACAATGTTTCTTGGGCTCTTAAAAACTTTTTCTTTTTCTTCCATCTACCTCTATAAATAAATAATAGTCCATCAGGGAATTTCCCAACATTTTGTGGTGGTCATTCTCTTTACTTTAAATTTCTAGTCTCTCTTTTTATAACACATCTCCTCTAGACAAAATCTATTCGCGTGACATAAGTAAAGGTTTTTAAAGCATTTTAGCTCCAAATTCCAAAGGCACAGAGTGGTCAAAGACTGGTAAAAATAAACTAAAAGGTAGTTTATGTGTATTTTTGTGCTTCTTGAGGTTTTTTGGCTAAATAATTATTTTTTAAATTTGTTTTTGGTAAAGTTGCCAATTTTTTCCTTTGAATTTATAAAAAAATTTTCAATTCATTTAAGTTTTTATAACCAAAATTCTTTGGCTTCTGACCATTCCTAGCCATTAACCATGCATTTAAAAAAACAAAAATTACTTGAAACCTTTACTTCTCTTTAGTCAAATATCTTCCCATTTCTTACTTTTTTAAGCTAAACATTTCTTTTCTTCATCCAAATCCTTACAGTTTAACTAATATTAAGATCCGGTTTGCAATTGTATTGTCATTTTTCATAAAATCATCTTTCCTTTATTCTAATTTTTCAATTGTTTATTGTTATTTTTACTTAAACAAACTACTTTATTTTTTAAACAAAATTCTCAAGAACTTAAAAATCTTCTAATCACTATTTTAGCTAAATACTTTACTCATATTTTCCCTAAAATTTCTTAAAATTTTCCGGATATTTTTTAAATTCTGAAAGAACATAAATTATTGGGTTAGGATTCTCTTCTACCTTTCCACCACTTTCTGGAACAAATTGAGGTTTATTGCTATTTATGGAATGATGAAAAGTGCAATGGGGGAAAGCACAAAAGTCGGCCTTGTCGCAATTAGCCTACTTCCACAACACTTAATTCTTTGCCGTCTTTCTTGTGCACTTTGCTCCACTTTTAAATCCAATAAAGTAATCGGAAGAAGAAATAAAAAAAATCGGAAGAAAAAGGAAATGACGCGCGCCTACTTCTTCCCTTTCCTTTAAAATTTTTATTTTGATTAATTCTGGTGTAGTCACAAACATTCATTAATGAAGGCTAAAGTAAATTTAATAAATTTAAGTGCCTTTATTTTGAATATTCCTCCACTATATATTTTTAAGAAACTTAAGAGGAGAATATTTTTGTTTTGCCAAGGAATGATTTTGTTTATTAAACATTAAGCAGGCCAAAGAATTTGTCAGAAACTTCCGTAAACAATAAAATTACTTTGCGCGAGTCAGAAATTAACTCATTCTCCTTTTAGTCTTCAAGCAAGATTTCATCTAAAAATTTATTAATTTTGTTTTTTGTTCCTCATTTTTTTCTCAATTTTTTCATAAGATTTGATGGGAACATATCGCATTGATCAATAATTTTTGACCACTCATAAATAATATTTGCGCTCTACTATTTTTGTACAGAATTTGCTTTTGTATTTTATATTTTTTCACAAACTATTTCTCTTCACTTTTCTTCTCTAATTTTATTACAAGAAAGTAGTTGTGGAGAGCGGCATTAGCAAACAGTTTCTTCCTGCTGAACAATTGGATGGAAGAAGGGTCATTCGTCTTATCGTGTCGTCCTTATTCACCAAAATGCTTTCCTTAGCATTTTACGTCTTTTCATTTTACACTATGTAGGTATTCGTAATGCTCACACATCGACTGGTTATTTATGCAAAGAATCCGCGCATTGTCGCACTTTTAAGATTTCGCCACTTTTTATGTCTTATGCAAAATTTTTATCTGTTTTTATTTTTTATCTATCTGCATTATATTTTGTAAAAATATTTTATTTTTGCTGCAATTGCCTCTATACACTTTTTCCTATTTTTCACGTTTTTTAAGTGGATGAAAAGGCAGAAAAATGCTGCAGTTTTTTATAGAATTAATTGTTTGGTTAGGCCTATGGGGAATTGTTCTTGTTTTTAAAGGAATTTATTTTTATAAGTTTACTCTTTGTTCTAGTATTTCTCTCTATTTTTTTTCGTTTTTTAATATTGTACATTGTACTTGATCTAAAATAATTTTTTATTGTTTTGTATGTTAAAAAGTTTATTAAAAAGGTAGCGCAAAAGCAAAATAAAATCAGGAACAACAAGTGAGGTTCGAAAATTGAATCCAATTTTGTTGAAAAAAATAGGAAAGGGAATTTGAATCCAATTTTCTTTTCCTTTCTTTTTTCAACAGCTTTTTCGTACTTATGTCCTTTTTTCTTTTGCTCAGAGTTTCAGCTTACAGCTGCGCCACCCGAAAACTTTTATTTTATTGTTCAAACTCTTGAATTTAAAATATTTATCTAATAAAATCCCTTCCCCGTCCTTTGGCAATTAAGCTAAGTCCAACTATTTTTATTTTTTTCCTCTTAGAGATGATGGCGGACATTGTTTGTTTCTTTTCTTCCATTCCAATGCTATTTTTCAACCTTTCGACCAAAACTGCATACATAAAAATATATTTTTTATATCCAATATCCTTTTCTGCCTTTCTTTTTTTATGCAAAAATTATTTTTTCTCATAATTTTTATAAAAAATTATTTTAAGTTCAGAAGCTTAATTTTCTCTCCAAATAATTACTACTTTTTTTATTCATTTCTCTCATACCTTTTTTCCTATAAAATTAGGTACAATATCTACTATTAGGCACGCACATTATAAATTTGCCATTGACCCGAAAAATGATTCATCATCCATTTCTGACTGTTGAGGTCGCGCATCCCTTCAATCCATATATAAAATAGTTGGTTATTCTCAATTTTTATTTTTTTGCAGTCAACATTTTCTAATTAACAAAAGTTGCGTGCATTCTACTCTAAAATTATTATGCTGAAATCTTTTTAAAAATAATTTTGTTTTTTTTTTAATTTTAATACAACTTAAATAATTTTTGCGAAATGCCCCCAATTTTTTAGAGCGTATTAGGAGTATACTAATTTTATAATTAGGAACGCAAGACTACGATAACTTGAAGAAAATTGTTTTTCTCTAAAAATTGTTGAACAAATTCAAATTTTTTTTCATTTCATCTGAGTAGATTAATTCAAAAATTGCTAAAAGATTTTCATCTAAATTTTTCTGTTCTTTATTCTTTTATAAAAACACATTCTTTCCTTCATTTCTTTTCAACAAATTTAAATTTTTCCTCTCCGTTTTTACACCCAAATCGGTGATTTTCATCATTATAAATGAATCGATCTCTGATTTTTGTGAAGGACAAAATAGCCGCTTTTCTACTTTACAGCTCGCCCAATCCCTCATTTATATTTTCTTTTCTCATCTTATTTCTCTCCTTATACATAAAATATTTTTTCTTAAATATTTTTGCTTAAATCCTTTATATATTTTAGCACATTGTTTTGATTTTTTTGTCACTACTTAATAAATTAGAATTATTTATACTTTATCTGCTTTTTAAATCTGCTAATTTTTATTCATCGATTCCTTCCATAGTACCCATTGCTTTTGCTGATTCATCCTTCCTTTCTGTTAACCATTACTAATTTCTTCATTTTTCTCTCATATATTTTTGTATTTTTCCTTATTTTTCTTTAAAGTAATTTTTTATTTGAATTTTCCACAAATTTCCCAATCTTTAAACATTTAAACGATTGCTTTGAAATATTCGTCATCTTTGTTGTAGTCAATGCCTCTCCGTAAAGACAACCATAAAAAAAGTAGAGGAGGTATAAACAAGATGAACAAGGTCACTCTTCCACTTTTTTTTTGATTGCCATAACTCAACATTTAGCCGACACATACACAAACATAGTTCCTCCAAACTATTTATTTTAGTCAAACACCTCTTTTTTAGTTGTTATTTTATATTTTTTAACTCAGAAATACTGATTTTTGTTAACAACTTTTTTTGAATTAATTACCAACTTTTTTTTTAATTTAAAGAATTTATGTATTTTCCACATTTTTTCTTATTTTTAATTAATATTATTATTTTTATTTTTCAGAAAGATACAACTGGTTTCCATATTTATAATTAAATTCATTCTCTTTCTCTCCTTTTCTTTAGTCTTTCAAAATAAATTCCATAAAGTGCCTGACTGACGATCGAAAATAAAAAAAATATTTTCTTCTACTTTTAATTTATTTAAATGATTATTCAAAATAAGGCAATCGCGCGCGCGAATTAAATATTTTTAAAAAACTACAAAAAAAAATTATTAAACAACAAAACTTTTAGCCTCTCGATTTTGAGTTTTCTCCTCAACGTGAAAATGGCTTCCTCTTACATGTACGAGTCTTCGACGACCTCTATGAAAGCACAAAGGTTTTTTTCTTTTATTTAATTTAAGAAGAAAATTATTATTTTTTTTCAGTTTCTCAGCCGAAACAATAACATTCCAATCATCAATCACCAACTCAGGTTTCTCGAGTCAGTCGCGATCGGATCTTTGCTCACCAGATTTAGCGCTACAACAGAGGCAGACAACCACAACAGAAAATTTGAGTAAGCAGAATTCCCTTAGATACAATTCAAAATCTTCTGAAAAGGAAGAATTTTTTGAAAAATCAACAAAAATTAGCGGCAAAATTTATCGCGCGCGCATTGCCAAAAATCCAAAAAATAATATTTCCTTTACCCGGTATTATTATTTATTTATTCAATTATTCTCTTACTTGGTTACTGCCATTTTATTTTCTTCAATAAATTCAATTTCTCTTCATGTTTGGCTTAAAAATCTTTGTCGGACTTTGACTGCTAAAGCAAGATTTGTTTCACCTACTTCCTTCACCATTTTTGTTTTCTTTCTTATGTTTACTGAAACATTTTCTACTCCTGCAATGAATCAACAAAGTGGCAGTCATTCATTTTTCCCCCAATCGCCTTGGGGTGGTAGCCAAACATATTGGCCAGGTGGAAGTTTAAATCATAATCATCATCAATGGCCATTACAACAAAAAAATACACGAGAAATTATGCTTTCCGTAGTTAAAAATATTAGTGAGGCAACTTCTGTAGGAGAAATTCTACTCAACTTTCGCGCAGAAGACAAAAGCTCTCCCACATATAATTTAACGTAAGATAAAGTCGTGGAATGTTTTACTATTTTTATAAAAATTTTTTAATATTTAATAAAATAATTTTCTTTAAGATATCGAATTAGCCGTGAAACAGATCCAAAACGTCAATTTTCCATTGACCAGAACGGTGCACTTCGAGTGGCTCAATTACTTGATCGCGAAGACATTCCTTACTATGCATTGCGTATTGAGGCTTTTGATCAGGGTATTAAATATTTAAAAATTTTTTAATTTATTTAATTGATAGCTGGCAATATTGGCGCGCAATATGTTGATATATACTTGCAAGATGATAATGATAATGCACCCAGATTGGAAACTTTCCCAAATCCTTGTATTTTTATGGAAAATACACCACCTGAACAGCAATCTGCATGTGAAATTAGAGCAACGGATGATGATCTGGAGTAAATTTTGAAATTTTTGTAAAAAGATAATTTTTGTTCTAGAGAGAATGGTCCGCCATTTAACATGAGTCTAGCTCCCGATTTTCAATTTCGTGATTATCTTGATGTACAATTTGATCGAAGCGGTGATGGAGGAAAAGGGGTTTTCTTCTTTTTATGTATTTTTCTATTTTTTTTCTGTAAGGTTATGCATGTTCGCCCACTTAGAGAATATGACCGAGAAGATCCAGATTTACCTGAAAAACGTTTTACAATTCCAATTATTGTTTCTGATGCAAAAGGAAAGCAGCGACAACAAAATGTTTACATTGTGATTGGAGATTTGGTTTCTTTAAAAATAAATTTTAAAAATTATTTTTAATTAAAATAGAATGATAATTCAATGAGTGATGGACATATGGATATATTTATTTATTCTTATAAAGGACAATTAAAGAAGACAGTAATTGGTGTTCCTTTTGTTGAAGATAAAGATGATTGGGATATTGGAGACAAAAGTTTTCAGTTGATAAAATCTGAGAATCAATATTTCCATTTACAGGATAAACAGGTAAAATTTTTGTAAATTAATTAGAAATGTTTTTATTATTTTTCAGTTGGTAATTGATGCTGATTTGTTAGAGGGAACATATGAATTGGAGGTGAAAGTAGAAGATAGAGTACGTTCAGAAAAGGCAACATCGTTTATTAAAGTTGTTGTCCGTCCAGTACCGGAAATTGCTTTTGAAAAACATGTATTTTTTAAATTATGTGTTTAAAAAAATTTAAATTTTTAAAGGCAACAATTCGAATTGAAGTAGATCCATCTCATTTACCAACAATAACATCACAAGAAGCAATGGAGTTGGCTTCTTCATTAATTAGAGAAGAACATGGAGAACCTTCGAGAATTGAATTGTTTCGACGTGAAATGGAAACTTTAAGTCAATCAATTGTTGAAATAATTTCTTTAAAACCTGATGATCAAATTTTACAACGTCTCTCTACAAAAGTTGTTGATTTGCGTTTTACAGCACGTTTAAATGATGTAAAAATTTATTTTTAAATTAGTTTTTGGGAATCGACGCTATTTACAAAATCATGAATTCATGATGATTTTTGGACTAAAATTAGGATAAGAGTGATTCAAAAAGTCATTGGGGTTTTTGTCTGGAAGATCCTTGTTATATAAATGCCAAAATTAAAAAAAAAATTTTTAAGGAATATTTGGATCCAATTTACTTACATGGATTAATTCAAAGAAACAAGGAAAGATTATCCTCTGTTCTTCGTGCTAGAATTCTTGCAATTGGTGTAGATATGTGTAAATGGACAACTTGTGATAATGGATGTAGAACAGAAAATAGAGTTGATAATGTGAATTTAAAATAAAATTTAAGAAAAAATAAATTTAAAAATTTAAAGGGAGGAGTTGTTATTCATGCTAATAGAACAGTTATTGTTGGATTGAATGCCTCAGCAACAGATGTTTGTGATTGTCCAGCATTTATACCTAAAAATGAATGTGATAGAAATGTTTGTTTTAATGGAGGTGTTTGTCATGATACTCGGCCTGGAACTTTTTGTGAATGTAGAAATGCAGCACTTACTGGATTTAGATGTCAGGGAAATACCCGAAGTATGTTAAATTAATAATCGATTAAGAAATTTAATTTTTAAAGGTTTTGATGGACGTGGGTTTGCATGGTTCAAACCAATGCCAGCTTGTACTTCATTAAATATTTCTTTAAGATTTATGACAAAGTAAGCTATAAAAGTAACAATGAGGTACCTAATAATTTAATTTCAAGGCAAGACGGTGTTATTCTTTATAATGGCCCAATGGGTGATCCAAAACAAGATATACTTAATTACAATGATTATTTACTTATTTACATTGAACAAGGAATGTTACATGCTGTTTTACAATTTAATGGAAAAGAACCGGTTTGGGAAAATTTAAATAATTTTTAAAATATTTAACATTTTTTAAGGTTGATCTTTTTATTGAACAAATGGTAGCTGATGGACGTTTTCATCGTTTTACTCTTACTCAACAACATAAAAAACTTAGATTAGTGTTGGATGATTGTACTTCTATTGATAGTTCTTCATCATCAAAATTAAATCAAAAAGTTTCTAATAATAATTGTATGATGGCAAAAGATGCACCTGATGATGATGAAAGATTAAATATAGCTACACCTTTACAATTAGGAGGACTTGCTTCACTTGGTGGTGCTTTAGAAGAATATCCTAGAGCAGTACGTGCACACGCGTTGGCTAATTTTGTTGGATGTACTCGTGAACTTGTAGTTAATTTTGATGTTTGTTTTTATTTTTATGAAGAAAATTAGTCTTTTTTAAGCATTATGATCTTTACCGGCCTGTTTATGTTGAACAAAGTGTTCCTGGATGTTCACTTTTTTGGGGTTCTGCCTGTTCAACTTCTGAAGGTGGAAATGTCGATTCTTCACAAAATGTTAATATTCCTCTTTCCAATTCTTTGGAATCGAGTGGAGGAGGAGTTTCAATTACTAGTGGTGGAAATTTTTGTTATGGACATGGTGAATGTATTGTTGAATCTATGGATCAACAAGTAATTTTTTTTTATTTTTTTAAATTAAACAAAAAAAGGTTGCCAAATGTGAATGCGAACCTGGATGGGAAGGTGAACGTTGTGAACGTCCAATTGATTGGGTTGAATTTACAACGCGTGATGCTCTTCTTAAATTTCTTTTACAAGTAGAACCGCCTTATAAGGATTCTCGTCTTCGTTTACTTTTTTTACCTGGTTCTTCAGCTAACGGACAATTAGCTTCTGCACTTAGTCAATCTGGACCAACAGCATCAATGCGTTTAGATATGATTAGGTTAATTGATTTTTTAAAATTTATTTTTATTTTTGAAGATTTACAACAAAAGCTACTTTTGATTTAACTCCACAACCAATTAATGGTCAATCAATGCCTGTAGAATTGGAATTGCCTGAACCTAAACTTAATCATTCAGTGCCATATTTTATAGATTTTAGAAGAACTCCTTCAAGGTTTTTTTTTATTTTTAATTGTAAGTTAAAAAAAATTTTTAGTGCTCATCTTTCAATTGATGGACAATATAGCATTCAAAAAGAATTAGATCCCGACCGGGATGGTCTTCTATTTGTTCCCAAACATTTATATGCTGGCAATCAACCAGGATCTAATGGATTTCTTGGATGTTTAGGAAAATTTTATTATAATTCTATTGGAATGAATCTTCGATTAAATAACAATAATGAACAAAGAATTGAACAAAATAATATATTTTCAAATAATGAAATGGTTCAAAACAATAATGGGGATACAACAGCAATGGAAGATTCTCGGTTTCGTCGTAATCGATTACATTTACCCATTAGACACAAAAGATATCAAAATAATGATCAAGGAATTGTTCGTTTAGAAGCTATGGTATTTTAAAAAATTATCTTTAAAATTTTATATTTTTCTTGTTTTAAAGAAGGGAGTTGTTCAAGGATGTTCTCAGGTATTTTTTAATCAATTTAAAAAGATTTACTATCATTCTTTATTTAGTTAGCAACATGTGACAAATTGGGTCCTCGATTCTGTCCTATTGGTCAAGTTTGTATGGATACCTGGAAAGGAGCATTCTGTGTTTGTTCTGAAGGCAATCATGCTACTTTGGATGCAAATGGTCGTTTATCTCGTTGTAATCAACATGAAGCTGTGGCAAGTCTCGGAATAAGTAATCCTGCAATGCTTTTAATTCTTTGTTCTTTAGCTACACTTATTTGTATGTTTTAATATGTAAAGTTCCTATAATTTTTAAATTTTTGTAGTAATTCTTCTTTTAATGGTTGTTTATACAAGAAGACAAAGACCAATTTTTGAATCTGTAAGACCTGAAGAAATGAAACCAGACAGTTTACGGCCGTATGATGTTGAAGGTGGTGGAGAAGCTGACAATACCAGACATAATCTTTCAAATCTTCGAAAACCAGTTATGCCATTAGATAGCAATGGAGGGATTGGTGGTGGAGGAACAAATAATGGAGCTAAAATATATCCTAATGGAGGACGCTCACCTATTGGTTTTTTAAATTTAATTTAAAAATAAAATTTTTTTGAATAATTAGATGATGGATTAAATGCACATGTAAATGATCTAGAGACGGATCCAAATATTGGACCTTATGATGAATTAAGAATGTATAATGTTGAAGGTTTTTTTTGCTAAATTTGAAAAAAATTTAAATGTATTTTAATTTAGGTGATACTCAATCAACGCTTTCGTTGGAATCGCTTGATTCGGCTCGCATTCCAAATACAAATAATAGAACATCACAAATGACAGCTGATCAAAACGAAGGGCCACCGGTATATTTTAAATGTTAATTTCTATAAAACTTAAATAATTTAGGCTCGCTGGCCTTCAAATGAATCAGCTGGAACTGAAACATCATTTGTTCGTTAATATGTTTGTGCTATATATATTCCTAGTCCATGTTTGCAACTGTTCTTTTTCTACAATTAAAGAAATGGAGAATATCTAATTCAGCATTAAATATATTTTTGAAAAATGTACACTAGAAGCAAATTATAGCAATTTGGTTAATTTTTTTGTTTCTAAATAATTTTATAGTTAACTATGAGTATTTCCTTCCAAAATTTTTTTCTATTTGGTTTCGATTTCATTATAAGAGTTGACTATAAAGTTTGTTAAATACATTATGCATCTCTAATAAACAGAAATATCTGTTTTAAATATCACTTGCCATTTTCAATTCCAAATTTTTGTTCCATCCTTTTTTAATGTTTTTTGACTAGATCTTTCTAACCTCATTTTTACCCATTAATATCCATTTTCATCCTTTCATAACAATTCAATATATGCCTTTTTCAATTTATGTATCTATATTTAAACTTTGATTATATTTTTTCACAATCACATTTTTAATTTTAAAATAAATTTTTCGTTTAATTAGTAGAAACACCCATTTCTAATATAAGCCCGCTCAAGGTGAGAAATAGAAGGCCTCTCTCTAAGCTAGGAGATCATATCCAATATAAACCCAGTCAAAGAGATTTGAAAAATATAAACCCAGGCTTATATTAGAGCATGTACGGTATTTTAATTTTAAATATCAGATGCTAGAAAAGGCAAAAAGTGATGGATTTCAACACGTTTATGAATTACAAAAAATGTGCTTTTTAAGACTTTCGTTTGTAAAGGGTTGGTGTGCAGATTATCACAGACAAGTTGGGGGATTTTTTAATTTCTCTTTTTAAATCTCCCACAATTAGGACTTCAATACGTATTCATTTCGAATAAAATTTTAGTATAAGAGCATACATTTAATAGTTTGTAACGTTATTGATCTTTTACAATTTAAAATTTGATATTACGGTGTTGATCTTCTGGAATTTAAAGTTTTACTTAAGCCGTAACGGTCTTTTATTACCCGGTCTTTTAATAAATCGGTCTTTTACTAATTTTGGCCGTTCCGGTCTTTTATTGCGCCGGTCTTTTAATTAATCTTTCTTTTAACTTCTTTTGGCCGTTCCGGTCTTTTATTGCACCGGTCTTTTAATAAATCGGTCTTTTAACATCTTTTGGCCGTTCCGGTCTTTTATTGCACCGGTCTTTTAATAAATCGGTCTTTTAACTTCTTTTGGTTGTTCCGGTCTATTAATATCCCGGTCTTTTTACTACAGGTATTTTGTAATGGCGGTTGAGTGCTGAATATTCAGAGCGCAATAGTTACTGTATAATTTTCTCGACTATAGTAACTGTAAAATCTATAAATTCTCTTTCCTTGATTAACTTAATTGGACATGTTTAAATGAAGTTGTTGCAGGCCGGCCTTAAATTTATTAAATGATCGTCAATTTTTTGATCTTCAATTTTTTTACAATTCATTTTCTAAATTTTTCAAATTTTATAATCAATTATCTACAGCTTTGGATTTTTAACAACATGGGACTTTATCGCAACAATATCAGAACAAGTCCATTTTAATTGAGTGAAAATGGAAAAAATTGCGTAAAAATCGAACAAATTAAGTCGTTATTATTCAAATACAGTAGCTTTTCCCTCTCAGAAATTGGCACTCAACCAACCTAGACGCTCATATTTTATGTGTTCTCTAACCACTTATTTTCTTTTTATTCTTCTCTAAACTAAGGGACAAAGTGTCATTTATTTAAAATTTACATCTCAACTCACACACTGTCTTCAACATTTACTTCTCTACTTGATACATCCCACTTTACTTGATTTAATGAAAAAACTATAAAGGGAATACTAGAGTCCCAATATCTAAAAAATTCTCACCCTAACTTAGGTCGATATAGTAGAACCAAGTGACCTACTTTGATTGGGACAAAAATTCTAAAAAACTTCTGCAAAATTTCCATTGATACTGATTGCGAGTAGAAAATAAAAAAAACGAAGTACTAGCAAACCTGCAAGATATCAAAAAAGAGCTTCTTTCTCAATTTTATAGGGAGGTAGAAAAATCTGAAAAAAAATAGACAAAACATAATTTTACATGTTTCGCTATCAGCTAATTTAAAAATTAACCATCATCTTTTAAATTATCATTTATTTAAAACACAAATAAATAAGACAAGAATAAAAAAAAGTTTATCTTTAAAAAAATCAAACAAAAAAGAAATAAATAATTAACCCGTTTTCCCCTTTTTAAGACTCCTATCCGAAATTGCCTTTCGGTTTAAGGGGCAATTTACCTAAACCCCCTCCCCAAGTAGGAAGGAAAAGGGGCCCTTAAGGTTAAAATCCACCCAAAATTTTGAAAAAAACCTTAATTAAATCAGCTCCAGACCCTCTCCAAGGTTTATCTTCCATCGTAGCCAAATCCAAATCATATCGGCGTTCCATCTTCTAATGTCGGATTTGCTTCCAAATCAATTGTTTGTTCCATTAGTCGAACAGTTCTTTAAAAAGTCGAACAGTTGACGGAAATGAACCACTCAACGGCCTAGAAAATTTAATTCCCTTTAACATTGGCTAAAATTTAGAAAAATTATTCTTTTAGTAAGTTTAAATAAAAAACCAGTAAAAGGAACAGAGAAAAGCATTTGTTCGTCAACATCGCTGTGAACAAAATCGTTACTAAAAATTAAAATTTTATTCCAAAAATTTTAAATTAAAAAAGGTAAGGAACCCCCCCCCCTCTCTACCCTCTGGCTACGGCCATGAACCTAGGCCTATTTTTGCTGCGGTCGGCATGCCTGGCTTCCTCCGCAGCAGCAAAACCTCAATGATGACTCACATCGTCTCGTCGAGCTTTTCGAATGACGGTAATTTGTCGAAATCGAGGGTGCCAAGAGAACCTCTAGAAGTTACTACCCAAGGGAAGCAACCGGATGGAGATTTACCATCGATAACGGAGACCAATTAACTTTCAAACCTGATTTGCTGAATTCTAACGAGGGATTGCAGTTCTTCAGTCATTTTTCTGCTGATTCTTGTTCTTCTAGAGCATTCTTATCAAATAGATTGTCTTCCACCAATACAGCGCCCTAAAAAATAATCTTAAGGCCATAGTAATTAATAATAACCTCTTTAAACATTTTTATAGCTTCTGGACACTCTATCAGAGCTAAAAATCAAGTAATTAAAAAGCTTTTAAACATAAAAACAACCTATCAAAAGATCAACAATTCAAAACAAACAAATCAGTACATCTAACCATCGAACATTTGCTGTGCGTCTTCTCGTTCTGGCCAACATTTGATTGGCTCTAACATCGGGAAAGGATAAACTTATTTAAGGGGAGAAACTTTGCGGACAAAACTTGCGGATATTTAATAAAGTAAAAAAGCTAACCATGTAGACGAGAGCATTGGAATTGTATAGTTGAAGCTGCCCAGAATCGCCGAAGCGAATGGGACTTTGGCTGCCCAGAATCGCCGAAGCGAATGGGACTTTGGCTGCCCAGAATCGCCGAAGCGAATGGGACTTTTGCTGCCCAGAATCGCCGAAGCGAATGGGACTTTGGCTGCCCAGAATCGCCGAAGCGAATGGGACTTTGGCTGCCCAGAATCGCCGAAGCGAATGGGACTTTTGCTGCCCAGAATCGCCGAAGCGAATGGGACTTTGGCTGCCCAGAATCGCCGAAGCGAATGGGACTTTGGCTGCCTAGGACTTTTGTTGTTGTTGCTGCTGCTGAAGAACTAAAAAAATTGGATAAATTTTTCAAAAATTGGAAAAAAGCAAGTCTTGTCCGCAACTCAATTCTACCCCTAAAAAGATTAATCCCCAAAAAAGGAAAAGCAACGCATTCTGTTCAGAACATCTTTGGTAAAGATGGACAACAGAGGACTCCAAATGAAACAGAGAACACTACATGAAACATCAAAAAATCGATTATTGATTTTAGGATGAAGTGTCATTTATTCTTAATATTTTTCATTATGCCAAATAGCGCAAATTTTTGAATTCCGACCCAGATATTTTTGCGTTATGCCAAACTTACGCTATCATTTAAACTTCAAAATAATCAAAAGACTGATCAGTTCCATTAAACTAGATTATTTATCTTCTAAAATTGTTAAAAATGTGAATTTTTAATTTTTATTCACCAAGCATTACAACAAAGCAAAAGTAACAAAAAATAGAAACACAAAAATTCCGAAATAAAAAAATATAAATACTAAAAATTGACTAATTATTCAAATATTAACACCACAGCTTCGTTTCCACCATCTTTATCAATTCTCAATTTTTAAATGAAAAGAAGTAGAATTTTCGTTTGGGTTTTGTTGTTGGAATTTATTTGAGCTTTTGAGCAATAATGCATTCTCCTTTTCTACTTGTACAGTGATTTGTTTGAGTTGATGACGTTTGAGCAGCAGCTGTTGAACTTGATGACGCAAAAGTTGTTCATTTGATTGTGGATGCGCTTGGATATGTATGCTGCAATAATTTGTCCCTGCTTTTAATTGCCAGCAATGAAAGTCGGAAAAGTCAAGTACACCGTCTATAGCTCGAATCTACAAAAATTTTAATAATACTAAAATTAACAAAAAAATTTACCTCATTCGAAATCCTTTCATAACTGCTCTCGTCCAAACCATCAGGAATACTTTGTAACAACACTAAATTATGTAATGATAAACTAACAATTAGAAAACATTAAAAACCTGAAGATGAAGATTTAAGAAGAGGAATCACAGAGCCCAGAATCAGCAGTGAAAGGATCAAAGAACATAATGGATCAACCCATTGCCAGCCAAAATTTTGAATAAGTAGTGTACTAGCGATAACAAAAACTGATCCGAGGGTATCAGCCAAAACATGAAGAAAAACGCCTAAAAATAACTTTAAGAGAATTTTAATTAAAAAGTTACCTTGCATATTTGCATTTCCACCATGTGAATGACCGTGATCTCCGCCATCACTACTTGAATGTGAATGCCCATGTCCTCCACCATGTGAGTGTCCGTGTCCTCCACCGTGTGAATGTCCATGTCCACCATGAAACGCGTACATGCCAAAAAGATTAACAAGAAGACCAGCAACAGCAACAAACTTAATAATATCATTTATCTTTTAAAATTTTAATTATAGATTTTACCAGTAATTTATCAGTGTGAACATCGGGAGGGTCGTACAGGCGTTCAAGTGCTTCCAAGAAAATAAACATAGCAATAACGATCAGAAAGAGAGCGTTTATAAAACCTAAATGGTCGAAGGTTATTATAGAAAACTGAATAAAAAAACCTGACAAAACTTCAACTCGGCCATAACCATAAGAGAAATGCCGACTAGCAGTCCATCGTGCCATTACAGAAGCAACCTTTTATATAAAATGATAATTAATAAAGATTTTGTCAAACTAACCAAGCCCATTACAAGTGCTGAACAATCAAAAAGCATATGAAAACCATCAGAAATAAGCCCAAGAGAATTAGTCAAAAAACCATAAAGAAACTCAACACCACAGAAAGCCAAGTTAGCACATAGGAACCAAAAAATTCGCCGAGAATCACTGTTTGCCAGAATTTCGGTGATTGTTTCATGAAAAAAGTGTAGAAGTGAACTAAGATAATTTATTCTATTTAAAAGAAAATAAAGAAACCGAGATGTTTTATGAAGAAATGCTTCGCCATGTGTGTAAAGAGGCATTCCTTCTTCAGAGATACCTATGAAATGACCTCCCATCGAACGAGGGGAATCCTGAGAAGTGAACACATATGAGGCTTAAACGAAAAGAATAATTCTAATTAAAAATAATTATAAACCGAGGCAAAAGCAGGCAACAGCTATCAATGATCCTGCACTGATTGTGTGACTGCCAGTTGCTGATCCATCTACCCATAACCAAGTGATCAAAAGGGACGCCAAAAACATTGTTATAGGAGACCAACGAGCAATCGCCATGACCGGATCAGCTACGTGCTAAAAATTTGTTTAAATATATAAATTAGAAGTAATAAACCTGAAAGCATATATGCTCCGCGTAAAAATCGACAATCATTACGAACGCAGTAGACATGAATAGAAGAAGTGGAAATTCGAAATAGGAACCGATTGATGACTATAGAAAAAAATCAAAAAATATATTTTAAAACAATTTTTAACCGAGCTAAGAACAAGCGACAATACTGCAAATGGCGTAAGTAGCATCGATGAAAGAACACAAATCATCGCATATAGTCTTTTTGGGCCGCCAATTTCCACAGCTAAATGCTAGAGAATAAATAATAAAAATTATTCAAAAGATTATAAAAACTCTGAAATTGGAGTCATAAACCATACGAAAAATGACGGCTAACATTAACAAAAGAACGCCACCACAATGATCAGAAATTCCAAACCATCCAAGAATATGATAAAAAATATGATTGAGACCATTTTGATGTTTATATGCTTCGGCTAACAATAAGAAGAGAAAATTATTAAAAATAAATTTGTTCCTCACAGTGATTCGGAGCGTTTGAAGCATCAGAATCCATGAAAAATAGAACAATCCATCCAACACATAAATAAAAAACACCACGCATTTTTGCTGCATTCCCACCACCATTTACTAAAAACATTAGAGCAACTAATAAAACTGTAGGGCTTTGCTCAAAGACGAGAATGGAGCGGAATGGACCGCAGAATGTAATGCCATAAAACCAAATTATTTCGACCAGTGTGTTAAAAAGAGCCAATTGTGCTATTCTTACTTGCTATATAATTAGGAAGTTTAAATGTTTTTAAATTAATTTAAAATCTTACCAAAGACTTCCTAATTGAACGGCCAGAAGAAAAGGGCTTTTGCGTGGGCAAAAGAACGGCAGATGCTCTGAAAAAGACATCTTTTAAAATTAATTATAGAAAATCAAACTAACATTGCCTTTGCAAACCAAAGTAGACCAATAACGTGTACTTGTTTGGCAAGTATGTCTGTGAAGAAAATACCAGTACACCTGCATATTTTGGCCATTATAAGAATAAGGAAGTACCACGCGGATCTGAAAAAAATGAAAAATATTAATTTAATAAAAAAAACTTGCCGTGAAGAAGCTGGCACAAAATCCCGATCATTCTTCTTAAGAAAATCGTGTGCTAACATTTTGATGTAATGTTTTGTTTATTAAAAAATGGGTTCATTCCCCAATAATATTCAAATTATGCCTTTAAATTTAATTAGAAATTTTAAGAATTTTTGTAACCTTACCAAAATTAAAAAAATTTTCCTTCTTGTGTCATCGTGTGCGTGTCAAAGAATTGACCTTTAGAGAATTAGTTTATATGTTATAAAACTCAAAAATATACATAATCGCAAATTTACAAATTGCCAATTTTGCGAGAAGGCAAATGGACAATGTTGTAATTGGGTAAGAGCTATTAATTTTGACATTTTGGATTTTAATTGCAAAATTTTTTTAGTAAATTCCCCTTATCGTTGCGCTATTACCGAAATTTCTTAGAAATGTCGAGTTATAATTATTTTGGTAAACAACAATGGATTTGTCGATTGTGTATGAAAACTTTGTCCAGCAAGAGGTCATTCGATGAACATATGAATATTCACAGTAAATCCCGACCCTTTGGATGTGATGAATGTAAATATGCTGCAGGTTTTTTAATTTAAAAATTTTTCATTACGAATTAATGTATTTTAAGCAAGTAAAATGACTCTTCGTCGACATAAACTTCGTAATAATTTTAAAATTAAAAAATAATATTTTTTGATTAAAAGGTAATCACGTTCCACGCTCAAATTGGGGATACCAATGCCCATATTGTGGTGAATTTTACATGGAGCCTGCTAGTTATCAACAACATATCACGTTTGTTTCAATTAACTTGATCTTTTATGTTCTTATTTTTAGTGTAAGGCATTGGGGACTTTCTGCAACATTTGGATGTCCTTATAGAAATTGTGATTTTACATCTAAATCGTCGAGGTACTTTCGTGAACACATTCTTAGACATCAAGCAGTTTTCATTTCTTCAAATGATGGAACTCCTTTCAATTTAAATTTGGATAATCTTTCTTTATATTTAATCAATGATGAATGTGGTATTTTAAATTCTGTTATTTAAATTATTTTGGTGTTTTAAAGGAACTGGAGATAGCAGAAATTTATTTATTAGCAATAAAAGAATGTCAAGATGTCAGAATTTTCGTAAAAATATTTATGGCTATCAACAGAAAACCCCGAAAGTTGTGCATAGATTTATTTACAGCAATGCAATAAGAGAACTTAGGAAGAATGAAGAAGAAGAGAATGTTTTTCAACATTTAACAATTAACGGTAATTTTTGGATTATTCATTGTCTAATTTATTCTTCGAATATTTAGTGGAAAAATTGTTGGATGAGGAAGAGATTATTTCAGCAAATTTACGTGAATGCGAAAAAGTCAGCCATAATTCGAAACCAGTTCGTTTTCGCCCATATTCACCGTCACAATTTGAACAAGGTATTTTCTCAATGTTCTTAATAAAAAAATTTATCTTCAGAAATCTTCCACCCCGAAAATATCGATAATATTACTTCAAAGCATTTACATCAACCAATGGATTGGATAGAGACGGAGGTTATAATTGATGATGAAATGACTACTTTCACCAAACTTCCTGATGGACAAACCGATGATTTTGGATTGGATTGATTAACTAACTCTATTTACCCTTTGTGATTTTTTAATTTTAATTAGGTCAATTTTTCAAATTAATTTTCTAAGATTTCATTTCTAATAATTTTTATATATATTGAAATATAATTCCTAATAAATTGTAATATTTTTTAAAGTATTAGTATGTTTCTCTTACATTTTATTTTTTTAATTTTATTTATTTTATTTTTTTATAATTTGTTGTTCAAGAATTATAATGTCAAAAGAAGATTCTTCAGTTCAAAATGATGAGAAACCATTTCGTGCAAATAATCTTGTTAGTTTTTTATTCAATTATTTTGTAATTTCATTTTGTTTTAAGAGCCTCGTTGTCGGCGATTCTGAGTCGAGCTCTTCTGAAGAAACGCAGGATATGCGGTCGAGGTTTGTTTTATGAAAAATTTTCTTTTATGTAACAATTAGGATGCAAAGTTTTGCGATTAACATGGGTGATGAAGGAATGCCTGATTCAACTATTTTTGTAGAAGATTGTGAAGTAATTGCACCCTCTACCTCTTTACTTACCGATCAAAATGATTTACAACGTCAAAATGAATTTATAAATGTTGACAACTTTGTGAGAGATATTTTTGCAAATGATACCAAATTTTTACAATCAGCGGCAACAGAATCGAATGAAGCAAATGTATAATTTTTGTTTTCTTTTATCGTCAAAATAATTTTTAGATTATTGATGAAATCTTTACAGAAAAACCGCCTAAAATCCTTAAAGATTATCTTTTCGGCAATGTAATTGGAGAAGGCTCTTATAGCAAAGTAATTATTTTTGAGGTTAAATTAATAAGAATTTTTTTCAACAGGTTAAAGAAGTTTTGCATGTTAATTCGTTGATTAGGAGAGCTATTAAAATAATTAAAGTATTTATTTTTTAATTAATTTTTAAATTCTTATTCTAAGGATAAAAGGCTTAGAAAAATTCCTGGAGGTGAACAAAACGTTCAAAGGGAAATTGATGTTCTTCGACGGCTTAATCACTCAAATGTAGTTAAAGTTGTTGATATATTTCGAATAGAAGAGAAACAAAAACTTTATATTGGTATTTATTTTTTATTAACTTTTATGTCAAGAAAATTTCTAATTCTTTCATCAAAAATTATTTTTTAGTTATGGAGTATTGTGTCTGTAGTTTACAACAATTATTGGATAATTGCGCTGAAAAAATGCTCCCAGAATTTCAGGTTTTTATTAAATAAAATTTTATTTGTAAATTTATAGGCACATTTATACTTTACTCAACTTCTTGACGGGTTAGACTTTCTACATGGGAAGCGAATTATTCACAAAGATATAAAGCCAGGAAATTTGTTGTTAAGCTTGGATGGTGTATTGAAAATTTGTGATCTGGGTGTTGCTGAATTGTTACCACCTAGCTCCGTTGGAAGCGCTGATGATTGGTGCACATTGATTCAAGGAACTCCAAAGTTTCAGCCGCCGGAAATTGTTTCGGGTGCACAAGGAAAATTCAGGTTTTTAGGAAAATATTGTCTTTCGATTAGAAACTAATTTTTTAATTAAGAGGGTCTTTAGTGGATATTTGGGCTTGTGGAGTGACGCTTTATAATATGGTCAGTGGAGAATATCCATTCGAAGGTGATGTTATTATGAAATTGTTTGAAAACATTATCAATCACCCATTGCATATGCCTTCAAATGTACAATTATCGGCTGATTTGGAACAATTGCTTCATGGAATGTTACGGAAAGAGCCAGAAATGCGTTGGAATTCTTTGCGGATAAGAGCCAGTAAATGGTTTTTGCATAGTCATAAAATTGTTTGTTTTATCAATTTAATCAATTATTTTAACATTTTGAGGATGATACACGGATAGTTCATGTGCCGGCAGTAAAGGATGTGCCTGCTCATCGACCCCTTGGAGTTTTCCCCTATTTGGAACAACTTTATTCTAACTCAGATTACTATGAAGAGACAAACGAGTTAAGAGATGATTTAGATTTAAATGGACATATTGAGCAGAATTGTGAAGGAAATGGACATTGCACAATACAAAGCATTTTCCCTATAAATTCAGGTATTTTTTAAATTATTATTTTTCGGCAAAAAATATTGTAAAAAACGCTTATTCTTTTTTGTATAGTTCAGTTATTAACTCTCAATATTTTCAACGCCTCTTTGTTTTAATATTAGATTTGCCCGTCGCGGATTTATCGCTTAAACAAAATGAGATCTCTCCTTTATCGAACACTAAATTAGATTCGCCGAACATTCAATGGAGGGTGGCAAGTGACCAACAATTCAAAAAGAATGGGGATGAAGAGCGTGAACCATTTATAAATTCCGCAATTATGTCAAATGAAGAAAAGGAAAAGAAGAAAAATGTAAAAATTCAATTTTACGACGATAATGAGGGTGAGGGTTGTAGCAGTAATATCGTTAATCAATGTAACAATGAAAATGCTGATTGGGATAAACATCGAAAAATTGTAATTACTAATAAAGACAATGGTCAAAATCGAAGAGAAGATGGGGAAAATGAAGCAATAATCAATGAAAATGAAAGAGATGATGAACAAAATTTTGCAGAAGCTAGGAGACGGCAACAACGAGTTAACATTGCACGACTTCGGCAAGTACTATTTATTGCACTCTGCGTATTGATAGTTTTTTCTGTTATTATTTTACTTATATTAATGCTCTGAACCTGAAAATTATTATTCTTCCCATGCCTGATTTCTCCCTTTTTTTGCATTATGTTCTACAAAAAATCAGTCACAATCTTAAGGTAGTTTGATTGCAATTACTATATATTGTATTACTTTTATCATATCAATTTTTCTTGTTTACTAATTGATACCCCCTAGTTTTCATTTTTTGTCTCGGATTTGAACTTATTGATCCAAAATATTTTAATATCTTTTAAACTAAAAATATAGCCAGAAGAAAATTTCCTAGATTTCTCGTAACCCCGTCTTTTTATAAATTTTAATTAGTAGTTTAGTAATTGTGTTTAGTGAAAATGGGTAATAAAACTTTATTACTGAAAATTTAGTTGGCCTTTTGAGCCTTTTGTTTAATAGTCAAGGCCAAAAGAGGGCACATTTATTGATGGGTGAGATGTCACATACATTTTAACTTTACACTAGTTATGTGCGCCAAGAAGTTTGTGGCGCTATTTCTTGAAATCTTGGTCTAATTACGTGTAAAATTCTCAATTGTATTTTTTCTTCCTGTTTAGCCTTTTTTGATTTTAAAAGTATAAAAATTTATTAATTATTGATGGATACAAATTATCGTTAATAAGAATTTATCGATAAAATATTTTTTTGTTCAGATCGAGTTTAAATTATTATTATATTCTTACATTTCCCATTTATATAAAAATGGCATTAATCACAAACATTCCTATAACTTCTGCTACAGTTGACAACATGTCCAGAAATGATTATTTGAGATGGGTTAATGAATGCTTGCAAGCGGAATTTTCAAAGATTGAGGTTTGTTAATTTAAAAATTGGAGGGGATATTTTAAGGTGTCTTGAGGGTGTCTTTTAACTTTTTTTAAATTCCAGCAACTTCATACTGGTGCTGGTTATTGTTTGTTTACGGAAATACTCTTTCCTGGAACGATAAATATGAAGAAGGTCAAATTTAATAGCCGAATGGAATTGGACTGGCTTAGCAATTGGAAGATTGTGCAAACTGCTTGGAAACAATTGGGGGTCGAAAAAGTTGTTGCTGTCGAGAAGTTGATTAAAGGAAAATTTCAGGTTTGTTATAAATTTAAAGCATTTCCTACAATTTCTGTAAACTACTTTTTAGGACAATTTTGAATTCTTGCAATGGTTCAAAAAGTTTTTTGACGCCAATTATGATGGACATGAATTCGATCCAGTGGAAATGCGATTTAATGAGGTTGTTGTTTTTTAAACTAAATTATCTATTTCCTTAATAGGAATTACCGAAGGAGAATAAACTTAAAGCTACTGCTCTTTTGCGTCAACCTCAACCTGCAAAGACTGGCGGTCCATCACGTGTTCCTCCACCACAAAGAGTTGGATCGAATGTTTCTATGAATAGTAATTCTGGTTGTGGTGCTTCTTCAAAAAAGTCTTCGCCAACATCGCTTTCTACCAGCACCAAAAAACCTGCAATGGCTAGTACTACTGGGAGACGGGCAGCGCCAGCAGTGAGTACACCAGCTCCACGTCCAGCACCAACGGGACAAGTCACTCAGAATAAGGCTCCTCCTCCGGTTGTTGATCTTCAGGTATTTGTATTTTTTCAAGTTTATTTCTTTTAATTTTATTTAGTTGATGGAGGAGTTGAAAATTAAAGATCAGCAATTGGAAGAATTACGAGGACAGTTGGCCGAGACTGACGAAGTTATTTGTGGATTGGAGAAGGTTTAATTTTTAACACAAATTAATTTTTAAATTTTAATTTTTGTTTGAAGGAACGTGATTTCTATTTTGCAAAATTGAGAAAGATTGAAGTTCTTTGTCAAGGTTAATTTATTGTTAAGGTTATTTTTTGCAATAAATTAAATTAAGATACAGAGGAGAGTGGAACATTGCCGACAAATGATGTTTTAATGGTTAATAATTTTTTAACTTTATTTATTAAACTTTTATTTTCAGATACTCTATGAGACGGAAGAAGGTTTTGCTCCTCCTGAGGAGTTGGAAGCTGGCGAGGCAAATGGAGGTTTATCTGGTGGGGATGATAATCATAATGGATTGCATAATGTCCCGTAAAATGGATTGTTTAAAGGTTTCTTCTAAATTTTATAAAATAAATGATTAAATTAATTTTTAGCTTAAAAAAGCTTGTTTTTGGACGTTAACGCTAGATTATATAAATAAAAAAATGCAAAATATATAACTCTTCTTGATGTGCTTCTAAAAAACTGCGCATATTTGACCTAACCCCTTATAAATATGAGATTCTTTTTTTAATTATTATAATCATTTTTAAGCTCCTCTCTTGTTGTTTGTTTTTGTATTGCTTTTTCTTATTGCTTCCTAAAGCAATTAATTATATATTTTTTTCTTTTTTTAATTTTATTGACTTAAATAATATTCTGTTAATTTATTTATTATGTAGAAAACTTATGTTGGGTTTTGAACCGACTTTCCTATTTGAGACAGTTAATAAAAAATATTTTGTTTTATAAATTTTTAGAAAATAGTTTTTAATAATTAAAAATGTCAACAGCTACAAATCCTTCTACTTTATTGCCACTTGAATTGATTGACAAATGTGTTGGAAGCAGAATATGGGTAATTATGAAAAGTGGGTATATTTTTTTGTTTTAAAAAATTGTTCAATTTTTAGGTGAAAAAGAAATTGTCGGGACATTAATTGGTTTTGATGATTATGTAAATATGGTGCTTGAGGACGTTGTGGAATACGAGACTACACCAGAAGGTAAACGTGTTACTAAATTGGACACAATCCTTTTGAACGGTAATCATATTACTATGCTTGTACCTGGTGGAACGGGACCGGAAATATAAAGAAAAAAATGAGTTTTTAATGTTTAAATTATTTTGAATTTTTGATCTTTTTTAATTGATAAATTTTCAATATTGATAATTTTTTTAAATTTTTTGTCAAGACAGTACTGAATATTTTTTTTTGTATTTAATTTCTTTGACTTTAGTTTTAATAGTTTGGGCGTAGAATTTTTAACATCTACTCTTTTAAAATTCACATTAGAATTTTAATTGATTTCCTTGTAAATTAAGAGAGAGTTTATAGAAATTGAGAGTGTAGGCGAAATAGTAAAAGAAATAAATGATTTATTTTTATGAGTCATCTATAATTCTACTTTAAGTTAATTGTTATTTTTTATACAGGTGTTTATTTAAAAACAGTCTATTTGATTATTTAAATTTTGAAAGGGATTTCTGATTGAAATGGCTGCACTAGACAGTGAGTTTTATTTTTTAGTTATCAAGTTAAGTTTTTTCTTTCAGATCATCTTTTTAACCTTCGTTTTGCTGCTAAAGAGCTTTCCAGGAATGCCAAGAAGTGCGAAAAAATGGAAAAGGAGGAAAAGTTGAAATTGACAAATGCATTAAAGGTTTAAATTTTAGAAAACTTTTCATTTTAGTATTTTTAAAGAAAGGGAATAGGGAAGTGGCACAAGTACACGCCGAAAACGCTATTCGCAAGAAGAATGAGTCGCTCAATTATTTGCGTATGTCCGCGAGGATTGACGCTGTTGCTGCTCGGTGGGGGGGGGGGGTTTTAATTTATTATAATTTCTCCATTTTTAGAGTTCAGACTGCTGCAACGCAAAAACGGGTTACTACAAGTATGCAAGGAGGTTTTAAAAAATTTTAAAAATTCAATTCGACAATTTTCTTTAGTTGTAAAGGCAATGGAATCTGCAATGAAATCGATGAATTTAGAAAAAGTTCAAAATCTTATGGATCGATTTGAGAAAGATTTTGAGGACCTTGATGTCCAGTCTGCAACTATGGAAGGGTCGATGAGCGCGACAACAACTCTTAATGCTCCTCAACATGAAGTTGATTCACTCATTCAGGAAGCGGCCGACAAAGCAGGGTAAGCGAAATTTGTTTGATTCATACGTATATCGATAATTTAACCTGGGGGAGAGGGGTGGGCAGGGGCTTCTCAGGGATTGAGAGAAAGTCTTGGTTTAAGGTATCTGTGACATTCCAGGGGTATAGGCCTTATCAACAGATTCCGATTAAAAAAGATAAATACAAAATAAATTTAGATTAGAGCTTGGAATGGAAATGCCAGCAGCCCAGGTGGAAGCACCTGCAGGTGCAAAAGCTTCTGTAGCAGACAACGACGAATTATCAAAACGCTTGGCAGCGCTTCGTCAAAATTAAGATTTTTTTGTCATTAAAAGGTTTATTTTATATGACAACAAATTATGTATTTAATTGAAAGAAAAAAATAAATTAAAAAAAAGTTCTTTTTTTTATTTTGTCTCTTCAAATAATATTTGTGAAAAATCAAAATGAAGACCTTTGAAACTTTGACGTATTTTATTAAAAATTTCTTTATTTGTTTGTGAGTCAGTGAAGATTTTCAAAATTTCTTCAAGAGTAATTGACTGTTTTTTAATTTTTAATGGGTCTAATAAATTTGCCTTGTCTAAAGCGTCCAAAATATCGTTTAAAGTTTTTCTTAAAAAAATTTTGTTTTTGAATTACCTTTTAAAAAAACCTTTCAAACAATTCCAATTCTTTAAAATATTCCTCTTTTTCTTTAATACTTTCATTTAAATATTTTAATTGTTCATTTGTAAAAACGAAATGTTCATAAATATTGTTACATTCATTTGTAATATTATTCTTTTTATTCCTCAGAGTTTTGAGTGTATTTTCTTGTTCTAAATTTGAAGAAATTTCCAAAGATTAATTCTACTTGTCTGCCAGGGATGTCACGGGTTATCCGATAACCAATACAGGATTTTTCCTACCTGACCCGACTTTCCCTCTTAATTCCAAACTAGTTGACTTTTCTCAACTCGATACCCGATCCGAGAGAATTCCCTAAAACCCCACTTTTTCCCTTCTTAATCTACTAACTAACCCGAAACCTGAACTTTTTTAGACTCAATCCCTTCCCTTCTCAACTTCGTGGCATCCCTGTTTACCTACTTTTGTTGTAATCAAGAAATTCTTGAGAAAAAATTTTAATTTCGTTTGGAGGATGAACAGATAAATTAGAAGTTGATGAACATTCTTCTTGATCTACCTTGAAATTATTTTTTTAATTAAAAATAAATTTAAAAAAAAATTACACTTAAACGGCTCTTTCTTCTTGCTCGTTTCTTCTTCTCCAATTTTATTTCTGAAAAAGAAAATTAAACAAAAATTATTTTAGGGCTAAATATTCAAACTTTGAAATTCTTTGTATTGTTCAGTTTCTTTATATTCCTTCATTCGTTCATAATAAATTTCTTTTTCTCGATTATACTCATCAAAATAAGGCTAAAATAAATTAAAAAAATATTTTAAAGTATTTTGATTAAAAAAACCTTTTTTTCTTCAGCAGTCATTGTTGACCATTGCTTGGCTATTTTGCTGCTAACTTCTCTTGTATTTTTACCTTCCCTTCTACTATTACTTACGCTAGCTTTAAAATAACGACTGTAGGCATTCATGGGTATTTTTGGTGCATTTTTATCTCTTAATCTTGTTCGGGTATTTGCTGTAGTTTTTCTGAAAAATTTAAAAAATTTGAAATATAAGATTTAAAGAAACTTACCCCATTTCTAAGTCGTTGATTGCCTCTTTCTAAAAATTTGCTGAATTTTTGTGTCGTTTTTCGTTTTTTGACTTCGAAAACGGACACTTAATCGCGGGCCACTTAGTCACAAGCCCGTTTGTCGCAGGTCACTTAGTCGCAAAGTAGAACATCATACCAGAATAGGGAGTTTGTTCGATTGGTCACCGATCACAGATGCTCAACCATCTTATAGTGACTTAGTTTCCTATCCTAGCACCTGAAAAAACCCTCGCGACTAAGTGACATGCGACTTAGTGGGCTTGCGACTAAGTGGCCCGCGACTAAGTGGTCCGTGACGAAGTGGGCTTAATTTTTTTAAATTTTTACGTGGGGTTTTTCTTGATTTTTTTAATCGAGAGCGAATCGATTTTAGTCAAATTTAATCGAAATCGTGTAAAAAACTTATTATTTATTTTATTTACCCATTTTTTAAAAACATAATCTAATTTTTTATTTAACAGATTTAATATTTCTAATATTTAGTATAATGATCCAGAGTTATGACCCAATAATACAATCCTTGTTTGCATCTTTGTTCACATGGGGAGTGACAGCTTTGGGCGCAGCATTGGGTATTTATCGGTTTCTTCCCAATTTTATAAAATTTAATATTGGGTATTTTTAAACAATTATTCCCTTAATTCTCATTAAATTTTTAATAAAATTTCTTTCATTTCAGTTTTTGTACTTCCATCGGACAGAAGACGTGGCACAACTATTTTGGACGTTAGCCTTGGTTTTGCTGGGGGAGTTATGACGGCCGCTTCTTTTTGGTCGTTATTAGCCCCTGCTATAGAGATCTCTGAAGCTCAACTTGGTGCTTTAGCTTTCATACCGGTGTCGGTTGGTTTTGCATTTGGTGCAATTTTTGTCTTTTTCTCTGACAAAATGATTCCAAGGTTTTTATTTTTGATTTTTTAAGCAAGAATATTTTTTTAATTTTTAGTTGTGTTGGTGCTGAACTTTCAATAATTGAAGTCCTTTCATCAAATAAAGAAGTTATTCCTCCCGGTGCAAACTCAAATAATCAAACAGAAGTTCTTTTAAATTCTGGTCATGGGATTACATCTAATGAAGGCGGAGAATCTTCTTTCGATCCACGGTTATTATTTTAACATTTTTCTTTCTCTTTCCATTTTAATGATCTAAAACTCGGGTGTGATTTCTACAATTTACTTTGGTTACTTTGGAAATTATTTTGATAATTTGAAAATGTTGATTATTTAATCGTCTGAACAAATCAGATCAGGATATTTAACTGAAAGAATTTAACTAGAGATCGGCCTGGATCCAGAGTTCAAGATCAAGACATTTTTCAGTTTCCTTGAGTTTTCCTTACTAAACGTCAAGAATCTGGTCAATATCCTCAACCAAGGTCGAGGTTTTTAAATTTCCGATCTCTAAAATTGTTTCATACATTTCTCTCTACTTCACCCGAGTTTTAGCAAAAGAGGAATGGATGAAGGTTTGCGAGAAAGAACAACACTTGCAATAACTTCCAGAAAAGCACTTCGTGGTGATAATAATCCTAATGAAGACAACAACAATAAAATTGCTGTAAATGAAACAACAAATGACCGCCCTTCAACACAACAATCATCAAATAATTCTGATTTATTAATCTCTTGGCGTCGTATTTTAATGTTAATAATGGCAGTGACTGTGCATAATTTCCCAGAAGGTCTAGCTGTTGGTATTGGATTTGGCTCTATTGGGAAAACACCCGCGGCTACATTCGAAAAAGCTTTTAATCTTGCACTTGGGATTGGCTTACAAAATTTTCCTGAAGGTTTTTTTAATTTAAAAATCATTTCAAAATTTTTAATTTTCCTTGTAGGTCTAGCTGTTTCTTTACCACTTGCCAGTTTTGGATATTCACCTTTTCGTGCCTTTCTTTATGGACAATTAAGCGGTATGGTAGAACCTTTAGCTGCATTATTAGGATCTTCTGCTGTTCTTCTCATGGAAGCCATTCTTCCTTATGCTTTAAGTTTTGCTGCTGGAGCTATGATTTATGTGGTAATTTTTAAAGAAATATTTCTTAAAAATTTGTATATTTTTTGAAGGTTTTTGACTCAATTATCCCAGAAGCTTGCTCACATGGAAATGGGAAAATGGCTTCAGCATCCGCGATTATTGGTTTTCTAGTCATGATGTGTTTAGACGTTGGATTAAGTTAATGCATAATTATTTTAACATTTTTTCCTTTAATTAATATTTTTTTATAAAATTCTATGGTTAAATAATTAGAAAAAATTCTTTGTAAAAATATTAATTTTATATTTTATACCTTTTGTTGTTCATTTTTGATTTATTTGTAAAGACAGAAAATGTTTAAAACAACCATTTTATCCGCTCCAAAACGAAATTATGTTAATCTAGATTATGCTAGACATATGCCTAAGGTTTTCTTTTTTTCTAAATTATTCAAAATTTTTATGTTCAGGCTTATGTTGATCGGATGAAAAGACATGTGCCTACAAAAGTTTATGATAACAGATTTGGTGCTCCGCCTGTACATCGTTGGGCGTTAGTTTTTTATTTAACTTATACTTTGCAACTTCTTTTTTTAGTGTTCCCCCAGATGATTACAAGCCTTTATTAAAAGATTTTGATGATGGATCTAGAATTTTGCAAGCAAAAAGAATTTGGGAAATGGAAGCGTTTCATGAAAGACTTGAACGTGAAAGGGATCATAAATCTGCGTTATTATCTGTTAAATTCTTTCGAAAAAGAAGAAGATTAGTACCTCAAATGTCTGCTGAAAATTGGACAATTTTTCCTGGCGATCAAGTAAAATTTAAATATTTTATTAAGGGAGCGCCGTAATACCAAAAGCCGAAATGCCAAACTGCGGAAAGATTATTTTAAAATATTTTCAACGTTAAATGTTGTTAACAATCGACATTTTGGTATTTCGGCGTGTCTTTTGGGGTTTATATTTCGGCGTTCGGTATTGCGATATACCAAAATTTTAAAGGTAGAGGTAATGATTGGACCAGATAGAGGAAAGAAAGGAGTCGTTTCTCATGTAATTAAAGAAGAAAATGCCGTTTTTGTTGAAGGTCTTCATAAAAAATTGGTTGAAACTGTTCCCGAGGAAGTTATGAAAACTTATGAATTACCTCAAACAGCAATGTTTTTTGAACAACCCCTTTTTGTTCATAAAGGAGAAGTTAAATTAATTGACCCAAATGACAATGAATCTTGTTTTGCAAAATGGATGTTAAATGAAGATAAAACAGAATATGTCCGAGTGAGTACACGAACGGGTTATCTAATTCCACTCCCTCAAGCAGCAAAACGTACTTATGAGTATTCAGCACCAGATAATTATATCGGTTAATTTTATAAATATTTATTGGGGGCTTATTTAATGTTATCCTACTCCTCCCCTCCCTATTTGAGTCTCATTTCTTTCAAGCATTATATCTCTCTAATCCTGTCTAATTTCTGTTTACTTAACTTAATCATCTTTGAGGAAAATGACTGATCAACAATAGAAAAAAGGAGAAAAACGTGGGGAAATGAGACTGGACAGGTGAGACCCAAATAGGGGGGGGGGGTATTAAATAAAGACCATTTTTTTAAATAAAATTTATTTTTACAGAAGTTGTGGGGAAAGATACACCAGCAGATGTTGCTTTATTATCAACATATGAACCAAAATTAAGTACTTTTGAAGAAGAAATTGAGCAAGAAATGGGTTTGGCTAAGAGAGGAACAAAAGTTGAAAAGGATTTGGAACGTCCAAAAACTTTTTGGTATTAAAAAATTGACAAAAAATTTAGGAGGTTTGAATTTTATTTAATAAATTAAAATTATTTTTTTTACAATTTGTTTTGTTATAATTTACTAATTTCCCCTTTCTGATTTAAAACATTTTCGGAAATTAGTAAAATTTGTTTTGTGCCAAATTCTTTGAAGAAAATTTTTTTTTAATTAAAATAAATAAATTTTACCCAAAGTATTTTCAATTCCTTCTTTAAATTTTGATAGTGGAATAATTCTATTTTTTGGAGGTTTTAATTTGTCTTGTAAAATAAATGTTTGAAGTTGATTAAACATTTGTTCAATTTTTTGTTGATTTTTTGCTGAATTATTAAAAAGTGAAAAATTATAACAAGTAATTTTATTTGGAATTGAATTATTTGTTGTTGATTTTTGTGTCAATTCACCTTTAAAAAATTTGAATTTTCTTCTAACAAAGAGAACATGGTCTACTTTCTGTATACAAAAAGGTGTCTTCGGTACCATTCGGTTCAATTTATAACTGGCCATAACTCTGATCAAAGTAATTTTGTAATTAACTGACGTCATTTCGCAATAGGAAGTCGGGCGCCCTACATCGAATGGTCCCAAAAACAACACCAAAATTTTGTAACACCCAATGTTAGCCCCCCCCCCCCCCCCCCCCCGAAACCGACCCCCTGGATACGCCCTTGATGTCCCTTGTAAATTTTTAAGTTTCCTTACCATAGATTACACAGACCCCATCATCTCCTAATCCCATTAAAATTAAATCAAGAATATTCTTATCTCCATTATTTAATGCCAAACGAATTTTAAATTGTTCTTTAAATTGTTTATTTGTTCTTTAAAAATATTTTTTTAATTTTTTAAAATTATATTCACGTTATTTCATTACAAAATTCTTTTTCGTTAAATATTTTTGTTGCTCCCAATGAATATAATTCGTTTCTCAAAAAAGTTGAATCTTGTTTGTCTTCAATCAAATTAAGTGTGAAATAACCAAAAGCTTTAAAAATAAATTTTGTTGTCCTTTTTTAATTTCTCTGCCCTAATGTCAACCCATAAGATCACCTTTAAACTTTCTACCCTAAAGGTCGCCCAAAAGATCACCTTTTAAAACCTCCAACGAATAACCCAAAAGATCACCAAAATAAAATCAACACCCTATAACCGCCTAAAAATCAATAAATTTTAACCTTTTGCCAATTGAATTATATTTAATCCAATATCAGAATTTGCTGCATTTTGTATTATCCAATCACCTTTTTCAAGTTTAATAAAATCATTAATTAATGTCCAAGCAATTGGTGGAGTAATTCCTAAAGTAGCAGCCGAAACTAAATTAATTTTCCTGTCTATAGAAAAAAGTGAATTCGAAGGAATTATGTCCCATTCTGTCCAAATTTGATTTAATTCAATCTCATTTTGATTCTTATTCAACCAATAATTAATATTAATAACTAAATCACCAACACATAAATGATGGACATTTGATCCCACCTTCAAAAATTTTTTTGAAATTTTTTCTTTAAAAAAAGAATAACTCTCTCGACTAATCCAACACCTTCAGTTCCTCCAATACAAGGAAATTTATTTAAATTTGTGTTTATTTTTTTATATTTTCCTTTAATTATATTTAAATCTAATAAATTTATTGGTGAAGCTATCCATCTAATTAAAGCTGCATTTTCATTCCATTTTTTTGGATCTATAGGGATTGTACAAAGAATTGATACCTTAATTTATTTTAATTAACTTTTGGGTCCAACCCAGAAGGTCAACTTTTCAAAGGCCAACACCTCAAGATCAAGAATGCTCCCTCTTGGGGAGTTGATCTTCTGGGTGGACCCACTTTAATTATAATTTTACTTCATTTGGTTCTCCAAACTTTTCAATTTGTATGCATTTTGACCAAAGAGTTGTTTGCATTTTTTTTTATTTTATTATTTTTTTTTGTTCGTTTAAACTGCTTAATTAATTAATTTTATTTTATTTCGTTCATGTTTGGGCGTGAAAATACTGATTATTGATTATTACTACATTGCGTATATTAACACTAATTTTAGTCACTATCAGCAACCGCTGGCAATTCTTTTTGCTATATTTTTATTTTTCAATTTATTTTCATGTTCTTCAAATATTTACATATATTTTTATTATTTTTTGAAGCATTTTAAAATAAACAACCATAAAATAAAAATATTGATTGCATTCGGCCCCGAAATGCAAATATTAACCAGCTCTATTTTTATTCTTAAACAAATATTAAAATTATTATTTGAATTGCGATTTTTCATGTTTATTTTATTATTTGACTTTTGATGGAATAAACATGATTTTCTTAGATTTTTAGTGAAATTTTTAGAAAATTTTTTTAGAAATTTTTCAATGAAATTTTTATTTATTCTTTTATTTTTACTTTCAATTTATTTTGTTATTGCTCATGATCATCATCATTCACATTCCCACCACCACGATCATGACAACGAACCCCCACATTTGAAATATACAAGAGAATTGAATGAAGAGGTTTTTTTTAATTTAAAAATAATTTTTAAAATTTTTTTAAAGTCTATTCGCGAATCTTTGGAAGAAGAACATCATCATGGACATTCACATGATGGACATGAAGGATGTCCACATGCCAAACAAAATCAACATAAACGAATGGCTAGTACTTTGCCTAAAATTCCAAAAATGACTAAAAAAGAAGAAGAACGTCCTTACCACGAGAACAGGTTATTTTTAATTAGAAATAGGGCTTGACCCAGATAATCACCTTTAGGACAATACTCCTTGGGAAGTGTATTTAAAGGGGAATTGATCTTCCGGGTTAATCTACAAAAGGCGTTGACCCGAAAGATACATATCCTTTAGAACAACAACCCCCTATGGAGAGTTTATATAAAAGAGGGTTGATCTTCTGGGGGCGTCCCCACAAACATTTTATATTTTTTAAAATATTTTCTTAATTTTCTAGCTGGTTTGCTTTTCTAAACAATCCACAAATTCGTTTATGGACATATTCAATTGGTTCAACTTTACTTATAAGTGCCTTTCCATGTTTTATTCTTGCATTTATTCCAATTAATGTTTGTTTTTTAAAATTTCAAAGAATTTTCTTTTTAATTTTCAAGTCAAATGCAAATGAAGAATCGCCACTTTTACGTACATTATTAGCTTTTGGTGCTGGAGGTTTACTTGGGGATGCTTTTCTTCATTTAATTCCGCATGCGATGCCTTCAGGTGGACATAGTCATTCACACTCTCATTCACACAAAGGAGGGCATGACGAGGAACATGAGCCACATGATTTGTCTGTTGGAACTTGGGTACTTGTTGGTTTGTTTTTCTTTTAATTTATTTTAAAGGGAATTTTTTGTTTAAAGGTTTTATGACATTTTTTATTGTTGAAAAAATTGTCAGACTTTTGCGTGGAGAGGAGTCTTCGTCACATGGGCACTCACATGGAATGAAATTATCGGAAAAAGCAAAGAATTCTGATGATGAAGAAGAACATGAAGAGGATAAAAAGGTTTTTTAATTAATTTTTATAAGGACATTTGAAGTAAAGATTGATGAGCCTACATTCGTAGACATAAACAGTGGCTCCGAATCCGGCGGAGTTAAGATTCTGAAAACCCGGAACCCGGCCACCAAGTGCCCAATACCCTGCACTGGTTATACCCAAAATTCCATTGAGGGACGTCTTAGGCATCTAGTTACCTTTAAAAGACTAAAATCTTATTTTCCAGCTGTTTTTACATTTTTATCTATAGAAAATCAAATCTTCAAAACCACCAAATATTCGTGTAGCAGCCTATTTAAATTTAGTTGCCGATTTTATGCATAATTTTACTGATGGTTTGGCAATTGGTGCTTCTTTTATTGCAGGGACTACTATTGGAATTGGTTTTTTTTTAAATTAAATTCAAATTCAAAAAATTTATTTTTAAAGTAACAATGGTAACTGTTTTGGTCCATGAAATTCCACACGAAATTGGTGATTTTGCAATTTTAGTTCAAGCAGGATTTTCAAAGAAAAAGGCAATGTTAATACAATTATACACTGCTTTTGGTGCAATAGCTGGTTGTGCTATTGCAATTTGGGATGTGGATGCTGCTAATATTGCAGAAGCTGTTGAACAAAGTTGGGCATTACCTTTTACGGCTGGCGGTTTTATTTATATTGGAACGGTAAAATTTTATTTGTCGGACCCCCTTTTTATTAAAAAAATTAATTTAAAAAAGGTTTCAATGATCCCAGAACTTTTGGAAAATTCTACAATGTGGCAAAGCATAAAAGAGCTTGTGGCATTCCTTCTTGGACTTTTCATGATGTATTTAATTGCGTTTTTTGAATAGAAAGTTTACGTTTAAAAAATCTGAGATATGCATAAATTACCAAAAACGATGTAAATATATTTTTATTAGTTTTGTGTATTTTGAGGAGTGCGCCGAAATACCAAACCCCAAAGGCTGCCAAGATACCAAACTGGAAAAATTAAGAACAATAGGTGGAAGTGGAAGATTGTTAACAACCCACATCTTGGTATTTCGGCGATTGCCTTACAGCATCATGCCTCTTTCGGAATGTTTTTTATATCAAAAGATACACACAAAACTAAATCAAAAATTTGTTGTATCATTGCCCTTTGTGTTGATTTTTTTCTGTTAAATTTATTTAAAGTAAAACTTGGGAGTTTTAAAATTGTAAATTTATTACAAAAATTTTTAAAATTGGCTACAAAATTGAAAAAGGAGATTTTTAAACTACTTGAAGTAATTTTAGAGATTATTTTGACTAAAGGAGTATTTTTATTTTTAAAACCTAAATTTTTTATCGTTTTTAAGTAAGATTTTCTGGCCATTCAGGGATATAATAGCGACGAGCAGTTCCTTCCAAAAGACGTTCCAAAAACATAGGAAAACCATTTAGAACATTCTCTACATTTGTTGAACTTTGTTTATTTTCCTAAAAGGAAAGGAAGGGAATTTTTTAAAAAATAAAAAAAATATATTTAAAAAAACCTCAAAAGAAGCAATTATTTTATTCTTAATCCGCAAAGAATTTCTCTTATTAATTCCCTTCTCATCAACATCATCTAACAAATCTTCATCTCCTAACGCTTCTAAATGAATATTATTTGTTTGTTTTCGATTTGGAATTTTATGCATTGGATGATAAATTGAGAAATATAAACGCCAACCACAAATAACCAAAACTGTTCCAATTGTGTGTTTCGTATTGATATTCTGATAAAGAAATTATTAGAAAATAAGAAAGAAAAACTTAAATTTAGGCTCTAGAGATGTCAAAGACTGAAGAATTTCCAAGACTAAAACACAAGATCAAAACCCAAAATCGAAAAACCCCCTAAGAAAAATCTGAGTCTAGATCAATAGCAGGCCCGTAGCCAGGATTTTTTTTCGAGGGGGGGAAATTTTTTTGCGCCAAATTTTTGGCGCCGAAGGCGCCAAAAATTTTTATTTTCAGCGCCGCAGGCGAAAATTTTGAGAATTTTAGAAGGCCGTAGGCCAAAAAAATTCACTTTTTCGGCGCCAAAAATTTGATTTTCAGCGCCGCAGGCGAAAATTTTTTGAATTTTGGACCTCAAGAAGCCAGATTTCTTCCTTTTTTAGCGCCGCAGGCGAAAATTTTTTAAATTTCAGAGGCCGTAGGCCAAAAAAAATTCACTTTTTTGCCCCAGCCCTTCCCCAAATTTTTTCCTTTTTCCCATTTCGGGGGGGGGGGGGGGGGGGGGGGGGGGAATTCCCCCCTCACCCCCCCCCCTGGCTACGGGCCTGATCAATAGTCTTGGACTCAATCATCATCCCTGACATGCCTGTCATAAATCAGAGCCTCAATCCAATAATATTTTCAAAAAATTACAAACCTTAAGTCGATTCTTAATTGTCAATTCTTTGCTTTCCTTTCCATTTTTCTCAAATTTTATTTTTTCATTCAAATTATTTTCTAATAAACAATTCTCATTTGAATTTGTGTCTGTTGTAATTGTTGCTACACTTTCTGAATCACCTTTTTGTTGTTCTTTATCATCTTCAGGTAATGTCAATTCTAACAATGAGCGAAACCAATTTAAATTTTTTGGGATTAATAAAAAGCCAAAAGAAAAAGTTTTGTTACTAAAAAAGTAAAAAATTAAAGGTGAAATTTACTTATGTATCCCGGCCTCTAATTAAGATAAACATTATGTTATTCGAATGAGTTCAACCAGCTGATTGTGAGTTGAACGACATCAAGAGCTCACAATCAGCTCTCAACTATAGGCTGGGATGCCACCCTTGAAAATCACAAAACCATCAAGGGACCAATATGAGCCCATAACAACTTAAAATTGGAACCAAAGAATAATTTTGGCCATTTAGATTGTTATTTAGTAGAGCTCGTCAAGCCACATTCGACTTATATTAGTTTGACGAGCTCTTTCAATAGTCTGATGAGCTCTTGTCCGAATCAGAGTCCGGAACATATGTCGGAATTTTTCCGAATTTTATTTTAAAATTTATACTTTCTCAGGCAATAAACATGACGAGCAAATTGTTGCAAAAGTGTTTCTTTGCTCTCTGCATCTACCAAAATAATTATAGATCTACATCCAGGCTTTAGTAAACGAATTAATCCAAATTGAGTTTCTGCTCTTAATTCGTGCAATAATGGATTCATTGTACGCCAAATTCGTGCTTGGGTCCTTTGAATCTTCTCTTCTTCTGTTAATGGCGTTTTAGGGTCTTCTGGATGCCATTCCTAAAAAATAATGAAAATTAAAAGAAAATATTTTAAAAAATACATTTGATTCTTTTTGACTAGATTTTGTATGAAAATCCTCATTAACATTATTTTGTCGTCTACGATTATGTTGTTCTGAAGTCGAATCTATTTTAAATTTATTGAGTAAAAAGCCAATCAAGAAAATAAAAAGAAGAGTGCCGAAAACGCTAACAAATGGAAAAATCTGAAAAAATAAAAATTTTTAGAAAAATTTTCGAAATTTTTACAAAATTAATGAGATCATTTTGTTGTCTACGAGGAGGAGCCCAACGAACATATTGAAATTGAAAATGTTGTTGGTCTCGAAAGAAATGTTCGTAACCCTGACCATCTCCAAATTGATCTTCAGTTAATCCAGTTTTGTCATAAATTTGCCGTTTTTCAGTGTTTGATAAAAGCTTCAAAAAATTATTTAAACTTCAAAATTTCCAAAAAAAACCTTGTAAGCCTTGTTTATATCCAAAAAACGTTTACCATCATTTAATTCTTTATTTTTGTCGGGATGCCTAAAATTTTTAATTAAAAAATTTTAAAAATTAAAAATACCATATTTTAACTAATCGTCTATACGCTTGTCGTATTTCCTCTTGTGTTGACATTCTTTCAATTTCTAAAGTCTCATAAGGATCGAATTTGTTTAATGCATAACAAGATGGTAAAATAATTAAAAATATAAGAGCAAATAGTTTACAAAAAAGAAGCATTTTAAAACCAAAGTTGAAGCTTAAAAGCTAGAAAAATTAAAAATATAATCAAAAAATTAAAAAAAAAATCTAAAAAAATGAGTGAAAAACCTGAAAAGTTTTTCAAACCCCGTTTTTGGTGAAAAGAGGAGAGTAATGATCTAAATGAGAGACCAAGCTAGAGAAAAAGAGGAAAACAAGACACTTCACAATGTCCACTTAAAATCTGGCAGCTGTTTAGAAAACATTTACGCCAGAAAATTTGCGGACAGTTTGAAGAATTTGCGGACAGCATTTTGAATCGGCACTCAACAGGCCAGTTACGTGACGGTAAAGTGCTAATCTACGCAATTTCTTAAGGCAATAATTTTGTGCCGCGCTCATTTACACGTAATTATTATTTGCCATAAAAGATTAAAGATTTCTCTCATTTAATTTATTTTTTTAAAATTAAAATGGCCTATATTCGCCTTTTGTTTATTCCTTTTTTATTTTTATCAATTTATTCCTTTCCTGCATTGTCTGACAAGGAAGAAGTTCCATTAAACACGGTTAAACGAACAAGAACTTCTTTTGATGCAAAACATATGGGAGAAGGGAAACATGATGTTGAAATGGATCACAAAGCTGTTTTAGGTTTGAATTTGTATTTACTAATTTGGGTACAAAAATATTTATTTAGGGCCAGATACTGATGAGTATAACGATTTGCCGCCTGAAGAGTCGAAAAAACGTCTTCGCGTTCTTGCTCTCAAAATGGACATAGACAAGGTTTTTTTTTGAAATTATTTTTTATTTAATTTTAAAATTTAGGATGGCTTTATTTCGCCAGAAGAACTCAATGAATGGGTATACAATTCGCTTGTTAATGTGGACTTGGAGGAGACAAAAGAACGGTTTATGGATATTGATGCAGGCAAGGAATTTTGAGAATTTTTATTAATTTTTAAAAATTCTAGATAGGGATGATTTTATTACTTGGCCTGAATATACCCAAGAAGCTTTTGGAATTAGTGCAGAAGATGAGGCCAAAAAAGTTCTTTCAGATTCTGATGATTTGAAGGTATTAATTAACATTGTTGGTGACCTGTTAATTTTCGCCTGTGGCGGCTTAAATGCTTTTATTATTTTCATTTGACCCGCCACAGGCTGAAATTAACGCTGACGCCGGCAACTTTAGTAATTGACTTTAAAAATAAAAAAAGAATTTATTTTAAGTTGCTTGAAGAGGATCGTCGTTATTTTGCGGCGGCTGATTTAAATGGAGACTTGAAATTGAATTTTGAAGAATTTGTGGCTTTTCAAAATCCAGAGCACGCCGAGCATATGCATGATATTCTTATTCAGGTTTTTTTTAATTTTTTTAAAATTTCTTATAAAAATATTTTCTAATAAAAAAAAATTTAGAATACTTTAAATGAGAAAGATGCGAATAAAAATGGAAAAATTGATTTGGCAGAATTTTTGGGTGATTTGGCAAATGAACAACCAAAATCTGAATGGTTTTTTCTGTTAAAAATAAATTTTTAAAAATTATTTTTTAAAGGTTTTTGAGTGAACAATCACGTTTTCAAGACGAATATGACAAAAATAAGGATGGAGTCTTAGATGGAGAAGAAATGCGTGCTTGGCTTGTTCCAGATTTTAAACAAACGGCTAAACAAGAAGCAGATCATTTAATTGAATCGGCGGATGAAAATAAGGTTTTTTGGGGGATTTTTGGAATTTTTTAATTTTTTTTTGTTTTTTAAAGGACGGAAAATTAAGTATTGACGAGGTAGTTAATGCCTACAAAATATTTGTTGGTTCTGAAGTTACTAATTATGGTGAACATTTGCTTAGCGTTTCTCATGAAGAATTGTGAGGATAAAAGGTATTTCTGGAAAGATTTTATTTTGAAAGTGGAGAATAGGGCGGTTTAACGACTGATTTTGGTTAATTTTTCGGTTTTGTGATTTCAGTTTTTAGTCAAAATTTTTTAAAAAACAATTGTTTTCAGATTTTTCGGTTTTTTGCATGAGAACGTTTTATTTTTGGCAAAAATGGCAAAAAAATTTCAGATTTTAAAATCGGTCGTGAACTACCCTAATAGAGAACATTTGCATTGTTTTGCTTTATTTTTTTTTTGGGTTATGGTGCTTTATTTATGATTTTTTGTTTTTAAATTTTTTCTTTTATTTTTCTAATCTTTTTTTTTGTTTTTTTCTTTCTACAAATCTCTCACTAGCTTTATTATTATTGCATTTCTAATTATTTAAGCTTTCGCAAATTTTTCAAAATTTTATTTAAATTTTCCAAGCAATTTTTAAAAAATTTTTAACATTCATAAAATATTTTAAGATAAACAAAAAAAGAACGAATTATATTTTTGTCTACCCCTCTATTCCCCTTAAAAAAATTTTTGGACCATTTTTCAATTTTTATTTGGCTTTTTCCAAACTTTATGTAAAATGTCAATTTGTATATCCCCCATTAACTCATCATGTACCCATTTAGGTAATTTCGAAAGTTTTTCTTCATATAATTTATTCGTCATTATTTTACCTTTTTTGAGTATTTCCAAATTACAAACAAGTACCTTTTTTAAAAAATTTTTTTTAAATTTTTTAAATAAAAAGAATTATTTTTACTTTGTTTTCACCAGCATCTGCATAATAACAATAACCAAAATGGTGTCGAAATAAATCTAGTAAAAATTGTCTTTCTTCTGCTACAATTTCTCTCTAAATTTTAATTTTTCTAAATTAATTTTAAAAATTAAAATTAATTTTACATTTTCTTCTGTATCCAATACAAAAGTGTTAATTAAAAGAGTTCCTAAAATTTTTAAACTTTTTTAAAAAATATTTAAAAAATTTGCCTGTTTCTTTTAACATTTTAAACATTTTGTCTATAATTTTTTCATCATGAACCAATTGTTTTAAGGGACAGAATAATGGATAGACTTTTTTGTCCAGAACATTCGAACAAGCATCAACAATAAGACAATCAAACTGGCCATCTAAAAATTTTTTTATAAATTTCAGAAGTCCAAATCTATTCCAAAAAACATCAGAAACAGGGTTAACAAGGGTTGGGAGGAAACTAACAAGGAACAACCTTTTATACTAGGGTAGTACCCTTACCCTTCGGGGTCGGAAGTGTCGGGGATCGGGATTTGCCGGGGTAGGCATGTCGGGGTGCTACCCTACTTTATACTCCAAAAATTATACCTTCAATTTTCCAATTGTTTATATATTCAATTGCATCTTGAATTATTACTTTTTGATTTGGTGTATTTTTTAAATTGAACCATTTTCGTGCAATATACCTTTTAATTATTTTATTTTAACATTTAAATAATTTCTTACTCCGTTGCTGGCTCCAAATCTAGAGAGATGAATTCACGCTGAAAAAACATTTTAATTTACGTAATTTAAAGCAACAAACATTTCCTTCAATTTCGTCAAAAAAGTTGGGAACAGTGCCGCCACCCAATCCCAACATTAATATTCGAGGTGTTTCTTTACTTGCTTCAAGGCAACCAGTTGCCAGTAATTGACCAGCAATTGCCTTTGCATAAGCGAGAATTAATCTCCTTTTCATAACAGGCCAACCAGCCGAATTTTTTGCCGAGAACTTTTCTCCTTCAAGTTTTTACTGTAAATAAAGGAAAAATAAAACTTTTTACCTGGTTTTGGGATTAGTTTGGCAATAGTAAGCACAACATCTTCCACTTTATCCACCACTAATAACCTCTCATATTCATCTCTAAATATTGTTAAAATTAAAATTTTATTTAATATTTACTCGTGGCCGTTCCATCCTTTAAGTCGGACATCCTCAATTTTAAAACAATTTTCTTCAACGCCTTTCGGGCAAATAACTTCTTGAACAATAACGTTTTGATTCTCATCATCAACTTGAACTGGAACATGCACAGTAAACTCCGTGTTGGTCGGATAATCTTCGTAATAACGCAACAAAAAGAATAGTACGAGAACCTGATTAAAGTATAATGCTCTCAGATTCAAATCTTTATAAACCTTTCGGGCAAATAATCCTTGGACAATAACGTTATCTACATCCCTGGGTAGAGATTTCCAGGACCGAAAATTTTCCTTTTCCAGCTCTAAAGACGTCCAAAACTTGGTTCTGACAGATCCCTTGATATAAGGATACACCCCTGGGTGTAAGGATAGTTCTGTATCAGCAAAAGTTTTTAAATAAAAATACCAAAATTGCTAACGTCAACAACACGACACGTAAATTAAAAAATATTTTCAAATAAAATGGAAACTTTCTAGCAATAAATTTTTTTGTTTGTTTAAGGTAGTAATCAAACATTTTACTGATTACAGGAAAAATCCATGTCTGAGAGAAACCCATGTCTAAAATTCATGTCTAACGTGTCAAATGACTGTCTAGCAACGTGTCAATAAAAAATTGATTCTCTCTCTCAAATTGTTTTTATTTTTTTATTAAGATGTTTACACATCTGTTCAGCAATTTCTTTGTTAAAATCAGAAAAAAATTCTTTATTTTATTCATTTATGAGACATCTTGTATTTGAGGTTATGATATGGCATTGGGAGACATTTACAAAAAGAGAATTTATATATAAAAAAATATTTAAAAAGTCAAAGACTAGAGAAATATATAAAAGAGCTCATAGTGAAAATGTGTTGAGTTTTGTTTTTTTACAAGTTGGTCAAAATCTAAAAAATATTTTCCTTAAAATTCAGAAAAAATTAAAAACTTACAAAGTTCAAAAATTGATTGATTATCAACCTCCACTCCAATATATACACATTATTCTTCTAGCACTCCTACACATTACAATTATCAACCATCATGTCCTCTTCCTTTTTATTCTTTTTTGATGTTTGTGTCTTTTTAGAAAAACAATTCGAACCATTCTCTTCTCCATTTTCATTAAATTTTGCCATTTTTAGAACCAAATGTTTATATCTTTTAGAAAGTCCTTTTTGCCAAAATAAAATAACTGGAGAATCCTTTAAAAGAATTTTAAAAAAAATTTTAAATTAAAAAAACAAAAACAAACTTGTGATCGACATTTAATTATACGCATAATTCTTTGAAGATCTATAGTCTCACGTTGATGTCTCAATTGAAAAATTAATTTAACATTATTAAGCCATTCATTTCTTGTAGCACGTAGAGCACTTTCAAGAGTAAAACCATTAATCATTGAATCTTTAAAAAATTATTTTTTTTAATTAAAAAAAAGAAAACCAAGCAAAAGTTGACTATATCGTTTAACTAAAGTTGGCTTTTCTGATTCCTTTCTTTGAGGAAAACTTCCAACAAAAATATTAAATTTATTTAAATTTGTTGTTTGTACTTCTTGTTTATCATCATTTAATTCTTTCTCTTTTTTATCATTTTCAGAAAGTATTAATAAAAATATATTTGAAAGATAATTTGAAGGAATTTCAATTTCTGGTGAACAACCAAGAAAATTATATCTAAAATTTTAATTTAAAAAAGTTAAAATTAATTTTAAAATCCTTACTTATAAGAATGATAATATTGAGTAGCATTTGCATCTAATCGAACACATCCAATTGGTAATAATTGAACAAGTGAATGTATAAATTGTTGACGAGCAATTAAAGAATTACATTTAACAACAATCTTTAAAAAATAAAAATTGTGAAGGTTTAAATTTAAAATGTAGGCAATTTGAAAAATACCTGTTCACCAATAATTATTTGCCAAATTAACGCATTTAACAAAGCCGAATCTTGTTCAGCCAAAGTTTGAGCAATATAACGTAAATCGTCTAATTGAATTAATGTTTGTTTCGATGAAAGTTGATTAATTAATTCTTTTTCTTCTAAAGAACCACAAACACTTAATTCTGTCATCTTAAAAGAAAGGAAAAATTAATTTAAAAAATTAAGTTTTACAAAAAGCATTTCTTGTGTAGGGCATCCTTCAAGTAAAATGTCTTTATCTAGAAAATGAATAAAATAAATTTTTAAAAATTAAAAAATAAACCAAGTGAAGTCAAAGTTTTTAGCAAAGAAATCATCTGACTAAAAAAATTAAAATTTAAAAAAATAAAAGAAAAATAAAATAACCTATGCAATAAAGTAAAAATATTTTCATCATTTGTAATTATTTTAAGACTTCTAGAAGTATCTACAGCATATTGTCTAGGATAAAACTGGTGTGGTAACCAATGAGCATTTTTGACATTTGATGCTAATCTTAATTCTGAGTCTTGAGCTTGCTCATAAATAAAAAATGTGTTGGTTATTTCCTTAAAAAATTGTTCAAAAATAATTTTTTAAAATATTAAAAAACCTGTAATTTAGAAACAATAGAGCAAAGACTATTGGTAAGAAAATCATAATGTCTAAGCAGAAGCAATTTATCCATACAAACAACTACTAAAGAATAACTTCGATGAAATCCTCTAGCCTTAGCATCTCTCAATCTTTAAAAATTTTGTACAAAAAAATATAAATTTTAAAAAAACCTAAAAGTGTAAGAGAGAGTATACCAATTTTCATCGTCACCAAAAAGAACAACACCATCATGTTCAGTGTCACTCGTTGAATAACCAAAGAAAATTTCATCGTTATCCTTTTGAGAATTTGAAGAATTAGTCGAAGAAGTAGTCAATTGAGGGGATGATTGAGATGAAGTACAAGCTGCAACGAATGGGGCAGAGACCTCAACACTAAGTGAACGCAAACTAGCCTGCTTGAGTATTTGATTTAAACGTTCATTAATTGGAACCTTCAAAAATGTTTTTTTGAAATTTGTGTTTAACAATAAAAAAACCTGAGAACTAACATAACTAATTTCTTCATCACTAGTATCAGACAAAAGCCCCATTCCTTGAGCAAAAGAAGAACAAGCTGCACATCTCAATTCATCATCTACAATTTCATTACCACCATAAAGGTCATTACAAAAATAGGGTATACCGTCCAAAGAGAAGGTGGAGTCTAAAGAAATTTTGATTTAAAAAATTTAAATTATAAAACCCCCTCCCCTATTTGTGTAAAAAATAAAAAAATATATTAAAAATAAAAATTAAAAAAATACCATCAAAATTAGAAGAACATTTTGCCTTTTCTAGTCCTTCCAAATCCAAGTCTGAAGTTCGCATCGGTTGACAGGTAAAAACTACTCTAGGTCCATGATTTTCACAAAAATAACATAAGGCCGCCAAAGCTGTCTGCATATTTTTTTAATACAAGTCTAAAAATATTTTAAAGCTTTAATTTGTCTGTTGTTTTTTTAATAAAAAGATTTAATAAAAATAAAAATTCACAGCTGATGCAAAGAAATTTTGCGGTTAAATCGTAAAATTTTTGCGGTAAAAAAAGTGTTCTTTTGTGTCTCGAGTTGAATGACGGATAGAATGGAACATACAAAAAGGTAAGAAACAAAATGGTAATCGGAGCAACTCTCGACAAGAAAAAAGTTTTTGGGGGTTTCTTTTAAAAAACGTGTAGTACCATTTTTAAAGTTTTCGGTTGTACTACCATTTTGTCATTGACCATTTTGTCGAATTCCATTTTGTGTCTTTGCACGAGTTTTGAGGCTACCCTACAACTCATCCAATCCTTAACTCATCTAACACTTAACTCATCCACACGGCCAAAAACGCTCAACTCATCCAATCCTCAACTCATCTAATGTTTAACTCATCCACACGCCCAAAAACGCTCAACTCATCCAATCCTCAACTCATCTAATGCTTAACTCATCCACACGCCCAAAAACGCTCAACTCATCCAATCCTTGAAATATCCGTGCCCGCACAAAATACCGAATTCTCAAAATCGCGAATAGGCTAAAAAAGCTCAAAATCGCGAATCGGTAAAAATATCTCAAAATATGGAATCGGCCAAAAAAGCTCAAAATATGGAATCTTAAAATATCGAATCTCAAAATCGCGAATCGGCCAAAAAAGCTCAAAATACCGAATCGGCTAAAAAGTAGTTAAAAATGTCGAATTTTTTAAAAACGAAAAGGGCCGTTTGAGTGCCGCTGCAGGTCTTTTTCTGATTATTCAGGGGTCTGTAACTCAGTCCAATCAGGTCGGATTTCATTGATTTTGGTGTCATTTGATGCAGCTCGACGTGCTCTTTCAGATGAGCTATCATTCGGAAACTCGAAATTCGGTTCGGGATTCGAAATTCGGTTCGGGTCCGGGATTCGACTTTTTCAAAATCCGAGCTGAGATTCGTAATCAGCACATTTTTTTACCTTAGAAAAATACTTTCTCTTATTTTTAAAATTTTTTTACGAAGAAGTTGGTCACAACTTTGTTCAGACTCAACTGGCCTTTGCCGCATTGTCGATATTTTTCGATATTTTGAGCTTTTTTTGCCTATTCCATATTTTGAGATTCGATATTTTGAGATTCCATATTTTGAGCTTTTTTAGCCGATTCGCGATTTTGAGATTCCATATTTTAAGAATTCGGTATTTTGTATGGGAGCCGAAATATCGGCCGGTTGAGTCCCTAGCCGGTTGAGTCCCTGGTCAGTTGAGTCTCAACCGGCCCAAGACTCAACCGGCGGTAATCAACCACTCAAACGGCCGGGACTCAACTGACCAGGGACTTAACCGGCTAGAGACTCAACTGGTCATGGACTCAACTAGCCATGGACTCAACTAGCCATGGACTCAACTGGTCATGGACTCAACTGGTCATGGACTCAACTGGTCATGGACTCAACTGGCCATGGACTCAACTGGTCATGGACCCTACTTACCAGAGACTCAGACGGCGAGAGACTCAAACGGCCGGAGACTCAAACGGCCAGAGACTCAAACGGCCAGGGACTCAGACGGCCAGAGACTCAAACGGCCAGGGACTCAAACGACTGGTACTCAATAGTCTCGTTCCAAAGGATTGGATGAGTTGAGCGTTTTTGGCCGTGTAGATGAGTTAAGCATTAGATGAGTTGAGGATTGGATGAGTTGAGCGTCTTTGGGCGTGTGGATGAGTTAAGCATTAGATGAGTTGAGGATTGGATGAGTTGAGCATTTTTGGCCGTGTGGATGAGTTAAGGAATTTTAGCCGTTTAGATGAGTTGAGCGTTTTTGGGCGTGTGGATGAGTTAAGGATTAGATGAGTTGAGCGGGCACGAGTTTTGAGTCTGACACATGCATGAAAAGAGTGTGTATAATTGAGAGATAGCGATGGAAAAAGAGCAAAAATATGTAAGAGTGAAATCGGACACTTTGATGCAGACTTTTTCGTGCAAAAAATTGTGCAAATTCTGCAATTAAATAGCAAAAATTTTTTAAATTTATTTCCTTTTCGAAGTTTTTTAGAATAAATTTTTAGTTAGTTTTACAAATGGGAGAGCATGAATTTATTTGGGAATATCAATGTTTGACACCAAAATGGTTAGAATTTGATAAGGAATTGAACGCTTTCTTAACAAAGTTTGCTTAATCTTTTTTTAATAAATATTTTTTGTTTTAGAGAGCTTTCGAAGAGCCAAAAAGCCGAATATGAAATTGAAAATTGGAAAATGGAATTCGATCTGGAAGAGATGAGACAACGAAATTTGGATAGTGGATTTGTCAGAGGGATTAGATGTGCTATTTGTTTAAATGGTTTTCTTGGGTCTTTTTTAAATAAAATATATAAAATATTCAGATAATAATAAAATTGTCTGGAACTATCAAAGTAAGCGAAGAAGATGGGTAAGCTTGCCACCCTCCTTGGCACTTCAATGTGAAAAATTTTTCAAAGAAAATCAGAATGATTTAAGCAGCGAGAAATTATCTTTTGAAATGTTTGGACGTGAAATGCTTGTTGATTTTTGTGGAGGAGAGAATGGAATTTTGTTGAAGGATGTCAATACGAGTGAACAATTTCAAATTAAACGGATTGAATCCAAAGTAGGATTTTTTTTATTTTTTTAAATATTTTTTTTGAATTGTAGGCAGGTCCAGCAGATACTTCAGACCCTCCACATCCTAAATCGAGTCCAACAAATTTGAGGGAGCGTAAATGTAAATTTAAAACAACGGCAAATAATTCAGTTAAAAGTAAGACGTCTGACGACAAAAAATCAAAAGAAAAATCTGAAAAATCAAAGAAAGGAAAATCTCGGAAAAAGAAAATTGATGATCTAACAGACGAAGAAGATGAGAACAATAAGGATGAAGATGGTTCTGAGGACGAAATTCCTTTTCCACGTAAAAAACAAAAGTTGGATAGAAATAAAAAGTTGGAAAAAGCACTGGAATTGGAAGGTTAACATTTTTTAATTTTTAATGATTTTGTTTCAATTAACTCAAAACCTGCTAGGAATGGGGTGGCATGGGGGAAAAATTTAGAGGAAAAAATTCTTCGGATCCGAGTATCGGGTCGGAAAAAGTCCAAAAGGCCGGTTATCGGATCAGTACCGGAGGCTTTGTTGGATTAGGAAGTTTAATTCACATAATCAAACAATTAATTTTTAAATATTTTTAGAAGAACCAGAAATCGATATTGAATGCTCTGATATAAATATCCAAGCTTATCGTATTTATAAAAATTCTGAAGGGATTTTCTTCAATGCAATGCTTAATCAAACAAATATTCAAAACAACAATAATAAATTTTATTTGATACAGTTATTAGAAAATAGATTGGGTGGAGATTATTGTGTTTGGCTTCGTTGGGGACGTGTTGGAATGAAAGTAAAATTAAAAAAAAATTTTATAAAATTTTTTTGGTTTTAGGGTCAAAGTGACTTGAATAGATTTAATTCTAATTTGGATGGCGCCTTAAAATTGTTTGAAAGAAAATTTAAAGATAAGACGAATAATGATTTTTTGGGAAGCCAACAAAGTTTTGTTAAAATTAATGGAAAATATGATCTGATAAAAATTGATTATAAACGTAAAATTATTCAAAAAGAGGAAGAAATTGTTAAAGGTTTTGTTTTTAAATTTATTAAAAAATTTTTTTGTCAATTTTTTGGATCAAATTGTTTCTGTAATGGATGAACGAATTAAAAAGCTTATGCAAACAATTTGTGATTTTAAATCTATGGAGAAGGAAGTGAGACGTTTAGATTTTGATTTTCAACGGATGCCTTTAGGTTTTTTTTGCTTTAAAAATTTTTTGAAAAGTTAAAAAAAAATTTTTTTGAATTCTTCCAACGGGTTAATTCGGATTTTCCTTAAAAATTTGAATAAAAAATAATTTTTATTAAAATCCACATCAATTTAGGAAAAATTACCAAAGAACAAATAAAGTCTGGATATGAAGCTTTGACACAAATTGAACAGTTTATAGCTAAAAATGAATTGGAATCTGTTGCTTTTAAACAATCAATGAACGAGTTTGTTTTTAAAATTAATTTTTTTAATTTTTATTAAATTAAAAAAAGATATTACACACGAATTCCTCATTGTTTTGGTATGCGAACTCCACCAATGATTAGAACAATTGAAGCTTTAAAACAAGAAATTGAATTATTAGATCTATTGACGGGAATTGAAATTGCTGTTACAAAAATGAATAATTCTGATGATCCAATAGAAAAGCATTACAGCAGATTAAAATGGGATATAATACCTGTAGAAAAGGAAGATGAAAAATATAAGGTTTTTTTTAAATATTTTTTGTAATTGTCTTTATTGTGCGCGACAGTAGAAAAGAGGAGACTAAAACGGGGTGGGAAACGGAGGGGAGATTCCTATTGCCATATATACTCACATTGAGTTAATGACACACACCAGCGCTATGGATTTTGTTGATTCCTAGAGCTGGGCACTTATTTTATAGATCTGGATTTATAGGAATTAGGAATCCATTGTGTGCTTCATTTAAAGACTTGTGGAATTAAAATGGTCGCACACATTACCAATAATTAATTTTTTTAAAGTTAATTGAAGAATATTTAATTAATACTCAAGGACCAACACATTGTAGTTTTAAATTGGGGTTAAAACAAGTCTATGAATTAAACAGAAAAGATAAAGAGAAAGAAGAAAAATTTTTGAAAAATTTGGGAAAAAGAATGTTGTTGTGGCATGGTTCTAAATTAACTAATTGGTATTCTATATTAGCACAAGGACTTAGAATTGGTTTGGATTTTATTTTTAAGTTAAAAAATTTTTTAAATTTAATTTAGCCCCGCCAGAAGCTCCTGTCGTATGTTTTTTTGTTTATTTTTATATTTTTAAAATTATAATTTATTTTTTAAGACTGGTTATATGTTTGGTAAAGGAGTTTATTTTGCAGGTTTTTCTTGTAATTTTAGAAAAAAATTTTTTTCTTTCAAAAGATATATCAAGCAAATCGGCCAATTATTCAAACTCCGGATCAAACAATTCTGCTTTTATGATGTTATCTGAAGTTGCATTGGGGGAAATGTTGGAATTAAAAGATGGCGATTCGGATTTACACAATAAATTACCAAAAGGGAAACACAGCACTAAAGGAATTGGAAAAATTGTGCCTAAACCAGAAGAAACAAAAATTTTGTAGGGAACGAAAAAATATGAAAATTAATTTTTTTCATTAGGGATGATGGTATTGAAGTACCATGTGGTAAACCTGTTGATGCAGAATGTCAGGACACAACACTTATTTACAATGAATTTATTGTATACAATTTGGAGCAGATTCGTGAACGTTTTTTGGTTGAATTTAATTATCAGTATAATTTTGAATTGTAAGATGTTGTTTAGTATTTAATAGAGTTCGAACTTTTCAATTTGTCGGACCGAGTATCCGTTTTTTTCTTTCAAACTGACTCGGCCGGGGTTTCCGAACAAAACTCCGAAAACACGAACTTCATAGAAATATCCGATTTCCTAGCTCAGAAGACGGGCCGGGCTCGAACTCTAGTATTTACATTTAATTTATTTTTTCGACTTTGTTAATCTCTTCACTTATATTACTTCAATATCTCAAGTAAAATCCCCCACTCATTTTATCAATATTTATAATTTATCAAGCATCTCAATTTTGTTTATTTAAACAATAAAAGTAACAAAAATCAAAATATTTACTTTTAATTTTTATTCCAATCCAATAAGTGCTTGACCAATTTCCTCTTCATTTAACCAAGTAATTTTACCAGTCTAAAAATTAATAAAAAATCAAAATTTCAAGAATTTCAAACCATTTCTCCATCTTCCATTTCTGGTTTAATTATAACAATCTCAACATTTTTATTACTAATTTTCTCTTCCATTAATTGTTTAAGTGTTGTTAACGCAACTTTCTGTGCTTGTGCTAATGTCATTTTCTGTTAAAATTTAAAAGGGTTTTTGAAAGTTTTTAATCTCAAAACAAACCTTATCACATTCTTTACAATGTTCAATTAATGCTTGTTCTGCCCCATCTCCACCAGCCCCAATAGCTTTTGCAATACAACGAATATATGTGCCAGAAGGATCCAAATGGTAAAGAGCAGTCCCTGTGTGATCAACACCAGCAAATAGCATTGCAACTCCAAATGGACGACCGAGTCGAATCTTATACAAATACTTTTTAAAATATTTTCGAGAAAACTAACCGTTGATTCATCGTCACCAAAATGAAGAGCAATTTCCGAAACCTTCATTGTAACATGGCCAATCCCAATTCTTTGGCCATAAGTAAAAAAATAATCCTGAGATTCAGTTCGAGCACGGTCCACCCAAGTGCGTGCATCAGCAATGAGGCCAGCGGAGGCAGCAACTAAAAGAAAATTTAAACTTAAAATTCTTTTAAAAACCTATATGTTTGTCGATTTTGGAAATTTTTTTCATAGAGTCAAGCGATAATAATCTAGAGACGGCTCGTCGTTCAGCTACCAAAACAATTCCTTCTTTCGATTGAATTCCAATTGTTGTAGTGCCAAGCTAGGACATAAAATAATTTAAAGAAATTTTTTAATAAGTTTACTTTAACCGCTTCCATAGCATATTCAACTTGGAAAAGTCTTCCTTCAGGTGAGAAAGTATTAACACCTCTATCATACTCGCTGCGTGTCAGAAACATTTTTATTTGTCTTAAAATTTGAAAAAAAAAATAAAAAACAAAAAAATTCCCAAAAAACTTCCAAAAATCTGTCATCAAATTTTTATAAAAATAAAAAACATTTTGCCAAACAAAAATGTCATTATGTCGAAAACGAGTAAATTTCATTTAGTCAACGGATATTTCAGTGCCAAGCTTCATAGCAAGGGTTATTCATGTGATTTACTCATTCTCTTTATTTGATTATTGAAAATCATTATTTGTAACGTGGATTTTATTCAATTTCACAGAAAAATAAAAAAAGAAAAGGGCGTTAATTTGCCTTTTAAAAACCTATTGCATAATGCCTCGTCAATCTTTCCCTTTTTATTAATTTTTTTTCTCTCCACACTTCTCCCCTCAATTTCAAAATCCCCCAGCTACACCTGTCAAATTAACAAATTTTAAATTTATTCTCCATATTTCTTAATTTAAAAAAATTTTTTTATTTAAAAATTAAACAAAAATGAAGGTAAATGGAAGTTCTTGGAAGTTTGCACTCATTTTTTTGACTGGAATTATAATTGTAAGTGTTTGTCTTTTACTTGTTTAAATATTTAAATTATAGGCTGCCCAATTGCTTTATATTATACATTGGAGATGGCGTTACTGGAAGAATGAGGTAAAAAAATTTAAAATTTATTTGAATATTTAGTTTCAGACAAATCTGTTGTTTTTGGATATCCCCTCCCCATATTTTGAATCTCAGAGTTTTTCTTATGAAAATATTGAGGAGAAAGAAAGTAACGAAAACTAAGAGACTCAGACTGGGGGGAAGGCGAGATATCCAAAAAGTACCGATTTGTCTGAAAAAATTTTCCGTCTTTCTAGCTTTGGAGAAAAGAATTGCCCTCATTGTTATTGAAGTTTCTTCTTACAATGACGATCAAAAGGAAACTCCATATCCTTATTCCCCCTCTTCATTTACTCATTTTTCTCCTTCCACAAATTCATCCTCTTCAACCCCAACATTAACCGTTATAAACGAGACAAACAAAGCAATATTACCCAAACCTATTGCTCAAGAATTGATTTGCCCAAAAGATCAAAAACTACAAAAAGGTTGTTATGTTATACTTGATGGGCCTGATGCTTCGGGAAGGTAAAAAATAACATTTTATTTAGAAAAATATTTTTCTTTTTGTTTGTTCAGTGGATTCTCTCGTTTTCTTGTTATGGAACCAATGGGGCAAATTGTTATTGCTGAAGCGCCTTTAGATTTTCCTCTACGTTTGTTTTTCAATATATTTTTAAATTTTACTTATGCTCAAAAAAGCCCGCAAATTTTGTCCGCTAGTAGGTTTGCGGACAAAAAAATGTTTGCAGACAAAATTTTGCAGACTTTTTTTGGACATAAAAGAAACCAATTAATTATTCCATTTTTAAAGATGGCAATTTTACCAGAGAAAATTCTCGTCAATGGCCTTTACTTTCCAAAAAACCTCCCCCAATAGATTATCAAAGAGCTTTAGTTGTTCAACCATTTATAACCCAAACTTTTGTGCCTTCATTAATGCCTTCAAAAATAATTGATGGAGAAACGCGTCGAATTCTTTGTTTGGGATTGCACGGATCTATTGTTAACAATTTCTTCGCAAATCTTTCAACAAAAGTATTTTTTTCTTTATTATTGTAAGGAGAAGCCGTGGTGTAGTGGATAAAGCCGGTCGACTGAAAGGATGCCGGTTCGATCCCAGCCGCCTATATTTTGTATTAGCTAAAGGGGAATAGCCAGTCCAGTTTATGTTGTCTTTTTTTTAATTAAAAAAATTTTTATTTTTTTAAAGTATGATGTGACAACAATAGACTCAGAACCAGCATTACGCTATATTTCTGAAAAATGGTTTGGATTTTCTGAAACCGAGCAGAATCGAATTTTTATTGAAAATCCAGCATTTTATGTTGTTGCTAGAGCTGAATTGATTGAAAATCCAAAAACTGGTTTTTCTTTTTAATTTTTTTAGAAAAATTTTAAAAATTTTTTCTAGTGGCTGTCCCTAAAAAGATTGATTTTATTGTGGTAGATGTTTGTTATGGATTGGGAGCTGCAGAGAATCAACATGTTCAGTGCCCTGTTAAGGAATTTGAAGAAGAAAAAGTTGTTCGTGCTTTGGCTAAAAATTTGGCGCCTTACGGTTTTTTAAAATTAAATTTAAAATTAATTCAAAAGATCAACACCCCACATATTAACGCTAAAGTTGATATTTATGAAAGTTGATTTTTTTGTATTTCAAAGGCTTTTGGGGGTGATATTATAGTTTTGTTATTATGAAGCGTCTAAAATTATTCCAAAAAACCCCACCCCAAAGATCTTTTGGAAAGTTGATCTTTGGGTTTTACTAAAAATTATTTTTAGGCACAATTGTAATGCATTTCTTTTCACTTACGAGTAAAAAGGAGATACCAGAGGTTATTTTAATTTTTAAAAATTTAAAAGAATAATTTTTGTAGCAACACCAATTAGCTAATCACGAACACCAAATTTTGCAACTTTTTAAAAAATATTTTGGAAATTGTTATTTTGTTAGTGTTGGCCCTCATTTGGTATTTTTAATTTTAAAAATTAAAAATATTTTTTTCAAAGTTGTTGACTTGTACTCGTCGTGCACAAATTACTCGTGCTAATTATATAACAACTTTCCGAAAATTACCAAAAGAATTGCAAATTTATGCGGAAAATCAGGAACCGAAATTTTTTCTTGATTTGGAAGCACTATAGAAAGTGATTGATTGGGACGAGTAAATGTTTTTTTGATTAAGATTTTTTTTGGAAAAGGTTTTTTTCTCTAATGCTTTTATTTAATTTTATATACAATGTATATTTAATTATTTAAATTATTTTTCAAAAAATTTTACGAAAATTTTTAAAAGACAATTAGGGATGTTTTGGGTTATACTCGAATCCCGGACTTTTTTTTTCTTTTTTAATCCGAAGAAATTTTTGAAAACCCTGACCCGAACATTTTGAGCAACCCGAGACATCCCTGATCCTTTCCTAAACTCATTGGTATAAAAAATTAGTTTAAAACCCCCAACATTTTCTAATTATTTTCAGTTAAAAAATTGAGATATTTTTTGGATAAATAAAGGAAATGTTGGGTATTTTTTTAAAGTTTTCTAAATTTATTTTCAAAAACATACAGGTACTTTACACATATTTATTTCTTGTTTCCTTCATTAATTCCCTATGTGATATTTACTAAAATCCAAAAGATCACCTTTTAAAGACATCAACACTAAAAGAATGCGTTGATTTACGGAGTGGTGATCTTTTGGGTTTTTATTTAACATTTAACTTTTTTTTCATTTTAACGACTGATAAACTTTTTGGGTAAATTTTAGACTTTATTTGCTATAAAAAGAAAAATCAGAACCATTTAAAAAAGGTAAATCATTAGTTTTTGTTATTTTAATTGATTTATCATTTTCTAAAGAATTATTTAATATCCAATTTAGTTGTCTGTTTTTTGTAGAAAAAATAGAGGAAGAATTGTCAAAACTTAAATTTAAGAAAATATTAAAATTTAAATACGGGTCTTCCCCAAAAGATCAACTCCCGAGTTGTCAACTGACCCTGGAGGTATCTCAATCCGCCCAAACCCATCGATATATCCCCCTTAATCCCTACAAATCCTTTATCCGCCCAAATATTTGGAGTTATCTCTTCAGAGTCAGTTTAACACTAGAAAGTTGCCTATAAAACAAACATTTTATTTTTAATTAGCAATTGTTTTTTCCTTTCACCCAGCCAAAAACTTAAAATTAAAAAATTGCTTAAAATTAATAAAAAACAAATAAAGCTAATTATGTGGATTAAAGATATTTCAATTTCTTCTTCTGAATAATTATTTTCGAATAAAACAAAAGCTGTTGAATTTCGTTCCGGTCGATTTGATTGATAAGCCTTTTTGATAAAATTATTTAAGGGTCACCCACATGATCACCATCCATCTAGTCAACACTAAGAGTGTGTTATTTTTGGTGTTGATCAAATGGGTTAACCTTATTACTTTAAAAATATTTTTTCTTACATTAACAATTAATTGGGCACTTGAGGGTAATTTATTTGTTTTAGTTTGTATAATTCCATTAAATTCATCGATAATAAAATATTTCGAATTTTCTAAGAAATTTTAAAAAATATTTTTATTTAAAAAATACCTCCACTAATTTGATATAAAATTGTTTCATTAATACTATCACCATCCCAAGCTTTAATTGGTTTAGGCTCTATTATTAATAATGTTGAATTCTTAAATAATTAAAAAAATAATTTTTGAAATTAATATGCTCCAAAAGATCACCACCCAAAATATCAACACTAAAATCCAATGGTGATCTTCTGGGTTAGTCTTTAAAATTAAAAAAACTCACAAAATTTGATTTTTTCGCTTTATAAATTGAGAAAGAAAATACTGGATTTAAGTCATCAATATCTACTAAATTAACTTCAATTAAAGCAGAAGAATTTAATTTTGGAATTCCTTGATCTTCTGCTACAATTTTTATTGAAAATTTTGAAGGCATGTTTTCAAAATCTATTCGATCAGAGATAAATATTTCTGGAAGGAATGGATCGGGGATTGAAAATAAATTTGAATAATTTTTGTTTTTTGTTGATAAGGAAGAAGAAATAGTCTAAAAAATAAAAATAAAATTTGAATAAATTACCCAGAAGATCACCCCCATTAAGATCAACACTAGAAAAACAAGGTGATCTTCTGGGTCTGTTTTTACACTTGAAAATTATTTAAGCATTTGCCTCGATAATTTTATATCGAATATGGCTATTAGGTCCAGGTTGATCATTATCAACAGCTTTGAAATCCAAATTAATTTTCGTACCAATCGGTAATTCTTCGTGTAAATTGATATTAAATTTTCCATTTTTAATAAATTTTGGTGGATTATCATTAACATCAATAATTGAAATAAATACGTTTATATTTAACTAAAAAATATTTTAATTAAATATTAAATAGAGAAAACCCAAAAGATCACCCCAAGGAGATCAACACTAGAATATAGTGTTGATTTATAGGATTTTGATCTCTTGGGTTTTCTTTAAAAATAATTAAAAACAAAACTGAAAAAATATTCTCACTATACTCGCTACTTTGATTAAGATATTTAATTAGAGGAACACATTCAATTAATACATTAATATTTGTTAGGCCCTTTAAAAAAATTTTTTTTCAAAATTTTAATTAATTCAAAATACAGTATCCCTGTCAATTGTTTGTTTTAAAATTAATTGTTTATTTGAATTGTTTAGTGAAACAAATTGTTGGCCATTTAATATATTCAATTTAATATTTTGCTCATCTCCAAAAGGGATGCCGATTATTGGCAAAACTGTCAAGACAGAATCTAAAAAATATTAAAAAAAATAAATTTTTACCCAAAAGATCAACTCCTTTAGACCAATCCCTGCAATATGCTTCAATGTGTTGATCTTCTGGAGGTGATCTCTTGGGTGGGATTTTGAGTTGACTAAAAAGGGAGGTGATCTACAGGGTAAGCCTATCCATTGATCTAAAGAGAGAATTGATCTTGTGGGTGTTCCCCAACAAATTTAATCAAAACCTTTCTGTACATTTTCATAAATAGATAAATAAATTGAACTTTGTTCATTTTCAAGTAAACACAAATGTTTTTTGTCGTCATATTTTTTCTCGTTTTTAAATCCAAAATTTAAATAAAAATTTAATAAAAACAAAAACAGTATTTTTATTTTTTTGGACATTTTTAAAGGGAATATTTTTTAATAAATTTTTTGGAATATATTTTTAGCTTATAATGAAGAGTACATTAAATATCTCAAAAGCTTTTTTTCTTTTAAACAAAAATCTCCATTATTCATTAACTAAAAAAAGATAACACACAAAAATTTACTTAAAATAAACAAAAATATATTAATGACCACCAAGTCTTCTCTTCTTTTTTTAAAGTCCTCTTCAACAATAATATATCTTCTAACCGATAAAGTAAAAAGAAAAGTTTAAAAAAAAACAAATATTAAAAAAAAAATTTTGTTTTATTTTAATATAAAATATTTTTTTTTGAAATTGAAAAAATTATCTAGAGGAAAAGGACAAAACACCGTCCAGACAATTTACAGTTTAGACGTCTAATTAATTTCTGGACGGTGATTTGTCCCTCTAAAAAATGTAAAAAATATTTTTAATTTAAAAAACGTTCCTTAAGTAGAATATAATATTTGATTAATATAAACATCCCTTTCACTCATCGGTAAATCTTCAATTATTTGAAGATTTAAAGCTAAAGCAATTGTTTTTGGATAATTTCCATTACATTTTTGTGAATATTCCAAAAGAAAACGGTCATAATACCCACGTCCATGTCCTAAACGTTTTCCATTTAAAGTAAATGCAACACCAGGCATTACAATTAAATCCAAAAGGTGTTCTAAAAAATTAAAAATTTTTTTTAATTTTTAGGCCAATCCAAAAGATCACCGCTCTAAAATCAACTTGATCTTTAAGTGGTGATCTTTTGGGTGGGTAATTTTAAAAACCGTTTTGTTTTGTTGTCATTCCATCAAAATACGTAGGCGGTGATAAATCACTTGAATGTTGACGAATTCTTTAAATAAAATAAAATTAAAAAATTATTTATTTAAAATAACCCCCAAGTTGTTCTTTCAAGTTTAGCAAATTCGTCTTTAGAAGATAATTTGAGCTGAATAAAAATATATTTTTTAAATTATTTATTATTTTTACCATTTCCATGTGTTCATTTCCTTTCTTTATTCTAAAAAAATTTTTATTAAAAAAATATTTTCGAAAAACCCATTTGATCAACACGCTAAAAATCAACACTAGCAACAGCGTTGATCTTCCAGAGGTGATCTTTTGGAAAAAATTTTATTTTAAAAAATACCTCGGAATAAAAACTTCTTTCCCATCTTCAAGTGCCCGAAGAATAATTTCATCAGTTACAATCTCCCCAAAAGTACTTACATAAATAGCGATCCGTTTGGCTTGTTTAAACCATTGGTGATTAAATAACTTTATTTTTAAATTTTAAAAATTTTTAAAATTAAAAATTAACCTTTTCTTTAACAAAATTACTTTCTTTTTCAATAACTTCAAGTCCTTCTGGTTTTGATAAAAGTTGGTCGATTTTTTGTTTAATTTGTTTTCTAATTAATTTTTTTGTTGCCAACATTCTTTTTTTTTAATTAAAAATAAATTTTTAGACAAACAAAAATAATTCTGAAAAGTAAAAAATAAGTAAATACAATTTTGAGTAATGATAAATATATTTTTTATCTTTTTTGTTTTTATCTGTAAAATAAAAAAACAGGAAAATAACATTGTGGAAGGTTAACCCCCTCGAACAAGAACAATTTATTTGTGGGAATATTACTTGATAATTCGTTTTATTGGTCCCAAAAAAAGTTCGTTTATTTTAGTTTCGTAATTGTTTTTAGGCTTATCACTTCGCTAACAGCAGCTGATGGAAAGGCATCGTGAAAATAAAAAATAGAAAAATTAAAAACAAACCTGTTGGAGCAAATAAAAAAACTGAAGAAATTAGAGCAATGACAGGCGAACTGAAAATGGCGGCGGCGGTGAAACTTAACAAACCAATGGAACTTAAGGGGCATGGATAACTAATGGGTGATGTCGAGGAAATCCTAGCTCTTACCACGAACATAAAACTGGCAAAACTTCTATTGACTCTTAGAACAGTAATTAAGGAAACCCCTAACAAAACGAAATAAAAACAAACCTGTTAAAATGACGCGCGCGTCCTTTGTGAAGCACATTTTTCTACATATTGCAAAGCCGTCCAAAAAAAGCGCTGTCCAGAAAAGAATAATATGCTGCTCAATAAAAAATTAATCTTCATTTAAAGGACGAACTCGAAGACAAATAGAATCCACCCTGTCCAATCAAAGGGACCCCTCTTGATCTATCACTTGGACCCGAATGATCTACCGAAGTGACCAAAAGCGAATTCCTCATGATGACCAAAAGGGCGATCTTTGATAATTCTGACTAATCAAAGAGACTCCTAATGATCTATCACTTGGACCCGAATGATCTACCGAAGTGACCAAAAGCGAATTCCTCATGATGACCAAAAGGTGGTCGATCTTTGATTAGTCAGCCTAACCCCTGACAACTAATTGTAAGACATCGAAACATGGCCCAAAACCCCTGTCCAATCAAAGGGACCCCTCTTGATCTATCACTTGGACCCGAATGATCTACCGAAGTGACCAAAAGCGAATTCCTCATGATGACCAAAAGGGCGATCTTTGATAATTCTGACTAATCAAAGAGACTCCTAATGATCTATCACTTGGACCCGAATGATCTACCGAAGTGACCAAAAGCGAATTCCTCATGATGACCAAAAGGTGGTCGATCTTTGATTAGTCAGCCTAACCCCTGACAACTAATTGTAAGACATCGAAACATGGCCCAAAACCCCTGTCCAATCAAAGGGACCCCTCTTGATCTATCACTTGGACCCGAATGATCTACCGAAGTGACCAAAAGCGAATTCCTCATGATGACCAAAAGGGCGATCTTTGATAATTCTGACTAATCAAAGAGACTCCTAATGATCTATCACTTGGACCCGAATGATCTACCGAAGTGACCAAAAGCGAATTCCTCATGATGACCAAAAGGTGGTCGATCTTTGATTAGTCAGCCTAACCCCTGACAACTAATTGTAAGACATCGAAACATGGCCCAAAACCCCTGTCCAATCAAAGGGACCCCTCTTGATCTATCACTTGGACCCGAATGATCTACCGAAGTGACCAAAAGCGAATTCCTCATGATGACCAAAAGGGCGATCTTTGATAATTCCTGACTAATCAAAGGGACTCCTCTTGATCTATCACTTAGACCCGAATGATCTACCGAAGTGACCAAAAGCGAATTCCTCATGATGACCAAAAGGTGGTCGATCTTTGATTAGTCAGCCTAACCCCTGACAGCTAAGACAACCGAAACATGACCCAAGCTCCCTGACCAATTTTCAATTAGACCATGTTTTTTAATACCAGAGCAGCATACCATGAAAAGTTGATTCAAAAAATTTTTGGATATAGTGTAGTTCACCGGAGGTAAAAGTTCGGAGCGAGACATATGTCATTCGATTCGTCTCGGCGGGCTGAGTCGAACGGTACCACTCCCAATTTCAGGAAATGATTCTGGACCGAGTTATAGGTCCCGAAAAATCGAAAAACCAAAGGGGAGACCAAGCACTTTTTTGGGGTGAAAAATTCGAATATGCAAATGATACCTCATTCGAAAGAGCTCGGCGAGCTGAGTCGAATGACACCGAAATCAACGAAATCTGACTTGATTGGACCGAGATATAGACCTCTAAAAATCGAAGATCCAAAGGATCGATTTTTGGAATAAAAAATTTTTTATCCAAATAATACCTCATTCGAAAGAGCTCGACGAGCTGAGTCAAATGACACCAAAATCAGCTCGAAATCTTGATTTAGAGCCATGATAAACAGGTTCAAAATAGTCAACGTAAACCTATGGAGCGTCGGCGAGGCGCTTGTGCAAAACCCCGCGCTTCGCGCGGGGTTTTGCGGCACGCGCCTCGCGGGGAGTCTACGGGTGCTGGGTCTGGGCTCGTAACATAAACCTATTCCTATCTCCCTTGCTCTGGACGTATTTGGGGCCTCCGTAGCAGCAAAAATCTCCACAGATGCCATAGGTAAGGGGCTAAAACAAACGGTCATAACTTTGTCATATCAAATCGGATTTGGTTGATTTTGGTGTCATTCGACTCAGCTCGACGAGCTCTTTCGAATGAGGTATCATTTGCATATTCGAATTTTTCACCCCAAAAAAGTGCTTGGTCCCCCCTTTGGTTTTTCGATTTTTCGGGACCTATAACTCGGTCCAGAATCATTTCCTGAAATTGGGAGTGGTACCGTTCGACTCAGCTCGCCGAGACGAATCGAATGACATATGTCTCGCCCCTAACTTTTACCTCCGGTGAACTACACTACAGCCAAATTTTTAAAACGACCTGACTTAAATTAGTTTTGCCCGAAAAGCCGCAACCTGAAATAAAAAAAAAATTTAGAAAAATTTAAAAAATTAGTCATTTGTTAAGGGTTTCCTTTTACTGTTCAAATCCCCAAAATTTAAGTCGTTCCCTAATTAAAGGTAAATTAATAGCAGTTTATTGTTGCACAATTAGAATCTGCTGAACAATGTTGAAGTAGTTGATGGAGCAAAGTTCAGGAAAGCGTTAACCAATTCTTCGTTGCCAAATAAATCAAAGTCAACACATTTTGAATCACACTGTCCAAAATCTGTGAAGTAACAACACGCAAAAAACAAATGGCGGTTAGAGAAAAGCATTTTCTATACTCTGCCTGAGAAAAATTAATTCTTTTTCTCTAACCAGTACTTGTTTTGCATGTCTAAACAATGGCCGCTGAAAAAATCAATATATGTAGAAATAGTGTGTAAAATTAATAGACATTAGACAGTAAAGGGTTGTGGACAGTTCAGTGCGATTTCAGTGCAAAGGGTCAGTTCATTGCGAACAGTGAAAAAAATACTAGAAAATTAAAAATCCAGAACCTCTCTAAATCCAGAAACCGAGCTAGTTTATAACTTGAACTAGACAGGGAAGGACTCAATTTTTTTATTTTTTTTCAGATGAAAGAATTTATTAAAAATGATTTATTTATTTATTTTGATGAATTACAAATATATAAAAATATTTATTCGGAAAATTCTTTAAATAAAATTTTATACAAAATTGATACACCTTTTATGATGGAATCTCAAACAAAAAATTGGATTAATGAAAAAATGGGAAAATTAAATAGAAAAAGAAAAAGGAAGAAAAAAGAAGAGGAAAATGTTCAATTTTTGGAAAAGGTTTGGAAATTTTTTTTAATTTTTATGAATTTTTAGAATTCAACATTTATTCAATCAATTTATCAAAAATTTATGGCAATTTATTCCAAAAATTTATTTAATTTTGATATTTCAAATATTGATATTGGTAAGGAATTCATTAATTAAATAAAGCTAACCCTAAAGATCACCACTAACTTTTATGGGAATTTAGTGGTGATCAAATGGGTGTACCCCAAAAATTTTTTAAAATTATTTTTAAAACTTTTTTTAGGAAACAAAGAAGCCAAAAATTTTGTAAAAAATTCTCCAAAATGTGAATTTGAATATATTACCGAGTCAGCTTTAAACGAAGAATTTTTAACTAAAAATTTGGAAGAAAATGGAAATACAAGGTTTTTTGAAATTTAAATTTTAAATATTTAAATTTTTTCAAGTTTATTACCCAATATTTTATTCAAAAATAATTTTTCTAAATTTATTTTACAAAATTCAATTTATTTAATACCTCCATCTTGTTCCTTTTATATGGGAAGTGTTGCTGATATTAATAAATTAAAATGTAGGTATGACCCTAGAGATCACCACTAAATTGTAGGGAATGGAGTGGTGATCAAATGGGATACCTTGAAATTTTTTAAATTTTTAGTGGAAACAAATTCTTTTGATTTGATAATAATTGATCCTCCATGGCAAAATAGAACAGTGAAAAGACAAAAAACGTTTGCTTTTTTTATTTTGAAATAAAATTTTTTGACAAAAAATTTCAGAAAATTTTTTTTGAAAATTTTTGAAAAATTTTTGGAAATTTTTTTAATTTTAAAAAATTCCAAAAATATTTTTTTTAAGGTACAAAATCTTCTCAAATATTCACTCATCACCATCAAATTCTAATTTACTAACAAGTATCCCGATACCTTCACTTTTAACTCAAAACGGCCTTTTATGTTTATGGATAACCAACAGTGAAAAAATATTTAATTTTGCTTTAAATTTAATTAAAAATTGGAAATTGGTTTTAATTGCAAAATGGCATTGGTTAAAGGTTTTTTTAATTTTTTAATTTTTTTTTTAAATTTTTTTTAAAGGTGTGTAAATCAGGGGAACCAATTTGTCAATTTAATCCTTCCCACAAAGTCCCTTTTGAAACAATTTTGTTTGCCTGCAAACCAGAATATGTTGAAGATTATAAATTAATTAGAGATGATTTTTGCTTAATTAGGTATAAATTATAAAATTAAAAATCAAAAAATTTTTTAAATAATTAAATTTTGGTGTGTGCAAATATTTGCGGACAAAAAAAAATTTTTGCGGATTTTTCAATTTTTATTTTTTCCTTTCAATAGGTTTAGGTTTCTGTCCGTAAATGTCTGCACGCACTCTCCTCGATAAATCCCCTTATTAATCTTAAAAATTTTTTATTTTTTCAAAAGTATTCCAAATGCCTATCCTTCACGTAAACCGCCAATATCAATTTTATTGGAAAAATTAAATTTAATAAAATCTCCACAAAATGGACTTGAATTATTTGGACGTTATCTTCTTCCAAATTTTACAACTATTGGCTATGAAGTTGTTAAATTTCAAAACAAATATTTTTTTGAATAGTAGAAGGTTTTTTTATTTAAAAAAATTAAATTTATAAGAGATTTGCAAGTCGAAAACCCCTCTCGTTTTTAAATCCATCTTTGGGGCTGAAAAATTCTGGGTCGTTTTGGCGTGGCAAAAAAGGGAGCGGCCCATAATCTTTGAAAAAAACAGTCGTGCCAAAATGACCCCAACGTCTGAAAAATAGTGCCTTATAATGAGGGTACCTTTTGGAGAATCTCCCCAATCTAGCGGAGCAGTTCAACCGACAATCAGTCCTGGCCCTATAACTCAAGTAGGGATTGCTACTTTTTAATTTCTTGGTACCATTGGAGTCAGTTGAGGTGTACCCCCAATCTAGTAATCAACCAAATTAAAAAAGAGGGTTTTTATATTTTTTAATAAAATTTTAGTATATTTTTTTCTTCTTCATTAAATCCTTTTTTCTTTTTATTTTTCCCTGACTTTTTAGTTGTTGTTTTTATTGTTGTTTCATTTACTTTTGTATTTGTTTTATTTTTATTTTCAATCTTCTCTATCTATTAAAAAATAAATTTAAAAAAATATTTATTAAAAAAATATTCGTTCCAAAAGATCAACTCCATGGAAGTGTTGATCAAGAATAGAGTTGATCTTTTGGGTCGGAATTAAAATAAATTTAAAAAAACCTTTGGAATCTCCAAATATTTTTTAACATTTTCTTCGTGTTCAAGTTGATTTCTTTCATTCACAATTATCGGGAATTCATTTTCACAAAACCCTTCCAATTTACATATTTTCTCAATACTTTTTGTTTCCAACTCTTTTAATTTTTCCAAATTTATTCCATTTTTGCATTTTTCAATTTCTGTTTCGTTTAAAAGTTTAGAACAAGTTTTTTGCAATTCCTGACAATTAAATATAATTTTTATTAAATAAAAAATTATTTTAGTTGAGTGAACAGAGAAGGTGATCTTTTGGGTCAAGTTAACTTTTAATCTCCCTCTTTACTTTTATCAAAAAATTTATAAGAATATCTAATGAATGGTGATCTTCTGGGTTTAATTTTATTCTTAATTTTCTTCCCTTCATATAAAATATTTGAAGACACGGGACGGTGATTTTTTGGGTCGAATTGAATTTAAAAATTTTCCCTCCTTCCAAAAAAGTATAAAATGTGGGAGGGTGATCTTCTGGGTTTTAATTAATTTTTTATTTTCCTTCTCTTCTCTTCCAAAAAAAAATCAAAAAAATCCACAATAAATCATTTTTTTAAATTAAAAAAACACATTTTTAAATTGTTCAGTATTATTGAAATCTCCAGATTGATTATGCCAATACCCAATAATTAACCGACAAATTAAACAAAGTTGATCAGTTGGGAATATATTAAAGTCAACAGTTTGTTGTTGTTTACAATTAATTAAATTAAAAAATAATAAAATTAATTTTAATTTAAAAAACATTTTTTGGAAGGGAAATATTGACGAGAAAAAGAAAATTAAAAAATTAATTACTGGGGAAGAACAAAAAAATATTTGTTTGAACGTTTTAAAAGAATTTTTGCGCAATGAACTAAAATTAATTAATTTTTTGTACTGGGCGTTTATTAAAATAAAATAAAAAGAAATTATTTTTAATAGACACAAAAAGGAAATAAAATTATTAAAATAGATTTAATTAATTAATTATTGACCCAGAAGATCACCTCTAAATAGATCAACATTAGAAAGGAAAGGTGATCTTTTGGGATAGCCTTTATACAAACAATTATTTGTAGTATTATTTATTTAATTATCAACCCGGAAGATCACCTCCTCCTAAATCAACACTAAAGGGAATATGATCTTGTTTGACCCAAGAAATTATTTTTAAAAAAAATTAAAATAATAATTGACAACCCTAATGATCACTTACATATAGATCAACGTTAGAAAGGAAAGGTGATCTTTTGGGATATTTGTATTATTTATTTAATTATTGACCCGGAAGATCACCAATTCAATAATAAAGGGAATATGATCTTGTTTACACAAAAAAATTTTTTAATTATTAACCCTGGAGATCACCTCTCTATAGATCAACGTTTAAAAAGGAGGATAATTTTTGGGGCAACTTTTTTTATACAAATAAATTTTTGTGTATTTTTCCAAATAATTCTTTTATTTTATTATTTTTCTTCCCCTTTTTGATTGTTATTTTTATTTAAAAAGAAATTGATTTACAATAAAAAAATTAAATAAAATTTTTTTTTGTTTTTTTATTACTCATACACGTGCACAATTTATTGCTACAATTTTTATTTTTATTTAAAAAATATTTTTTAAATTAATTTTAGTTGTTTATTAAACACGAAATGCCGTCTAATTTTCGTCTTACATGTTTGTGAGTTTTTTTTAATTTTTGGTATAATTCCGGAATACTAAAAAGAGCGCAAAAGGGTCAAACTATCATTCGAGGGAGGAATTGTCGAGCTCGATTCATGTCAGCTGACGAGCTCTTTCTGAATGACATAGCCCAATTTTTTGACCCGATTTTGACCAGTTTGTCCCAGTTGGGCTCTGTTTAGTATTCCAAACTTTCCAATTTTTTAAATTTTTCTAAAAAATTTTTTTTCTTTTTGAAAATGGCAAAGTTTAAATCCGCACACTCGCAACGTTTTACAACTTGGAATTGGCTTCTTTTTTATTTTCTTGGCTTTTAATTCTCAAGGTTTTATTGAGGAAAGTGTTCTTGATGGATATACAAAAACTGGGCAGGTTGATAAACACGCGGGATATACTAGGTTTTTTTGGATTTTAAACATATATTTTTTAATTTAAAATCTTTTAGTTTGTCAATTATTTATGCAAGTTTTACTGTTTGTAATTTTGTGGCGCCTCCAATTATTAGGTTGAGTTTGTTTAATTTTGATTAGAATTTTTTAAACCGGTTTCAATTTTGGTTTTTAGTCAAGTTTCCGTTTGTGTAATAATTAAGGTCATGGGTTCAGGGCTCCGGGCATGGACCTGCGGTTGAGGGATTCTGGGAAACCCCCGGATCCGAACCTTTTTTCATATCCGGATTCGTCAACCCTACCGACTACCTTGAAAGGGCATCGAGTCGTGGACAATCCCCAATTAAGAAAATAATTTTTTTTCAAAGATTATTAGGCACAAGAACTTCTTTGGTTACCGCTGGACTTGTTTATGTATTATTTCTTGCCGGTTTTCTCAATGTTCATCAATGGTTTCTTTATGCAACTTCTGCTTTACTTGGTCTAGCTGCTGCAGTTTTGTGGACAGCACAGGGAAAATATTTAACTTTAAACAGCACTCCACAAAGTGCCGGCCGGCATAGCAGTCTTTTTTTGTGTTGTGCTCAAGCCTGGTTTGTAGAAATTTTTTATTATAAAAATAGGGGTCCAAAAAAAAAGACCAGAAGGGATTAACCGGGGAGTTTTGTTATTTTTGAGGGTTTGGTATTTCGGCAGATTTTGTCCGCAAAAGTAGTCCGCAAAATTTTTTTTTGTAAATTTTTTAATTTTCTTAAGCCTTTCATGTGGTGGCCTTTTCCTATTAATTGTCTTTTTATTAGCTCCTGATAATGTAAATAATAACCAAATATTACAACAAAACCAAACAACAACAAATAACACTTCTTTTACTTCCGAAAATGTTAAACTTCTTTACAGCTTTTTTACGGGAATTGCTTTAATTGGTGTAATTGTATTATCCCTTTTACCCCCAACACAAAGAAATAATTGTCAACAAGAACAACAAAATAAAGAAGAAAAGGAAGAAGTATTTATTTTGGCAGAAATTAGTAAAGAATTGTTTTTAAATAACTTTTAAAATTTTTCTTTGGCAGATTCAATTTTTAAAATTGCCAAAACACCAAAAATGTTAGCTTTAGCTGTTGTATTTGCCAATACTGGAATTTTATTAAGTTTTTGGAGCAGGTTTTTATTTATTTTTATTTTTGGGAATTGAGGAAGGGTGAGGGTTTTTCGCTGAATTTTTAAAAATTTTATTCGGTTTCTGAAAAAGTCTGCAAAAGTAGGCCGCAAAATAATCTTCAAAAAATTAATCTTATTTATTTTTCCAGTATTTTCCCAACTTCAATAATAAATACAATTATATTTCAATCACAATTTAGTCCAAAAATATTAATTGCATTTAATGGAATTGTTAAAGGGGCTGGACAACCTTTTTGTAATTTTTTTGACTATTCTAAAAAAAAATTCTTTTTAGTAAGCCTAATTTTCGAACGTTTACAACTTGATAAAATTAAAAAAAGTCGTATAATATTTGTTGGTGTATTAATTCAATTTTTGGCAATTTTGCTTTGCTTTGTAAATTTACCTAATGAATCCCCTTTAAATCAAACAACAAATGAGGCTATAATTAAACCAAGGTTTTTTTTATTTTTTAAGAAAGCCCGCAAAGCTAATCCGCAAAACTAAAAATTTTTTAAGGGTTTGGATTGCTTTAATTTGTGGATTCCTCCTTAGTTTTTGTGATGCTTGCTGGTCAACACAAATTTTTTCTTTTTTGATAATTAATTATCCTACACAAAGTGCACAAGCTTTTGCATTATTAAAGTTTTATCAGGTTTGTTTTTTTTATATTTTTATGGGTATTCCATGTTCCCCTTTTATCAAAACAATGGAATGGGAGGAAACCAAAAACAGGAACCACTTTCTTTGTCCCTGTCTACCCTTCCTTTTTAAATTATTTCGCCCTTCTCACCAACCTCCAAACTTTTTAAATATTTATTTTTTAAAGTCATTATTAACTTCCCTACTTTTCTTCTTTTCTGGTTACATGTCTTTACATTGGCATTTATTTATTCTTTTAATTTCTGGAGCACTTGGTTATTGGGCATTTGCAGTTGCTGAGAAAATGGAAATTGTTAACGAGAAAAATAGAAGAAAAATTGATCCAATTGAATTAAGTTAATTTTTTAAAAGTCTTTCCTATATTTCCTTCTTCTTCCTCCTCCTCTTCCCCATCATCCATAGTCAGCATTTGCAACGGCACACGTGCAATTGAAAATGCTGGATTAGTTAAATACTAAAAAATAAAAATTTGAAATTTATAAAACTTGCGGATGTCCGTAAATTTAATTTTAAAATTAAAATAAACAAACATCGACTTCCAATGTTTCCACAATATTTAAAGAGTCTGGTACTTGTGACAATTCTTCTCCCAAAGTTTGAACAACACGGCTAAGTACACCTGTTTGGATACTTAAGTCAACCTTTAAAAAAATAAATTTTAATAAAGTTTATTTTTTAATTTTTTTTAATCAAATCAAAGCCTGATGTCTTACTTTTGCGGCAAACTAACATGAGAAAAAAGAAGAGTCCGCAAAAATAGGAAAAGCCCCAAAAATACAATTCCACAAAAAGGACCCCTAATCTTTTTTATTTTTTAATTTTATACCATTCGAGCTTCTTTTTCTTCTTTCCTCGCTAAATCAGCCATTCTATCCATTTGTCGTTTTTGACGTTCCAATTGACTAATTTCTTCCCGTCTAACATTTAAAAATTCAGAAATATCACGAAGTGGAACATTATAAAAATTAGAAAGTTTGGTCAAATTTCCATCAACATTTAACCAATTTTCTAGCCAACGCCTAAAAGATAATTAAAGGGAAGAATAATTTTCTATTTTAAATAAAACCTGTAATATTCCAATTCAAAATTTTCTCTTCCCAACAAATTTTCACTTGTTGAAGGTCCAAAATCTGTAGATAACCATGAAGTGTATTCTACAATATTATCAAAATTTGTCATTTCTTTATTTTGTTTTGTAGCAATAAATTCATTCAGTGGAATCATTTTAATATCTTCTCCTTCTCTTTTTTCATCTTTATTAAAAAATTTAATTTTTTTTCAAACTTGCGGATTGTCCGCAAATATTAAATCATATATCATAAATAGTAATACCTTTTATTCCCTTAATTCCTTTAACATTTTCTATCATATTTTTTTGCCAATTAGATAATAAAACACTTGATTGCTGTTTAATTGAGGAACCTTGCCCAACAAATTTATCATTAATTAATTCAGGAAAAAGGCTAACAAGTTTCGCCCATTCATGTGAACTAAGTGGAATTAATTGTTGATTTGTAATATTGCTTTGAGGTACTCTTCTCATTGCCTCAATTAATCCAGATTGTTTATTTGTTATTAAAATAATATCGGAAAGATCAAATGGAAGGGAAGCTAAAAATGAGAAAATCTTTAAAAATTGCGGACAAATAAATCCACAAATGAAATTCTCCCTATTGTCTTAAAAAAATTTGCGAGCGTCCGCAAAACTTTACCAAGCTAAAATAGATTTCAAAAATAAAATTTAAAAAACCTGGGCCAGAAGCAACAACAGGATTGTTAGATTTACTGAAATTACTGCTTGAGGTTGTTGTTTTTCCTTCTTCTATTTTTTGTTTAACCTTCTTTAATGTAATTTTAGTATTCTCATTCTTTTCTTCATTAATATTCGGTTTTTCAAATTTTTTGACCAAAGGAAGAATTTTTGAAGATTCTTCATCTTTTTTAATATTTTCCTCCATATTCTTCTCCTTTTTTATTTTTGAAAATGTTTTTGGCGAAAGAGTTAATTCTAATGTTTTTTGTTGTTTTAATTCTTTAATTAAAGCTTCTTTTTCTGTTGACTGTTTCCCTTCTTTACCTCTCCAAAGATTGACAATTTTTTCCATTAAAGATTTTTTCCGCTTATCTTAAAATTAATTTATATTTTTTAAAGTTTTCTTTCAATTTTTTAAGGTTAAAAAAACCTTATAAACCTTATAAAAAATCCCTTCACAAACCTTCATCAATTAATTGTTTATTTAATTCCAAATAATTATAGTCTGTTTGTGTCCATTTTTGTTCTGTTTTTAATTCTTCTTTTATTTTTATTAATTCTTTTAAATTAATTCCTTTCGAATTAGCCATTTCAATTAATTTCATAGCTTCATTTAATTCAAAAAATAATTCAGTTTGTACTTGTGTTTCACTCATAAATTGACTCATTTGTTCGTTTCCATTAGAAGAGATTAATGTTGAATCTTAAAATCTTTTTTTTTGAAAATTAAAATATTCAAACCTTTCAATAAATTTTTTCCAGTTGCTATTTCACCACTTTCACCCATTACCGAAAAAATTGTATTTAAATTTTCTAATTTATCCAAAAGTAATAACCCTTCTTTCTCTTCCAAAACTTTCTTCTCTTGCTGATATTTTTTAATTCTTCGTCTTTCCTCAAATTTTAATTGAGGTTCTCTGCATGAGAAACAAATTTCTTCAAATACTAATCTTTCTTCGGATTGAGGTAAATATTTAGTTTCAAAGAAAGGACTTCGAATTAATTGAATATCCAAAATTGTCTAAAATTTTAAATTTCATGTTTAAACAATTTAAAATTAAAAAGAAACCTCTTCATAATTTTCTCTTCCAAAATTTTTTATTTGAGTAATAGGTTTAATAGGTTGACTAATTTGCAAAGTAAAATCTTTATTTGTTTGATATTTCAATTTTCTTTTGCTTTTTGTTTTATTTGAAACATCAACATCCAATTCTTCTTCAACTTCAGTACTTTCCTCTTCTTCCTCCTCTTCTTCTTCTTCTTTCCAATTTATTTTTCTTTCTTTCTTAATCATTTTTATTTCATTAAGTAAAGCTAATTTATCCTAAATAAAAATATTTTATTAAAAAAACCTCTCAAAATAAATTTAATACTTCTCTAGTTAAATACCCTCCTCCATCAACATCTGAAGAGCTAGTTGATGAAAATGTTAGTCCAAAACCTTCTTTTGTTTTTTGCTTCTGTAATTTTTCCTTTTGTTTTTGTGTTTTTAATTTGAGCAATTTTTCACGTAAAATATTAACTTCCTAAAAAATAAATAATTTTCAAAATCTTGAAATTTTTTTAAAAACCTCATCTTCAAGCTCAAAAGCTTTTTTCAAATCAACCATTTCTTTTTGTATATTCGCAAATTGACTATTACTTCCATGAGCAGCTGCTTCTAATGCAGAAATATTTTCTTGTCCTCCCATAAAACTTTTCTTTTGGAAAGTACTACTTAATTGGGTTTGTGCTGGTCGACTAATTAACATTTGTTGACTAGTTTGTATCTTTTTACCATGAGAATTGAATGGAAATCTGTCAAATAATTTTTCAGTTTTTTGATTTAAATTTTTCTAAATAGCAGAAGGTAGCAGAAGGCTAAATAGCCCTTTGTATAGCAGAAGGCTAAATAGCCCTTTGTCCTTCCCCACCCCTACTATAAAATTATTAAATCACTTCCATAGTGTAGTGGTTAACATCCCCGACTTGCACCCAAACATGACCCGGGTTCGATGCCTTTGGTGAAATTAACCATTAAAATAAATATATTATACCTTTGATATTCTGTTTGAACACTAACTTCCATCACATTTATTTTATCAGAATTTTTATCAAATTGTGTAGATTTATCAATCAATATATTTTCTGTAGATATTCCTCTTTCGATTAATCCACAAAGAGGGCAACCAATTTGTGAAGATAATTGATTAATTATTAAATTGTCAGTCTTTAAAAATATTTTTTTATTTAAGATATATAAACCTGTATAGCTATATTTCTCATAAATCTTAATCCTTCTTTATTCATTTTCTTTTTCCTTTCTTTTTGTTTTAACTTTTTAATTAAATTTGTATCCTCATCGTCTTCATTATCAATTGTTCCTTTTCCAGTTGAAGCCATATGAATAGTTACTTTAGGCAAAGATTTGTCTTTTCTTTCTATAAAATTTTTTAAAAGGTTAAAAATTTTTTTTTGTTAGGCTGCTCTACTCCTATGGAGTGACTTGCACTTAAAAATAACCCAGGTTTAATGCTTTTTAAGATTTTTTTGTCCGCAGATGTTTATCCGCAAATTTTGTCTGCAATTATTTTCTTATAAAATAATAAAAAAACCTAAATTATTGTAATCTTCAACTTCAATTTCTTCCATTCTCTTCATTTGTTGTGAACGTTTAGAACTTATACTCAATTTTCTTTCATTTAATTCTTCATCTTTACTACTTCCACTTAAATAATTTTGATTTAATGCTGAAAGACCAGAAGAAGAGAATTCTGCACTCTAAAGAATAATTTCTTTTATTTATATATTTTTTAAAAAACCTCTTCAATTGGATAATTAAATATCTCATCACTACTTCCATCATCGTCTTCCTCTAAAATTCTCATAATACAGGACACTTCCGGTTGTGTTCCTTGATTGCGCAAAGGTCTAAATAAAATATAGGAAATATGAAAAATAATTTTTGAAATTCGGGGTTTCTAGATAGCTTTTCATTAAGTTGTCCTACCCCTTTCTATATTTTAATTAGTAAACCATTTCCGTGGTTAACACTCTTGTCACGCACCTAAAGATGACCAAGGTTCGATGCCCAGTGGGGAGAATTGGGGGAGTAAACGAGAAATCAACTGATTTTTATTTATTATTTTTAAAATTAATTTAAAAAATTTTTAATTAAAAATAATTTACACAGTAAAAGTATTAGTAGAACAATCAACCAAAAATTCATTCAAAATTTCATTTGACAATTTATATTCTGTTTCAGTATCTTGCATTAAAGGAGAACACTTAAAAAACAAAAATTAATTATAAATTAATTTATAATTAAAAACCTGAATACCAAAATTATTATCAAATAATTCTTTACTTTGTTCATCTTCTTCTTTTTCCTCAGCACGCGAAATGAAAAATTTGTGAGTTTTTTGTAAAGGTAATTGTTCTATTTTTGATTAAAAAAATTTTTTTAATTAAAATTAAAAAAAATACTTGTTTGTGTATGGATATTCTTTTTTATTTTACTTTGTTGATTAGCCTTAAAAAATAATTATTTATTAAAAAAATTGGGCACTGGTATTGTTTCTGCGTCCGATGAATCTTTATGAGTTGGGTTGTCGGTTCTGGACCGAATTGAAGAACCGAGGATTTTTCGGTTCGGTTCCAGATATCCGAATTTCCAGGAACCGACACCCTATTTATGAGTTCAATAGAAATATTCAATAAAAAGCTTCACTGAACTTTATAAACTAGACGAGAGCCAAAAATTATTTATTAAAAAAACCTTTTCCAAAAATTGATTAACACGTTCACTATTACATTTTTCATCAAAAATTTTACAAAAAGTTGGTTTCCCAGTTTCTTCATTTAATTCAGTCATTACTTCAGGTAAATCAACACCCATAGCTCTAGCCTCTTCTTTGAATTGACTCATTAAACGAATACCCTTTTTTGTAAATTTTAAAACTTTTTAAATTAAAAAATTAAAATTACTTGATTTTTACTAATAAACGGCATCAAATATTTACATCGAGAATTAAACCCAGCCATTGCTCCTTTTAATGCTTCAACATCACCACTAGCACAGGCTTTCATATATTGCTTAAAATAAATTTTTGCAGATAAAAATTTAGTGGAATTTTGGGGATTTGGAGGGGTGGGGTGATAAAAAAGAGATATCAGGCGGTTTAGTGATTAGGAGGGATATCGGAGGATTGTGAGGAATAAAGCGGATTTGGGGGTTAAGAGAGGGGATATAAGGGGTTTGTAGAAATTAAGAGGGATATATAAAAGGATTAAGGGGGGTATATCCCGTATATCAGCCCTAATAGCTTCTGAAACTTTTAAATCAAATGATAAAAACCTGAAGCATTTTGTTGAGAATTTCCATATAAAGCTGAGCAACTTTTTCTTGAACAACATTAATACAAACACTAACAAGAGATAAACCAACAATTACAACAAAAAAACTCATAATCATATACTTTAGAGAAGGAATTTTTTAATAAGTTTTTTAAAAATACTTGTGGATGTTGTGGAGTAATATCGCCAAAACCAATTGTACTCATTGAAATGAAGAAGAAATAAATTGAAGTAAAATAACTCCATTCCTCCCATAAACAAAAAATGGCAGCTGCTAAGAAAATCCAACTTGTTGTAACTGTAAATTTTTTTAATTTTAGAAAAATTGAGGCAGAAAATTGCGGACAAAAGGCAAAACCCCGCGCTTCGCGCGGGGTTTTGCACAAGCGCCTCGCCGACTCCCCATAGGTTTAGGTTTTTTTGTATCATAACTTTGTCTAATCTTGTTCAATCACGGTGATTTTGGTGTCATTTGACTCAGCTCGTCGAGCTCTTTCGAATGAGTTATTATTTATATAAAAAATTTTTTGTTCCAAAAATCGCCCCTTTGGATCTTCGATTTTTAGGGGTCTATATCTCGGTTCAATCAAGTCGGATTTTGTTGATTTTGGTGTCATTCGACTCAGCTCGACGAGCTCTTTCGAATGAGCTATCATTTGCATATTCGAATTTTTGACCCCAAAAATCAGCTTACTCCCCCCTATGGTTTTTCAATTTTCGGGGGCCTGTATCTCTGCGAGTTTTTGTCTCCCGCAGAAAATTCTTGCATATTTGAACTCAGCTCGTCGAGACGAATCGAATGGTATATATTATGAGTTCCGATCTCGGTGTAGCTATACTAAAGCGACCCCATCCTTGGTAAACATCTTAAGTAGTTAATGACCTTATCTAATTAAAAAAAATTTTTCTACAAACCTATTAATGCTATAAATAATGGAGGACTATGTTTAATAGTAGATTTGCCTGACGAGGACTGTGGTAGTGATTTAATTGATTCTTCGACTTCATTTTCTTCTTCTTCTAAAAGTATTTCCTTTGAATTATTTAAATGACTATTTTGTTGTTTTTCAACAGAATCAACATTTCTTAAAATTAAAAAAATTATTTAAATAATTTTTAATTGAAAAAATAACTTTAAATTATTTGATTGAACTGCTGCAATTGAAGAACCACTTTTTAAAAATAATTCTTTTGCTTCATCTAACTTTAATTTTATTTTTGTTTTATTATTTTCTTCTTTTTTATTATTCAAATTTTTTTTGTTATTTTTTAATTTATTTGTTGTTTGAATTGCTAATAATTTTTTTGTAATTAAATTACATCGTGGATCAATTATTGTTTCAATTTGAAATGGTTCCAAATTATTTAAAAGTGAACCTTTACTTATTGCATAATTTAATGAATGTTTTTCCTAAAAAAATATAAATTATTTTAAATTAAATTTTAAAATTCGAGTTGTGTCCACGAGGATGTAAAAAGAATTTTTTTGCCTTTTATATACGACTCTGGTTAGACACAAACAAGTAACTTCACTCGTTAGGCGTCGAACCTAAGTCCCTGAAAAGCTAAAACCAGACGCTTAACCACTACACCACGACAGATATGAGACGGAAAGCTTTCAGAAATTGGCGATTTCAGCCACAAAATTGGGAACCAAGAAGATAAAAACCTTATCTAAATCTGACAATAAGCTAAATTAAAATCGTGGACACCTAATAATAAAAAAATTAAATTTTAAACCTTATAAATATTTGATTTGTTTTTAATTGATAAAGTTGATGATGATTCTGAAATAGTTGAAGAAGATGAAGACGAAATCGAAGAATTTTTTAAAGAAGGTTCACTAATTGTTAGACTAATTGTGTTTGAAATCAATTTTAAATTTGAAAGAATTTTACAAATAAAAATATAACGAAGAAAAGATTCTTGAGTATTGAGTTGAATAAAATTAAATTTAACTCCTTAAAAATAAAAAAATTTTTTAATTAGAAAAACTAACCTAAAAAGAAGATTAAATCATCAATAAAATTACTCATTTGTTTCATAAATTTAAGCAGAAAAGTTCCGAGTTGGTCAAGTACAACAATCACTTAAAAAAATATTTTTAATTAATTAAAAATATATAACCCATGACCCGGAAGGGACTTGGAAGAAAATCGATCTGGTATTTAAATCCTTGATTTAAATGTTCCTGAGCCGGGTCCGGGATCAGAGGTTATAAAAAATTTGAAAAAAAAATCAAAAAGATACTCATTGGAATTCCACATATTGCATAAATAATAGTAACAATACGTCCAGAAAAAGTAATACACGCAATGTTGCCATAACCCTTAAAAATAAATTTTCTAATTAAAAATAAATTTTCAATTTACCAACTGTTGTATATATTGTAGCACAATAAAGAATTGCTATTTAAAAAAATAAACTTTAAAAAATATAAAAATTTACACATCCAAAAAGTCCATTGTGTTTCAATTTGAGGTAATTCACATTCAATTGCTTCTTCAAATTCAATAATAGCCTTTTAAAAATTTTTTTACAAAAATTAAAAAAAAATTCAAAAATACTTGTTTCCAGTGTTGATTTTTTTCTAATATTTGTCTTGTTTGGTGAATTTGATTTACTCTAAAAAACAAAAAAAAATAAAAATTTTTTAACAAAAATTTACTTGAAGAGAAGTGAATCTCTGGCCATCTATAATAAAGAAAAATTTTAAACCTAATTTCTAGACTCATTTATTATGAAACCGTATGACGCCGAAATACCAAACTTACAAAAAGACACGCCTAAATAGCAAACTGTAAATTTTTAAAAACGTTACACATGATTTGGTATTTTTTCCAGTTTGGTATTTTGGCGGTTTTTGGAAGTTTTGGTATATTGGTGCGCTCTTGCTTTAGTTATGAAAAATGTTTTTTAATTAAAAAAACTTCAATTGAAAAAACCTCTCACCAGATGATAATCCCTTGCTTCTTCCCTAATTTCCAAATCTGAAGGTATTTCTAACCACATAAACAAATTTGCTCCAATTAAGGTATAAATTGCTACAATCCAAAATAATTTTGTTTTGTTGATGGAAGACTTTATAAATGACAATAATAACAAAATAAATTGAAAACTAAAAATTATTTTTAGAAAAAAAATTTAAAAATTAAAAGCAAACCTGTAAACTTTTCTCGTTTCATTATTTGAAGGTTCTTCTTCCAATTTATCATTAGACGGTTTTATTGGTTCACTGATAAGTTTTTTATTGTCTTCATTAACAGAAATATTAATTCCTCTTAAATTTTGGTTTGATTCCTTTAACCCAAGTTCAACATCACCAATGCAGTCTATATTTTGACCTTCAGTGCCATTGTCAATATTAATCACACTAAAAAATTCAAAATTATATAGAAAATTTTTCTGCTTACCAATCCTGCTTTTTCCTTTCCATCATTCATTGCACGGATTTTCAAGAAAAGAAGGCGCTCAAAAATCCAAAAGCACAAGTTCATGTTTAAAAATAAACGTTTGCTCGCAGTTTTAAAAAGCAAACAGCTAATTGATGTATATTCACCTATAAATTATCTATCAAAACCTACAAACGCATACTTGAGATGAAAGGAATGAACGAAAAATTCTCGTTATTTTAAAGAAAATTTACAAAATAATCAATTGTACTATCTCATTATAACGCCATACGTCCGCAAATATTTGTGCGCAAATAGAGATTTGCCAGAACTTTATTAATCCCTGAACATTTTTAATTTTATGAGAGGACAAAAGAGGAAAAAACAAAATATGCATTTGCGGAGACATAGTTACAGACGTGTGGGGTCAAATTATTAAAAATAATATTTGGATAAAAAATCCATCAAAAAATTTCTAAAAACTTTTTTTTAATTAATTTTTATTCTCACAATTAACATTTAAATTTTAAATGTTACATACATAATTATATTTACGTTAATGTGTGTGTAAAGCACAGAAAAAAAATTTTCAAACTGTGAGATGCTCGCAACACAGAAAAAAGGTGCAAATTACAGAAAGAAAAACTTACGGAAAAAAACACATACAAAAAAAATTTTTAATAATAAACAAGTCGACATAATAAAAGGTCATTTTCATTTTTTCAATTGTTTTTTTATCTTGTGTGTGCATTTTAAATAAATGTGGGTGTATTCAAAGCAATATTATTTTTAGAAAGAATTTTTTTGAAAACCCTCTCTCTCCTCAAATTAATTTTTTTTCTTTAATTATGTATGATTATCGACTTTTTAGAATCGAGTAGACCTCTTGCAACCCTAGACTTATTCGAATGCTGTATGCCAAGAAATGGAGCAGCCGCAGGGACTTTAAAGGAAAAATTATTTTTTAATTTTTTAATAAAAATAAATCATACAAGTTATATGACTCTGCAAAAGCTCAACCAAATTAACAATAGAACTGTCATCATGACTGTCAAATTCACGAAGTATTCGATTTTGTTTGACGATGCAAAACTTGTACTATAAAAAAATAATAATTAACATAAAAAATTATAAAAAAACCTTCTCAAAATCCTTTTCTGGCACTTCAATCATTTGCCGAATACGCTCTCTAATATTAGCAACCTTTTCGCCATTAGTAATTTTAATAAAAAATGGAACGCCAAAAGTCCGTGTTGGCTCCTTTTCAAAATGCGCAACTGGCAATAATTGCTCATCAACGCTAAGCTGGAGTTGATCCTTTGGAATTTCTTCCACACGGAACTTTAAAAATTGAATTTAATTTTTAAAAATTAAAATTTATTTCTTTACCGCATAATTATTGTTTCTCATAACAATCTCTTTGTACAAAGCATCTGTCTTTAATATTTGGTAAGCTCTAGAACAAGTGTCATTTGAACTCGTATGAACGAGCCTAAAATTATAAAAAATAAATGATAGGTAAAATTGGGTTTAGGGACGTTTAAGGGGCGTTTATAACATTTGGGGACGTTTATAAGTTTCAAAAACAGTTCCAAATAAATAGAACTTCCAATATATAAACTCCGATATAAAGAATATTGTTACAAAAAAAAAGATGAAAAAACCTTAAAATGCCTGTTCCATCTTCAGAAAATTTAAAATCCTTTTTTGCTTCATCAAGTATATCTTGTACAGTTGCTGATTTATTCACAAAAACGCTCAATTCCTAAAAGTATTGAATATTTTAAGCTAAAATTAAAAAAATATACGGAAAGCACAAATTTGTCGTTCATTATATAAAGAAGAATGTGGTATTTAACATCAAATTCTTCCAATGTAATGGGCAATTTTGAGTAAAAAAGCTTGTATAAACGCTGAAAACGAGGATCGTAGTTATTAGCACCCAATCCCAAAATGTAAAGCAAAGAATATTCTTCCATATGTTGATACTTAAAAAATTAATTTTTTGAATGAAAAATCAAAAAATTGAGAGATTATAAAATTAGACAACCGAAAGAGGATTAGCTGGTTTTTCAGTATGAGTTGCATCTAAAAATTATTTGAGTTATCTATTAAAATAAAAAATTTCGAACTTTTAAAAAGTAGAATTTTTGCCGGATCATAATCAATCTGATCGCCAATCCAAGCACAAACTTTAGGCAATTTCCAGTCCTAGAAATTATATCGAAAATCAACTATTAATAGTAAGCAAACAAACCAATCCAATTTGTCCTCTAATTGGTTGCATCGGCGCTTCCAATTCAGGTTTAGTACTTGCTACAAATTCATGAAAATGTGCTTCAACCTAGAAAGCGTAATATTTAATAAAAGCAGAAAATTTTCAAAAATAACCTCAATTCGATTATATAATGCTCGAAAATAAATTTGGGTATTATTTTCCTCAGTTGTTTTAGAGGCGTCTTCAGCAATTATAATAGATCCATCGTTTGTCAACATTTGTACATCACGAATTCGGGTATTGGCATTCATTATAGGAATAATACGATCAGGTTTGTACTCCTTAATATAACAATAATTATTCTATAACGGACTCTAAACAATCTTACAACGTAAAGATTAAGTCGAGTATCTGGCGGAAGACCAATTATTTGATTAATCTCCTCAAAATGAGCTCCTACTTCATTGCCCAAATTTAAAATAACAGTGCCTTTAAATTCAGTTTGTTGTCTTTCCGGATTGTAAAGTTTGAGAAAAGTAAAAATGTCGTCTAAATAATAAAAAATAAGGAAAATATAAAAAATCTTTTTATCCATACTGTTTCGGTCATAAGGCTTAAGCCCATGAATATCGCCTCCCAAAATTCCAGGCTTGCCAGTCTCTAAGTAGACAAATCTGTCAATTTGTACAATTGGCACGCTGTAATCTTCTGTTTCATTGGGATCAAGAAAGTTGCGAGGACGAGAATTTTCACATCGAAAACGATGCAAGCCTTGACGATCATCATCTTGAAAATCCCATAAACGAAAGCTTGTCTCCGGTATATTCTAAAAATAAAAATAAGAATTTTTTTGAAAATTTAAAAAACCAGATTAGCAGCTATAAATTTGTATAAATCCCGATAAGTCATATTCTTTTGCACTTTTAATTTTCGAGATTGCGCCTCAAGAGTTCGACTATCAAATAATTCAAATTCATGATGCGACTTCATTTCCTCATCCAAAATCAGCTGAAAAGGAGGGAAAAATTGATCGTAAAGTTGAAAGAATAACCGAAATTTCACAGTAATTATTCGCCTCCTCACGTTCCAGTCGGCGTTCATATTCTCGTTTTTTCTCATTTTCAAAACGTAAACGTAATTGTTCAGGTATATCTTCAACCAAAACTGGACCAAGAACATCATCTAAAATTTAAAAAAATTTGAAGGTACCAAAGCTTTGCCAAAAAGAAACAAAAAAACAATGCGAAAAAATAGAATTTACCGATAGCCTTCTTCTGAATGTATACAAGCATATATGCATTAGTACAAGAACGTCCCATTCCCTCAATATTTTCACCTCCAAAATTTGCTATAACAGCATCTCTATAAGCAACTCTAGACACAACATCATCATCAAATTTACACCACTTTAAATTATCCAAAAATTAAATTTAAAAAATAAAAATCAAAAAACCTTTGCAGTTCCTCTGAGATTTATATTGATGAATGCCACATAGTGACCACCATGAAAATCGCCGGAGTGGACAAGAACAGCATGTAATAAATAATTAAATTCATCCTTTGCGCTGTTTTCCTTTTCTTCGGTTTCAATGAACTCAGTCAAATCCAAGGTATCTGTGAACTCAAATCTGCAAAAAATTAAGCGATGTTGACTAAATTAAGGTTAAAATACCTGTCATTAATTTTCACGTTTGCATCTAATAATGGATCGTACTGGAAACGCATAAGTTGTAAGTACAATACTGGCGGAAAAGAAAGAAACTTGAGGCCTTTCTCTGCAGGTTGAAGTCCAAAATCTTTAAAAAAAAGTAACAAAAAATTGGAAAAATTAAATAAGAAAAACATACCCCCAGCATCATATTTATTGTCCCCATCAAGCATTTCTGTTTCAATATAATCTTTGAATGATTCGAGAACTGAAAAATGTTTTTAAAAATTCTACAAAGATTAATTCATTTTTACCATTAGACTTGTTCTTGACGTTAAGTTGGAGGTCGTAAAAACACTCCTCACGTGACGACTCAAAATCAACATCCTTACACTTGATGTAAGACTTCATACATCCTTTGAAGAGAGAAGGAATTGTGTCAACAACCTAGAAACGTTAAAGAGTAAGGATATCTTGAAGAAAAAATTTTTAGAGAAAAAGTACGGCTCCCGTACTGGTGAAACTTGAGGATTCTCTGGAGGTTAAAGTCCAACCGTTATGCTTGAAAGGTAATTTGACTATTTCTCTCAGTTTGACTTTTCCAAGTGAATCAATTAAAAATGGATTGATATTAGTTTTAAAATCCTTTTTTGGTAGGGGAAAACACTAATAAAACGGCAGAAAACCCGAGAGAAATATTGAAAAAGTCAGTAAATAGTCCACCGAATCACTATCCTCGTATCCTGCTTTATCGCAACCTTTTTTCCATTTTAGTAAATTAAATACCTTTGTATTCTTCATCTTATTTTCAAGATTATCTAACAACACACGACAAAATTCTTGTACATCATGTTGAAGAAAAGAATCAATAGAATCCCAACCAAAAGACTTTGTCAATTTTTTAGTACCGACAGGAGAATCAGAAAACTGGAGCTCAAAGAAAACTCTTTGCATAGCCAAAGCTACTGAACTATCAGGATTATCTTCGTCAGTCGGCATTTGATATACTGCCTTAAATGGAAAAATTTTTGAAAGAAAACGAAATTTGAGAAACCTTTCGAAGCTTGTTTGTAAAGAATAACGTTTGCAAAATAGAATTCATATAACAAGTGGCACCCTGATTTTTGAGACCAATACATCCCGTGTCCTTTTTGCTGTCCCAACTAGTAAAATTTTGGTGAAATTCAAGTAAATACCCCAGTCCCCATCTCTTTCCCTTCCTCAAAATATTAAAACTGGTCAGACTTTCCTCCCTTCCTCAACTTCACTCTATTTCCCTATGGCATCAATCAGTCAATTTCTTCTCGTTTTCCGTTTTTTACGTCAAATATAAAATTGGCAATCCATTTATTGATTGACTGTGTGCCATAGGGAAATAAAGTGAAGTTGAGGAAGGAATCAAGGTTTGACCCTTTTAAATAATCCTTGAGGGAGGAAAAAAGAGGGGGAGATCTGAAATTTAGCAAACTCTAAAAATAACTTACTTAACCCCATGTGGTGCATCTGCGGTTACTTCAACAAAAAGAATGATAGTATCCGTTTCCTCATCATACCAGCCATCATCAGGGTTCATAATATTCTAAAATTAAAAAAAATTAAATCAATAACCTTGATAAGATAACCTCAAAGGTCATAAACTGCGCAAAGCCCCAATCATTCTCTTTCGCATGAAATACATGGCTTATTTTACGAACATGATCCTCTTTTCCTGGCTTTTGCGCAAGAATTTTAAGAGTCGCATTACCAGAACAATTCCAAGAAGGATCTAAAAATCAATAAAAAATAAACATAACGTCAATTAAAAAAGACAATAACAATTATATTTTAAATAAAGACCTGAATTCTGAAAATAAGGACCTGTATTGTCAGCATTACATTGTAGAAAATAACCAAGACATTTTTGCATCGACGCTGCCCCCATTGGAGGACGACGTCCCATTTCTCTTGGAATAGCCAAAATTTTCCAAGGCAATCCACGAATATAAACTGGATCGCTCAATCGACGACTCTCTGGCCCTTCATGAGCAAACTCGCTGAACTTTTCAATTTTGAGTGTAATTTGACCTTCTGGCTTGTATGGATCTAAAAAGGCATTATGTATATCTAAACACTTTAATGAGGGTAAAAGCGCGTAAAAACCTTCGTCACCGTTCATAAGGTATGGCGGCTCAGGAACTACTTGATGTTGATCATTTTTAGGACTTCCAGGCAAAACTTCATCTGTAATATCAACTTCCATTTTTTTATTATTGATAATTGACAATAAAAGATCAGAAAATTCAGTTAAATAAACAATAAACTCTAAAAAATATTTAAAAAAACAACAGACAAATCTACCAAAAAAGGGTAGGGGATCATTGTGTACCGGCCGTTTGTGTACCTGGCCATATTTTGGGCCATAACTTTTTCGATTCTTAATTAATCTAAATAACTAATATATCAATTGAAAGCCCTGGATGTGAGGATTATTTTCGCCAACAGGATTGATTTGATCAGATCATCATACAAAAAGTTACAGACAGATAAAGATCAAAATTACGATTGAGCGCATTTATCGAGATATAACTTTTTATAACATGATCTGATCAAATCAATCCTGTTGGCGAAAATAATCCTCACATCCAGGGCTTTCGATTGATATAATAATAATTGAAGTCGGTTAAGAATCAAAAAAGTTATGGCCCAAAATATGGCCAGGTACACAAACGGCCGGTACACAAGTGGGACGTTCCGACCAAAAAATACTCAGAAACACTATTTACTAAAACAGAAATTATGAAAAAGAGTGCAAGAAAATTTAGGTTATCAAATTTGTCCGCAAAAAATTGTCCGCAAAAATTATCTGCAAAGATACTGTCCTTAAAAGAGAACATTAGAGTCTTAGATAAATTATTGAGAAGAAAAATATGTAGAAGAGACTCAAATCTACATAATTTTCGTTCTGTAACATTTTCTTTTTGGATAGACGGTCGGTTGAGTGCCAACGAATTATTTAGGCCAGTTGAGTACTAGACAACTTTTCTAGATTGTGACTTAAAGATGAAAATGTTGTGTCTAACTTGTACAGAATCGAAGGGACTCAACCGGTCTCTGCACAACGTTTCGCTCTCTTTCTTTCTACCTTTTCTTTTCTTGATCATCGCGTCTAGCCTACGCTAAAAAAATTTTTTTTAGATAACTCTAAGAGTCTAGGTTTTTTACTCGATTATTTTTTAAACCCTCTGGGTATTCTGAAGCTAATATAAATTTTTGATTTTAAGCTTTTGAAGACTTTAGGTTTTTATCTTAATTTTTTTCAGATTTTGATATGAGATTTCCAGATTGAATAATGACTTCTAAAATAAAAAATATTGCTATTGATCAAGGTTTTTTTTGAATCTAAAATCCCTTAAAAGTCTTTTCATTCTTTAAGATTCACCCGCTGAAGATAATGAAACTACAGAGAGTTGCACAGATCCTTCAATTATTGAAAATGCTTGTCCTCAATGTTCCGCATTTCGTGCCAATGCTGATCGAGCGTGGGATGTTTTGCGCGAATTTCAAGCTGCCAATGAACAAAATAAGAAATTTAAAAACGTATTTTTTTGTTATAATTTATTACTAGTGACCGGGGTTGTACATTATCCGACCTAATTTTCAGGAGAGAATCTTTCTAGGGTGCGAGTCTCAAATCTTGAGTTTTCGTGATCTCGGCGTTTTTCCGGACCGCGTTAATCTGGAAAAATCCGGTACGGCTCTATTAAAAACTTGATCTGAGTCCGAAAAATTCGATTTTACCGTTCTTTATTTATTACAAAAAAATTTTTAAAGGAAATTCATCAACTTGAATCTCAGCTCAAAGAGAGTCGTGACTATATTTCTGCCTTACGACAACAGCAACAGGATTATGATAAAATAATTAAAGAGAAGGATTTGAGGATTACTTTAAGTGAAGAAAAAATTGTTAATTTAGAGGATCAGTATAGTCGAGTTTTGAGAGCAGGTCGTCAACACCAACACGATTCTGACAAAATTATTAAAGAAAAAGATTTAAAAATAAAAAATGCTGATGAAAGAATTGCAACTTTGGAGTTTCAATATAACCGTTTAGTGAAGGCAGAACAACAAAAACAACAAGATTTTGACAATTTAATTAAAGAAAAGGATCTCAAAATTGCTTCTTGTAATGAAAAAATTGCCGATTTGGAAATGAAAAAAGACCTTGTTATTAGTGAAGATGCGAACGATGTCAACAGGAACGAAGATGTTGATGTTGGTCAAGTATTGGAACCTAAAGCTTTACATAATGATCCTACTGCATCTCTTGAGATTGATGATGATGATTTGTCTTTGGGCCATCATGGATCAGAGTGTCTTCAACGCCAAAACGATTCTGACAAAATTATTAAAGAACCGGAATGCTCCCAGACTGATCCTATTGACTCTCTTGAGATTGATGATGATGATTTGTCTTTGGACCATCATGGATCATCGTGTCTTCAACGCCAAAACGATTCTGACAAAATTATTAAAGAACCGGAATGCTCCCAGACTGGTCCTATTGACTCTCTTGAGATTGATGATGATGATTTGTCTTTGGAACTGCCTCTTTCGCCTCCAAAAAAAGCTGTCCCAAATCCTCTGTCTATTGATGAGATTTTTAATTCTAGGTTGTAACATTTTAATTTTTTATTAATTTTTAAAGCTTTCAGTTTCTTTCTTGAACATGCAAAAAACAAATTACTCGATGATTTGGAGCCTTTTAATTTTTTCTTGCCTAGTCCTGCAACTAAATCGCCTGCACGTAAGAAGAAAGGCTTCGAAGGATCTCAAGAATTACGAAAGGTGAAGGAAAACGATGAACCTCAAATTTCGGTAAACTTTACTTGGATATTTTCAAAATTTTATTATCTCAATTTATAGACTATTCTAACTGCTCCACCACAATTTTCCATACAACTTACTGATGAAAACTCTAAATTGCAAATTTTCAATATTTCAAAAAAATACAAAATCGATAAGTATTTAATTTATATTTAAATTTTAGTTCTAATAATATCTTTAAGAAAACAGGCTGCTCTTTTATATTCTCAAGCAAAAAGGGATGATGCCAACCGTAAACGACGTCTGGAACCTTCCGATGATGAAAACGATGGAGGGGGAAGTATTGCAACTTCTGAAACTGTAAAATCTGAAAAGGTTTTTTAATGTTTTTTAGGTTTTTTGATAAATTTTTTAGGCTCCTCGACATCTTCTTCCTTGGGTGCCTCATAGACAAGTTGTTCGTACACAAACTCGTTCTGTTTTGTCGTATGAGGATCACAAACGCTACGTTGGAATTATTGTTAACGAGTTGCAATCTGTTCCAAAATATCGATTTGAGCACAACAAAACTGAAATACAGGTTTGTTTCTCATTTTTTGTTTCTGTTCACAATGGGAATGGGGGAGGGGGGGGTAGACTGCTACAAAAGTCGCAAACTTTCAAACCCTATAACTTTTTAATTTTGTGGTAAGGGTCAAAAAAGAGAAATTGGTAATAGTGAACCGACTTGTTCTACACAATGGTGTGTTAAAATTCGTGAGCATAGTTCAGTATGCGTCCTTGTAAGGTGCCACGAAATTTATGGAAATTCTTACTTATTTAAGTCCTCACCTCCAAATATTTCCTTTTATATTTCAGGCATTGGATCAAAAATTGGAGGATGAACGGAATTTTTACATTAAAAATGCTTTGCAGTCTGCTAAACAATTTAAAGCTTTTCATTTTGATCCAGGACAATTAAAGATTTTCAATGTAATTTAAAATTAATTTTTCTATTTATATTTCTTTCTTTTTGTTAGGAACATTATCATGAAATGATTAAATTATACATTGGACAACGAGTCTTTCAAGGAGTTTTGTCGTCTATCCCATGGCCACGAACCCAAATTTTACAAGACTCACAAGCATCTCAATCTCCTCACATTAGAACTACCAAAATTCTTTCTCCAGGATTGGCTCCAAAAACTCAAATACCTGAAATTAAACGAAAGTTTATTTTTAGCAATAAACCTGTACGTCAAATGCTTTGTGATCGATTAAAGGACAAGGTTTGAAATTTATAATAAATTAAAGGTGTGCCTAAACATATTACGTAAAAACGCGAAAATTCTGTGAAATGCGAAAATCTAAAAGCGAAATTTCATGAAAGGCGAAATTCCGCAATAAACGAAAAGGCGAAAGACAACTTCTGATAATTAGATATATTTATAAATACTTTTTATTTTTTTTCAGCAACCTATTGATGAAGATAAACAAGTTGTTGATTTTGCTCTTTTCAATGGTGTTCATGTTTCAATGGATGCTAGTACTCTTAGACATTTATTATCTGCGCCTTGGTCACAACGAAACCAAACTTATGCATGTAAATTGAAGATAACTTCACGTGTTTTCTCTGGTTTGGAATTTTTATTTTTAAATTCATTGCCTAATTTTTAGGTAAACTTTGCAAAATTTGTTTAATTTCTCCTCCATTGATTGCATCTCGTATTCACAAAACTGCCATACCTCGAGCATTTGCAAAATGGGGACTTAAAGCTTTTTTGTTTGGAAAGGATCCTTCTTTTGCGGATGCTGTGTTAAGTAACCAACCTAAAGATAGCTGTCAATCTCTTTTGGATGATCTTGGATTGGGAAATGTTGGCAAAGTTGATACTAAAAATTCAAGAAAGAGATATTCAATAATTTCTTTTGACGACCCAAAATTGGAAATTAGCCCTCAAGAACAGCATCAAGTCTTAATACGAACAAATTTACATGCAAACGAGGAGAGAAAGGATGGTCAACTTCAACAAATTTCTTTGACGGCTAGAGTAGAATTTTTGCCTGAAATTGGCGCGGAGGTTTTTTTTTTGACAATTTTTTGGGGTTTTTAGCAATTTTACATTTTTTTAGAAATTATCAAATGAAGAACAAATATGGAATTTACTTACTGGATTACTTAAAGGATCAGAAGAGCATATTAATTTTAGGCTTAAAGTGGAAAGAGAATCTGTTGTTTTGCAATATGATCGACGTCTTCCAACCAAAATTTCTCAACTTTCTGTTGAAGCTAAAGCGATGTAAGGGTTTTAATTTTTATATTTCTTTATTTTTTTTATTTTTTAAATTTTGTACTTTTATTTGTTATCCATAAGGATATTTTCGGGTTTTTTTTATTTTTTCTTGCAGTGGAAGGTAAAAAGGAAAAGTTTTTGTAAACTAAATTGTTGTAAGTTTTATGTATTTTAGAACCTATGGTCCAGTTTTGTGTGTGTACCATAATTCTTGGTATCTCCGAGAAAATATAAAGTAAAAGGTCCAAGAAAAGTCCGTTGTGATAACGAAAAAGTACCTTAAATTTATAATTTTCTTTTCAGTTTGGCTGGACGTATAAACAGAGTAAAAACACTTCTTAAAGAACTGCCAAAATTATCAGTTGGGGAATACTTACTTATGCCAGATGTTGACAACGAACAATTACAGATTATCAAACAACAGACTGCACCTGAAGAAATTAGTGTACAGCAATCTACTTCTTTTGATAATGTTTGTGAAGACAAGTCGAATTTGTGGGATGAGCCAAGTAGGAGCCGGACTGTCGGGTAAATTTAAAAAATATTTTTTTTTCAAAAATAAAATTTTTTTTTGGAACATTTTAGTTTTATTTTTATTGTTTATTTTTTGTTTATATTATAGCAAAATATTTTGTTTCCTTTTTTTCTGCTTTATAGTTAATGGGTACAGCCCAAGTAGGCGCGCGGCCATAACGGCGCAAAGCCATAACTTACTTCAAGATTTCCGAATCTTTCAAAATTTGTTATTAAACGATTCCTCTCATTAACATAAAGAGATTGGTACCAAAATTGATAAGGGCCAGAAATTTTCCAGCAAGTTAGGGCTATGCGCCGTTATGGCCGCGCGCCGTTTTAGGCGTGTCTCATAATTAATATTAGCTTTAATTTCCTGCAGCATATACTGCAGGCTGCTAGAAAAACTAAATATTTATTTTCCCCTTTTTTTAATGATTTTTTTCTTCTTTTTCCCTGCCAATTTTTTTAGGGACTCGTGATCAAAAAAAATTACATAGAGTATACTAATCATTAAATTTTTTTTCCCTAATTTTTAAAACATTAAAATAAATATTTATATTTTACTCTATGCTCATTTATTTATATTCATTTAATTTTCAGGCCTCGTTCTCTAGAAAAAAATGTTTATTACGATGCTCAATGGTTTGATCGTTTATTACAGAGCAAAATTATTTCTTCACAAAATGAATTATTTGATTATTGGAATGGTATAGATATACATTATCCTTTGCAGTGGCATGTTGTGAAAAGTCAAATTCCTGGTGCTCTTTATCCTAAAAGGAATTGAAAGGGAAAAGTTTTTTTGCCTTTTATTTTTTTTTGTTTTCAATTTTATCATAGGCTTTGTTTTATTTTTTTGAATATCTTTTATTTTTGTTTGATCTTCTAGTATTTTTTACCCTCAATTTAAAAAAAATACACTTCAGGTAGAACTTTTATTTTTTGTTCTTTCCTTTTATTGTTATAATTTATTTTTGGAGTTTATTATAAAAAATAATTATTTTTTTGTTTTATTTTTCTTGTTTATACCGAAATCGGTTCTGTTGTTTTTAATTTTTTGAAAATTAATTTTACTAGAAAACTAATGGGTTAATATATTGGGTACACACTTCTTTGTTGCCTTTTGGATGCATGGATGACCACAAATATTTATTCAAAGTTGTTCTTGTTGGAAATGCTGGCGTTGGTTTGTTTTTTAATTTAAGTTGTTTATTTATTATATTTTTTATTTAGGCAAGACGTGTTTGGTCCGGAAATTTACTCAGGTTCTTGTTTAAAAATTTTTTGCTAACAATAAGTGGTAGGGATGTGCGGTTTACTCTACATATTTCCGATCCGTGAGATTTTCAAAAGCCGACCCGAGTTTTCTCACTCGAAATTTCTCTAACTGGCCCGACGCAAAAATTGCACTGTTTTCGACTAATATTTCATTTTAGGGAGTATTTCCGCCTGGACAAAGTGCAACAATCGGTGTGGATTTTATGATTAAAACGCTGAACGTAAATGGAGACAAGATAAAACTGCAAATTTGGGATACCGCTGGGCAGGTTTGGATTTTTTAAATTTTTTCTCAATAATTTTAGGAACGTTTTATATTTTTAGGAACGTTTTAGGTCAATAACCCAGTCCTATTACCGATCAGCCCATGCGATTGGTTGTTTTAATTTTTAAATTAAAGTGCAAATATTTTTTAAAGTACTTGCTTATGATGTCTCTTGTCAGCCAACATTTGATTGTATTAATGAATGGATAAATGAAATTGAGCAATACGCGAATAAGAAAGCACTTAGGTAAATATTTTGAAAGAGTAAAAATTGTTTTCTTAAGCTGTGAATTTTGAGAGGATTTATAATTAAGAAAGGTTTAAACTCGGGCTGGATACAACCGGTTATTAATTGGTACCCCCAGATTTTGATTGTCGCCGGTTTTCGACTTGCAGATTTTCGGTTTTAGTTTTTGTCTGATCCCCTAATTAACAGTTCCGGTTTGGTTACTAGTTTGTGTCCAACTAGTCTGGACTTTTATAAAAATCACTTCTTTATAGAATTCTTGTTGGCACAAAAGTTGACAAGGAAGAAGAGCGAGAAGTTCCAACACACATTGGAGAGTCTTTTGCTGCTGCAAATAATTTTGATTATTTTGTTGAGACTAGCGCTGCAAGTTCTGAAAATGTTGAAATACTTTTTCAAGAAGTGGCTACTCGTCTTGCTACTGAAATGAGAAAAGATGAAACTAGGTTTTTTTGATTTAAATTTTTTTAATTAATTCAATGATTTTAGATATGGTGGAAACAAATCTCGTAATTTAAATAACGAAAATGGAATCAATTTGGTTGGAAGAGCACAACAACAAATTCGAAATGCGCAAAGTAATTGCTGTGGGTAACTTAAACTTTTTTGAAGGATTTTCAAGTTTTTGTGTTGTAAGTTGTCTAGAATTCGACGAGTAGTGTATATCAGGGATGTCACGGGTTATCCGAAATCTGAACTTTTTTTCGATCTGAAACCCGTTCGAGGCGGTTTTCCAAAACCTGTTTTTCCCTTTCCCCAACTGACTGATCCGAAACCCGATTTCTTTCTTCGACCCGTGACATTCTTGTATTTTGGATGTATTTTGGATATCTTTAACAAAAATTTTAATTTTCTTTTTTATTGAGATAACGAAATTTCTTAAGTTGCCTTTATTCTAACATTTTTATACAAATTTCTGATCGCCTTCTTTTCTCTTATTAACATGCTTAAACAATTTTTTTTATTTTTATCACATTTTCTGTGATTTAATTAATCTCTTTTTCTTAATAATTAATTATTCTTATACCCATTTTTTCTGCCTTATCCAAATTATAATCATAATAATTAGCCTAGTGAATGTTAAAGACCTGGGAGTGAGAATTTTTCCCTTTAAACAGTTGTCGATATTTTGAATTGTTTTTAGGATATATTTGACTCTTTACTCCCTCCAGTCTTTAATTAATTATTTCTTTGTAATAATTTCATAATATTTTTTTAATTAAAAATTTACAATTTAACTGATTTTTTGTTCTTTTTGTTTTAACAATATTTAATATATTTTTAACATTCAATTTTTATTAACTTTTAGATTTTAATTAGTAAATGTCGACAGATAGAAGCTTAAGAAGGAAGCGAAATGCTGCGGAAGTGGCGGGATCAAATGTCCAAAATCAAATGAATGAGCAACAGAATGAGGTTTTTATTGAAGTAAATAGAAATGAGGGGAATGGTTAGATGAGTTTTTATTGGGTTAATTTGTCTATTCTTTTTCATAACCTCACGTTCCCACAACTGAAGAATGGCCCACCAGGATAAGCGTTCATATCCATGTTGCAAAAAATATATATAAGCTGGGTCCCGTCCGAGCCCTGGTGTTTTACAATTTTTGAAGCATAAGTGCGATTCTGATATCCTTTGCTGGTCTCGGCCTTATCACAATTACTATATTAATCTACAACGTTGTGGCTTAAAAAAAATTTTTTTTCAGTTTAATTTTTCTGATCAAGAACAGCCAGGAGTAGACAACTATGCACTCAAAAGATTGAAAAATAATGCTGCAGTAAATAAAACGAGACAAAAGAAACGTTTGGAGCAAGAAAACACTTCTAAACGTGTAAAAGAATTGAGAGAAGAAAATGCCCAGTTAGAGAGGTTTTTTTTGATTTTGATTTTTTTATTAAATTAAAATTTTTTTAAAAAAGATCGCTTGATTCTATGCGTAGAGAATTGGCATTACTCAAAGAAATGGTTGTTGTGTGTGCTGCTAAAGGTGATGCTCATCAATCGGTGCAAAAGGATTTGTCGAACAATAAGAGAACAAAGGGAGGACGTTAAAAATGTGTAAATTAATTTTATTTAAAAAAATTATGGGAAGTATTTTTTCAGCCCGGACCCGACAACCCTAATACATAGTATTTTTTTGTATATTTTTAGAACTCTAGTGTTGAACTTCTCTAACACGTTACACCGTTACAGATTATTTTTCTTCACGTATCGGCCCATTTCATTGTCAGTCCAGGAGAAAGAAGGGAGGGGGTTTATTTTAGCCTAATTTGTTTCTCTCTCAATTATCTTATTCCTTAAACAGTTGAATTCGGAGTGTAATTCGTTAGAGAATTTCAACTGTAAGAATTTCAAAATCCATATATTAACAGATTTTATATTTTTAATAAAATTTTGAGATAAAAATTTTTTAGAAGATTTTAAATAATTTATTAAAAATATAAGGCTTTTTCTCATATAAAAATTTATATGAGAAAGATTATATAAGATGATTACTATTTTTTATTATTTAAAAAAGGTCAAAGTCTTGCTCATTTATTATTTAAATGCTTACAAATGTATATTAAAGGTCTATTACTAATAAAAGAAATTGTTTAAGGGAATCTAAAGGGAAGTAAATAAAAAAGAATTTATTTAAAAGATTTTTTTTAAATTCTTCCCACTCATTCTAGAAAAAAATTTTTTTAAATTAGCTAGAAAAGTATGTCCAAATATTTTTTTTTCATTGTTTGTAAAAGTAGACATGGATTGACTAAAACATTTTTTGTGGATAATAAAGGGGGGATTATCTAAGTATAAAATATTCTTTTTTAAACACCCCTTCCCTTTTTGGACACAGTTTATGGGAGAGAGAATTGTTTTGATATTTTATGCTTTTTTGTGTGTTCGATTATAATAATAGCCTCCAGCTGAGCATTGTTTTGTACTTATTTTTAGTGTATTTTTTTGAGACAATTTCTTTAAAAAATTTTTATTTTTTGAGTGATTGGCAGTTTAAAAAATTCTTAAAATTTTAAAGCAATGTCAGAAAATTTTTTCAAAAAAATTTTACTTCAAATAATAATAATTTTTATTATTGCCCCTATATCTCGGGAGCAAAATTCTTTCTCATTTCTTGTCAAAAGAATTTGTCCTGGTGGATTTCCTATGGATACTCACGTAAGTTTAATTAAGAACAAGTTTGACCCAGAAGATCACCACTAAAAAGTTGTGCTTGAAAGTGGTGATCTTCTGGGTAAACTATTTTCTAAATTTTAATTTTTCAGAATTTTTGTCCATTCTGGGCTGCAATTGGTGAATGTCCAAAAAACTCAAAATATATGCATAGACAATGTGTTGCTTCTTGTAATGTTTGTCCACAAAAAGGTGCTTTCAAAATTATTTTTTTTTATTTTTTAATTTTCAGTGCCTACTCCTCCACCTCCTCCTCCACCACCAAACCAACAACCGCCACCAACTTCATTTTCAAAATTGCCGCCTTTCTTTTCTGCACAAATAGCAAAGTGTTTTATGAATATTCAAACTAGCGAAAGTAAAAATTTTTTAGTTACCGTAAATGCTCTAATATAAGCTCTGTGTTCCTATTTTTCAAGGTCTATTAGAGATGGGGGTGGTCCCCTCAGTCTTCTATTAGAACCGGGGGACTGGGCTTCTATTAGAGACAGGATGGGGATTTATATTAGAACTGGGCTTATATTAGAGCATTTACGGTAATTTCATTTTTTATTTAAGCCCCAACTCGAAATATCCCAACAAGAGAACAATTTGAAAATCGAGGATTTAGTATTGGCTGTCTTGGAAGAAATCAAGAAAATTCGTGTTCTTCAAATGTTTGTTATCATTTACGTTATCGAACATTTGATGGTTCTTGTAATAATTTGGTGGAAGGGAGGTCGCTTCGAGGGGCTGCTTTTATGCCCTTTGGAAGGCTACGGCCAGCTAATTATGAGGATGGGGTTGCGAGGATGGTTGGTTAGTTTTTGAATTTTTTCTCAAAAATAATGTTCAATGGACCCTGGATTTTTTTGAAAAAAATTTTTTAAAGCCACATCTACAAGATAAACATCCCAGGCTAAAATTTCCATTTTAAAATTTAGGCACAAGCAAGCCGGTGCCAAATCCTCGTACTGTAACCCATTTATTGCTTAGTAGCTCTTTTGTTGTGTTGACAACTTTTAATGGACTTTTGATGCAATTTGGGCAATTTTTAAGTCACGACATAACAAGTAAATTTCGGAAAAAATTGACATCATTTTGAATGATTTAAAGGAAATACAGTCACAAATTTTTGTCGTTGCGAAACGGTCCATGAAGAATGTGCAAATATGCCCGTTCCTTTACATGATACACGCTTTAAAAAGTTTTTTAATTTTTAAAAATTTCAAAAAAAAATTTTTTTTCAAAGACAGCAACCAAATTTTTGCATTCCAATGACTCGCTCTTCAGTTTTGTGTGGTACAGGTTCAGGCAGACAAGGACCTGGAAGAATTCCTAGAACACCTATAAATGAAAATGGAGCGTGGATTGATGCCTCACAGGCAGGCAAATTTTTTGAAAAATTTTCTAAAAATTTTCAAAAATTTTTTAGGTCTATGGGAGCAATCCAAATCAAGCCCAGGAAATGCGTGTTGGTGCTCTACTTCGAACTTTACCACTTCCAAATCCCCCATTTTCTGCAGTGCCTCCACCTGCTCAAACAGAAAGTTCTAATTTGGTGACGGGAGATAATCGTAAATTTTAAATAAAAAAATTTTTTAAATTAAAAAAAAATTTTGAGGTGGTAACCTTTTTGTTGGTTTGGTAAGGATTTTAAATTATTTTTTTATAAAAAGAAAGCCACCAAACGACGCAAGGCATCGAACCTCGGGCCCTGATGAATGATAGTCCGGGTTGCTAACAGAGTTGCGTCGTAATTACGAATTACGATTACGAATTACGGCGTTTTTTCAGTTACGAATTACGATTACGAAAAAAATTTTTAAATTACGAATTACGAATACGAAAATATAGGGAAAAATTACGAATTACGAAAATAATTTCCATTAAATTTTAGAATGAAAAGGAGAAGAAATATTTGAAATATTTATATTTTCTCTCACAATTACTTTTGTTTATCGGTGGTTGAGTGGGTTAAAAGTCAAGCTTTACCTATTTGCTATTTTGTTAGGTTTGGTTCGAATCCATCTATGGGAAATAATATTTAGACAATTCATTTTTTCAAAAACAGATTTTTTTAAACTTTGATTTTGATTTTAGGTTTGTAAATTTACATTTTTAATATCTTAAAATTGAAAAAAACTTTAAAATTTTTAATTTAGTCATGAATTTTCTAAAAATTTTTCGCCTGCGGCGCTGAAAATATAAGAGTGTTGGCTCGTGATTAAGTGAGAGTGATTTGACATGATATCAAACTTAATCTGGGACGATAATTCCTCATGACTGATTAAGGAGATATCGGAGGTTTATTAGGATTAAGAGGGATATCAGGGAATTAATTGAGATTTGAATAATATCAGAGAAATAAGAGGACTTGGAGGAGAATTGGAGGGATTAATGGGAGAAGCAGCAATTATTAATAGATATTTGATTTTTAAAATTAATTTAAATATTTTTGAAAAATTACGAATTACGATTACGAATTACGAATTACGGCATTTTTTCAGTTACGAATTACGAATTACGATTACGAAAAAAATTTTTAAATTACGAATTACGAATTACGATTACGAAAATTTTTTTTAAATTACGAATTACGAATTACGATTACGAATTTTTTTTGAAAATTACGAATTACGAATTACGATTACGAAAAAAAATTTTCAATTACGACGCAACTCTGGTTGCTAACCCCTACACTACAGCACTCTGTTGGCTGGTTATTTTTAATTAATTTATTCCTTAATTAAAAAATAAACTCTTTTCCCCATAAAATGCTGTAGTGTAGTGGTGAACGCCCTCGACTTTTCTACAACCTGGCCTGGGTTCGATGCTATTTGATAGGTGTTTGCTTCCTTCTCCTAGATTTTATTTTTTTCTTAATTTAGATGGGATTACATACAATATTTGTTCGTTTACATAATAGGTTAATTATTTTTAAAAAAATTTTAATTGTTCTTATTTTTAAGAATTGCCACAACACTTATACAATTAAATCCTCATTGGAATCAAGATAGAGTATATCAAGAAACGTTTGTTTTATATTTTTGGAAATTTTTTTTCCAATTTTTTAGACGTAAAATTGTTGGCGCTATTCTTCAAGCAATTTGTTATCAAGAATTTCTGGTTAGTTTTAAAATTAAAAAGGACTGCCCAAAAGATCAACTGCCTACAGATCAAATATTTAGGTACCCCAAGGGTGGTGATATTTTGGGCATGATCAAAAATTTAAAAGGGCATTTTTTTAAATAAATTTCCCATTTTGAACAGCCCTCGTTGTTAGGCGATCGTTTAAAAAAACATATCCCTCCATATTCTGGCTATAATGACAAAGAAGAGCCAGCAATTGCTGTAGAATTTACTTCTGGTGCCTATAGACTACATGGATTAATTCGAGTTTATTTTTAAGGAAAAAATTTTTTTGGAAAATTTTTTAAAGGAATTTTATCAATTGGCAGACTCCAATTTTCGTAAAATTGGGGATGTTCGTTTTGTAAGTAATGCTGGAAGTGTTGATTTAATTGTGAGAACTGGGACTGATCAATTAATTAGGTTTTTTTAATTAAAAAAATATTTTTTTTAATTTTATTTAAAGAGGTATGATGGCTGTTCCGACAAAAAAGCCACAACGTTTGGCGCCTGCAGTTACTGAGGTTTAGAAAAAAATTTTTTTGAAATTCTCTAGAAATTTTTTAAAGGAATTATTTGATGTGTCAGATATGGGCTCTATAAATATTCAAAGAGGTCGAGACCAAGGCGTTCGGCCTTACAATGATTACAGAGACATTTGTGGCCTTAAACGTCTGACTTCCTTTCAGGACTGGCCAGGTAATATTTTTATAGGGAGTCAACCCTTTTGATCAACACTAGAAATTGGTGATCTTTAGGGTGTCTAAAGGGCCTAAAATTTCAAAAAAATTATTTTTTATTTTTTAGAAGTCTTGGAACCCGAAGTTAAGAATAGGGTAGCCGCTTTGTATGCAAGTGTAGATGTTTGTTAAAAGAAAATTAAATTTAAAAAAATAATTAAAAAATTTTTTGAGGACGTTGATCTTTATGTTGGTGGATTACTAGAGGCACCCGTAGGCAGTTCTTTAGTGGGACCAACCTTTACATGTATAATTGCTGATCAATTTAGACGTATACGTGATGCGGACAGGTTTGAAAAAAAATTTTGAATAAAAAACCTTTTTGATCAACTCCTATTGATCAACACTAAGAGTGCAGTGGTGATCTTTAGGGTTGAACTAAAGAGATTTTCAATAAAAAATTTCAAAATTTTTCCAGATTTTTCTTTCAAAACCCTGGTGTATTTACTCAAGCACAAGTAAAGTCTATTCAACAAACAACACTTTCATTTTGCATTTGTGCAACTGGAGAAGATTTTAAAAGGATTAATCCAAATGCTTTTCTTGTTGAAAATGGGTTAGAAATTCTTTTTAAATTAAATCAAAAATTTTTTAAAGGTCAACAACTGTGCCTTGCTCTTCAATTCCACAGTTGGATTTGGTTAGTTTAGTTTGGGGAAAAAGTTAAAAATTTTTTAATTTTAAAAATTAAGACTCCATGGAGAGAAATACCACAAGGATAAAAGAAGAAAATATTTAAATTATAAAATATTTTTTAAAAACCAAAAATGCCATTTACTATATACAATTTTAAAAATATTTCTATTGATTTTATAAAGAAATTTTATAAATTAAAATTTTCAAAGAATGGATTTAAACATTAAAATAATCTGATAATTAAATAACAATTTAGAAGGATAAATAGAAAATAATTAAAAATAAACCGGAAAATAAAGAAAAAATATTTTTTAATTTGAAAAATAAAGTAATTTAATAATCCCTGAAAAGTATCCACACATAAAAAATAAAATTTAAAAAAGGCCATAATAAATAGGAAAGCATTATGATTTAAGGAAATGAGACAATGAATTTCCGAGAGAATTCTTTTAAAAAATCAGAAAAAAACCAGAACTTTTTAGAATCATAAATTTTTAAAAAAAATTTACCCTCCTCTAACTAAATTTCCCAACCATTCCTTTAACTTGAAGTGCCCGTTGTGTACTATAAAACAAAGCATCAATTAAACTAGCAACAGTGTGTACACCTCCAACAATTGCACATAAAGATACAAGAAAAAAGCTGAGTGACCTTGAGAAAAAAATTTTAATTAAAAAATTTTTAAAGAAAAAACCTCTGTCTCTCCTCGTATTGAACCATTAAAGGGGAAAATTCGTATTGAACAAAAATTCCAGGAATTCCCCCAGCCCCATTCATAATATCCTTTTGTAACATTGTAATTGAAAATTGATGACTTTCAATTGTTTTTCCATCACTTATATAACGAGTTGGGACTATTTTTAATTGATATTGCTGCATTATACCTCCTAAGAAAAAATTTTTTTTAATTAAAAAAATTTTTGCCAAAATTATTTTTCAACAGAAAAAACGGCGATTATCTCCCCAACATTTTTTCTTTCTTCCCACTCCTACGCAAATACCATAAATACAAGCACTAGGCTTCTATAAGGACATGCAATAAGGCTCATTAATGGACTTCAAAATGTAGGGTCTGGACTTCTACTAGAGCCGGGATTCTTCTATTTACGGTATATTAAATATAGAAATGACGGTTCTATGAAATTATTCGTTTACCCAAAGAAAATTTTGTATTTAAAAAATTTTTCAAAAAAACCTTTATCCGTATAAACACTTCTCCCGTCCAACGGATATCTCCTGCCTGGAAATGCTTGGCCAAAAGAAAGATGATTTATTGTGTGAGAAGTATTGAAACGACCGGGGGAAAGAGAATGGAAGTCGTGATCTTTAAAAAATAATTTAGAGAAAAATAAATTAAAAAAATTTACAATGTGAACTAGAATGAGTGCTTGGAACGCCTGGGGCAATATGGAAATTTCCAGTAATTTTTCCAACGCTCAATTTCCCCCAAAGACGGCATCCTTCTCCAGGCATTTGACTGAGCGCTCGAAGAAGAGCATCATTTTTACATTGTTCAATCTCTTCTGGATTTTGTAATACCCAACCTCTAGCTCTATATGCTTCTCTAACTTCATCACAAGTATTACAACAACTTTTGGTAAAATAAAGAATTTTTATAAGATTTAAGAGAAGTAAGAAAATCGGGGAGAAACCCCGGAAGGCTTTTGGGAGGTATTTTGGTAATATCGAGTTTATTCCCTTTCTATTCAGGGAAAAAACAGAATATGACAGTGAAATTAAGTAGAATTGAGGAAAGAAGGAAGTCTGACCATTATGGGCATTCTAAGAAAAATAGGAGGGGGGACGAACTGTTAATATCTTTTACTCCATAAATTTTTTATCCTTGCAAAATTATTTTATGCTTCCAAAATCAATAATATGACTTGCGGACAAAATTTTCGGACTTTTGGGAGCATAAGGAAAAGAACAAATTTAGGGAACCTAAGGGTGTTAAATTTCTAAAAATTAAATTCTAAAAAATACCCTCGAATAGCTCCATAACAACTTCCACATTTTTCTTTATTTTTGGACGATTCCGTAGAATTATTCCCATCTTTTTTAGTATTTACTTCTTTAAATTAAAAGAATTTTTAAAAATTAAAAACTCAAAAAGAAACCTTGTTTTTCAGGTTTAGTTCCTTCAATAACTTTCCCATTTTTATCCAACCTTTGTTTAAAAACATCATCTTTTATAGAATCTTTATTGTCCCCAGATTGACTCATTAAATCAATTGTAACTAGAGCACAGGCCAAGTTTGGGAGGGTTATGTCAAAATGAATTTCGATTTGTTGGTCAGCGCTAGTTGAATCCTTTGAAGGAATTTTTTGGAATTTTTTAAGTTAACTTACCACGTAAAGTTGTTCAACAACTTGAACAGTAAAAAATGACCAAGTTTCAGTTATAAACAATAAAACGATAACCAAAAAGCTGACTAGTGTGACTGAAAAAAGGGAAAAAATTTTAGAAATTTTTTGAAAATTTTTAAGGCCTCACGAAAAATTTTGATTTTTCAAAAATTTTGAAGGTCTTTCGAAAAATTAAAAAAAATTTGAATAGCTTGCCGAAAATTTTTTTGAAAAAATTTAAAATTAAAAACAAACCAATTCCACCAAAAGATGTTTTTACACGACAATCTTCTACTGGTTTTGTGTACAGATCAAATCTTAAAAGTTTAAAAAATAAAATTAAAAATTTTTTTCAAACCTTCTTAACCTGCTAGACAACATTTTTGTGTGTTACAAAATTTAATATAATTAACAAAAAAATTGCCAAGAAAAAAAACTAAAAATCAACTAAAAAATAAGGATTTTAAAGAGAAAATAAAAGAAAACTGACAAAATGTCTTTTTGACGAAAAGGCAATTTTGAGTAATTAAATGTCAATTTTTGTAGTTTTAACAAATAATTGATTTGTCTAGTCAATGAAATATTTATCGAATTTTTTTAAATGTGGAAATTGTCTAAAAATTGATTTTTGGTGAGTTGGCAGTCAGTCAAAAACCTCGCGTAAAATTAAAAAAAAATTTTTTTTGAAGGTTATTAAATTACCTTTCAACAACAACAAAAATATATAAATTTATGTTTTTAATTTAATTTTAAATATTTACATATCACAAAATGTTAAAAATTTACATTAAATAAATAAAAAACTAATTTTTTTCAAAATAATCCAGTGCTATTATTTGCCATCATTTTTTCCATAAAGGTTTGGTGTACATTTAAATCGAAACATTTTCCATTTCCAATACTTTTAGGTTTACAAGCTATTGGTTCATCAATTAAAATTCCTAAAAATGTAAAGTCCTTCAAATTTCAACAACCACCGGCCAAAATTCCCCAATCACCAGCAGAAGTATCACGGATTACCCTAAACCCAATAATCTGACTTTTTTAGATCCGAAACCGATCCGAAGAATTTTCCAGAAATTCGACTCGAAACCCAACTTTTTCCTCCTTAATCCCACCAACTGAAAAATTTCAATTAGGATTGATGGATCAAGAAGGATGCCTATTTTTTCAACCCGCGACATCCCCTCCTCCGTCAACAACCCCCTTTCTTACATTAAATTTAAAATAAACCTGCAATAGCTGCACTCATAAAACAAGAAATACATCCAGCTAGTAATGCCCTCAAAACTAATTTTGAAATTAATTGTTTTCTAGAAGGTGCCATTTCGCTTAACACGGCCATTTGAATACCCGCTGCTATAAAATCGCTAAAACTGCAAAGGGCATAAGTAACAATCATTGCTGAACGAGGCTTTAAAAAGAGAAAAATTTTTCAGAAATTTTATAAAAATATTTTACTGAAAGTAAATCTTCTCTTAGTACATCTCCAAGCCGTTTATAAGCAATAAAATCATTTATTATTATTTTAACACCAATAAGCCTGGCAACAATCTATTTATTAAAAAATAATAAAATTTAATCATTTTTTTTTCACTTTCCAAGACCCCACTCTTTTTCCCCACAGCCCTAATTGACAATTCTCACATCTAATTCTTCTTAATCAACCCAAATCCCTGATAATCCCTCTTAATCTCCTTATATCTCTCTTAATATTCTAATATAGTCGACCTCTTTATAAGGTACCTCCCATATAAGACACTACTCGATTTGAGTTTTAAAAAGATCAACTCCCTAGTGGGAAGAGATACCTAAATAATACCCTCTATTTAATAGATACCTAATTAAAAGGGATATTTTCACAACCACAAGGGTGTCTCTTACTATAATGAGGCCCACCTAGTTATCCAAAAAAATTAATTTTTACAAACCATTGTCTCTTCCAAATTTTCTGTAACTCCAATCATATAAGCAACAGGAAAGAATAAATAACCAAAAATTAATTCCAAATTCCAATGTGGCTGACCAAGTAATGTACCCGCATAAATAACCAAACCATTTACAAGTGCCATTAATGCCATAAAGCTAATTAAATTTGCAACAACAGCGGTAACAATATGTACAGCAACTAAAGAACCGCTAGAAATACACTCCATAGCATTTGTTTCTTTGCTAAAAATTTTTTAAATTTCAGCCGATTCTTTTCCTTTATGCTCCAAAAGTCAGCAATTTTTTGCGGATAAAAGTTGCGGACTTTTTGAGCATATATTTTTTAAAACCTTGGTGGAAGCTCCAAATCCTTAACATCTTTAACATGCGATTCTTCTGTTTCAGGATAAAGTAGTTTTGAACAGGCCAACGAACCCGGGGCACTCATTACAGCAGCGGAGAGTAAATAACGAGGGCACGCGCCAAAACTAATATAAGCAGCAAAAACTGCACCGGCAATACAAGCAAATCTAAAAATACAAAAAATCCGCAAGTTTTTTTCAGATAAAGATTTTTTATTTTATACCCTGTAGTCATAATTGCATGAAGTTCTGAGGCAGTCATTTTTTCAATATAAGGACGTATTAAAAAAGGAGATTCAGCCTTTAAAAAATTTTTTTAAATAAAATTTCTAAAAATTACATTTCCAAGCAAAACACAAGCACAGGCATTTAAAGATTCTGTAGCAGTAGTTCCCATAGTTAACTGCATTAACCAGGCCATTCGTTTTAAAACTGCTTGTACAACACCGTAAAAATAGAGAATAGACACGATAGCTCCAATGTAGATAATTACTTGAATGACCTTTAAGGAATAAATTTTTAAAAATTGTAAAATAAATTTCCGCAGGTTTTTTTGCGGAAAAAGTTGCGGACTTTTTTAAGAATTTGCGGATCTTTCAAAATTGCGGACTTTTTCAAAACTTGCGGATAAAGGCTGCGGACTTGTTTGAATTATTTTAACTTTTAGTCGATTTAACCAAAAAATAAACCTGAAAGGCAATAACAGGTTCCATCCCACAAATATTTGGAGGGCTCGACAAAAACCCATAAGTAAAATCAGTTCCATTTTTTGTAAAATCAAGAAAAGCAATAGCCAAATCAGAAAGGTCAATAAAACGATGTGCACCCCAATCCTTTTAAAAATATTTTTCGAAAATTTCCAGACTTTATTTTCTTACCCATTTAAGCACCAAAATACCAAAAATAAATTGAAGTAAAAATCCCCAAATAATTGGACGAAAATTAATCTGAAAAGAATAATTTAAAAAAATATTTGAATAAAAAACAAACTTTTGTTGGCCTGTGTGAGAAAAAGCACATAAACAAAAAGAAAAATACAAGTGAATATAAGCCTGTTAAACGGCGAAGATTGCTAGAAAAAAATAGAAAAAATTTTTGGGGTAATTAAACCAACCCAAAAAGGCTATTTATGCACTAACTTATGGAGGAGTTTGTTAAGGATCCGATTGCCTTCCTATTGAGGCGTGCTCTCGTTTAAGTGCTATATAGGACTTCTACTATTGCCCCCAGGCATCAAACCTGAGTTTTCCCCGTTAAGTGCAAGTCGGGTGCCTTTCGAAAGAAAAGTTTATGGCTCTAGACTAGTCTGTAGGCCCAAAGATTCTAATTGGATTCATAAACCAGACTAGAGATAATTTTAAAAATATTCATAAAAATAACCTTCTAGTATCCCACAGAATATACAGTAAAGGAACAGCAACCGCGAGAACATAAAATGACCTTTAATTTATTCAAAAGAATAAAAAAAATTAAAAAAACCTTCTGAACAAAATATTTTGCCTCAATTTTTCAAAAGAATTTGAAAACCGCGTTCGATGCCTTTGAAATTCTCTGCTATATCCAAACAGCGGTAAAAGTACACGTTTGTAGAAGATAAAAAACCAAACAAGGAGAGTTATTGTAAATAAGTTTAGCGCCTTTTCGTGATTGTGGAACATGGAAATAACTGTGGGAAATTGTAGAGGAGAGGTAAAAGAAGTTTTGGATATTGCCCGGTTATGCGTCCAATCAACCTTTTAAACTAGGGATGTCCCGAAACAGATTTTGGAAAGCGAAATACGAAACTGAGGCGAAATAACAAAAAGGCAAAGTTCGGCGAAATGCGAAACCGAAAGGCGAAACTGGCACAGTCCTTCTCTTCGCGTCCAATAAAAAAATTTTCTGCGTCCCTGGACGCATAAATTGGACAAGAGCCAAGCTTTTTAATCATTAAACAAACTTACGTAAAAATACATGATAACCACAGATAATCCCAATCCATAAAATTCCCCTCAAAAATGCTTCATTCTTCTCAAAAAAATTTAACGATATATTTTGTAAGTGTTCAATAAATTGCATTAAATTAGTCCAACAATCGCCGTTTTCAGAAGAGGTTGAAGTCATCTTTAAAGAGTTTTAATTAGAGTTGTTTCCTACCGGTTATTAATTGGCACCCTCAGTTTTTCAGTGTTTGCCGGCCTTCGGTCTTTGAATAATCTCCGGTTTTCTTATCCGAAACCGGTCGGTCTTCGGCCGTTTTTGACCTCTGCCTTCCAATTCAATTAATAACCCAAATTTTAATAAAAGTAAACTAACCGTCCCCTCCGGATTTGTAGTTGTTGGTGATGAGTTTCCTTCTCCTTTGGGTAACTTTAAAAAAAATTTTTTTTAATTTTTTTATTATTTTTAGAAATTAATTTTTACATTCATTTCAATAAGGACAACAGAATCAGTCGAGGAATTAGTTAAACTTTTTGTACGCTTCCTTGTCCCATTCATTTTTAAAAATCTTGGTAAACAGAAAATAGGATAATGATTCTTTTTAAACTAATCCACGTATTTAATGCTTTTTTTTATTTTTCGTTTCCCCCTTTTTTAATATTTGCAGGAAAGAAACGAATATATGGGGGTTTAGTTTAAAAAAACTTTTGGGGGTTGGAAAAGCAGGAAAAATAATTTTAAAAAGAAATTAGGTGTCTTATTCAAAAATTATAAAATTCCAAGGAAAGGAAGTCCAGTAACAACGTTGGTTAAAATTAGTGATCGAGTTGAGCCTGGACCAAGGCCTGGGTTTTTCATGTACCCAGAGTCCAGGCTTCGATATTTTTTGACCTTCCTGGGGTTTTCCTGGGCCTGGGTTTCTCATGAACTACAGGCCCAGGATCCGGCCCAGGTCAATAAATCAAACCCGGAATCTTGGAACAGGCCTAGCCCTTTCAAAAATCTCGCTCACTAGTTTAAAATTAAGAAAGTCTTTCACAAACCTTTTTTAAAATTAAAAATTAAAAAAAATTTTTACGAACCAATCCAAGTTGTATTCCTTTCACAATAGCGTCATCCTTGGTTGCCCTGTTGTTTTTGTTATTCTCGTGAATGTCATGGATTTGCATTGAATTTGTGATTTTAAGAAATTTGAATAAATTGAAAAAATAAGAAAATTTAAAAAAGAATATTTAAAGCTGAAAAATTAAAAAAAATATTTGGATAAAAAATAATTAAATTAAATTGTAATTTAATTTTAATATCAAATTCTAAAAAAAACAATTAAAAAATGGCAATCACAAAGTTGAAAAGACTAACCATAAATCTTAATATTAAAAAAAACTTTGAAAGAAAATAAGTAGAGGAACGAAAAATATTTTTATAATTAATATATGTTCGTAAATATTTAAAAATAAATTCCCCAATTGTTAAAAGGGGAGAAAAAAATTATTTTTGAAAAATAATACGTTCAAATTTGACGAATGAATATTTGAATGAAATGGTGATTGAATGAATATATTTGTGTGACAAAGAACAACAAAAAAATTTTTAGAGAAGTCTTAGTAATTTTTTTGGTAAAATTCAATTTCGTTCCCCCCTCTTTTTTCCTTCCTCAAAGTATTACAAAATGGTCATTCAATCTTAAGTTATAGAACTCGTCGAGCTGTGTCGAATGACACCAAAATCAAAAAAATCGGACTTGATTGGACCGAAATACAGACCCCTAAAAATTGAACAACCACAGGGGCGAAAAACCAAAAGGACGAAAAAGTATACAAATGATAGCTCGTTCGAAAGAGCTCGTCGAGTTGAGTCGAATGACACTAAAATCGACGTGATCCGACTTGATTTGACAAAGATATGACATAAATCATCGACTCCGGTAGGTCTAAATAACGTCGTAACTTTGTCAAATCTTGTCCAATTACGTTGATTTTGATGTCATTCGACTCAGCTCGAAGAGCTCTTTCGAATGAGCTACCATTTGCTTAAATTTTTTTAATTTCAAAAAATCACCCCTGTGGTTGTTCAATTTTTAGGGGTCTGTATTTCGGTCCAATCAAGTCCGATTTTTTCGATTTTGGTGTCATTCGACACAGCTCGACGAGTTCTATAACTGAAGATTGACTGACCATTGTGTAATACTTTGAGGAAGGAAAAAAAGAGGGGGGGAACGAAATTGAAAATTACCATTTTTTTTTAAATGTAAAAATAGGAACAAAAAATTAAAAAAAAATTTTGGGGACAAAAATTTGGTTTAAAGGGAAATTTAAATAATTTAGGTACTTGTTTATAGGGGTATTTTTTAAAATTATTAACAGATTATGACAAGTTTTTGGATTTAGATTAAAAAAAAGGAAGAGAATTTTAAATAATTTTTAAATCAAAATTTGTCATTAAAAACATCATTGAATTAAAAAGTACAAACAAAGTACACAAATTTTTAAGTAGAACAAAATTTAAGTGGAGGGGAAGGAATTGGAATAAACAAAAAAAAATATGAGAGAGAGAGACGAGAATTTATTTGTTATTTGGCAAAGGTTGTTGAGAGAGAAAAGTTCACATTTTTTAAAAAAGTTGAGTGAAAGGGAGGGGGAAATTAAAAAAATAAAAAGGATTGACCCACTTGATCGTCTTTAATTTAAAATTTTGGCTGTAGTGTAGTGTACCGGTGGTAAAAGTTCGAGACGTGATATATGTCATTCGATTCGTCTCGACGAGCTGAGTCGAACAGTACCACTCCCTATTTTAGGAAATAATTCTGGACCGAGTTATAGGTCCCGGAAAATTGAAAAACCAAAGGGGGGAGTAAGGTCGATTTTGGGGTGAAAAATTCGAATATACAAATAATAGCTCATTCGAAAGAGCTCTTCGAGCTGAGTCGAATGACACCTAAATCAATAAAATCCGACTTTATATGGCCGAGTTACAGACCCCCGAAATTTGAAAATTTTTGGGGTCAAAAAATTCGAATATGCAAATAATAGCTCATTCGACTCAGCTCGTCGGGCTGAGTTGAATGACACCAAAATTACCGAAATCCGACTTGATTTGACAAAGTTATGATCGTTTGTTTTAGCTCCTTACCTATTGTCTCCATGGAGGGTTTTGCTGCTACGGAGGCTCCAGGTATGCCTAGAGCGAGGGAGATAGGAATAGGTTTATGTTACGAGCCCAGACCCACCGCCCGTAGACTCCCCGCGAGGCGCGTGCCGCAAACCCACGCGCGAAGCGCGGGGGTTTGCACAAGCGCCTCGCCGACTCACCATAGGTTTATGTTGTTTTTTTTGTGTCGTAACTTTGTCTAATCTTGTTCAATCACGGTGATTTTGGTGTCATTCGACTCATCTCGTCGAGCTCTTTCGAATGAGTTATTATTTGTATAAAAAATTTTTTATTCCAAAAATCGCCCCTTTGGATCTTCGATATTTAGGGGTCTATATCTCGGTCCAATCAAGTCAGATTTTGTTGATTTTGGTGTCATTCGACTCAGCTCGAAGAGCTCTTTCGAATGAGCTATTATTTGTATATTCGAATTTTTCACCCCAAAATCGACCTTACTCCCCCCTTTGGTTTTTCAATTTTCCGAGACCTATAACTCGGTCCAGAATTATTTCCTAAAATAGGGAGTGGTACCGTTCGACTCAGCTCGTCGAGACGAATCGAATGACATATGTCACGTCCCGAACTTTTACCACCGGTACACTACACTATATCCATTTTTTGTGATTTTTTAAAGCCGAAAAATCCGGGAAAGACAAAATTTAAAGCGTGCCCGCTCAAAACATCAAACGCTTAAAATATCTAGACGACTAAAAACGCTAAAAATATCTAGACGGGTAAAAACGCTCAAAACATCTAGACGACTAAAAAGGCTCAAAATATATTCGCTCAAAACATCAAACGCTCAAAATATCAAAATATATTTTTCATTTAAAGGGGACAGTTGAGTCCGCGGAAAAAAATTTTGCCGCTGCGGAGGAAGCCGGGCATGTCGAGCGGAACGACGGCCGCCGCTTCGCTACGGTCGCCGCGAGCGAAGCGAGCACGACCGCAGCGAAGCACGGCCATCGTGTAGCGAAGACCATGCCCGGCCTACCCTCCGTAGCAGCACAAAAACAGTTTTTCCAGCGAAGATTCAGTTGGTCATAACTTTGTTCACAATCATCCAATCGAGCTGATTTTGGTGTCATTCAACTCAGCTCGTCGAGCCCTTTCTCAACACGTCGAGTTCATGCAAAATTGGTCCTGAGATACTACATTATTCACCCCTGATACAAGGAAGAAATATTGGACTCAACTGTCCCTTTTAATCAAAAAATATTTTGATATTTTGAGCCTTTTTAGCCGTCTAGATATTTTGAGCGTTTGATGTTTTGAGCGAATATATTTTGAGCCTTTTTAGTCGTCTAGATGTTTTAAGCGTTTGCTGTTTTAAAAAAATATGTTTTGTAGGGTAGCCATTTAAAGAAATAGCACACGAAAAAAATAGAGCGGAAAAGATAAAAAGAAAAAACGAAAGTCCTTTTAGCACTGAAACGGCTTTATTTAATTAAAAATTTTGGACGGTTCAAAGTTGTCGATTCAGTGTGGATTTAATTTCATTCAAATTTTGATTTTTTATTTTATTTTTTCTAGATCTTTTTTTAATTTTTTTTATTTTCTGAGAACAACAAAAATATAAATTTTATTTATTTTTAATTTAAATTAACTCAAATGGACGATGAATGCAATATTGACAGACAAGTAAGAAGTAATTCGGTTTTTTCTTCTGCTGTGGACTCACAAATTGACTGGAATGGTTTGGAATTGAATTTATTTTTTAAAATTTAATTTCTAGAACTTTTCGCAAGAATGGATAAGCATCAAGGAAGTGTGGATGACTTTAAGAAGTTAATGTATAAAGTAATTTTTTTTAAATAATTTGGTAAGACTCGCGTTGAACACAAAGGGGCTTGCTTGCCCCCTATGATTAGGGGTCACAGGTTCGAACCCGTGTGGGGAAATGAATTTTTTCCAACTTAGGCAGAGAAGGTATGGTTACCAGAATCCCGAAACATGGACGATCTTTCCGACCCAAATCCCCGATCCGTTTTTTCTCAACATAGCCCTTTTGGTAAGTGGCAGGAATAAGTGTTTGGTGTTAACACAACCTTTAAAATTTAATCCGGTCCTTTCTTTTGTTATTTTCCGGGATGGCTCTGTCTTTATTTAAAATAAAAAATTTATTTAAATTTAAAAGTTGTAGGTTCAAAGTAAACGCAGAGAATTTGTTTGTGCCTTTCTTAGAGACTACGAGGCGACAACTAATACTGAAAATGCTGACAAAACTTTGTTATCAAGTTTAATTGAATGTCTCCAATTATTTCGCAAAGTTTACTTAATTTTATCAAATTCTGAGAATTATCAAAAGGATGTGATATCAAAGTTTTTTTAATTTTTTATAATTAAAAAAATTTTTTAATTTAAAGCAGCGAAAAAATGCGAATTAACATTAAAGACGAAATTATTGGACTTCAAGTATTTTTTTTATAAATTTTTTGGCAATCTTCTGCTTTACTTGCCCCTAGAAGAAAATGAATAGGAGGTGTTCTTGCGATAATTTTGAGGTTTATTATTATAGAAGGTAATCGAGTGCCGAGTGTGGTTTGAATATTAGCTTGGAATAAATTTTTAGCCTCTGAGTAGGGAGGCTGAGCCTCAAAAATATTAAAAGTACATCTTTTGATCAATTTTTTCTTTGGACGAGTTAAGTAGAGGATTACCTAAATTTTTTACTAAATTTTTTTAAAAAATTTTCAAAGAAAGATTTGGTTCTTCTCGATAGACTTCATTCAATTCACAATACAACCAATAATTATGTTAAAAAGTTGTTTGAAATTATTGACTTTTCTGGTGTTTTAGCTCCATATCATCCAACAAGTTCTCAAGTATTTTTTGAAGAACAGGCAAAATGTGTCAAGTAAAGGGAAATTTTTTTAAATAATTCTGATTTTTTTACAGTTTTTTGAAACGTTTTGTCGATAATTCCGAATCAGGTAGAAAGCCTATAATGATAACTGACTGGGATGGGACAATGAAAGATTATTGCTCACAATATGTTACAAACTTGCAGCCAATTTATAGTGCCCTTAGTATGGCTATTTTTTCAAATGTAAATTTTAAATTATTTTTGTGTTTATGGGTTATCTCAAGCCAATTTATGCGGACTCTCAGATATAAAAAACAAAATCATTTCAGCTTCCAATATTTTGCTCAAGCAATCACCACTTCCTCGATACATTTTCAGCGCCGCAGGCGATTTCGGGGGGGGGGGGGGAATTCCCCCCCCCCCTCACCCCCCCCCCCCTGGCTACGGGCCTGCCCATAAATACAATTTTTTAATTTTTAAAGAAATGTACTCGAGTTACTGCTGTCTTAACTGCTGGTTAATTTTTATTTTATTTTTTAAAAGTAAATTCTTTAAAGGACCGTTACGAGGACCGGGTATTCTTGATTTGACATCATTACCTAAAGATGGACCTGTTGTTTTTGGTGGATCTTGGGGACGTGAATGGTGGTTGGATGGGAAAAGGTTTCTTGTTTTCTTTGATTTTTAATTAATTTTATTTTTTAGAGTTGTACACGAGGAGGGTATTTTAAAATTATTTTTTTAAAAATAATTTGTTTAGGTATTTCTGATGCTGGAATGGATGCATTAGAAAGGCTTTCGGATGAAGTATCGACTTATTAATTTTTAATTTAATTAAAAAATTATTTTTAGATGTCAACACTTTTGCAGAAGCAAGAATTTTCTCATTTTGGACTTATTGGAAGTGGAGTACAACGTAAAGTTGACCGTCTTACACTTGGTGTTCAAACAGTTTGTAAGGTTTATTTTTGTGTCTTTTTCTTTAAATTTTACGAAATTAAAAATTTTTTATTAGCATGTTAGCCCTGACCTTTCAATGAAATATCAAGAAGAAGTCAAGGAGAGATTACACAGAGTTGATCCTAATGAAGAGGTTTTTATTTTATATTTTCGTGAAGGAAACGTTCCCTCACATCTGCGAACATAAACAAATTTTCTTTGGAATATGGACCATTTGGGTCTTATTCTTTCCCGAATCCTTATTTGGGACCTTTATTCCTTTCCTGAAACTCTATCTATAATTTAGTAAGTTCGTCTAGTGTCTGTAAATATTTTTCTACTTAGAAAACCTTTTTAAAAATTATTTTTTTCAAAGATTCTCCATTTTGACCCATCAACAGAACTTGAAGTAGAAGTTGTTGTACATAGTGATGGAATTATTTGGAATAAAGCAAATGGAATTGATCATTTAATCCAAACAATAAGTGATACAATTGAGAAAGATAAAGTTTTAATTTGTGGAGATACTCATTCTGATTTACCTATGGTTGTACATGCTTTGGAGAAGAATAAAAAGGTTTTTAAAAAATTAAAAGAAATTTTTGATGCTATTTTTGAAGATTTTCTGAAATTTTTTCTTTTTTGAAAATTTTTTCAAAAAATTTTTTGGAATTTTTAACTTTAAAATTTTTTTGTTTTTTAGGGTGCAATGTTTATTTTTGTTACAATGAAGGAATCTCTTAAAGAGAAAGTTGTTGAAATTGTTGGAGACTCTAATAATTGTTGTTTTGTTTCATCTCCAGATGTTATTCATGCTGCGGTTTTTCTTTTAAATTTTTTTTTAATTTTTAAAAATCTTTTTTATAAAGATGATGACTTTGCTCACAACGACTTGATTGATCTTATTATTCTTTATTTAGACAAGTTTTTTTTCTATCTTTTTAGACTTCAATTAGGAATGTTGGCGATCGGTTATTAACCGGTACGTATCCCCAGTCTTCAGTTTTAGCTTGGTTTTTGACCTTCTCGTTCTTATTTCCTGTTAACTGATCGCCAAACACCCCCTATTTTTTAATTTAAAAATATTTTTTTAGATCTTAATTTGAATCTAAAAACTTTATTTAGATAAATATAAGGAGATAAAAGAATAAATTAATTTTTAAATAATTGTTTTTTTAAAGTGATTTTATACATTTTAAAAATATTTTGATTATTTTTTTGTTTAAAAATGTTTTTGATTTTTTTAGAAATTTTTTTTTCAATTTTTTAAATGCAAGAAGAATCTTCAGTACTTTTAGACACTTCTCATATTCAAATTAAATTTTTTACAAAGGATGAAAGGTTTTTAAGTTTAAATAAAATATTAAAATTAATTTTTTTAGGTTTTCTGATCAATTGCCTAAACAAATATTTAATGTGCCAATTTCTTCAGAATCTGAACAATTGAATATTTTGATTAATAAAGTTGGAGAAACTAATGGTTAGTTTATTTTTTAAATTTTGTTTTGAAGAGTTGGAGAATTTTTTTGTTTGAATTCTCCCAATTAAACAGCCGTTTAAGTCATGTTAGGACTGCAGATTTTTACTTGGTACAATTGAAAGAATCAGTCCGATCAACTTTAGGTTCAGAGGTGTTTATGAATTTCGAGTCCCATTTTCAAAATTTTGGAGTATCGGGTAGAAAAATTCAAGGTCTCCTGGGTAGGGTTACTTTGGGTGAAATAATACCATCTTTTATAATAACCCCCAAGATAATCCTTTTTGCACAAACTGAAGGAGAAAAGAGCCCGATTCAGATTTCATTTTATCTTTTAGATAATTGGAAACAATTAAAATTCGACTTTCTCATTGACTCAATTCTTCTAAGAGTATCATTATTTGATTTTATTGACACTTATAAACTTTCTTTGGAAAATATTATTGAATTGGAATGTATTGAACAAAGTCCCGCTCCAGTGCCTCAATTAGATTTGACTGATTCTGAATGGGTAGCGGATGTTAAAATAATTAATGAAAAATGGTATATTAATTTTTTAATTAATAGAGGATTACTTTTTGAGTATTCTAGTATTTTCTAGATTTTTAGGTACTTTATGGATATGTCACCCCCCTCCTATTTTGAGTCTCAGAGTTTTCCTTATGCGTAGAAAATGGTCAGAGATTATTTTCTTCTCCATGTCAATCATTTTTTTCTTCAAGCAAAATAAGTGAAATGTGGAAACGAAATGAGTGAGAAGTATGTACAAAATTCAAAAATATACGTGAAAAGGCAAAATAAAAAAACAAAATACTTGAAGAAGAAAAAAATGATTGACACGGAGAAGAAAATAATCTCTGACCATTTTCTACACATAAGAAAAACTCTGAGACTCAAAATAGGAGGGGGGTGACATATCCATAAAGTACCGATTTTTAGGCTATTTTTTTGGCTTTATTATAATTTTTTGTTTATTGTGATTTTTTAAAATTATGGGCTTTAAATACTATAAATGATATTTGGGGTTATTTATTCAATCTTTGATAAGTCTTGTTTGTGGTGCAGTTGGTTAATTTCTCGTCTATTATTAAAAGGTGGTTAGGTTCGATTCCGGCTTCTGTTAAACTGTTTTTAATTAAAGAGCTATGATGAAATATTTGACTAGAGTCTCTGAAAAATAATTTTGTTGAAAATTTTAAAGTCTGAGCTCTTTGAAAAAATTAATTGATTTTTAAAAATTTTTCTTTTTTAATTTAGCATTGTATCAGTTAATTATGGAGGGGAATTTATTCTTTGGAATATTACAAAAAATAAAACGGAAACAATTGCTGAAAGGAATGTTGTGAAAAAATTGGATGAGGAGCCGATAAAATGTTTGGATGCATTTTCCCATGGAAATAATGGTTTTTTCTAATTTTTAAAATTAAAAAATTAAAATTTGTTTTTTGAAGTTGTTTCCTTTTTGGTTGGTGCACAAAACCAAACACTTTATTTACTTAAAATGGAAGGAAATGTTGAAAAAGGTCAACAAAATATTTTGGCAAAGACAGTTTTGAGAGGACATGAAAGAAGTGTTGAATGTGTTGCTATTAATAATGATGGTTATTTTTTATTTTTTTAATTAAATTTTTATTTTAATTTTTAGGTACTCGTGCAATTTCTGGTTCTTTTGATAAATTTGTTAAAGTTTGGAATATTTCTGAAGGTTTTCTTTTTAAGTTAGAATTATTTAAAATACCAATTTTTATTTAGACAATTCAATTGACAATAATATTGATGAAGAAATTTCTCCATCTTCAAGAAGTTCAAAGAGACCTAAAATTGATCAAGTTGTTAATACGAAGGTTTTTTAGTTAAAATTTTGTTCTTTTTTCGAGGAAAACTGAACGTGAAAATTAATTTAAAATTTAAATATTAAAAAAAAATTAAATTTAGACTCCAATGGTAACTCTACAAGCACATAAGGAGGCTGTTGTGGATATTAAATGGAATCCCTTAAATTCGGGTCAAGCAGTTAGTGTGTCTTGGGATCAACAAATTTTGGTTTGGGATTTGGAAATGGCAGGTTTATCTTTTTAATTTCTCGAAGGGGGTGGACGCTATCATGCTTAAACGCCGAAAGGTGTTGGCTTTTATCTTTATAGGGGCATGGTAAATTTTAAAAATTTTTCTAAATTTATCAAAAAAAAGGTCCAATAACAAATTTGCCTTCAAATAGAGCATTTTCTGCACTTTCACTAAATCCTAAAAATGGTATCGCTTTGACAGCATCAACTGATTCTTTTATTAGAATGTGGGATTTAAAAAGCAAAGGTATGAGTAAAAATATTAAAAAATATTTTAAATATTTTTTTTTAATTTTCAGAAGGTTCTCTAGTTAAAAATACTTATTGTGGACATCTTGCCTGGGTATCCGATGTTTGTTGGTCTCCTTTAAATGAATATTTATTTTCTTCTTCAAGTTTTGATGGAACTGTGAAGATGTGGGATACAAGGTTTCTCTTTTTATAAAAGTTGCAGACAAACAATTGCGGATAATCCCTAGGCTTCTGGTTTTATTTCTCCCGCATCCATTCAATAGGGTGGGACATTATCACTTGGCCTTCTATTTCATTTTCAATGGCTTTCAATTTTTGTGCGCAAATGTCTGTCCGCAAAAATTTTTTTGTCTGCAAAATTCGTCCGTGATTTTTTTATTAAAAAATTTTTAGGAGTCCAAAAGCTGCTCTATACGATTTAATGGGACATCAAGACCGTGTTTTATGTGTTGATTGGTCATCTTCTGAAAGAATTGCTAGTGGGTCAGTTGATTGTTCAGTTAAAGTATTTTCTTGTTAAAAATTTTTTTTTTATTTTTTTGTTGACTTTTTTTAAAAAAATAAATTTTATTTATTTTTTATCATTTTTTAATACGCATGGAAAGTAAATAATATTTTTATTTTTCTTTCCCATACTTTTTTTGCATAATTTTTATTTCTTTTTTTTTTTAAATCGCCGACCCGGCACACTCTTCCCCTTATTTTTATTTTTCTCAGATTTTTTTGCCAATCATATAAATGGGTAGGGATTAGGGTTGTTGGCGGACGGTTAACCGAACCGGAACCGTTAACCGGTGTTTTTGGCGAATTAACCGGAACCGAAAATCGGGGGTCGAAAACCGGCGATAACCGAAAACCGGTGACCAAAACCGCCCGGTTTCGGTTTTAAAAATACAACCCTAACGATGGAAATTTTTGGGATTTCTTAGGAAATTCGAATGACTAAAATACATTAACAAAATATTTTTATTATTAAAAAAGTCAAAATATTTTTTGTTTCCTTGTGTAGTACGTGGTTAAGTGGGTAAGCTGGCGGGCGACAATGTTCATAGGGTTTGGTTCGATCTTATTTTGTGTAGGAATTTTATTGCATTATTTTTTGTTGCAAAAATGAAGTATAAGCTTTTAATTTTGATCTAAATATGCAAATTTATTTTTAAAAAGTGTAAAAAGTTGTAGCAAATTTTTTAAACAGATGAGGAGAAATACATATAATGAAAACAGCGAATTTTTACTTACTGTTTTCCAAAATTTTCGCCTGCGGCGCTCAAAAAGGAAGAAACCTGGCTTCTTGGACTTACAAAATTCTCCAAAATTTTCGCCTGCGGCGCTTGAAAAGAATGAAATCTGGTGACTAGGCCATCCAAAATTCTCAAAAATTTCGCTTCCGGCCGTAAAAAAAGAAGAAATATGGCTATTGTCGTTTCAAATTAACAAAATTTTTTCATGCGGCTATCAAAATAGAAGAAATCTGGCTTCTTGGCCTACCTAAATTTTCAGAATTTTCGCCTGCGGGTCTGAAAGTTGAAATCGGGGTTATTGGAGAGATATATTGAGATGTTGCATATCGAAGATATCAGGAGATTTAAAGTCCTCGAATGATATCGGACCTATAAATCCCTAGACAATACCTCTTAATACTATCATTCATCCCAACGCCTTGATAACTTCTCATCTCCCAAATCCCCGATGAAGTGTATAGAATATTTATTTAAAGGCGTTGGAATGTTACAACATCTTAATGGGATATTCTGGATGAAAATTTGTCCAAAAACCGGTCCCGGTTAACCAAAAACCGGGGGTAAATCAAAAACCGGAACCGAAAACCGTGGGTCAAAAACCGGCGATAACCGAAAACCGAGGGTACCGGTTAATAACCGGTCGCCAACAACCCTAGTAGGGATGTTTAATAGTCGATTAAAAATATTTTTTATGTAATGTGTTTGTTGCACACTTTTTTATCTCATAAATTTTTTAAGTCGCCCGACGCTTCTGATATTTGCGGACAAAATTTGCGGACTTTTTTTTTTCAGAGACTGATTAAAATGTGTTGGGAGAAGGCTGATCATTTGCTATTTTTTAATATATCCGCAAAAAATCTGCGGACTTGAAAAAAGTCCGCAAAAGTTATCCGCAAATATTTCTTCAAGGCAAAATGTCCGCAGAAACAGGGGATAGGCTAAATTTTATATATAAATTTTATTTTTAGTAAATTCCTTTTAATATTAAAAAGTTTTTTTCTATTAATGATTTATGAGAACCAGCCGGTTAAAAGAACAGCGATTGGAAAGAAAAAAATGACTGTGGCGCTGAATGACCACTCGCCACATTTCTTTAAAGCGTATGGGAAAGTGTTTTTTATATTATCGCCATTTTATGTGCACACAGAATTTTTTTTGTAAAAAATGGACAGATCAGAATGTATGGGAAAAAGGCTGGTCAGTTTGTATTTTTATTTTATATAAAACTGAAAAAAACTTGCGGACAAAGAAAAGTCCGCAAATTTTGTCCGCAAAAATTTCTTCAGTAAAAAATCTGCAAAAAACTTGTGTGGAAAAATTGTTTCATTAAATATTATCAAATATCTTATCACTTAAAAAAATTTATTATATTTTTATTGACAAACGGAGTGAGAGTGACAGCCATTCGCCGTTAAATTATATACAGTATGTACGTATAATAATTCTTTCTTTGACGAGTAAGTAATGTTACGCCTCGTAAACCTATTTATATTTTTTCTTATTTTTTCCCGCCATTCATTTTTATTTTTCTTATTTAATATAAACATCTGTTTCTTTTTCGAGAAAATAAAGTGGAAGCTCGATATACCTCGTATACCTTAATACCTCTCGGGATAGGGTATGGCGGATCCGGCCCCGAAAAGTGCAGGAAATCCGGAAATTTCCGGGTGCGATAGAGCCATGTTATTCTAAATTTACGCATCGGATTCGGATATATGTGTATTTCCAGGGATCCGCCAACCTTACCTTCGGATCCTAATTTTGCTGATGTTGGAAGGAAGTGATGTTGGATTGGGGGATTAGGTACAATCTAATACCCTTTCGATATTAGAGACTTGTTAAAGCTTTGATTTCCGGTGGTTCTAGCCCTCCTTTGTAGTTGGGGACTGAAAAATGATTTTATTTTCAGCCACTCCCTTTCTTGGCCACTTTTAATAATAAAAATGAAAGAAACACCCATTCAACAACATTTCCTTCTTTTTCCTTTTCCCATCACCATAACACACAAAACCATCCTCCATTTTTATTTTTGATCAAAACGAGAAATAACTAAACTCTCTCAACTATGTCCTGGTTCATAAATACTCACAAACCTTTACAAGGCTTACAAAATTTTAATTAAAAATTCGTTGGATTTCCATATACTCAGTCAAAATCTAATTCTCTGTACGCCCTTGTAGTTTAGGCACCGTTCGGTATTATCGCGTTACTACTGATAGTAGCGACTCGGTACTTTTCTGAATATTGAAAAAATCCATTTGCCTCTACACACTTGGCCCTTGAAAATTATCTTTTTTAGCCCCTCCCAACCAGTAGCTAGGTAGAAACACAAAATTGAACACTTAAACTGAATATCTTTCAGGAATTTTCCTAAAATTATAGAGAGACATTTCCCCCCAAAATTTGAACACATTAAATTTATTTTAAGGCAAATTCCAACATGTTTTTAGTCATTCTAATTATAATTTTTTGCCTAAAATTCCAAAAAAAAATTTCTGGATTTCCCTTCACGCTTGTTTCCCATGCTTTCAGAATTTTTTTTGATTAAATAATTGTTCTCTCACCTAGGGCCATCAAACAAAAAAAATTTTCTTTTTTTAATTTTTTGTGTTTCTCAAATTTACACCCACCCCCTCACCCCCTTCAATTCCCTCCTTTTTTACTTCATTCCCCCCCCCCCCTCTCCCCAAAATTCCTCACCTTTAATTTTCTAATTTTTTTCCAATTTAATTTCCCGCTACCTAATAAACGGAAGGAGAATATAAAAAAACTATCTATAAATTATTTATTTATTCCCTCACAAAAATTACAAGAAAAACACACACACACATTTTCCGACGTTTTTATAACGTGGGAAAGGCTAAAATTAAATATAAACTTTTTGGGGAGACTGTAAGAATCAAAAATATAGAATGGCAAGGATGGGGGGGGGCCTTTTCATTTTACGTCTTCCACTTTTTTAGATACGGAAGGGTACATCCATGATGATAGGGTATACTAGGAAACTTTTAAGGAATACTGTTAAAACCGTAGAATCCGCAAAGTAAATTTTTTTGCGGATTTTATTTGCGGTTTTAGAAGAAAAAGGAATTTATAAAATACAAATTACATTTGAATTTCGATTAAACGAGACCCTCAGGAAGATAAAGGGTACGTAAAAATAGGAGGGTATCGCTAGACAAAAGCAACTCCCTTCCTCGGTCGAAATTCCGATTTCCGAAAATTTAGGCTGATTCCTGAGTTCCATCTTTTGAGCCAGTTCCGATTTCCGACAGTTCTAATTTCCGACACCATCGTCATTTCCGACCGACCCCTACTCCCCTCCCAATATCTTTTCGTAAAATAGAGAGTATAGGTAAACTAAGGTGTATTATGTTCAATCAATGTCCTCAACTGTTCAAAAGTGTGCCAAATAAAAGAAAAAAATTAATTACGAAAATACCCTCAAAAGGTTCATTTGTGGATACTTCAAAAGCATTTAAATACTATTTACGCCCAATTTGTCGCGTGCGAAAACTTTCTTAATTTCCCCAAAAATATTTAAAGTACTATTATTTTTGTTAATTTTGTGATCCTAAAAAAATTATTTTATTTTTATTTTTTATCGGCAACTGTATAAAAAACACTTTTTTCCTTCCCATTTTGCTCTTTTACTTCTTTCCCACACAGTTGAACACGAACCGAATTAGCGCTAGTAAAAGGGTCGGTGTGTGGAAAGGAGAAGGTGCTCAATCAGTGTTTGTTGTTATTATTTTTATATGGTTATGAGGGGGGGGGTGTTTGCCGCCCTTTCCCAGCCACTTTTTCCAATCTTCTTCCTTTGTGATATTGAGCACCCCGCTTCGACTTTTTAAGGTGAAAAAAATATTTTTGTTGAAGCAGAAATTGTGGAAGGAAACAGTATGTAGGTGTGGATGTTTGGATTCAATATAGATGATTTAGGGGTTGATTGAGGCGAAAGCCAGATATGTAGCAAATTGAATATTTTAGAAACCGTGTCAGCTGGTGACAGAGGCGGGATCGGATCCGCCCGGATTTCCTTGAGTCCATGACCCAAATCTGAGTTTTTTTCGCTTCTCCGGATTTTCTCCGTCCCGGATTAATCCAGAAAAATCCGGTTGGATACGATCCGAATCCTGAAAATCGATTCTACCGACCACTAGTATCAATATTCAATGAAAAATAACTTTCCAGAGACAGTTAACGATACTATAAGTCGAATCTTCACAAGACGTTTCACTCATGGTTATAAGGAAATTGACGTGTTATCGAGATTAGATTTATAAGTTAACTGGCAATATTTTAAGAATTTTTCCTCATTTCTAGAAAAACATTTTTGGTTGGATTAAATAAAGCACACGCCCCCAATTTTTTAAATATCCTATCGCAATAAATAAAAATGGGGGCGTGACTTGAAGGAAGAAAAGAGAAAGAAATAATTTTTATTTATTTTACCGCAATATTTTTAGAATTAGAGGCTTAACGACTGGTTGAATTTGAGGAAAAAATTTTAAAACTTTTGAATTTAAATGGTGTCGTCATATTCTTATCCTATAGCCTGTCCTACAACGAAAATATATTTTTTATGACAGATCAAAAAATTGTCCGCAAAAATTTTGCGGACTTTTTTCTGTCCGCAAATTTTTTGAAATATTTTTTAAAATTTTTTCACCTTATTATTTTTTCAGACTATTTAAATAAACAAATATAAATTAAAATGTTAACTCAACAAAATAATAATAAAAATCAACAAATTAATCACCCCCAAATTCCTGGTAATTTTTAAAATTTAATTTTGATTTATTTAAATTTTAGATTTTAATATATTTTTTGGAAATAGAAGAGGTTTAAATGTTTGTAGTGGAGGAGCTAATAGACGTTCTCCCACTCCGGATTGTCCAAGTTTTGAACATTTGGAGAGGAAGGTGTTTTTTTAATTGTTGAATTTAAGAATTAAAAATTTTGTCCGCAAATATTTGCGGACAAAATGTTCTGTCGGTTCGATTCAGCCTCGAGACTATATTTTGGGCCATAACTTTTTTGATTCTTAACCGATTTAAATAATTATTATATCAATCGAAAGCTATGGATTTGTTAATTATTTTAGCTAAGATCATCTTTTAAATCTGGTAAGATCATCTTTTAAAGAGTTACAACTCAAAAGAGACCGAAAATCATGATTTTGCGCACTTATCCAACTTTATCTTTTTGTTGAATCATCTGATCACATCAATCCTTTTAACTAAAATAATCAACAAATCCAGAGCTTTTGATTGATAAAATAATTTTTAAATCGGTTAAGAATTAAAAGAGTTATGGCACACAATATGGCCGCGAGAAAGAAGCGGCACATTTTTGTCCGCAAATATTTGCGGACAAATAATTTTTTTTAATTTTCTTTAAATTAATTTTTCTAGCAAAAAAAGCCAATAATGGAAAGGAAAAGAAGAGCAAGATTAAATGCTTGTTTTGAAAGATTAAAAGAAATATTACTAACTTCAGACTCGCAGCAAAGGTTTGCGGACAAATTTTTGCGGACAAAAAAATTTTTAAATTTAAAGCAGTAAATTAGAAAAAGCGGATGTTTTGGAAAGGACTGTAATTTTTGTTGGACATTTACAACAACAACTTAGATCAGTACAACAAAATTTAAATCAATTACTTGTTGGGACTGAAAATGGACATCAATTCCAAAAAGGTGTTTCTATCGCTATTGCGACTACTAATGAATTGTTGGCTGGATTACAGGTAAAATAAAATTTTTTTTTAAATAATTAATTCCCTTTTAAATAAATATCTCCCCCAAAATTTGGTGGAAAAGTGGGTTTTTTATTTTTGCGGACAAAAAAAATGTCCGCATAATTTTGCGGACATTTTTTGCGGATTTTCTTGTTTTTCCAGCATTTTCATGTTTACTATTTTGGAATTTACCTAGCTATAAGATTCCCCCTCAATTTATAAGTAATATACGGTTTTAAAAATTTAGCCAGAATTATGTAAAAGAGTCCAATTAGAAGTACCTGAAAGAATATTACGTGCATTAGGTGTTTCTTCTCCCAATAATTCTAATTTATTCGCTTCAAATAATTTAATTCCAACTTCAATACAACAACAAAATAATAATAAATTAATTAATCCGTCTCTTATTTCTAATGGTTTGTTTTTTTTTAATTTTTTACGAAAATTTTTCATTTTTGCGGACGACCGCAAAAAATTTGCGGATGTCCGCAAATTTCAAAAAATGTCCGCAAGTAATTTTTTTTATTTTTTTCCAGTTAATCAACAAAAATATACCAATAATTATTTTATTAACCCAATTAATAATATTTCTAATAAAAATAATATTTTCCCGAATAATACTCCACCAATACCTCCAGCAACTTGTTACCGTTTTCCTTCAACTTTAAATTTATTTCCTTTACAACAACAAAATTCTTTTTTAAATTATTATTATCCGTCTAATTATGTAATTAATAATGTGGGCAATAGTGGAATTAAAAAAGGTTTTTTTTAAATTTTTTGAAAGTAAAAAATGTCCGCAAAAAAAGTCCGCAAAATTCTTGCGGACGTCCGCAAAAAAATTTGCGGACTTTTTTGAGAAAAAATTATTTAAATTTTTAATATTTAAAAATATTTTAAGTAGCTCCATCAAAAGAAATAAACAATAAAGAAGAAAATGAAGAGGACGAAGAGCAAGTTGTGGATGTTGAAAGTTTAATTAATGAGGAAGAGGAACGAAAAGAAGAGGAGAGTTTAGAAGAAGATAAAAATAAAGAGGTAAATAGTGACAGTCTTAAAATGAGGCGAAGGAATATTTCAAGAAAAACAGTTTGGAGGCCTTATTAATTTTTTAAAAATAATTTTGTGTTAATTATTAAATTTATTTCGAATATTATTTTTAATTGAATAAAATAATTATTCACCCAAAAGATCACCACTACCTCTTAGAGTTGCTCTAATGGGGTGTTGATCTAATGGGTTTAATTCTTTATCATGTTTTAGTTGATAATTGGTTATTATCAGCGTGTGAATGGTTTAAATAAATAGCTAGAGAAAGGCTTCTCTGATAGTAAAATAATAATAATAATTTTTATTATTAACTTAAAGGCTGTGGGAAATTAAAATTAAATTTAAATGAATAAATTGGCTAAAATTCACTTTAAAAATCATAAATATCTGAAAAAAAATTTTTGTTACCAGAAAAAATTAAATTTTTATATTTTTCTAAGGTTAAGGTATCCAAATCTTTAATTAACTAAAATTATTTCCACAGAAGGGGTCGAACCTTCGACCCTCATGGGAGAAAACAAAACACTTTCCCACTACACTAAAAATAATTTTTTCTTGAAGAGGTTGCATAATTTGTTGGATTTAATCTGATGTTTAGATATGTTAGAGAGAAATTTTGTTTTTGAATGCATTACTGTATTTATTTAATTTTTGTAATGTTTAAGGGATTAATAATTTATGGCTACTTATTAAAAAGAGAAATTGCCAAAAAAAGATTAATCTCTCTAAAAGAGATTAATAAGTTTGCGCATGTTTATAAGAAAAAAATTAAAAGAAAAAAGGAAAGCGACACAAAAAATAACTTTAAAAATTGCCGTTTAGTAGTTAATAATCGTTTTTTACATGGGAAAGTTTAAAAATTAAGAAAAAAGTTTTTTAGTCTTCCGCCTATTTTTTTGATTAAAGAGGAGAGGGGATTAAGCCTTGGAAAAGGAAAGTAAGGAATTAATTTTTAAATATTGCCTCGGGCAATTTTTGGTGTTTATCCTTTCGGTAAATTCATTTTCCGTTAAGAGGTAATCTCAAAATATCAACACACCCAAAAGATCACTACCCCTTGTTGATCTTTTGGATGTTGATATTTTGGGCGTTGATCTATTGGGTTGACACTAATGAAATAAATATTCTATAAATATTTTATGAATTTTATTTAAACAATAAGAACACAAAATTCAGGTGATTTGGGTTCTTTTGGCTGATCTAAATTAGCATCTTCATTATTATCTTCTTTGCTAGTATTATTTATTTTTAATTGTGATTCTTCTTCTTTTTCGTTATTTGTTGGTAATTGACTTGAAAATAATTTTTCCATGTGCTATTATTAAAAAAATATTTTTTAAAAATATTTTTGAGGAAAGAAAGCTCCAGGAGTCTCTAGGAACGAATAAAAAAAATTATTACCTAGGTAGCTCAGTTGGTAAAATCTTTGTATGGGAGTGATAAGAGGTTGCGGGTTCGAATCCTCCTCGGGTCCAAATATTTTTAGAGGTCTATAAGAGACCTCTAAATACTTTCAGGGGTCTTCTAGAGAGAAGAACAAAAGAAGAACAAAATCATTAGTCATGTAGCTAAGGTGGTAAAGCTCTTGACTTGGTGTTCAAGAGGTAGAAGGTTCGAACCCTCCCCGGGCCCAAACATTTTTTATCTCTTAAATTTACCTTTTTAACTTTATTTGCAATAAATTCTTGATATAAATTAAATTCCTGTTTAAATTTTTCTAATTTCTCCAATTCTTTTTCATTCAATTTTCTAACAGGTTTATCCCCAATATAAACATAATCTCCTTGTACTGTGCATCCATCAAAAACAAATTGCGTTGTGGCATTTTCAGAGCAAAAACTTGGCTGATTTTTGGGGAAAGGGGAAATTAAAATTATTTTTAATTGAAAATTTTTGCGGACAAACTTTTGCGGACAAAAAAATTTTTGCGGACAATTTATATAAAGTCCGCAAATTTTTGCGGACTTTTTCTTTAAAACTTTTTACAAACCCTCTTGGGAGGTTCTGGTTGTTGTTGCCTTTTTGTGTCTCCAGAAAGTGTCTGTTGCTGTTTTTGTTGCTCAATAAATGTTTTGGCAGATTCTTTGAATTCCCCCAATTCTTTAATATATTTTTCCATTTCCTCATTTTCTTTTTCAGAAAGATTCTTTGTAAAACGTCCATTAATATAAAGTTTGCCTCCCTTCAAAATATTTTTTTGAAAATAATGGAAGAAGTAGAGAATGGAAGGTTGTTTTTGCGGACAAATATTTGCGGACAACCCTCCACTTTTGCAAATTCCAAAAATAATTACCGAAACAACACAACCAAAATTTCCTCCTCCAAAAGGACTAAAACCAGAAATAAATCGTTTTGCACGATTATTAGATTGTTCGGTTAAAACAATTGTAATAAAAATATTTAAAAATAAAATTTTAAAAAATAAAAAGTTGGACATTTTATTTAAACTGAAAAGTAAATTGAGTTTTAGGATATACCTTATTATAGGATACCTCAAAGAGGTACCCTCTCTTTAAGAGGACAGAATTATTACTCTGTAGCTCAGCAGGTAAAGCGTTTGTCTATGGTGATGAGGGGTGTAAGGTTCGATCCCTCTCCGGTCCGAACATTTTTAACTTTAATAATCTAACAAAATATTTAAGAAAAGAAAGTTCCAGGTTGTCCATATGAGGGGGAAAAATTATTGCCCAAGCCGTTGATTGTGGTGATTGGGGGAGGCAGGTACCCCTGTACCCCTCAGATGCCCCTCTCCGGGCCCGAACGCCACATAATAAGAGATACTTTCTTTTCTGCCGTAGGGGAGTATTCTAAAGTCAGGCTAAACTGTACTTAATTTAATTTTAAAATTATTTTTAGACAAAAACGTTTTGAATTAAAATTGAAGGATGGAAAAATGGGACAAATAAATCTCTCTCAAAAAAATAAACGTAAAATTGAGGACAACCTTAAATAAAAAAATTTTTTGTTGTGTACTTACTGGATAGAAAAATGTAAATATTTTTAAAAGAAGAAATTGGGACAAATAAAAGCCGGTTTTGCATTGTTTGTTGAAAAATAATATTATTATTAAAAATGTTGATGTAATTCAGCTGCTCTTTCCGTCAAAAATCTTTTTTTTGTTTAAAAGAGAAACAATGGGACAAATTGTGGTGACAGAAAAAAAATAAAGCCTGACTGAGAGGACTTACGTAAAATTAAAAATAAAAAGTACACAAAATTTTTTTTCAAATTTTTTATCACAGAGTTATCCCAAATAAAAACAATATCCAAGATATATATTAGACCCCAAATTTAGAAATTAAAAAGTGTTTTGTGATTATACTTGAAAGAGTTTACTTAAATATATAAAGGCATTTTACAATAATTAATCTTATTAAAATAACAAGATAGAAAATTTTTGTCTAAAAAGAAATCCTAAAAAAAATCAAACCATTTTTAAAACATTAAAAGTCACCCCAATCATCAAAAAGTGATTTAACATCTTTTTGTTCATTATTGGCCTTTTGATTCAAATTGGAATTGTGTTGCTGTAAATAGGGAAAAGATAAAATTTCAATGAAAAACCCTTCTATTTTTAAGATACCCCTCATTATAAGACAATTTTTTAGACATAAAGGCTAAAGATTTAAAAATTTCAAAACCCACTTTTTCACACTTTACAGACATATTATCAGTCTTCTCTGACGATATTTGGTCATTATCATCATCATTCCAAGCCCAATCATCATCTCCTGCTTCCAATTCTGCTTGCTCAACACCACTTTCTTCTTCATTTTTATCAATTTTAGTATCTTCTTCCTCTCTATTGTTTAATAAATCATTTTCCTCTTTTTTAAGTCTATTTTCCACCTTCTCAACTTTATCTTGATCATCTTTATTATTTCCCTCCTCTCCATTCTCCTCATCATTCCATCCCCAATCATTATTATTATCTTCATTTAAATCTTGTTTATTTTCATTGTCAACAATATTTTCTTCCTCATAATTATTTTCATCCTCATCACAATTCCATAAATCTTCCCCAACAGATTTTTCTTCTCCTTCAATTAGTACCTCATTAATAATTTTATTATCATTTTCACTTGTAGAAGAAAACAAATTTATTTCAGAATTAACCTTCTCTTTTTCTGATAAATCAAAAGTTTTATCAACTTCAAAATTGCTTCTTCCTCCGTTATCTTTATTTAATTCAAAAGGTGTTGTTATGTTATTTTCTTCTTCTTTTTCATTTTCTTTTATCTTTAATAAAATTTCATCCAATTCATTTTGTAATTTAGCATTTGTCTCAATCAATTCATTATTTTCTCGAACTAAAGCTTCATTATCCCGATTTTTTATTGTTAAGTTTGATGATAAAAGTGCTAATTTTGTTGTACAATCGTGGAGATAATTTCTTCCTTAATAAAAAAGATTAGGAAATCTAAGAAAAAAATTTGGGGGTGAACAATCTGAAAAATTTCTGATTCTTATTTTTTTAAATAAAATCTCAAAAATTACAAGACTAGGAAATTTAAAAAACAAAAAAAAACGTTGACTTCGGGCTGTATATTTAAGGATTTCCCAGGGCAATTCCATTATAGCCTAGATCGAGACATGATCTCGATCGAAAATTTCGGTTACTAAGAATTTCGGTTATCTTAGTTCTCGTACTACACTCCCAGTTGACGCACAAAAATTTTAAAAATTCTTTAATTTCTAACCACATTTGTGTTCCTTAATTTGTTTCAAATATTCAAATAATTGTTTAAAATCTGCCAAATTTTTTGTTTCAATTTGTGCTTCTTTTAATTGTTGTAATTCATAGCGAAGTAACGACATTTCTTTTGCATTTTTCTCATTAAAATTAATTAAAAGTTTTGTAAGCTTTTCATTTTTATTCATTTCTGTTTCAATAGATGAACAAAGATTCTAAAAAATCAAAAAAATTTTTTAAATTTAAATAGATCTAGTTTATGAGTCCAATAAATTCTTAGAAACAATGGACTCAGAAACTTTTATTCAAACACAAAAAATTGGACTTATAAACTACTATTGGACTTAAAAACTAAACCGGTATATTCCTGTAATACCAAAACGCCGAAATTCCTGGCTCCAAAAAGCTGCCGAAACAACAAACTGTAGTTAGGGCGCCAAATATCAAATAGTAAATCCGAACTGTTAACAACAACACTCCCTCTAATTGGGAATATATCCATATGTGTTTGTTATTTTTCTGTAGTTTGGCATTTCGACAGCTTTGAAGATTTGGTATCCGAACGTTTTGATATTAAATTAAGTTAGAAAAAAATCTTTTACAAACCATATTTTCCTTCTCCATTACTTTCTCATTCTCCTCATAATATTCCAATTTAATTTTTAATTCAATCAGTTCGCCATTTCTTTCCTCCACTTCAAAATTTAATTTATCATTTTCTGAACGTAATTGTTTAACCAAATTTCCAACTTGTTCAAGACTATTTTTAAGTACATTTTGTTCGGAAAAACGCTTAATTTTTTTTAATTTCAAAAAAAAAGCCAAAAAAATTTGGGTCTTGTGTAGTTTCCCCTCCATAAGTCCCGCCCCCTTCTCTACCACCTTCCTTTTCTTAAGACATTTGCCCTTCCTAAAAGAAAAAAACTGATCAATTTCTTTGATCTACAAAAAAAAAGAAAAGAAGAGAAAATATAGGCGGGGCTTATGGGGGTAAACTATACCAAAAATTTACAATATTCTTTACCTTTTTAATTTCTTCATTTAAAGCCCAAACTTCTCCTTTCAAAATTTCTACTGAAGTTTCCAAAGAATTTTTTAATTCCAACAATTGTTGTACATTTATATCCATATCTCTTTCAAATTCTTGTCGATCTTGAATACATTCCTTCAACAATTGATGGCTTTGTTGTTGGATTAAATTAAATTTTTCTTGGTTTACAGTTTCATCGTCATCTTCAGCTATTATTTTCTAAAACCCTTATATTTTTTCGATTTTTTAGAGCGATTATTACAAGTATTTGAGGGATAGAACCCCTGAACTTCGCAATTTCGATTTGAAATCTTCGAAGGATTTTTCTGTTTCTAAGCGGTTCTACATAGGAATACCTTTCGAAACGATCGGTAAATAAATATCCTTTTGAGAAAACACCCTCCAAATTAGACTTGAAAAAACCCTCATAATCCTCCGGGATCACGTCCATAATTCACTCTATTTTTTCTTTTAAAAATAAAAAATATAAACTAACATCTTCGCCAACAGCTACATCTTTAAATAAAATTTTTTCTTCAACCAGTTTATCAGTTTCTACTCCAATTGTTTTCATTTCAATTTTATTATCCTCATCACATTGTATTTGAGCATCAATTAAATGTTCAACTTTTTCAGCTTGTACATTTTTATGACAAATTTTAATTAATTCTGTTTGTGTTTGTAAATCATCGAAATTTACTGAAAAATAAACAAAAAATTTATTTGAAAAAAAAATTTAAAAAAAAACCTGAAATTCTACTAATTTTATCATTTTCCTTCACATTTTTATTTAATTTATTCAATTCTTGAGAAAGTTTTTCATTTTTATTTTGATATTCAACCAATTCATTTTGTAAATTTAATAAATTGTTACGTTCAGAAATTAATAAATTCTTTTCTATTTCTAATGCAGATTTTTGATTTACTAAAATTTTTTTAATGAAGGGAAATATTGAATTAATCTCCCTCGCAACACTTGTAAATCATTACTAGAGATGGGCCGGTTGACATAAGAAAAATTGAGTCAGGTTTTGTATCGAAGTTTTAAAATTACATTCGGATCGGGGTATTGAAAGTTTTTTTCGGTTTCGATTTCAGTCATTCTCGAGATAGATTTCGTGATCGGGTTCGAAATTTGAGTGAGAGCAACCCGGCCCATCCTTAATCAGCACACAAAATATAAAAAAAATTAAAAAGAAAAACAAACATAGATCTTCAGCTAAAGCTTCAGCTGTTGCCAATTGTATTTTTAAATTTGTAATTTCATTTTCAAGTTGTTCCACAACAAAATTATTATTTTGTAAATCTTCTCCTTCTCCTTTTTCCCCCAGAAATTTCTTTTCTTCCTCATTTTTACAATTTTCAATTCCTTCATTTATAAATTCATCCAAACTAGTTAAATTAACAACATTTGATTTAAATTTATCAACAATGGAATTTAATAAATTAACCAATTTTTCTAATCGACTTTTTTCTTCATTTAATTTTAACGTTAAAGAAGCTGATTTTTCCTTTGAAAAAATTATCAAATAAAAAAATAATTAAAAAAAAATACTTTCAATTCAACAATTTTATTTTGTAATGATGCATTTTCTCTTCGTAAACTACCCACGAGTTGTTCAATTGAATTTATATTTTGTTTTAATGAAGCCTGTTTTAAAATAAAAATAAAAATTTTTCGAAATTGTGCCGTAAAAAGTCCGCAAAAACCCCTAAAAACCAGTTAGCAATCCCGAGGGGCTTTGGGAGGTTTGGTATTTCAATGTATTTATTGATACGATGTTTGGTATTTCGAGGTTTTATTATACAATCATTGCCCTTTTACTGATAAAAAAACTGTGCGGACTTTCTTACCAGCAAAAATCAAAAATAAATTTTCAAAAAAAACCTTTTCTTCTTCCAAAACTTTATTTTCTGTTTCAAGTTCCAAAATTTCATTCTTTTTTGATGTCAATTCATTTGAAAGATTAACTACTTTTTCCTCAAATTCTTTAATTGTTTTATTGCTATTGTCAAGTAAATTTAAATTTTCTGTATATTTTTGCCACAAAGATTTTAATTCAAATTCAATCTAATTTAAAAAATTTTTTTTTAATTCAACAAACACATGTAAAATAAATCTAGGGTGAAGATTCCTCCATTTATCTTTCCTCTCGGCTTAGAAAAAGACAACCCGTGAGAAACATATGAAGAAAGCTAAAATGCAAAAAAGCTGAATCCCCAAAAAACTGTCGAGAAAAGCCAAATATACAGCTTCTGGGTTTCAGCGTTTCGTACTTTACGGTGCATTTAGAGAGATTAGTCCCTAAAACCCAGGGATCTCCATCTTTTAAAAAAAATTAAAAAAAACCTTCAATTTTGTCTCTTCCTGTTGTTCATATTTACATTTAAACAAATCATTTTCAGCTTTTAAAGTCTCAATCTGATCAAAAAGTGTGTCATTGTATTGTTGAACTTCATTTAATTCGTTTCTAGTTGATTCAAAAATATTTTTAATTTTCAAAGTTTTTTGTAAAAAATTGGAATAAATATCATCAATATTTGGCTAAAAATAAGACTTTTTTTGTTAAAAATTTTTTTTTCACAAACCAAATCTTTTTCCTCTTCATTTCCAAAAATTCCTTCTTCTTCAATATCATCATTATTTAATTTTAAAATAAAAATTGTTATCTTCTCCAAATCACTCAAAAATTTATTTTGAGACGTCAAAATCAATTCATTTTGTTGTTTTTGTTCGGAAATTTGAATTAACAAGTTTTCATTTTCTTCTGTTTTTTCCAAAAGTTGATTATAATAAAGTTGTTGTTCTGATTGTAAAATGTCCTTATTTTGGTTAACAGAATCGTCCTCTATGGTCATTGTACAAACAGAAGTATATTCTAAAAAAGAATTTTTTCAATTAATTTTTTTTGATATTTTTAGATTAATTTTAGATCGGGCAGGCCTAATCTCTGACTCGCTCAAATCCAAAATCAGATTTTTTGTTGGTGTCAGGATCCCGAGCAGAGCTGCTCAAAGTTTCGTTTCGATTCGAAATAAAAATTCGTACTTCGAGCAGTCATGATCTCGATACACTTATTTTAAAGTTTGAAAATAACCTTTAAAGTTATCTTGACTAATGCTGGGAATTCCCACCGAGAAAGAACGTTGATGTTGTTGTTGATGTTTACTACTTCCACCCTCATATTGACGCAAAGCCAATTTAAGTTCGTCTCTTTCTTGTTCCAAACAACGAATTTTTACAGCAAAAGCTTTTGCACGGAGTTTTTCTTCTACAAAAATTAATTTTTTAAATCAAAAATATCAAAAATTAAACCATTATTTTTCCTACAAATTTCTTCTTTTTCTGCTTCCAATGCATTTATTTTTGCAGAAAAAGCTTTTGATTTTATATATTGACGATCCTCTTTTTTGCTAGCGCCAATAGAATCACGCAAAATGCCTACATGAGCTTCATAAACAAGCAAATCGCCTTCTAATACACCAATAAATTCGTCTTGGGCAAAAATTGCTTCTAAAATATAAATGAAAGGTACTTTTTGGATATTCCGCCCCCATTAGTTCGAGTCCCATTGTGTTTCCCTTCAGATGTACATAATGGTCAGACTTTTTCCTTCGTCAATTCCACTCCATTTCCCTGCGGTATACTCAATAAAAGACATTAGTAAAGAAAAGGCCTTAAGTCTGACCCTTTGTGTACATCTTAAGAAAAACTCAGAGACTCAAACTAGGGGAGACTATCCAAAAGGTACCAAAAAAGGAGAAAAAATAATTTTTAAAAAACCTTTCAATCGCTCAATTTCACTAGTAAGAATAGCCTTTTCATCAACAACTTGTCTAACTTGAGCGCGTGTTTGGTACAATTCAGCAATTGTGGCATCCATCTTTCTAATATTGTCGTCAAGTTTTTTTCGAAAAAGATCGGTAGTTTTAAGGCTAGAATCCATCTCTTCAACCAAATCACAACATTTTTGTCTAAAAAAGGAGAAAATTAAATAAATAAACTTAAATTTAAACAAACTTTGAACATTCTAGTTGGTCTTGAAGTTTTGAATTTTCACTCAGAACCCATTCCCTGCTATCCTTTAATTGTTCAATTACAGCTTTTAATTCAGCAATCTGACAAAAAGTAAATATTTTAAAGAAAATTTATTTAAAAAGACTCCTCCTTGAATAACTACAGGGAAATGAAATGGAATTAAGGAAGGTCTGACCATTATGTATAAACTAAGGAAAACTTTGAGGACTCGAAATGTGGGGCGGGATATCCAAAAAGTACCGATTCATCTAAAAAACAAAAAACAAACCTCTTCTTCCTTGTTTGTCCCCTTTTGACATAGCATTCCTTCAAGTTCACGAATTTTAGCTTGAGCAACAGCTTTCACTTTTAAGACAGTCATAGACTCTGGTTTGGCTGTTTTCTATAAAATTTAATTCAAAAAAATTTAAAAGCAAATTAAACATTAGCAAATTGAAGTGCCTCTTCCATTTCTCTAATAATTTGTCGAAGATGATCATTTTCAGTAATTAATTCCTCATAGTCGGAAGAAGGGATTTGTTGTTTTTTAATTGGGCTTTGAACTTGTGGAGGAGAAAAATCATTTCCATCATTTTTGTTTATGTCAATATTAAAGTTAACTTTCTTCCGTTTTTTCTTAAATGTTCCATCCAAATTTTGTTGCGTTTCGGTTGTGTAAGAAGAACATCCATCTTCGGCTGGATCAACAGGTGGGGGTGAAGAGTTGCCACCTAATTGGGAAAATAATAAAGTAATAAATGGAGTTAAGGTAGCAATAAATGTCAGCGGTAAATAGAGGGGAATTCTGGGAGAGAGTTAAAAATGGAGGACATAAACGACACTATTACCAATAATTATAAAAATATTTGTATCTGTAATAACTAAAAAAAGGGAAAAGTCATCTAGAGAAACAGAACAGAAATCGAGTAAAATCCTACAAGACCCGAAGGAAACGAGACCCGACAGAAACCTAGAAGAAAACCAGTTATGTAACCAGGGAGGGAATATAGTGTATGCATTTGCGCGCAAGAAAAATATAAACAAAAAATTTGCAAACCTATTCTAAACTGGGGAAAAGCACGGCCAGGCGAAGATCTATGCGGACTTCTTGAACGATTTCTACGCAAACTTTCAGGTGTTGAATTAGCCCCAGAAATATCCAATAAATCAGTTGTTTCCGTAGCCACATCATTAACTTGTTTAGCATCCAATTCTTGTAATCGTCTATTAACTATGTGAATAGCCAAAGATTTTGAATGGGCAACTTGTCCCTGTTCAGTACACATTTCTTGTAGGTCAATAATTTGTCTTTCCTTTGCCAATATTAAATTATTCATTTCGTCTATTTTAAGGTCTTTTTGTTTTATTTGTTCTTGAATTTGTTTGAGGTTTGCTCCCGTCAGTGTTTCACGTTCAAATGCCTAAAAGAACAAGGATTATACCTTGAAAAATTTCAAAAAATCTTACATCACGCTCCTCTGTAACGCTCAACAATTGTGCTCTCAAGTCGATATTTGTGTCTTCTAATTTGTTTAAACGAGTTTGTAAAGTGACATGGAGTTGGATTAATTCTGATTTATCCTTGAAAATATAAATTTGAAAAATCGAGTAATATTAAAGTTTACAGACCCCGTTTTTCAATCCACGTTTTTTCCCTTAAGATGTACATCATGGTCAGAAGCTCTCTCCTTTCCTTCTTCCCAAACATTTTTTACACAAAATTAATATTGGATGCTTGCAAGAAGCAAAAAACAAAAAAGGAAAGTTTGACCATTATGTACATCGTAACAAAAAAACTTAGAAATGAAAAGGGAGGTCTGTAAACTTCAACCAAAAATTGTTATAAAAATCACAAACCATTTTAGATAAATCATTTTGTTTGGAATATTTGTTGTCCAAAACACGCATTTCAGCAGACATTTTTTAATTATTTAAGAAAATCTGGAAAAAAAACGAATTAATTAACAAAAGTGCAACGTGTATTCTTATCGATAAAAGTTTACGCATTTCCAAATAAAGTAAACCCAAACCTTTACAAAAACGTGTTAAACCAGGGCTCGGATTCGTACTTTATTTGAAAGTACAGTACTTTAAAATCGACCTCCGTACTTACGAAATTGAATTTGTACTTTATTGAAAGTATGTACTTTAAAATCAACATTTTGAAAAAAATGGAAGAAATCTGGCTTAAGGACCTCCAAAATTCTCAAAATTTTCGCCTGCGGCGCAAAAAAATGGAAGAAATCTGGCTTAAGGACCCCCAAATTTTTCAAAATTTTCGCCTGCGGCGCAAAAAATAGATTTTTTGGCGCCTTCGGCTCCACAAAAAAGTGCATTGAAATTCACAAAATGCTAAGTTGAAACAAGAAATTATTAGAAAAGATTAATTTAAGAGAGAAATATAAAAGTTTTGAGCACGAATAAATATTTTCTAATTTAATTTTGAGTGTACTTTAAATGTGGAAATTTTGCCCCTATGTACTTTAAAATCAAGATTTTTGTACTTTTTATTGGCATTTTGTCGATCCGAGCCCTGTGTTAAACAAACAAAACGTGTTATATTACCGAATTTTGTTTGTTGTGTTTTGACTTGTTGGTATTTTGAATTTTGACAATTTTGAAAAATTTAATTAGGAAAGTATCAAAATGGTAAATTTTGAAATATCTAATTGAAAAAGGTTCAAAACACACAAGGCTACTTTTTAACTTTTTTTTTCGTCTCACTGAACAAAAAGCCTCCCCTTTAAAAGAGGTTTCTCTGTTGATTTTTGTGTTCTTTCTTTAAAGACTTTCAAAATCGTTTTTAGTTTAGCAATCAAAAATTAAAAAGAAAATTTACAAAAATGGCGTTATTTTCATCAAAACCAGCCAATTCTCTTCTTTATCCTGCTTATCAATTTTTAACGCAATTAAGAAATAGTGGAAATGGACGTTGGTATCCTCAACCATTGTTTGTTTTTTTTTAATTAAAATTCTAATTTCTCCTTCAATTTAAGTAATGAAATGAGCAGACACAGAACTCGGCCTCCAACTTATGGCATTCAACGACGGACAGAATTGGTTTGTATAGACAATTCAGAAATTGGGAAGGATGCGAATATGAGTGGAAGATTGGCCTATTGTATTTGGGTGTACAAAAGAGGATACAGGAAGAGGCATATGCCTAAGGCTGAACTTGGAGATAAGGTTTTGATTGATGAATCTTCATTTTTTAGAAAGTCTTTCGGGTCCTTTTTAGATGACTTTTCCTTGTTTTCCACAAGGAAACCTTTCAAACTGACCAAAAAATTTCTAATTAAAAATTATACCAGCGGGTTAAAGGTTGAAAATAAGTCTAGGATCTGGTCAGTTAGGAGGATAAAATAGGGAAAAAAGTCGGGCCAACTTTTCAAAATTTCCGGATCGGGTTTCGGGTAGTCCTTGGCATCCATTTGTAGAGACTGGTCGATAACCTATTAACAATTTTTTGGTTTTTTGACTTTGACCTCCAAAGCTTATTTAGAAAGGTTCCCTTCTTACCTCTTGGTATTTTTTTTTCAAAATTTTCTTTTAAAGATACTCGTTGCAATACGAGGCGAGATGCGTAGGGCAATCGTTGTTGGTGCAACACAACACGCTTTTATTAGAAAACATGGAATTCCTTCAACAGACACAAACAATATTGTTCTTTTGGTTTGTTTTTTTCAAATTATTTTTGGACCCCCTCCCCCCCATTTTTAATTTAAAAAATATTCAAAAGTTCGTCCCTCTCGATTTTTAAATTTTTCTTTTATCTCCTTAAGCAGGAATTTTCCTTAAAAATTTTTTTTATTATTTTTAGGATGACAAGGAAAATCCAATAGGTAATCGTGTTCTTGGTCCAATGCCTTCTTATTTGATGCGTTTGCGTGAGAAACAGCCAATTTTACAAAAAGTGTGTGCTTTAGGCAAAAAATTCTTTTAATTAAATCTTTTTTGTTATTTTGAAAATTAAATAAAAATTTTGAGAAAAATATTTTTAACAAAAAAATTTGTTTCTTTTACAACTGTTTTTTGACAGATTATTTTTTTGTTTTATGTTTACGTGGGCGCTTTGCTCAAAATTTAAATGTTTCGTCTGTTCTCCATCTCTCTTGTTTATTTTTCTCTATTTATCTCTTATTTCTCTTTCCATCGTCTTCTCTCGTCCCTTTGTCTCTTGTTATCCATCTTCTCTTGTTATTGCATTTATTGATTTTTGTTGTCGGTTGCTTTTGCTCAGACAAACGAAACCATACATTGGTTAGAGAAGACAATTTTGTTTTTCCAACGGCAGAGCGAGGGAAAATATCGATTCGTTTTCTCTAACCAGTACATGTTTTGCATTCTGATGTGAGCAAAGTTCAACAACAGGTTAGCCGACATTTGCGGACCCGCACTTGCGGACCGACATTTGCGGATTCGCACTTGCGGACCGACACTTGCGGACCCGCACTTGCGGACCGACACTTACGGACCGACTTTTGCGGACCGACACTTGCGGACCGACATTTGCGGACCCGAAATGAATTTTTAAAAAAGATGATAAAAGACCGGTTTTAGTTATAAATCCGGAGCCAATCTTAGCAATTTTTTTTCTTTTGAACCTATCCATTCTCTTGTGCTTTTTTTAAAGAGAAAATTTTTTGAATTCTGGGGCGATATTCTAAAATTGAGGTAAGGGTAACCAACCCTCAGTTGCGGGTAAAGTGACACACAATCAGAACTCTTATCCAAAATGCGGGTAACTCTACAAAAGAGTTCTGGTTTGTTATGCAGGGAATAGAATTGTACCCTCATCTGACGTGGGTTAAAATCCTACCCGAAGCTCTTTAAAAATTAAAAAAAATATTTTTGGATATAATTTTTAAAAATTCTCGTTCATTAGTAAATTTACTGTAAGCTCTCCACATTTTTGAGATTCTGATTTTCATTTTCAAATAAATTTCTTTTAAATTTTTTAAAGTTTTATTTCTTTAATTTCTTTTTATTTTTTATTTCATTTCGGGTCCGCAAATGTCGGGTCCGCAAGTGTCGGTCCGCATATGTCGGTCCGCAAGAGTCGGTCCGCAAAAGTCGGTCCGCAAGTGCGAATCCGCAAAAGTCGGTCCGCATGTGTCGGTCCGCAAGTGCGGGTCCGCAAATGTCGTTTAGCCCAACAACAAAGATCAATAATGAAGAGGGAAACTTTTTGTTAGAGCATTCATTGTTTTCCTCAACTTTTCTTTCACCAAATTTTTTTTTATTCCATAGGGGGGATAAACAATATTTTTTATTTTTAGACAAAAAATGTAATTTATTAGAAGGACAACATACAATTAATTGTCCATGCTCAACATTTCAATATCCAAGGCCCAATTGCCTCAACATTATTCCAATCCTTCTAAACAACTGTACAATTTTTCAACCAATACATTTGATAAGGTTTGGATTTTTGTGAAATACTTCAATTTTACCGAATTTTTCTTTAAGGTACTTCAAAACACATCAGGCTCCCATAAAATCATCCCCAACTTCAAATACAACAAGGAACAAGTTCAGCAATTTTAACGCAAGGACAAATCCTGAACCCGCAAAACATAATTGTTCTCTTCAAACACTGTTGGTGCTGTTGATCATCAGGTTTGTAAAAGTTTTTGTGTTAGACTATATTCCCTCAGCTCCAAGAAACCTTGTTAACATATTTTGGTTCTATATTGGTTACCCAGATACTTTTCGATCGTTGTTACGCCACGGGTGAAAAATGCCCTAAATTTTTATTAAACTAATTAATTTGCCTCATGTTTATTTTTCTTTTTTAGGACTGTTAGATGACCGATGATGATGGTGGTCTCTTCAAACAATTGGCTTGTATTTGGCACAATTTCAGTTGCCCTTCACTCCCCTCCCCCTCTCCCTTCCCTGTTTGTGGACAAAACTTGCTGTGTTTTAATACAACAACATTCCTTATTTTTTTCATTTAGTGCTTTGCATGCTTTGGAACCAAAGAAGGCTGCTGCATCTGGACTTCAACAATCTGGTTTTGTTTCAAAACGTTAGTTTGAGTTTTCTTTAACTTTAGAAATGAAATCATATTTTTAGCAGTAGAGGCGGATGTGGAGCTCTCTTCTCTAACATCAAAAGCACAAGTCCCCGTTGGCATATTGCGTGCGTCCTTTAGGCGTGTTGCGTGGGTTTTAACATGCGTGGAGGAATGTTCCGGCAATGTGCGGGGGAATATCATGCATCTGTGCGAAGGAATTGCGACAATGTGCGAACGTTCCGTCAGATGTTCGGGGGAATGTTCTAGCATTTGTAGGAGTTCTTCTGGCATTTGTTTGGAGTCTGGCTTTGTTGGAGTTCTAACGGCAATGTATGATATTCTTCTGGCAGTGTTTGGAGTTCTTCATCTGTTTATGTGGGGGAATGTTCCGGCTAATGTGCGGGGGAATAACCCAGCATCTGTGCGAAAGAATTGCGACAATGTGCGAACGTTCCGTCAGATGTTCGGGGGAATGTTCTAGCATTTGCTTCGGCATTTGTAGGAGTTCTTCTGGCATTTGTTTGGAGTCTGGCTTTGTTGGAGTTCTAACGGCTGTTGTATGGAATTCTCCTGGCATCTGTTTGGAGTTCTTCCTTCTGTGTGGGGTTCTGTCTGGCATTTGCGGCGGCTGGCGGGCATCTTCATGGGACTTGTTGCTTCTATGGTACTTTGATAACTGCTCTTCAGCTTTATGGTTAGTTTATATCTGTGCTTAAACAAACTAATTTAAATTATTTAGTGCCATGCCTCTAAGAATAGTCCAGCAGCAACACAAAAAGAAGAACAAACTCAAAAATCAACAAAAAGAAGAACAACAAATCAAAAAAAAACAAAGAAGAAAAAGCAAAAAGAAGAACCAAAACTCAACAGAAAAAGAACAAAAAAAATCAACAAAAAGAAGAACAAGAAACAAAGAAGAAGCAATAAAATCATCAGAGCACTTTGGACGTCCATGGAATCTTTTTAAAAATTTATAGGTTTGTTTTTTGCCCTTTTTTGCACAAGCAAGTTTTATCCGCAAACAGTCCCTGAGTTAATCCGTTATCAATCCTCTTCCTAATTTGGTTAGAAAGTGTGTTTAGTAAGTGTTTGGTAAAGGGAAGGGGTTTTAAACATTTTTAGAGCTTTCAGTATAGATCTTGAAAGATGACAGAACCATTTCCATCATCTAGCAAACTTGGAAAGAAACCAAAATGGTATTTTGCGGACGATGAGCTTTCTCGGCGTCCATCTAGGATGTCTATGGATCGGCTGCTGAACTTAAATATAGAAGAGAGGCTGTAGAATTCATTCAGGTTTTTTATTTATTTTGTCTGGATGAAATAAAATTTCGTTTTTTAGGAAATGGCGGAACGGTTGAACCACAACATTCAACAACACAGAGGACATTTGGCAAATTTGGTGCATTCGCTTGCTTGCAGATTGGTGCTTGCAGATTAGGAAGTTTTAAAGGTTATTATTTTACGGGGCTTTTGAGTTTAATAATCAGAATTAAATTGTTAGTGTTTTTGGTTGTATAAGAATAGGACACGGGTTCAATACTTCCTAGTTGTTTTATTTTTTATTTTTCATCAAACAATTATTCTCTTTTAGATTTTAGGCCTATTGATGATGACGACCCTTTGGACAATTTTCTGATGTTGCTGTGGCTTACAACAACATGCTCCTGAAAACCTGGCTTGAAAGGTTATTTAATGAGTTTAAGAATTCTTAAAAAAATTTTTTTTAACATGTTCAACTATGGATGAACACACTGATTGTTATGGAATAAAAAAAATGTGAAAGAAAAGTTTAGGAAAATAATGGTTGGCCTTTGGGGCCCCCATTGCGTTTGCGTGAGAAACAGCCAATTTTACAAAACGTTTGTGCTTTTGGAAAAAAATTCTTTTTAAATTTTTTGTTATTTTTTGAAAATTAAATAAAAATTTTGAGAAAATTTTTAAAATTTTTATTTGTCAATTGTAGGGTCTCTAAAAAGTAAAATAATTAAAATAGATCCACTAATTATTGTTAAAAGAAATGTTGAAATTGAAACGAGAGCACATAGGGAAATTATTGAAAGACAAAATTCTGGTGGTTGTTGAGTGGGTGGTGGTGATAATTTTGCTTTATTGAAGGAGAATGGAAGGGGGGCTTCTTAAAAAATAAAATTATTAATTTAAGATTTAATTTCTCCTATATACCCCAACCTCTTCTAAAATAAAATAGGGGAGGGAAGGGATTTTTTGTAGACTTGGGACTCATTTCAGTTCCTTTCTAGGGGCCGGATAGAGGGAGGGTTTAGGGAGTCTCGTATTCCGAAATTTATCGATAGACCATACTTTTGTTCAAGATTTCTCGGTTCGATTTCTACTCCCTTCCCATTTCTAAAATATTCTCCTTTTATAAAATTAGCCCTCCCAAAAAATTATTTTACCTTTTCGATTAAAATCACTATCTTCGTTGTTCTGATCAACAGGATCAAAAACAGTAATTAAAGGTGAATGTAATTCCCATTCATCAGATTTAATTCCTCTTTTAACACGTTTTGTATTGTCAACTGAATCAGAAGCAATGGGCGGTGAACATTCGGGAGGCTACAAAAAAATTTTTTTTTTTGAATTTTAAATTTTTTGGAGATTACAGTAATTCCATCACACCGTCCAGAATCTTTAAGGCAAACAGTAATTGAACACTGAAAGAATTTTTTAGAATTTTTTTTAATTTTTTGTTTGCCTGAAATCCGATCATATCCCCATCAGGAAATTTAGCTACAGCGGATAAAACATTTGCCTTCAAAGAATTTTCAGAATAAGTTGGGGTAGGCAAAATTAATGGATCTACTGAACACCTGAAAAAGCATTTTTAATTTTTAAAAATTTTTAAAATTATTTTTGTTGAATAGATTCCACCCAAAAGATCATTAATCAACGCTAAACACACTCGTATTTATTCAAATTTTACCTTAGGTAATTATTTTTTAAATCTGGCCAGAGGGAGTAATTAATGGAGGGAGGGTAACTATTTGAGAGAAACGTTTGGTAGAGACACCCAAAAGATCAACATTAGGCAATACATTATTTATTGTTGAACTTTAAAGTGTTGTTGATACAATGGGTTTTGCAATTAAAACAATTAAAAATATTTTTAAATCCTCTTATCCCAATTTGGCCAAAAATAGCAGTAAATTGTTTAATCCATTCATTTAATTTTTTATTATCAAAAAGGACACTAACTGTTTTCATTTTAAATTTCATTTTAAAATTTTTATTTAATCTAAAAAATGTTTTTTACTCCCATTTTTCAATTTTTCCTAATAATTCTCCTCATTCCCCCAATCTATTCAAATACAGAATGTGTACAAGTTATAGGACGCTTGCTATGCAAAAATGGTCAGAAATTAGTAATTGGTTCGGAAGTTGAACTTTTGGAATTAGACAGTCCTCAGAATGTATTTTTAATCAGAAAATATTTTTAAAAAATATTTTTTAAAGTCAAAGATAGGCGCTGAATCAAACCCATTTGATCCGGATGATAAGGCAAAAAATAATTTTAAAAAATTTAAATTAAAGAGTTTAAGGTAACTTGGACAAAGGTTAACAATGAAGATGGACTATTCAATCTTGATGGATGTGGACAGGACCATGATTGGTTACCTTGGGCGATTAATAGACCTGAATTGTAAGAGAAAAATAATATATCAGTAGTTAAAGCGGGTTAGATCCACTCGGAGTGAACGTGAAGAAAAAATAGTGTTGATCTCTGGGGCGTTGATTAGGGTTGGGGATCCGGTCCGAAAGGTCGAGTTGAATTCGAATTTTTGCCTGAAAAAGACTCGGTCGGGTCGGCCCGAAAAAAATGACTCGAACGTCGGCCTGACTCGAAAATCTTAACTCTAGCCCCGATATCTTGAGTGTTAATAGGAGAGAATAATTATTAATTGTTTAGTTATTTGCGAGTTCGACATCGATGTAACAACAGAACAAACTCTACATATAATATATTTAATAATACAACGAACAATACTCTCGTAGACGAAAAATTTAAAATGGCAGCAGAACAAGAAACAAAAATTGTCCTTCCAGTCTTTCGAAAACCCCTAAATCCTTCCTTTAACATTAACGGAACAATAGAAAATTCAACAATATTTGACTGGCATTTACAGCATCCAATAGATATTGTTGTTGCTGCTCGAACAGTAGGGGGACGTTCATCTTCTGATGTTCAAGAGAGGAGATTGGCAGAAGGAAAAACAACCACAAATTCTTCTTCAGTCAGAAGCAAAGGAAGAAATGAAGAAAAGCGAGGATTACAAGCCCCCCATTCACCCAATTTTATTTTTTTCTATTTTTATTTTTTAGAGAAGACAAATTTTGTTTTTTAGAATTTTAGTAAGATATGTAGAGATAATTAAACAAGACGCCAAACCGTCTTGTTTTTTCTTTGTGCCTATATTTCTTTCTTTTATCTTTTCTCTCGCATATTTTATTTCTTTTCTTTTGTGTTAGTTTCGTAATTTAAATTTGCTGGTTTAATTCTGTTTTTTCTAGTTTATTTCTGACAAAAAATTCTGATTTTATTCTGATTCTACAAATTCTGATTTTTAAAAATTCTGGTTTCAAGGTTGGTTTTATCTAGTTAAATTTAGTAAAAATACAAATTCTGATTTTTAGGTTTTCTGCTTCAAGTTTATTTGCAAGTTTTACAATTTTACAATTCAAGTTTTTTCTCCTTTGTTTCAAGTTTATTTTTGCTTCTGCTTCAAGTTTTAAGGTTAGTTAAAAATTTTAGCTGTATTTTTAAAAAATTTATATCTCGGGGTAAATCCGACTAAAAATTTTCTTATCCGTCTATTTTGAAAAGAGGACTTTATTTAATATGTTCGCGAAAAATTGTGTTAAGAAAACCTATGTTTAATGAAAAATTTCCTATGTTGAAATTTCAGAATGTCTCAAAATACTTCAACAAAAAAATTTTTTTGCGAAAACAGCGCTATAGGAAATGAGGCAAAGAAAAATAAAAAAGAAAAAAGAAGACAACGCACAGCAAATGCATCAAAATCTAGGTGGAAAAAGCCTGAAGAAAATGAGGAAGGAGAAGTTAATTTTAAATTTGTACCGGAGCTATTTTTCTTTTTAGGCTGAAATATTTACAGAAGATGAACAATTTGTTGGAGAAACTAGCGGAGATGAAAATTTGGATGTTCAACCAGAGATTTATGATGCTTGTCATGATGTCGCTGGTTTTTAACTTTTTAAAAACATTTTTTTAAACTTTTTAAAGGGCCTTCTAATGCACGTGGTTCAATGCTTGATTTGTCTAATATGACACATGATGAATTACTTGAAGTAGCTGAAACACTACTCGAGGAAAATATTCAATTAAATTCTGAAGATGTCATTAAATGTAAAAATTTTTTACAAAACTTTATTATTGTTTTTGCATTTTTAGCAAAATTCTCAATTTTTCAAAAATCATGTTTTTTTTGTTTATTTTATTTTTCTGATGTTGTTACCACAAGACATTATAATACTTTAGCCTGTTCAATCAACACTTTTTATTCAACAAACAAATGGTCAACTTTTTTCAATGATGAATCCTTACAACAACAAGATTTTAATTTCTCTAGCGAGTCTGGTAAATATAAGGTAAAATTTAATATTTTATAAAATTAACAATACACTATTTAGGTGTATTTAGTTAGAGATGGTGAAAAAAGATTCAATTTAAAATATATTGGAATAACAACAGAAATCAAAATACGTATGAAAAAACACAGAGACACCAAAATATTCATCGAGTTAAAGAATCCTGAATATGCAGTACTATTAGAGAATTTAACAGAAAAAACAGCTCTATTTATGGGTATTTACATTTTTATTAGTTAAAAGTTTGGGAATTTTTTGGTTTTTTCACCCAATTTTTATTACTGAAAATATTTAAATTTTTTAGAAGGCCTGCTCATCCTCTCTTCTCATCTCGGCTACAATTTATTAAACAGGAGGTATGAATTTACCAATATTACTAAAGGCTTAGACAACAAAGAAATAGCAGAATTATCAAGGGAAGATTTAAAGAACACTATTATCGAATACCATAAGAAAGCAGTAAATATACTTAAAAAAAGGTGGAGCATAGTCGAGTGGATAAAGTTTTGAATTATTTTTGTAATTTTTTAAAAATTGTAGACCGACTCTTAAATAAATTTTAACCAATAGAATTGTCGGAAGATGAAATGCTAATAATAACAACACAAAGACCCTTAATTGGTTTCCCTGGTGAACCTTACAATTTTGATGAAGAAAAGATGGAAGGGGATAAATAGAATAGTAGGGGAACATTAAACAATTTTTAAAAACTTTTTTACAATTGTAAAAGTTATAAAGGAATTGTAAAACTTGAAAATACAAATATAGCCATTTGATCAACTCTGTGAGTCTATTTACAAATAGGAAAGGGGTTTACAACTTGAATTATATGTCGATGACGAAATTGAAGAATTAAAGATTTGAAATATTTTTGATATTTTTTATTTTGTTTATTATTTTTGGAGGTGACTCAGTGAGTCACTTTCCATTTTTGACAATTTTTTATGTACTTTTTTGCAATGTACTTAACATTGCATCATTTTTATATAGAAATTTTTGCCTATAAAAAGTAGGCAGAAATTTCACTTTTCAATGTCTTTTGAGATATTCATTTTTTTTAATATTCTGTGTGAATATTTATTTTGTTTGAAGATAAAGAATTTTAGTTGTGTTTGTGTTTATTTATTTAATTTGTTTTATCTAGTTAATTATTCCGAGGGAATAATTAATTTAAGATATTTTAATTCCCTATTAAAGAATAGGAAGGTGAAATAGTTTTCCCTAAGAAAGGGGAAAGTATTTTTACATTTGGTGCCACGACCCAACGGCGGGTTATTAAAGAAAAAGTTAGAAGAATAAATTGAAGAGCTATAGGCTCAATTGATTTATTGGAAGAGCCGTGAAAAGGAAAGGCTCAGTAAAAAAATATTATTGGAAGAGCTGAGATTTGGAAAGCTCGGTAAAAAAGGATTTAAAAAAGAGATTAATTGGGAAATATTGGAATAAAATAAATTAAAAGATGTCAGGAACGATTAGAAGTACTATTGCGCCATCCATAGTACGATTGAAAAAATACCTTGAAGAGGTAAGACCTATCATAGATGCCACTGAACGCACTGAAGAAGGAGTAGAGTTACTCCAAAGAATGGCAGTTAAAATCCGTAGGGCAATTAATTTCGTGGAAGAAAAAGTTGAAAAATGGGAAAAATATATTAAAGATTTACCGGCAAATGAAAGAGTTGCCGAAGAAGGTGTTTTTGCTAGATATGCCATAGAGGAACGGCATTTTTTAGAATGGATAGACTCAGGAAGAGAGGCTATCGATGACATAGAAATTGTTCTTGCTGAAGGTTCTGATGCTCGTAGTACGCAGTCAGAGATCTCAGAGGAAATAGGAGTTGGCTTAAATCGGACAAATGAAGTCCGCAGAAATATAAATGTAGAGCAAGTCCCAGTTAGAAGTGAGCAGGTGCTTCCACCTCATCTTCCGCGGACTAGACTGCCAGAATTTTATGGAGATACTCTACGTTGGCCTGAATTTTGGCAGGCTTTTGAGAGAACGGTGGATTGTTTGAATATTGATAACGGGCTAAAGGCCCACTATTTGATACAATGTCTTAGAGGTAAGGCAAAAAGGGCAATTTTGGGTTATAGGCCAATATCAGAACATTATGCGCCTTTGAAAGATGCTCTTATAAGACAATTCGGAAATGAAAAGGCAATTAGAGATACACTGCATGCCGAACTAATTAGCTTGCCAGTGGCTAACGAATCAATATGGTCTTTACGTTCATATCTCGAGGAGGTTGAACGAATTTGTAGATCATTGACTGCTATGGGGCAATTAGAAGATGAATCTATAGTTATGATGGCAATTAAGAATAAATTGCCAAGAAGTATTGTTCTAGAATTATTAAAAATGGAAAAATTGGAGAAAGTAAATTGGAGTGTAGGAAGATTAAGAGAAGGACTTGCAGAAATTGTGGCCTTAAGAGAAGAGGCACAAAGATGCACGAGGTCATTGGCATATAAAAATAGTTGGCAAAATGTGCCGAATCTTAATCAAAGGAGATTTAATGGAAACACAAATAATCAGAGAAAACCGGAACCTGCGCGTGTATTTACAGCGCCAAAGAACCAAAAAAGAGAAATTTCATGTTTGTTTTGCAATGGTCCACACTTAGCTGGAAATTGTAAGCAAGTCAGATTTATTGGACAGAGAATGAGCATTCTGTCTGAACAAAATAGATGTTTGATTTGTTTAAGGAAAGGCCATGCCAAAATAGATTGTAATGTGAAATATAGTTGTGGTATATGTAAAGGAGACCACAATAAAATAATCTGTCCTAAAGAAGTTGAAAAAGAAAAGAAAGGACAGATTAAGGAAAATGAAAGCGTTAATCAAATAAGTGAAAATATGCTTAATATTGATGATAACGGCGAAGATAATATTGTTTTGATGAAAGCAGATTTAATGTTAAAAGAGAGAAATAATAAAATAAATGCAAAATGCTTCTTTGATTCAGGAGCAACAGTTAATTTCTTATGTAATGAACTTGTTGAAAAATTAAAATTGAAAAAATTAAAAAGAACAGAATTAGGAGTTGTCCCATTTTTCAGAAAAGAGCCAATAAAGCTAAAAACTTCGTGTTATTCTTTAAAGGTTCTTCTTGATAATGGAAATTTTGAAGAAATAATAGTTTATAGTATTAATAAGAATTTGATGCCAAGATTTAGATGCGCAGACTTAAGAACAAATGAGATTGCTTGCGCAAATATAGTCCCTGATATGCTTATAGGTATGAAGCATTTCTGGAGGTTCTTTAAAAGAATAGAACCATTATCGGACTATCTATTTAAAGTTGAAACGACTGTAGGGCCAATAATTTGTGGCGAAATTAGCGGTGAAAAATTTAAAAGATTAAATAAAAAGGAAAATTTGTGTACTATATTAAGTTCTAACACTTTGGAAAATGAGGAACTTAACAATTATTGGTCATTAGAGACAATAGGAGTCAAAGATGATCCTGTGTGTAAAGATGATAAAGTTGCTTTAGATTTATTTAATAGTACGATTAAAAGAAATGAAAATGGAAGTTATATAGTAAAATGGCCATGGAAAATTGAGAAAGACAATTTGCCATCTAATTTTTCATTGGCATATAAAAGATTTCTAAATCTCATGGATAAATTAAAGAAAAATCCAGATTTATTAGATAAATACGAGGAAATAATTAATAATGATTTGAAAAGAGGTGTGATTGAAAAGGCTGAAAAGAAGAAAGGGGAAATAGAACATTTTCTGCCCCACCACCCTGTTATTAATACAAAAAAGGTGCGCATAGTTTATGATGCTTCCGCAAGAATGCGAGAAGGAAAAAGCTTAAATGAATGTTTATATCGAGGGCCAATAATTATGCCGGATTTAGCAGGATTATTAATTCGATTTAGAGTGCCAAAAATTGCCATGTGGGCTGATATTGAAAAGGCATTCCATACATTAGAATTGGAAGAAGAAGATAGAGAAGTGACTAAGTTTATATGGGTAAAAGATACGAAGAAACCCATATCAACCCAGAATATTCAATATCTAAGATTTGCAAAAGTTCCCTTTGGGGTAATCTCGAGTCCATTTTTGTTATCAGCGACTGTCAGACATCATTTAGAGAAGTGTGATGACCCTGTTGCAAAGATTGCTAAAGAAAATTCCTATGTGGATAATATATTTATTGGAGTAGAATCGGCCAATGAAGCTTGGCTCGCTTATAAAAGATTAAAAGAGATATTTAGAGATGCTCAAATGAATTTAAGAGAATTCATCAGTAATAATGTGGAGCTTAATGAAAGTTTCCCACTCGAAGATAGGCTGGAGAAGAATAAGCCTAAAATTTTGGGAATACCATGGGAAATATCTTCAGATAAGATAAATATTGTATTTCCAATAGTGAATTCGGCTGAAAGCGTGACTAGAAGAATAGTTCTTCGTGAATTAGCAAGCATGTTTGATCCATTAGGACTTGCTTCACCTAGTCTTTTATCTGCAAAATTATTCTTTCAGTCATTATGGACTAAAGAGAATAAGTGGGATGATAAAATTAGTAAGGAAAATGCAATGAAATGGATAGAAATCACTAGGTCATGGACACTAGATCCCATCGAGATTAATAGAAGAGTGACTGATATTAAAAGTGTAAAACAATTGCATGCATTTTCTGATGCATCTAAATGTGCTTATGCTGCTTGCATATACATAAAATCGGAATTTGAAGGAAAAATTCATACACAGATATTATATGCACGAAATCGTTTGAAACCTAGAAAATCAGAAGTAACAATACCACGCATGGAACTTTTAGGCGTGGTTATTGCTAAAAGAGCTTTAGAATTTGTAGAGAAACAAATCGGAGTTGAAATTAAAGATAAATTTTTATGGTGTGATTCAAAGCCGGTATTAAGCTGGATAAAGGCAGGAGGCAAAAATGAAAAATTTATAGAAAATAGAATAAATGAAATAAGAAAAAATAATGGAATTAAATTTGGATATGTTAATACGATTGATAATCCAGCAGATATAGCCACTCGCGGTATAATGGCATCTGAATTAGAAAAATGCCATATTTGGTGGGAAGGTCCTGATTGGTTAAAAAGGCCTGAAAATAATTGGCCAAATGAATTGAATTTTGAAATTGAAAAAGAAGATACTTGCGAAGAAGATAATCAGGAATTAATATTAAGTTGTTTAAATAAAAAGATAGATGAAGAAGATAATTTAATAAATTTTAATAATTGGAACTCATGGAATAAATTAATTAAATGTTTAATGTTTGTAACAATAGCTGCTCGGATTTGGATAGAAAAGAGCAGAAAAATTGTAAAAGAAAAATTTCTTAGTGAAATAAATTTGAAAAATCGTATGTCGGCAAATAATTTCAAAAAAGTTGAAATTTTTGTTTTAAAAATTGCACAAAGTTCTTACAAAAACGAAAAGAACGATAATTTACAGACAATAATTGATGAGAATGGATTAATAAGATTAAAAACAAGAATAATTAATTGTGAAGCAGAAGATTATTTTAAACATCCGATTTTATTACCTAAGGGATGTTTTGCTATAAAACTTTTATTGAGAAAAATGCATGAAGAATTGAGTCACTCGGGAGTTGACTCAACAGTTGCAAACTTTTTAATGAAATTTTGGACGCCATGTGCAAGGCGCATAACTAAAATTGTTATAAAAGAGTGCAAAAAGTGCCAAAGAATTAGTTCGCCTAAATTTGCACTGCCGGATATGCCTATATTGCCTAAAGAAAGAGTAAGACAATCACGTCCATTTGAATTTGTTGGAGTGGATTATCTCGGACCTTCTATGTGCAAAATAGAAGGAGGAAAAGTCAGGTTTTGGATTGCGCTCTTTACATGTTTATCAACAAGAGGAATCCATTTAGACATAATTACAGATCTATCTGCATTTTCATTCTTGGATATTTTAAGAAGATTTGTAGCGCAAAGAGGCGCACCATTGAAAATAATTTCGGACAATGGCAATCAGTTTATAACGGTTGCAAAAGTAATAAATGCCAATATTGAAGGTAAATGGAAGAAAGAAAAAGCAAATAATGATGAAAAGTTATTTAATAATTTTTTATTAGAAAAAGAGATTGAATGGAAATTCATACCTGCTTTGTCTCCATGGCAGGGTGGCGTTTATGAGCGATTAGTAAAATTAGTTAAAGATTCATTTAAAAGATCTTTGGGAAGTCGAATATTAAATATAGAAGAGTTAAGAACATTTATAAAGGAGGTAGAAATGTCTATAAATTGTAGACCTATTTCTTATATATCTTTAGAAAAAGACGGCCCATTATGCTTGAGGCCAATTGATTTTATAATACCAAGAGTGGAAATTATTCAAAAATTTCCAGAAATTGAAGACGATAATTTTCGGCTAGGAAAAATGAGCACGGCCGAACAAGTTCAAGAAAGATGGATGGCCACTTTAAAAACGCTTCAGAGGTTTTGGGATACCTGGAAGCGTGATTATCTCATAATGTTGAGAGATAAGTCGAAGTGGACTCATCACAATCAAAGAAATGATTTAAAAAGAAATCCAAGAATTGGCGAAGTTGTTATTATGCATCAAGAAGGACAACCTCGCAATGTCTGGCCTTTAGGAAAAATAGTGGAGTTGGATGGAACTCCAGCTAGAAGCGCAAAGATAAAAATTGGAGATAAAACTTTTATACGCCCGATTAATAAAATCTCTCCTTTGGAGATTGAAGATGAGAATATAGTAGAAGAAAATTTAAATAATGAGAATGAAAAAGAAAATGAAGTAGATTTGAGTAAAAAAGAGACTGAAAAATTGGTGACTAAAAATAAAAATACGCATCCGATGGTTACAAGATCAAAAGTGGCTTTGTGCCTACAATTTGTACAATTAATATATATGGTTGCAATTGCATTTGCTGAACCACCAAGATATATAAATTGTAAAGGATGTTTTATGAAATGTAGAACTTTCGGCGTTGAAGCTAACGCAGTTGACTATATAAATAAAATTGAATTGTGTTGTGCAGGAAGCTGCCTTTTAGAAATAAATGGTTTGTCAAGATTAGCATTTAAAATTCCAAAAGATAAAACAGCATTGGATTATAAATGCCGAGCCACTTATTGGGGCAAAAGATACATGTACAGAGACTGGATTTCATGTCCAGCAGTTGATCCATGTATAAGAATATCAGGCTTACGTGAAAGAATAGTCAACCCACAATGTGAATCATTAGAAAGCTTACTACTGATTGGTATTGTAACGGGATTTATTTTGACTATTATTCTCTCTATAGCAATATTTGCCTGTAAACTCTTGTTAATTTTCGGAAAATTATTAAGAATAATTTGGAATATTGTTAAAATGCCGATGGAAATATTTTTTGCACAAAAGAAAAATAGACAAAAAGATATAACTAAAAAATTATTATTGAATAATAGAAGTAAAGTTAAAAATAATAAAACATTAAAAAGAAACAGAAGATTGAATAAATTACGTTTAATGGCATTATTGGCTATTTATTTAAATTTTATTCAATTAATTAATGGAGAAGTTGAAGTTGTAGTTATTCAAGCTAAATCTGAAGATTGTCTAAGAAAAGCAGGTATTTCTACTTGCAAAATGAACGCCGTAAATACTGTGACTTTTTTGCCAAATGAGCAAATAAATTCGCTCTCGTTAAAGAATAATAAAGGAATAATAATGGGAGAGCTAGAATTGTCAATGCATGGATTACAAATCCAATGCAATCAGAAAATACTTAGATATTTGAGATCATATGAGGTAAAAGTTCAGTCAATCAAAAGATGCCCAGCCGCGGGAACATGTAAAGCTGGAAGATGCAATCACATTAGAACTAAAGATTATGTTGAAGAATTATCAGAATGGAATGATTATCCTGGTAATTCGTTTTGTATTGAAGGAAAATCACTTTGGGGATATGGCTGTTCACTGCCTGGAGCAGACTGCTATTTTTATAGAGTATATGCCATCCCAAAGTCAGATGAGATTTTCAAACTTGTGTCCTGTCCTACTTGGGATTATAGTATTGAAGTAGACATAGGACTTGTTTTGAATGGAAATATGACAAAAAAGAGATTTACGCTAAATCCAGGAATGACTTTTAAATGGAAAGATATAAAATTTACATTATTAGATGTTACACCTCCAATGGCATCAGTTTTAAACAGTGAATTTATCATTGGAGAGGGAGGAATTGTAATTTCAGAAAATAGTAATTCTTATCTAGAGTGCTATGAAAATGCTGGAAATTTTTCAAAATGTGAATTAGAAATTAATGCATGTAAAGAATGCTGGTTAGAACAAGATATTGAGAAAATACAATGCGCATGTTCGGACTTTATTATTGAAAAATTAATAAAAGACCCACGCAAATCATTACCATTGGAGATAAATCGTATAAGATTAAGAAAAAAGGAAAACATGATTATTAGTGAATCTAACTATTTACCAATCATGTTAATGATAAGGTTTGAAGATTGGCTAATTTCTAGCAATATCGATATTACAATTTGTAAAATAAATCCTGAATATTTAAGAGGATGTTACAGCTGTATGGGAGCTGTTTTTAAATTTAATTGTTCCGCCGAATATGGATCGGCTTACGCTGAGATAAAATGCCCCGGAGGCAATATCTTTACAGCGAAATGTAATGAAAAAGGGATTGATCAAAAAATTGCACTTTCGTTTGATCATTCGGAGATAAATGAGATTTGTAATGTCTATTGTTCGGGAGGAATTACAAATTTCACATTAAAAGGACAATTAGAATTTATTTTACCAGAAAAGGCAAAGGTTATAGTAAAAGAAGGATCATCTAAAATATTCATAGAAAATAGTGAAAACAATTGGTTGACGAATCCATTTGCAAGTTTGCAATTTCTTGATTGGAAAAACATACTCTTTGAATTGATTAGTATACAAATGATATTTATGATTATTTTATCGTCTGTATTGATAACTATTGCGTTAAAGTTATTTTTTAAATATAATCCATTGTTTCGCGGATACAAACTCGCCGCGTCAGCACTTATAATTACAATGTTGGCGGGAGGTACACATTCTTCATGTGTAGAAAGATTAGAAACTGAAAGAAATTTAATTAACTATAATTATGTTAATATAATGATAGAAGCCTGTGTGGCTATACCTGAAAAGAATAAAGTACAGATAAAAGAAATTAGAGAAAATGAAATAGATTGTCCAGGTTTTCGAGGAGAGACAATTCTGAATAGCAAAAAGGAGGAAAGATCTCCCGTTGAAAAGAGAAAAAGAAACCATATCAAGCAATTTCAGGTCATTCGGACTATCTCGCAGGACTTCCCCTCATCTCTAATTTCAACTACTGCTTCTGCTCCAACAATAAAGACTCAACAAGTAAAAGAATTAATTAATAAAACTTCAATGCGACACAAAAAGAAAAAGTATTCTTCTCATCACACATTCGGACATACAACAAATAATTGTCCAATTAAAGGCAATGACAAGAGCACCTCACCAAAGTCATTGCTAAAAACAAATTCTTCTACAAACTCAAGCGCTCTTCAATTATCATCACACGAACTTGCCAATATGTCGCATCAATGTGCAACTCTCTTCTTCAATGCAACTACTGAGAATATGGAGAGATGAGAGGATTTCTGTGCGGGGAGTGTCGATGACGAAATTGAAGAATTAAAGATTTGAAATATTTTTGATATTTTTTATTTTGTTTATTATTTTTGGAGGTGACTCAGTGAGTCACTTTCCATTTTTGACAATTTTTTATGTACTTTTTTGCAATGTACTTAACATTGCATCATTTTTATATAGAAATTTTTGCCTATAAAAAGTAGGCAGAAATTTCACTTTTCAATGTCTTTTGAGATATTCATTTTTTTTAATATTCTGTGTGAATATTTATTTTGTTTGAAGATAAAGAATTTTAGTTGTGTTTGTGTTTATTTATTTAATTTGTTTTATCTAGTTAATTATTCCGAGGGAATAATTAATTTAAGATATTTTAATTCCCTATTAAAGAATAGGAAGGTGAAATAGTTTTCCCTAAGAAAGGGGAAAGTATTTTTACATTATAAAACTTTGAAATGAATTGTAAACTTGAAATAAAAAAGACAAACAAAATTTGAAATATACTACAAAAACAATTGTAAAACTTAGAAAAGGAATTGCAAAACATGTTTTGCAAAGATTAAGTCAAATTGTAAAACTTAAAGCTACAAAAACATAATTGTAAAACAAACCTAGAAACTTGAAACAAACTTAGATTTAAAACTTGAAATAAGCAAAGAATTGTAAAACTTAAAATGTAATTGTAAAAGTCAAACACTTGTTTTTAAACTTGTTTTACAAAACCAAAGGGATTGTAATTAAATTGTAAAACACCAAAACTTACCCTCTACTATCCAAAACTAGCGCCCTTCTATCCTTCCCATCGTCAACAAAACAATCATGTACAAGCAACCCATAAAGATCATTTAATTGTTGTTCTTCCCTCTCTACTCCATTCCTTAGACATACCCATTCATGTTCCAAAGGTTCTCCAACTTGGACATTTTGAACCTAAAATTACTCGTATTTTCAATTAAAAAATCTTTTTGTAAACTTGTTCAGATGTTTTCTGTCCATGTATTTTATACGAACACTGAGGCGGTTGCATGTGATTATTTAATGAAATGACTGGGGGTGGACTTGAAAAAAATTTTTTCTGAGCCAAAAAATAATCTTTTCCTACCTAACATCAATTTGTGCACTTAATGTCCTTTCAGGCTCCTGATAGGCACATTGAATGTTGTAGGCACGATCAACACGAGTTATGTAAAAAATAAGAAAGATAAATATTTTTTGATAAATTTCTAAAATTTTTCTTAAAATAAAATTAAATAAAAAAAACTTATAAAATTTGGATGAAAACTAACAACCACAGTGAAAGTTAATCGAGTCCCTGGAGGATCAGCCTATAAAAATTTTAAAAATTATAATAATTAAAATAATTAGAACCCTAAATATCAACTTCTAAAGATCAACACTAAATTGTAAAACATTTATTTTGTAAAACTTGAGCAAAATTGTAAAACTTATTAAATTCAAGTTTTAAGTTTACAATTCTTTTGTTTCAAGTTTTAAAGTTTCAAGTTTTTAATTAATATAACACTACTCAAAACTTGAAACCTTAAAACTTGAAACAAGAGAATTGTAAAAAAACTTGAATTGTAAAACTTAAGCACAAACTTAAAAATATAAAAGACAGTGTTGATCTTTAGGGTTAACTTATAAAATTATTTCCCTTAAAATACACTAACAATTCTATCCCTTCGAGTATTACACTCTCCGATAGGAACCCATAATTCTGCATAATTTTTATTCTCATTTTCTTCTTTTAAAAGACTTCTTCGTTTCTTTAATAAAACTAATTTTTGATTATTTGTTGTTTCTCCAATTTTTTGTTTGTTGGGGGGAGGGGGAGGGTCTTCACAGGGAGGACAAATCTTTTTAAATTTTCATTTTTAAAAATAATTTTTTAAGAAAACCAAAGGACATTCTCCATTAACATCCGGACTTAATTTACTTCCATATCTTCTAAAAAATTGTCCATCCAATCCAGGCTTTCCAGTCAAAAAACTTCTCCATCTCTTCAACTGTTCTGCAGAACCAGCTGAAGGGAAATTTGAGGGGATTGGAAATTGGGGGGAATTTTGGTACTGTTTTCTTTTTTGTAATTCCTTTAAAATTTTTTAAAATAAATTTTTTGGGGAAAACTTTAAGTATTTGTTGTAGTGTTTCTTCATTGTAATCATATTCCAATTCCTCTTCTGTTGCTTTATCCCCCACAGGGCTATTCTCTTCTTTTATTGTTTTGGAATTAATACCTTTCTCCTCATTTGGTGTACTCCTTTAATTAGGTATATTTAGTTAAATACCTTAAATACCTAGAAAACGGCTTCCGGCTTTTTGAATTAAATATGAATAGAAAGGGTAATTAGAGATAGGTCTGGATCCAGTCAGGATTTTTCCTGGATCCATATCAAGAATCATGTCCAGGTTACTAACCTAAATCCAGATCCAGGATTTTTGAAGATCGCGATCTCTACTGGGTATTAGGCATTTTGAGGTCCCATTTCTTGGAATTAAAAATTTTGGCTCCTGGATCCAGCTCCGAAGTTAGCTATCAGAGTCATTCATAAGCACTGGAAGTCATTCTCTAGTTTATTGTTTTTGGGTTAAAATTTGAAAAAAAAATTCCAAGGTCTTTTTAAAATACCAGTTAAATCAAGAAAAGACCAGATTCCTTCCTTTACATACCTTTTTAAACATTTAGGATTATCAAATTCTCCTTTAACATAAACCCTTCCAATGAAAGGCTTTTTGGTTTTAACCTATAAGGAATTAAAAAATATTGAAAAATAATTTCCTTTAGGTACCTTAAAATGTACAAAATCTTTTTCACAATTAATTTGGGGGGATCCTAAATTTTGAAAAAAATATTTTTTTAAATAAAATATACCGTAAATGTTCCAATAGAAGCCCGGCTCCACTAGAAGCCCATGCCCCATTAGAAGCCCACTCAATGAGGGGTATTGAAAAATAGACGCCCAGGGCTCTATTGAAACATTTATGGTATATATGGGTTGGAATTACCAATAATTTCATTATCTACATTTAAGGCCGCGTTGGTAGTAAATTTACTATTTTCTAATAAAATAACCTTAAAAATTAATTTTTTTTTTAATTAAAAATATTTTTTCCTTATTTTCTCCTAAATTTTATTTCTGAGAAAAGAAAATGTTGGGAATGTGAACGAACAATAATTATTTATTTATTTATTATTCTGGTCAAGGACATGAACAAAATTATTTAAGAAAAATAAATTGATGTCCCTTTATTTTTTAAAAAATAATTTTTTAAATTAATTTTTATTGAGAAAAATTATGAAGAAAATTTTAATTTTTGGGGAAATTTTTAAAATTAAACTTACAAAAATGCAAAATAAAATTAAAATATTCGTTAATTTTATTTGTTTCCACAAAACAATTTTTTGAAGATTTTCCAGTTTGATTTTGAAAATAAATTATTTTTAAAAATAAATATAAAAATTAATTTTAAAATGAATTTTTAATTAATTTCGATTTTTGGAAAAAATCATAACTATAAAAATTAATTAAATTTAAAATAACCCTAAGGATCAGATAGAGCAAAATTACCCAAATTTACTCAGTTACCCAGAGTTTGTACCCAAAATTTGGAACTTATGCAGTTTAAGTACACACCCCATTTATTCGCGAAGTAAGGAGACATTTATTTGTAAAAGAAAGTGTTTATGTACAGATTGGTTTTCTTTCTTCCTCAATTTAACTCAATTTTCCCTGTGACCATGCTCAATGAGAGACATTAACAAAGAAAAGATTAACTTTTCTTTTCAATGTAACCAAAATAAAAATTAATATTTGAATCAATATTCTTATTTTTATCAATTTTTGTTATTTAAATGGCAATAAAATACCCAGGTCTGCGTTTTTATAACTAATTGTCCTCTTTTTGTGTGTTTTCCGGGATTTTTGCGTGTTTTAGAATCAAATTTTTATCAAAATATTGGTCAACCGTGAATCAGGTCAGAGATGCCCCCATTGACTGACAGTTGAAATGTAGTACCGATTCTGAGCCTAGACCGGAAACTAGTTTAGTCCCATTTTTTATTCACTGACCATTTTGTAATAAAATTTCTTCGCGAATAAATGGGGTGTGTACTTAAACTGCATAAGTTCCCAAAATTTATCACAAAACTCAGAAGGCCCTTCTAGGGGACACTAATTTGGTGACCGCCCCTTTCTATAGGACACTATAACCAAACATAAAATAGGTATTTTTTTAGCAGGTTTATCCCAAAATTAAATTAAAAAATTGGCAAAAAAAAATAAAAGTAGAGATGGATAAAAGGGTTATATATATTTATTAAAGAGGAATTTTTGAGGATGGAATGAAAATAAATTTTTGTACAAATGGATGTGTGGATATAAGGGTCGCGCAGAGGGGTTTGTTTTATTTTTTATTTTCACATACATAGGTGAAGAGTGCTAGAAGATAAAAAAGGGAGGGAATGAAAGGATACCTTTAAAGTATTTTCTAATTTTGGAAATTGAGAATTTTCTCTGTTTTATTAAAAAACTTTAAAAAATTCCCTCAGGAATTTTGTAAACCGAAAAATGGTATGAGGGATACAGAGAAGATTTTTGAGAGTAGATAAGGAAAGTTTACTGTCCGAAAGTAAGAATCAGGGACGAATAGGTACCTAATCCGACTGTGACATCTCAACCCGTGACATCTCTGAAAGAGAACATATAAAAATCGTGTGTTACCGAGTGTTTGTCAAAATTATTTTAAAAAATCTTAATTTTTAACAGAACATAATGTAAAACAAAAAATTACCGTATATGCTAAAATACCTAATTACTCAGAGTAATTATTGGTAATTAGGGGGAGGGGTAATTATTGTTTCAACCTTTCACTGGAGAGGAGGGTAATTAATTGAAAGAGAGGGGGGATTTTCTAGAAAGGCTAATTATAACTATTTATAAGTGGGGCAATTATTTTTTCGATCTCTGGCTTAGGCAATAATTAATAGGGGGCGGGGGTAATTATTTAAGAGAGTGACATTATTTCAGCATTTACAGTAAATATTCATTTTATTCAAGACATTTTAACTCATGTAATTTTTTATATTCTCCTTTATATGCTTTAATACTTGAGAGAGCCACTTGATATAAACAAAAAATTATAGGTTGCCCATCTTCACATTTTTCCTTGTCTTCTAACTAAAATAAAAAATTTTGAAATAAAAATTTTTTAAAAATTACAGTTCCCTCAAGAAAATGATCATTTCCCCCTTCAAAACGAACAACATTTCCTCTATCAGCCAAAATTCCATTCCAAAGAAGATCTTCAATATGAATAGCATGTACAGCTTTTGTATGCTCCATTAAAGCAGTTATTGCTTTACCGGTTACAATATATCCAGATCCGTGCATATAGTGCGGCAAATCTTTTTGTGGAAATACTTTCTTAGAAAGAAACCTGAAAATATTTTTGTAAATATTCTGATTTGTAAATTAATTACAATTATCAGAAACAAATAAATTCTGATTTGTAAATTAATTACAATTATCAGAAACAAATAAATTCTGATTTGTAAATTAATTACAATTATCAGAAACAAATAAATTCTGATTTGTAAATTAATTACAATTATCAGAAACAAATAAATTCTGATTTGTAAATTATATTACAATTCCGGATTGCTTAATTGTTTTCCGGAATTATTTCCGGTAATTTCTGATTTTTAACAATTCAATAGTTTACAATTGCGGAAATATAATTTGTAAATTTCCGGAATTGTAATTAAATTTTCAATTGTAAATTCTGAATTGTAAAATATTTAAATAAAAATAAATAAATTGTAATTTGTAATTGTTGCATAATTCTAATAATAAGTACAAACCATTTACTATTCTCATCCCTTATTGGCTTTGTATCAATCCAGCTGTAACCAAAAACACCCAACTCCGTTTTGGCTTCTTTTAATTGCTTTTTAAATTTTTTCTCAATCCAAAAATCCAATCTGTTCAAATCTATAATTGAATCATCGTCAATTTTCATTACAAATTCTGCATTAGGGCAAAATTTCTGTTGCCATTGAAAAGATGCACCAGTCTAATTTAATTAACTTTATTTATAAAATAATTTCTAAAAACTTTAAATTGTAATTGATCATAGCCTTCAGGTAAATTAAAATAACGAACTAAATCCCCATATTGCTCTTGTTCTTTAATTAGTATTTTTTCCAATTTTTCACTATGCTCCTCATCCTTTACAGGCCCTCCAACTACAAAACGAACTAACATATTTTTACCCTTAAAATTATTTTTAAGTTCAATCTTGTGTTTATAAATATTTTAAGTTCAATCTTATGTTTATGAATATTTTAAGTTCAATCTTATGTTTATTTTAAGTTTCCGGAAATTTCATAAGTCTATATCAAGTTTGATTTTATATTAAATTTCCGGAAAGTTTATTATATTGCCCTTCCGGAAAGTTTTATAAGCTTTATATTATTAGATTTATTTTAAGTTCAATCTTATGTTTATTTTAAGTTTCCGGAAATTTCTTAAGTCTATATCAAGTTTTATTTTATATTAAATTTCCGGAAAGTTTATTATAGTAGATAATAAAGTTTTATATGCTTTACATTGGGTTTCCGGAAAGCTTGTTATATTGCCTTTCCGGAAAGTTGTTTATATTGCCTTTCCGGAAAGTTTTTATATTGTCTTTCCGGAAAGTTTTATATGCTTTATATTATTAGATTTTCCTTAAAGTTATTTATTATATTTCTATAAAGTTTTATGTTTCCGGAAAATTATTTCAAGTCAATTTTAATAATTTAATTTACCGCATCTTTAGCATAACTATATCTTATCCCCATGCGTCTTTGTAGTAATTCTCTTCTACTCATAACCAACACTAACAATTTTATTTTTTTTCCTTTACAGGCATCAATTTTCGGCTTTTCCATTTTATAATGTTTTCGAGTATTATAAAAAGCCATAGTAAAATCAACTAAAATTTCTTGACTTTTTTCTTGACTTTTATTAACAACAATATTTTGTAAATTGGTTAGGGTGGGTAATACATGTTTAAATTTTATAAAAAGCCATATAGAACCAAAACATAGTGTTGCGAGAAGTAATATTCGAAATATCCAAGAGAGAAGATTCCTTTAAATTTTTTTCTAATTTCAAGTTTATTTTATAGTAGATTTTAATTTTTATATTAGACTTCCGGAAAGTTTAATAAAAACAGTGTTTTTAGCAAACCATGAAAATTTTCGTTTAAAAGCAACCCATTTCCGAGAAATACAAGTAGATGATCGAGTAATTAATAAAGAATTACTTTCCATTAGATATTTAAGCATTTGGAAATTATTTTAATTTTTATTTTAAATAAAATTAAGAAAATAATAAATTTAAAAAGATGGGGGAAATAAATTTTGGGGGGTTTTCATTGTTGGCTAAAATTAATAAAATTTATTTTTTATATTAAATTGACACGTTTATTTAATCGGTATGTGTTGTTATATTGTTGCTCGGTTTTTGTTGCTAAAATAATACTAAAAAAATAAAAAAAATTTCAACCTAATTTATTAAATTAATTTTTCTTCTTAATACATTTTATATCGTGTACATTCCGGAAAAAAATACAAATTGTAATTTAGGGAAAATACATTCCGGAAAAATACAAATTGTAATTTCGGGAAAATACATTCCGGAAAAAATACAAATTGTAATTTAGGGAAAATACATTCCGGAAAAAAATACAAATTGTAATTTCGGGAAAATACATTCCGGAAAAAAATACAAATTGTAATTTCGGGAAAATACATTCCGGAAAAAAATACAAATTGTAATTTCGGGAATACATTCCGGAAAAAATACAAATTGTAATTTTGGGAAAATACATTCCGGAAAAAAATACAAATTGTAATTTAGGGAAAATACATTCCGGAAAGATTTACAAATTGTAATTTTGGGAAAATACATTCCGGAAAATAATACAAATTGTAATTTAGGGAAAATACGTTCCGGAAAAAATACAAATTGTAATTTAGGGAAATTACATTCCGGAAAAAAATACAAATTTTAATTTCGGGAAAATACATTCCGGAAAAAAATACAAATTGTAATTTAGGGAAAATACATTCCGGAAAGATTTACAAATTGTAATTTTGGGAAAATACATTCCGGAAAAAAATACAAATTGTAATTTAGGGAAAATACGTTCCGGAAAAAATACAAATTGTAATTTAGGGAAATTACATTCCGGAAAAAAATACAAATTTTAATTTCGGGAAAATACATTCCGGAAAAAAATACAAATTGTAATTTTGGGAAAATACATTCCGGAAAAAAATACAAATTGTAATTTCGGGAAAATACATTCCGGAAAAAAATACAAATTGTAATTAAGGGAAAATACATTCCGGAAAAAAATACAAATTGTAATTAAGGGAAAATACATTCCGGAAAAAATACAAATTGTAATTAAGGGAAAATACATTCCGGAAAGATTTACAAATTGTAATTTTGGGAAAATACATTCCTGAAAAAAGTATAATTATTGTAATTTATTATAATAATTATTTTGTAATTAATTATATCTCTGGAAAACTCACATTATTTCCGCCTCTAAAAATGTACAGAACAGGCCTCGGGCACAAAAAATCTTCTGTTACGGGTTTCGGGTTGGCAAAAATTTGGGTATGGGTATAGGTACCTAATCTGGCTTTTCCCTCAACACGTGACATCTCTAAAAGAGATAAAAATCGTGTGTTACCGAGTGTTTGTCAAAATTATTTTAAAATTCTTAATTTTAACAAATCATAATTTAAAAATAAAAATTAAATATTCATTTTATTCTAGACATTTTAACTCATGTAATTTTTTATATTCTTCTTTATATGCTTTAATACTTGAAAGAGCAACTTGATATAAACAAAAAATTATAGGTTTTCCATCTACACATTTTTCCTTGTCTTCTAACTAAAATAAAAAAATTTTGAAATAAAATTTTTTTAAATTACAGTTCCCTCAAGAAAATGATCATTTCCCCCTTCAAAACGAGCAACATTTCCTCTTTCAGCCAAAATTCCATTCCAAAGAAGATCTTCTATATGAATAGCATATGCCGCTATTGTCTCCTTCATTATAGCAGTTATTGCTTTACCGGTTACAATATATCCAGATCCGTGCATATAATGCGGTAAATCTTTTTGTGGAAATACTTTCTTAGAAAGAAACCTAATAAATAATCAGAATTTACAGAACTCTAATAATACAAACCATTTATCTTTCTCATCCCTTACGGGCTGTGTATTAATGATGCTGTAACCAAAAACACCCAATTTCGTTTTGGCTTCTTTCAATTGCTTTTTAAATTTTTTCTCGATCCAAAAATCTAATCTGTTCAAATCTATAATTGAATCATCGTCAATTTTCATTACAAATTCTGCATTAGGGCAAAATTTCTGTTGCCATTGAAAAGATGCACCAGTCTAATTTAATTAGTTTTATTTTTAAAATAATTTCTAAAAACTTTAAATTGTAATTGATCATAGCCTTCAGGTAAATTAAAATAACGAACTAAATCCCCATATTGTTCTTGTTCTTTAATTAATATTTTTTCCAATTTTTCACTATGCTCCTCATCCTTTACAGGCCCTCCAACTACAAAACGAACTAACATATTTTTACCCTTAAAATTGTTTATTTTTAAGTTCAATCTTATGTTTATAAATATTTTAAGTTCAATCTTATGTTTATTTTAAGTTTCCGGAAATTTCTCAAGTCTATATCAAGTTTGATTTTATATTAAATTTCCGGAAAGTTTATTATAGTAGATAATAAAGTTTTATGTATATGCTTTACATTGGGTTTCCGGAAAGTTGTTTATATTACTTTTCCGGAAAGTTGTATGTATATTGCCTTTCCGGAAAGTTGTATATGCTTCATATTATTAGATTTTCCGTAAAGTTATTTATATTATATTCTATAAAGTTTTTATGTTTCCGGAAAATTATTTCAAGTCAATTTTAATAATTTAATTTACCGCATCTTTAGCATAACTATATCTAATTCCCATCCGTCTTTGTAGCAATTCTCTTCTACTCATAACTAACACTAATATTTTTATTTTTTTTCCTTTACAGGCATCAATTTTTGGCTTTTCCATTTTATAATGTTTTCGAGTATTGTAAAAAGCCATAGTAAAATCAACTAAAATTTCTTGACTTTTTTCTTGACTTTTATTAATAAAATTATTTTGTAAATTGGTTAGGGTGGGTAATAATACATGTTTAAATTTTATAAAAAGCCATATAGAACCAAAACATAGTGTTGCGAGAAGTAATATTCGAAATATCCAAGAGAGAAGATTCCTTTAAATTTTTTTTTCTAATTTCAAGTTTATTTTATAGTAGATTTTAATTTTTATATTAGACTTCCGGAAAGTTTATATATTCTCTAATTTTTATATTAGACTTCCGGAAAGTTTATATATTCTCTAATTTTTATATTAGACTTCCGGAAAGTTTATATATTCTCTAATATTTCTTTCACAAATTCTGTGCGGGTGTCTATACATTTTTCCGGAAAGTTTAATAAAAACAGTGTTTAACAAACCATGAAAATTTCCGTTTAATACAAGTAGATGATCGAGTAATTAATAAAGAATTACTTTCCATTAGATATTTAAGCATTTGGAAATTATTTTAATTTTTATCCTTATTTTAATTTTTAAATAAAAATAAGAAAATAATAAATTTAAAAAGATAGGGGAAGTAAATGGGGGGGGGGTTCCTTGTTGGCTAAAATTAATAAAATTTATTTTTGATATTAAATTGACACGTTTATTTATTCGTTATTTGTTGTTATGTTAAAGAAAATGTAGAAAATTTTTGATAAAAATTTAAAAAAATAGATGATAGATTATAAACAATTAATTTTTAAAAATAACCTAAAATAATACTAAAAAAATAAAAAAATGAACGATAATCAATCTAATATAGAAACTTAATTTTTCTTCTTAATACATTTTATATCGTGTAAGGTTTTATAAGCTTTAATATATTCTTCTAAAGATTTAAATGATCTAAAAAATGAAAAAACTAATGGGTGCCCTTCTACACATTTTTCTTCCTTTTGTAACTGAAAAAATTCAAAAAATTAAAATAAATTTACATATATTTTAAATTGGTAGAAATCCCGAAGATTTTCGGTCAGATACACCATCTTAAAATAAAGGACTGCTGAGAAATCTAGACACAGCAGCCCACTACGGACAAGTTCAATCTTATAAGTTTAATATTTTTTAAAGTTCAATCTTATGTTTATTTTAAGTTTCCGGAAATTCTTAAGTCTATATCAGGTTTGATTTTATATTAAATTTCCGGAAAGTTTATTATACTTAGTAGATAATAAAGTTTTATATGCTTTACATTGGGTTTCCGGAAAGTTGTTTATATTGCCTTTCCGGAAAGTTTTATATGCTTTACATTTCCGCTTCTAAACATGTGGGTAACTTCCCATTTTAATTTATTTTTGAAATTAAAATTAATAGGTATAATTATGTTACATTAAATTGGCCCCTAAAATGTGCAGAATAATCAATTCTAGAAACATTAGCAATTTCAGCCAAAGTTCCAGTAAATAAAATATCATCCATATTAAATCCAATAGCTTCTTTTGTGTGTAACATAATTAATTTAATTGCTTTTCCATTCCCAAAATAGCTAGCCCCTTGCATGTAACGAGGAAATAGATTACCGGGAAAATGCTCATAGGGAACATACCTTCAAATAAAAAAAATTTAAAAATTTTTTAATAAGTATTTTTATATTAAGTTTCCGGAAAGCATTATATTTTACTTCCGGAAAGTTTTTCATTCATAACAAGTTTAATTATCTACCACTTATTTCTTGGGTCCCTTATTGGCCTTGATTTTCCATAAACAACCCCAAAAAATGCTGGGCCTTTTTTCGAATCTTTCTTAGCTTTCTTGTCAATCCAAAATTCCAATCTAGGTAAATCAACAATTGTATCGTCATCTGTTTTCATAACAAATTTAGCATTCGAACAAAATTTTTGTTGCCATTGATAGGCTGCACCCATCTTTTGAATTAAATTTAAAATTTAAAAAATTAATTTTAAAAACTTTAAAATGTAAATTATTATAGCCATCTTCAATACTATAACGAATTAAATCCCCAAAAACTTTTTGTTCTTCTTGTAATTTATTTTCTAATAATGTACTGTTTTCTTCCTTTAATTTTGGTCCACCAATAACAAAGCGAATAATTATTCCTTCATGCTTAAGTTTATAAAATTCAAGTTCAAGCTTGAAGTTAATTCAAGTTTATTTTTATGCGTTTCCGGAAAGTTTATTTTATTAAGTGAGTATAAGTATGTATATTATATTTTTATATTAGTTTTCCGGAAAGTTTTAATTCCAAGTTTATTTTAAATTTATTAATATATGCAAGTTTCCGGAAAGTTTTTTTATTACGAATTTATACTAGCCTCTATTTTTATATTACGTTTCCGGAAAGTTTTATATATTTCAGGTTTAATTTTTAATTTACCCCATCTTTTGCCCAACTTTTTCTAATTCCCATTCTTTTATAAAAAGTTTCTCTTCTACTCATAATTAACACTAATAATTTTATTTGTTTTCCTTTACAAGGTTCAATAAAAGGTTCTTCCATCAAATAATCTTTTTGAACATTTGAAAAAGTTATTGTAAAATTAATTAATTTGTTTGAATTTATTGAAAATAAAGGATATTTAAATTCTTTAATTATTATCCTCAGAAAAATTAGAAAAATTGACAAAATTAGCAAAATACGGAACAGACGAAATAGAAGATTACTGAAAATATAATCATTGTGATAAGTATTTAGGGCAAAAATTAAAACAAACCATGGAAAGTGTATTAGTGCAATTCTTTTTTTACCCATATTGAAAAATATTTTTTTAAAATAAAATTTATTTTAAAAAATATTTTTTCAGTCTTTTTATTATTTAAGGATATTTTAAATATATCATTTTTAAATTTAATAATAAAGTTGTTCAGGATTTGCATAAAAAATATTTTTTTAAATAATAGAAATGACAAGAAAAAAATAAGAAAATTTATTTGACACGTTTTGGGTAGGTAAACTTTAAAAAAAATAAAGGTATAAAATACATAAAAAGCATAAGATAATCAAAAAATAAATTTATTTTTTTAAAAGATTTTTTTATGTATTTCTTTAAAAAGACTAAAAATCACTTTAAAATTGAGAATGCCTTTTAGTCAAAAATTTTGAAAATAATAAAAATATTTTTTGAGTTATTTAAAATAAAGCTTTTTGAAAATTTGAAATAAATATTGTAATTTAACTGCAAGACAGTGAATGCATTTCTTTATAAGATTCAATATATTCTTCTATTTTTTGGAATTGTTTAAAATAAGTAAGAACTGTTGGAATTCCACCTTCACAATGTTCGTCATCAATTAACTTAAAAATGATCTAATTAAAAAGATTTAAAAAAGAAGTACAAATTGTAATTTAGAAAAAATAAATTCCGGAAAAAAGTACAAATTGTAATTTAGAGAAAATACATTCCGGAAAAGTACAAATTGTAATTTCAGGAAAATACATTCCGGAAAAAGTACAAATTGTAATTTAGGGAAAATACATTCCGGAAAAATACAAATTGTAATTTAGGGAAAATACATTCAGGAAAAATACAAATTGTAATTTCGGAAAAATACATTCCGGAAAAAAGTACAAATTGTAATTTAGGGAAAATACATTCCGGAAAAATACAAATTGTAATTTCGGGAAAATACATTCAGGAAAAATACAAATTGTAATTTCGGGAAAATACATTCCGGAAAAAAGTACAAATTGTAATTTAGGGAAAATACATTCCGGAAAAATACAAATTGTAATTTCGGGAAAATACATTCAGGAAAAATACAAATTGTAATTTCGGGAAAATACATTCCGGAAAAAAGTACAAATTGTAATTTAGGGAAAATACATTCCGGAAAAATACAAATTGTAATTTCGGGAAAATACATTCAGGAAAAATACAAATTGTAATTTCGGAAAAATACATTCCGGAAAAAAGTACAAATTGATATTTAGGGAAAATACATTCCGGAAAAATACAAATTGTAATTTCGGGAAAATACATTCAGGAAAAATACAAATTGTAATTTCGGAAAAATACATTCCGGAAAAAAGTACAAATTGATATTTAGGGAAAATACATTCCGGAAAAATACAAATTGTAATTTCGGGAAAATACATTCCGGAAAAATACAAATTGTAATTTCGGGAAAATACATTCAGGAAAAATACAAATTGTAATTTCGGGAAAATACATTCAGGAAAAATACAAATTGTAATTTCGGGAAAATACATTCCGGAAAAAAGTACAAATTGTAATTTAGGGAAAATACATTCCGGAAAAATACAAATTGTAATTTCGGGAAAATACATTCAGGAAAAATACAAATTGTAATTTCGGAAAAATACATTCCGGAAAAAAGTACAAATTGTAATTTAGGGAAAATACATTCCGGAAAAATACAAATTGTAATTTCGGGAAAATACATTCAGGAAAAATACAAATTGTAATTTCGGGAAAATACATTCCGGAAAAAAGTACAAATTGTAATTTAGGGAAAATACATTCCGGAAAAATACAAATTGTAATTTCGGGAAAATACATTCAGGAAAAATACAAATTGTAATTTCGGAAAAATACATTCCGGAAAAAAGTACAAATTGATATTTAGGGAAAATACATTCCGGAAAAATACAAATTGTAATTTCGGGAAAATACATTCCGGAAAAAAGTACAAATTGTAATTTAGGGAAAATACATTCCGGAAAAATACAAATTGTAATTTCGGGAAAATACATTCAGGAAAAATACAAATTGTAATTTCGGAAAAATACATTCCGGAAAAAAGTACAAATTGTAATTTAGGGAAAATACATTCCGGAAAAATACAAATTGTAATTTCGGGAAAATACATTCCGGAAAAAAGTACAAATTGTAATTTAGGGAAAATACATTCCGGAAAAATACAAATTGTAATTTAGAAAAAATAAATTCCGGAAAAAAGTACAAATTGTAATTTAGGGAAAATACATTCCGGAAAAATACAAATTGTAATTTCGGGAAAATACATTCAGGAAAAATACAAATTGTAATTTCGGGAAAATACATTCCGGAAAAAAGTACAAATTGTAATTTAGGGAAAATACATTCCGGAAAAATACAAATTGTAATTTCGGGAAAATACATTCAGGAAAAATACAAATTGTAATTTCGGAAAAATACATTCCGGAAAAAAGTACAAATTGATATTTAGGGAAAATACATTCCGGAAAAATACAAATTGTAATTTCGGGAAAATACATTCCGGAAAAAAGTACAAATTGTAATTTAGGGAAAATACATTCCGGAAAAATACAAATTGTAATTTCGGGAAAATACATTCAGGAAAAATACAAATTGTAATTTCGGAAAAATACATTCCGGAAAAAAGTACAAATTGTAATTTAGGGAAAATACATTCCGGAAAAATACAAATTGTAATTTCGGGAAAATACATTCCGGAAAAAAAGTACAAATTGTAATTTAGGGAAAATACATTCCGGAAAAATACAAATTGTAATTTCGGGAAAATACATTCAGGAAAAATACAAATTGTAATTTCGGAAAAATACATTCCGGAAAAAAGTACAAATTGTAATTTAGGGAAAATACATTCCGGAAAAATACAAATTGTAATTTCGGGAAAATACATTCCGGAAAAAAGTACAAATTGTAATTTAGGGAAAATACATTCCGGAAAAATACAAATTGTAATTTCGGGAAAATACATTCAGGAAAAATACAAATTGTAATTTCGGAAAAATACATTCCGGAAAAAAGTACAAATTGATATTTAGGGAAAATACATTCCGGAAAAATACAAATTGTAATTTCGGGAAAATACATTCCGGAAAAAAGTACAAATTGTAATTTAGGGAAATACATCCCGGAAAAAAGTATAATTATTGTAATTTAGTGAAAATACATTCCGGAAAAGTACAAATTGTAATTTAGGGAAAATACATTCCGGAAAAATACAAATTGTAATTTCGGGAAAATACATTCAGGAAAAATACAAATTGTAATTTCGGAAAAATACATTCCGGAAAAAAGTACAAATTGTAATTTAGGGAAAATACATTCCGGAAAAATACAAATTGTAATTTCGGGAAAATACATTCCGGAAAAAAGTACAAATTGTAATTTAGAGAAAATACATTCCGGAAAAAAGTACAAATTGTAATTTAGGGAAAATACATTCCTGAAAAGTATAAATTGTAGTTTCTGACGATACAGATTTGTAATTAATTATATCTCCGGAAAACTTACATTATTTCCCCCTCTAAAATGAGTCCAAGCATAATCAATTCTAGAAACATTAGCAATTTCAGCCAAAGTTCCAGTAAATAAAATATCATCCATATTAAATCCAATAGCTTCTTTTGTGTGTTGCATAATTAATTTAATTGCCTTTCCATTTCCAAAATAGCTAGCCCCTTGCATATAATTGGGGAATGTTTTGCCAGGAAAATGCTCAAAAGAAACATACCTTAAAATAAAATTAAAAAATTATTTTTAAAGAAAAAAGACCATTTATGGCCTGGATTTCTAATTGGTGGTAAATTCTCCAATCTCATTCCAAAGAAAGCAGCTTTATTTGGTATTTGAGCAATGTCGTTATTAAATTTTTTCTTAATCCAAAATTCCAATCTAGGTAAATCAACAATTGTATCGTCATCTGTTTTCATAACAAATTCTGCATTCGAACAAAATTTTTGTTGCCATTGATAGGCTGCACCCATCTTTATATCAAATTTTGAATTAAAAAAATTAATTCAAAAAAACTTTAAAATGTAAATTATTATAGCCATCTTCAATACTATAACGAATTAAATCTCCAAAATTTTTTTGTTCTTCTTGTAATTCATTTTCTAATGATGTACTGTTTTCTTCCTTTAATTTTGGCCCACCAATAACATAGCGAATAATTATTCCTTCATGCTTAAGTTTATAAAATTTAAGTTCAAGCTTGAAGTTAATTCAAGTTTATTTTTATGTGTTTCCGGAAAGTTTATTTTATTCTATTTTTATATTAGTTTTCCGGAAGGTTTTAATTCCAAGTTTATTTTAAATTTATTATATGCAAGTTTCCGGAAAGTTTATTTTATTCTATTCTTATATTAGTTTTCCGGAAGGTTTTAATTCCAAGTTTATTTTAAATTTATTAATATATGCAAGTTTCCGTAAAGTTTATTCAAATTTATTCTAGTAATATACTCATACTTAAGTTTCAGGAAAGTTTTTTACTACAAATTTATAGCTTCTATTTTTATATTACGTTTCCGGAAAGTTTTATATATTTCAAGTTTAAATATTTAATTTACCCCATCTTTTGCCCAACTATTTCTAATTCCCATTCTTTTATAAAAAGTTTCTCTTCTACTCATAATTAACACCAATAATTTTATTTGTTTTCCTTTACAAGGTTCAATAAAAGGTTCTTCCATCAAATAATCTTTGTGAACATTTGAGAATTTTATTGTAAAATTTAAAAATTTATTTTTTGAGGGAATAATTGTTTTGTTAGTTTTAAAAACGAATAAAGGTTCTTTAAATTGATAAAATAATAATTTAATAAAAATAAAACAAATAATTGAAGTAAATAATATACGGAAGAAACAAGAACGAGGATTCCTTTAAAATAAATGAAATAAAAAAAATTATTTTAAGAAAGACAAACCATAAATAATTATTTAAAGTAAATCTTTTTTGGGGTAAAATTAAAATTCCTCCCTCACTTTTATGAATAAATCCATTAACCATTATTTAAATAAATTAATTTAATAATTCAATAAATTAAAAATAAAATAAATTTAAAAAATTTTTTTTAATAAAAAAAAATTTTATTACTTAAAAAAGAAAATATTTATTTATTTTTGGGGACTTGTAAAATTAAGCGAAATTAATCTACTAAATGTAAATCTTTTGAATTTATTAAATAAAAAATTAAATTAAGAAAAAATTTTTTTTGCCAAATTATTGACTAAGCTTATTTGATTAGCTTTTTATAATTTTTTTAAAATAGAATACTCTTACTTAGGTATATTTTAGATAAATTTAGTATTTAAATTTTATTTTTGGAAAATATTTTTTTTATTTTTTTTAATTGTAAAAAAATGCAAAACAAAAACAAACTACAAAGAAACTACAAAAAAAACACAAAAATAATCAAACTATGTACAATTCCGGAAAAAATACAAAAAAAATATTCAATTTACAATTCCGGAAAGGTAAAATCAAATTATAAATCTTAAAGTTGTAATAAGTACAATTCCGGAAGGAATTACAAATTGTAATTCTGAAGGAGATACACATTTGTAATTGCTTTTTGTGTGTCTACTCTTTTATGTTTAGACATGGGAAACAACAAAAGTAAAAACAAAAAATATATTAAACTAATTCCGGAACCAAATTTTCTTTAGAAAAATCTCAAAAAAATTTCGAAATATTTTTTAAAAATCTTTAAAAAATCCTTAAAAAATTTCAAAAAAAATTTTTTTTTTCTATTAAAAAATTAATCGAAGATAAACTTAAAAATTGATTAATCTCGCTATCCATACATTTACTATATAAAACTCAACCCTTCTATTTTATATTTAATTTTAAAAATTAAAAAAAGAAATACCCACCCTTTTTAAATAAAAAAAAGGCTGTTTAAATATTTTAAAAATATTTAGCGGGAAAAAAGGGAAAAGGTGGGTGATAAACAAGAGGGAAAATTGATAAATAAAAGATTTTCATATTTTTTTATTTATTTAAAGCTTTAAATAATTTTTTTTTGTTTAGAAGGAAAAAAACAATTTTAGACTAAAACGGACAAAAAAATTAGAGAAAATAACAATAGTAAACATGTGAATAAACTCTAAACAAAATTAATCTAAAAAATGTACTTTAAGTTAACTCCTCAACATTTTTTTTCTGATTGACATCTCTGTTTCCCAGGTTTATTTTTTCTGATTGTTGAAAAAAAATTTTTTTCTTAAACATATTAAAAAAATCAAATTTTTTATTTATTTTTATCAAGTAGGTAATAGAGATTGAGCTGGGTCTGGACCAAGGCTTGGGTTTTTCCTGTACCCAGAGTCCATGCCCAAGAATTTTTTGACCTTCACAGGTTTTTCCTGGGCCAGGGTTTTTCCTAGACTACAGGCCAAGGATCACGGCCCAGGTCAATAAATCAAACCCGGAACCCAGGAACAGGCCCAGACTTTTCAAAAATTCCAATCTCTAGTAGTTAATCAATCCAAATTCAGTTTAAAAAAAATTTTATACAAAATAATTCTTAAAAATGAGCAATTTCTGGGAGTAAAAATGAGATAGAGATATTATTGCTTTTTAAAAAAATCATTTTATGACTAGAATAAATTTTAATTTTTCTTAAATGCTTTTTTCTTTTTTTGTATTTTTCCCCACTAATTTCCCCTTTCCTACTGATCCTTTTTAATATTATTCTCAACTTGCGGCGAGGCTGGTTGCGCTGTAGTTGTTGTATTTGGTATTGCTGTTGTTGTTGTAGTAGAAGTTCCATTAGATTCTAATTTATTTACTCCCCCAACATTTCTCCTTTCTTGGGAAGCTACTACAGCTCTTTAAAAATTAAAAAAAAAATTTTTAAAATTTTTTTTAAAAGAACCTAGTCAAAGCATCCCAAATTCCACCCATAAAAACTGCACAAAATAAGTTTTCAAAAGGCAGTAAAGGATCAGCTACATTTAACAGAAGGGCGCTAAGTTTGAAATAGACAAAGAAAAGTAGAAGGCCCTAAGAAAAAAATTTTTTTTTATTTTGAAAATTTTTTGAAATTTTTTTGAACTTAATTTTTGTTAAAAAAATTTCAAAAATTTTTTTTTAATTTCAAAAATTTGTAAAAAAAATTTTTTTGAACTTAAAATTAAAAAAAAATTTTTTTCTTTACCAAGTAGCTTATTTCATGTGGCAGACTAATAAAAATTCCACTCTTCTCAAACGTTAACAGAACAGAAGCAATTACACAAGCCTTTGTAGTGAAGGTTGGTCGAAGTATTTCGCTATGTGTTGGGGCCCAAACACCTCGAATTAACTTTAAAAAAAATTAAAGATTTCTTAAAAGATTAAAAAAACCTGTTCAAATATTCGAATAATTCCAGAGCCTGCCCCCTTTGCCGTTCCAATAAGAATATGTATTAGATGAGCATTTGGATAGAGTTTTATTGCATAAAGGACACCATGATTTATCTAAAAAATAAAAAATAGGTTAAGAAAGAAAATTTGAAAAATTTTATTTGTCAAAAAAATCAGGCTCTGTGCATTTAAACATCTTAGTTCCGGAGCCGGCTCCAAAGCTAGATCCTGGAGCCATACACAGGACTGGGAAAAATCTTTTTTATTGAAGTATTCAATAATCCCGAGGGAAAGAAATATTCCCAATTTACGGACAAAAAAAGGGTTTTGTGGTCGGTGACGGGATAACTAAACAAACCACCCAATTATTAAAAATTTTTTTCAAAAACTAACCTTATAAACACGTTGACATTCCTTCATTATACTCAAAATAATTTTTATAGGCATAAATTTTGCAAGTTTGTATACAAGATCAAAAGGTGAATAAAAGACCAAATACCAAATTAAAGTTGCCTAAAAAATAAATTTAAAAAAATTAAAAAATAAAAACCAATAAAATATCCTCTTGTTTTTTAAATACAGCAATGACTGGCTCTCCCAACAAAAAATTGGCTAAAAATGATCCAGCAAAACAAACAACCATTGAAGAAAGCCAACAACTGAGAGGATGACGACGCGAAAATGCTGTACAATTGGGACCGAGATCATCGCGGACAGCCAAAACCATCTGAAAAGAAAGGTTAAAAATAGGGAGGAGGGAGAGAAGCTCAGGAGGAATCAGAAAATGACCCGAAGACAAAAGTTCAAAAAAAATTTTCCAAAGGTCCGTGGACAATCCTACAGACTCCCCAGAATTATTTCCAATCTTCTATTAAAAAAACCAACCAAAATATAATGGGCAGCGTCAAAGTATGGATACATTTTTAGACGTTGAGCTGAATAACCAGCGCCAATTAAAATTTCGTGATCCATGCGAAGAGAGCTCGGCCATTTCAAACGCATTTTTTGATTTAAAAAAATGTGCACTTGGGCACTCCTAAATTTAAAAAAATTAGAAAGATTTAAAGAAAAATTTTTTGAAATCCTTAAAGGAAATTTTTCGGAAAATTTTTTGGATTTTTTTGATTATTTTCAGAAATATTATTTAATAATTTTTTTTTGTTTAAAAAAGAATTATGAAATAATCTCTCAAAATTTCCCCTCACAAAATTGCCCTTTGAAAGAGGAAGATCAATTTAAATCAATCAATAAAAATATTATTTGCTTCATCTTTTTTTATCCTCTTACAAGAGTAAAAATTTAGAGAAGCAAGTTTATTTTTAAAAAGGTTCAAAAATAAACTGACAGAAAAATAAACTTTCCGAAAAGAAAAATAAATAATTTGTAAACTTATTTTACAAATTGTAAAACTTGAATTATTAAATACAAGTTTATTTTATATGTTTCAGGAAATTTAAACTTGAATTTCAAGTTTCCGGAAAGTTTTTATTTACAATCTGAACAAGTTTTATAAATTGTAAATACAAACTTTCCGGAAACTTGAATATTCAAGTTTATATTTATATTTCCGGAAACATATAAAATTACAATTTGTATTTAATAATTAAAGTTTTACAATTTGTAAAATAAGTTTTACAAATTGTAAATAAAATGAGAATTAAAATAAATATTTTATTTGTTTTCTAAAAACAATTAATTGTATAAAATTAAAAAAATATATAAACATTTATTCTTTTTTAATGAAAAAAAATTAGCAGGAAAATATTAAAATTTGTGTAAAATTTTAAGTATCTAAAAATGTCAAAACAATTTTTAAAAATTAATAAAACCCCAAAAAAATTTAAAAAATATTTTTAAATTTGTTTTTATACATTTTTAAGACACTTTAGAATTAAAAAAAACAATCTCTTTTTACGGCTATATTTTTTTTTTACAATTGAAAAATCAAGATGATTTAGTAGAATAATTGGCAAACAATAAAAAAATCAAAGAATATTTTTTAAATTTTAAAATAAAAATTTTTTTGGTCGGGAGAGATTTATAATATAAGGAGGGAGTTTTTGATTGTGTTGGTAGATGAATGAAGTCATTTTAATTAAATTTATTTTTTTGTAAAATTTAAAATTGTTTTCTCAAAATATAAATGTCCATAATTGAGGGATTTTAAAAATTAATTTAAAAAAATTTCTTTTTAAAATTAATTTTAATACCCAGATTTATATAAGGAATGTGTCCACACTAACATGCTTTTCTTTATTGGCATTAATTGTAAGTTGTCTTTCTATGCTTCATAAAGGTCCGAGAACCTTTAAAAAACATTTCTTTTAATAAAATTTGTTTTTATTAGAGATCGGATCCAGGCCTTGGATTTTTCCTGGATTTAGTCAAAATCAAGACTTTTCCCGTGACTCAATATCAAGAATCTGGGCAAAGTCCACAGCCAAAACCAAGAGTTTCAAAATTTCCGATCTCTAGTTTTTATTAAATTTCAAAGAAACCTGGCTAATCCCAATTCGCCAAAAATAGATTAGTCGATAAATCAGAAAAAAGAAAAGAGACAACAAAGCAACCAAAAAGGCCCACATAAAAAAAGTATCTTGTCCATTGGAAATTGTTAACTAGTAAATAAATGAATTTAAAATTTAGATTAGTAAGAAATCTTACAATTAAACCAATCAAGAATAGGCTAACCAAAAACAGTCCAATCGAGTTGAGAATACAACGAGAACGGGCAAAAGGAGTTCCGACAGAGGAACTGAAATTTAAAAAAAATTTTTAATGACAAAAATTGTAATCGTGAAGAAGCTAACATAGGGAGGTTTACTAATTTTGCGGGCTTTTTTAGAGAAGGAAATATTTAGAAATCTGCCTGGTTCCGAATTCAGACCTTGAAGATCAAAAATCAATTGAAGATCAAGGCATAATTTTGCTTGATTTCGCAAAAAAAAAACAATGATTTACATTGACCCAAGGTCAAGAATCTGCTCTAGGTTCTCAACCAATATCAATAATCAAGGTTTTTTAATTTTCCGATCCTTAGAAATATTGTTCTTAAAATTCGAAAATGTGTCGATAAAAAATATTGAAAATTTAAAAATTTTTTAAACCTTTTTCTGCAATGTGGACAAATAGCCAATTGATTGTTAAGTGTGTTAAACATAAATATTTCCTGACAATAAGCGCATTGAACACGGCAAGTGCCTACAGGCGCTCGAATAGCTGTACCGGGAATTCCAGTATTCGGAGGTCCACTACTATGAAAAAATTGAAAAATTAGGTAAATTCAAAGAAATTGATAATTTTGACCATTATGAGTCCTTTTTTAGATAATTAATCATGTAAGGAAAATTAAATAGAAACCTGGCTAAAGTAATCACACGTCGGCAATTTTGTCTAGGACAAGCAATTCGAGTAGATTTAGCTCTACATACAAGCAGACAATTACAAGGACATCTCACATATTTTTTTCCAGGCGGAGCTGGACGAATTGGTGTGACCTAAATAATTAAAAGAATTTATAAAAAATAAACGTCGACAAATTTAAAATTAAAAAACCTCGTTACATTGCAAACAACGAACAACATGTTGTCCAGTCTTTCCGTCCAAAACTATTTCAGATTCACAAACACGGCATTGAACTGTTGGGCCTAAAAGAATTTTTAAAGGAGGAAAAAGGTTAAATTGAAGAGTTGGGGGAAGTTAAATTAAGGAGTCCACCCTCTCGCTGGCTACGTGCTTGACCCAAAGTTTCCAGGATTTAATCTTCAGGTCAGCTAAAAAACCAAAAATGGTTGACCCCTGGACCATCACAAATAAAGACCAAAAATTGGCAATAAGCTGACCCTGTCCTGTATAAAATTAAAAACAAACCCGCATAACCAGAAGTATCCTCACTATCGTCAAAAGTAGAATTGTCATGTGCTTCAGTATTTATTGTAACCGTTGGAGTTGATAAAAGTTGATGAGTGTTTGTGGGTGAACCTGTAGTTGTGTTGGTAAGTTGTGGATTTTGAAGTGGAGGATAAAGCTCGCCTCCAGTAACTGGCTAAACAAATAAATCAATAAATAAGAGGGGGTGAATCCTAAACGCTCATTGGCCTTAAATGCCCACACCATTCTGATCAACATAATTTTCTTTTTTTATTTTAAAGATAACCAAAGGATCTGGAGGAATTATAGGGTATACCGGTAGATGAGGATTAAAGAGGAAAACGATCCAACCAGAGTTATGGGCCGAGATTCTAAAATGCATAACCGCACAGCGGATTAAAGCAGAGTTAACCCGCTGCGTAGCCGGGTACTTCAGGTACTTATCCCAATAGAACGAAATGGTGTAGACATTAAGGGAGGCACCCCACAAAAAATAAAAAAGAAAACCTCAACTTCCCTGCCAACATTCATTCTATTATTGTCAAAATTTCTCGGAGGAGCTACCTGATAGTCATCTACCGAATGGTCATCATTATTAGAAATTAAACGTGCAGACTCATCATAATATAAAAAAGGTTGTTGGTTGGAAGATGAATTTTCTAAATTATCAACATGCCGTCCTTCTCCATTATTTTTTGATGTCATTGAAATTTTAAAAAATATAAATTCTAAAAATTTTTTAAGAAAATTTAATCAAAAATTGGAGGGTAAAATCTTGAAAATGAAAAATTCCTTGCAAAAAATTTACAGCTAACTTGCCGTTTTCGTCCGTAAGACTCAAATTACCCAGACATGTGAAAATTCTACAAAAAGCACAGTGCCCACTCTCATTTAGCAACAAAACGACCGAGCTAGATTGCCCGTTGTGCCCTAGCCGATTCATTGCCAGAACCGTAATTTTATCTCAATTAATCTCACGATCAAATCCCCCTATAAAAGCACAATTAAGCTTACAAACTTTCCTCACCTTCAATCTCCTAAAATAATCATTTGCTCGAGTGTGCTGTCTCCTCATTATCCTTCTTTTTTTACAACTTCGAGGCGCTCAACAAAAGGAAAAGAAAATATGCCATCGTGGAGTGAAATCTTCTTTGTTGCGTTTGTGTTTGCAACAGGATATGTAAGTGTTTTCTTTCTTCTCTTTTTCTTTCTCCTTTTCTCTCAAAAAATTTCTCAAATTTCCAGATCATTGGCTATTTCGAGCTGCTGAAGATTGTTGTTGTCAAAGAGGGACGCAAAAAGAAACCTTCACATGGAACTCCCGGTAGAAGCGACCATAGAATTGAACAGAGACGTCGAGACGACAGTTTGTTCCAAGAAATGGGAGGGTCAAACGTTGAAGGGATATAAGAAGAGAGGATATATGTAATGTGTTCTAATGATGATAAGAGATTAATTTTCTGTTGTATGTTAATGTATTGGGTGATTTGTAATGTGATTTTGATTCTCTATAATTATACCATTTTTGTCGATAAAACATGTATTTTTATGTAGAAGGTAACAAATTGCAGTCCGGCAACCTGAACCTTTATCTTAAATGCAATTAAGCCTCGCGTAAACGCCACATGCTGTTCAATTGTCCTTTGACTATTTGTCTTATTGCCCAATTGTTTTTGTGTCCAATTGTTTTATCGACCAACTGTCTTCGTGTCCAAATGTCCTCCGACCAAGTGCCCCAATTTTTGAATGTCGTGCTCGTTTGAGTCTCAAACTGACGATACTCAAAATGTTATCTGAAATATATTTGAGTCCTCCCTAGTCAGACGAAAAGCTGTTGAGTCCTCACAGGAGATTGTAATAATACGTAAAACAAATAACCGAGTGAGAATGTAAACAAAAAGCGTCGAGAGTTGAGTAAGAAAAAAATATTGCTTAATTTATTTCTTCCCAAATTTATCGATTTGTACAAAATTTTAATTTCCTTTAAATTTAAAAATTAAAAAATTCCACTAAAAAATGTCTTTCCCCCCAGACCATTCAGAGTCTCCTCCCCCTTTAAAAATTTCTTTTAATATGGATATTCGAACAAATGGGGCAAAAGAAGGATTAATTATTTCTACTGGAATAATATCTGGCACACCACAAATGTTTAATGGAATTTTTGGGGGTAAAAGAAAGAATTAAATTAGGAAAATAAAAAAATTTTTTAAAGTAAATAATTCTCCTCTTTGGCCAGCAGTATTTTCTCCACCATCGTCTGCTTCAACTTTACCCTTAAATGATAAAAATAATTTTGAGATAAACCCCAATAAAAATTTGAATGAGTCATCGAAGGAACAATCAAAAATGGTGATTAATTGTTTATTTTTTATGGCTACAAAAATTTGCGGACAAATTTTTGCGGACAAATTTTTTGCGGACAGAAATTTTTGTCCGCAATTTTTCTGCGGACAAAAATTTTTTAACATTAAAAAAATATATTAGTTATCTCCCTTGATGATTTCACTCAATGAAGTAGATGTAAATAAACAACAACCATTAAATCAACAACAATTAAATAAATGTTCTTCCCCAACAAAAAGAGAGGGCGGTTGTTGCTATTCACCGCCCCCATTATTGTTTGATTCAACAACAACCACAACTTCTCTAGAAATTTTTCGTCCAGACTCGGCCTCGTCCTCTGCTGACTTCTACCAATTGCCTAAAGCACCGCTTAGTCAAGAATTAATTAGAGAACCTCCAGTTGTGTTGGTGCCTGTTGAGGGAGAGGAATACGAATTTAACGAGAAGTAGGGGAGTTTTCATTTATTTATTAGAGTTGGGCCTCATTCATTGCTACATTTTTGGGTCTAAAATCATATAATGATGTTTATCTTAAATATTGCTTAGACATACATACATTCACCACTAAGTGGGTGTATCTTGTAAAAATTTTTGCGGACAGAAATTTTGTCCGCAATTTTTTTGCGGACAATTTTTTTGCGGTCATTTTTTTGCGGATTTTCTTGTAAAGAGGTCCGACTTTTAAATTTAAAAAAATAAAAAAATAATAAAAATTTTTTCAATAAAGGTCAGAAACTCATTTTTCTCCCAAAAGTGCCAATCCCCAAAATATCAACAAAACAACAAAACCCCCTCCATCTTCACAACAAAAAAGTGTTCATTGGGGAGAGTCTGTTTGTATACAACCTTCCCCTATTCCTTCAACATCAACAACACCTTCATCTCCTTCTTCACTTCCATCTTCAACAAATTCATTTCGTTGTTCTCAACGTTTTCCAATTCAGATGGATGAGGAAATAAACAAACAACCTTTTAATAAAGCTGAAATTCAACCTAACGAAGGTTTGGAAGAAAAAATTAACTTGAAAAATTTTAATTATTAAAATAAGTAAAGGTACACCAACTACAGCAGAGTAGTTATTAATTAAAAACACTTCAAAAGGTGACCGTTTTTGCGGATTTTGAAATTTTTTGAGGAATTTTTTGAGGATTTTTGCGGACTATTTTTGCGGACTATTTTTGCGGACTTTTGATTAACATTAAATTCAAATTGAAATCGAATGTATCCAACTATCCATTCAATCAAAAATTTTATTCAAATTTAATCCAGTCGATTTCGATATAATTAAAATTATCTTGTCGAGCTGTGTCGACTTGATTATGAGGGATTTGATTGTTTAGATTAGCTAAAAGACTTTTCAAAATTTCCAGATTCATCTCAAATCACAAACCAACAACCCATCCAACTTCCCGACGAACCAATAAAATCCCCAACAATCATTAGACGTCAACGCCAACAACATTTTGAAAGGCGCTTCAGTCCCTCCCCAACAGAAATATATTTAAAATGCCCTCCTATACCCCCAAAACAATTTAAAAATAAAATTGAAAAGGGGAGGGATATTTGGGAGGAGAATTCTGTTCCGCCGTTGCCTCCAAAGCCAGAACATCTTAAAAGAAGCAGAGAAGGAAATTTGGTTTTAAATCAGAATTTGCAGCGAAGGTAGTTAATTTTTTTTGAAATTGATTGGACATTAGGGAGAGGGGAAGGACTAAAAGATACTTCGATATGAGTGTCATCTCATTATTGTATCTAATTTTTTAGCCCTAAGGTTATACACAAAAGTGAGATCCGACTATGTCTATGAGATGTCTTTTGCGGACAATATTTTGCGGATTATACTTGCGGACTATATTTGCGGAATATTTGTAGACAAAACTAAATCCTATCGAAATTGGAACAAACGGATAACTAGTTCTTGTTCATTACCTTGTCTTAGACATTATTTTACTATTTCGGGAATATATCCCCCTTGCTAGAGCTTTTATTCACAATAAATTATATTTGTCGGCAAAAGTCCTTTATAATTAAATAAAAAATTTAAAAAAATTTATTTCAATTTTATGTCCCAAAGCATCGACAATTTACAACAATTTCAACAACACCAAACCCCTTCTTCATTATTAAAACAACAACAACTAAATTCGAGTAATTCATCAAATAATTTATTTAAATTATACCAAACAAGGGATTGTTTGGGTAGAGTAGTTTGTGAATGGTAGAGGGGGGGGGGGAATGTTGAAAATAAACACAAAAATATTTTTTGTAAATAACGTGGAGTGTTTGTTGGAGTTGTACCCCGACCCCGTTCCCGAACGATTTTTTAACGATTCTCCCCGACCCGAACCCCGCCCCGAAACAATTGGAAAACCCCGTACCCCGACATACCCGCCCCCGAGCGTTCGGGGTACAACCCTAGTTTTTGTACCGAAAATTTAGATTTTTATATAAATTTATTATTTTTCTTTTTATTTTGAGTAAATTGATTGATGGTCTTTTTAACAATAAAATATGTAAATATTCTTTTAAAAAATGTTAAAAATTGAAAAGTTAAAAATCCGTCTGGTACAAACTTGTCGATACCACAAACACCTTAATAAAAATTGAAAAATGACGAATTTATATATAAAATATAAAGATTAAAAGAAAGTTGGGTATTACAATATTTATTGTAAAAATATAGATTAATTTCCGCTAGGTGTGATGCAGTCCGCAAGTTTTTTGTCCGCAAAAAATAAATAAATTTATTTTCTCTCAAACACCGACACAAACTATTGGGGTGAATTTGGAGGGTTGAAAATTTAGTAACTAAAATATGTAAGAGTTTTTTGAGAGTTTTTTTAAAGGGACAGAGAGAGGGTCGAAAAACTGAAGATATTTTAAGGAAAATCAATTGAAAATTTTAAACTAACAAATAAGAGATGCGCAAAAATGATCGAGTGATTTGTTGGTTGTTGCAACGTTCTTTATAGTAAATATTTAATAAATACATAAAAACTAATTAATTAATTTCTGATTTTTATTAAACACTTTGCAATTAAAAATTCTGATTTTTAATTTATAATTATTTTAGTTATTTTTAATTAAAATTCTGATTTTTATATTTTTCTATAACATTCGGAAAATTCTGATTTTTAAAAAATAATTATTTTCTCTTAAAATTCTGATGTTTTTATATTTATTCTGATTTTATATCCTTTTCTTAACGTATTATTTAATTCTGATTTTCTTCAATATAAATTACCAATATAATTTCTGATTTTTAAGTGATGTATTTTACAAAAATATTACTCAATTTCACTCGTAAAATAAACAAAATATATTTTAACAATATAGATTTTTTTTAAAAAAATTATTTATTTGTTTAAAATATTTGCATATATATTAAAGTATTACACAATAAAATATTTGGGTGTTTTTGCAAACAAAAAAAATTTTTTTTTTGAATATTTACACAAATTTTTATTAAAAAGAGACAATTGTTTAAGTTGAAAAATGAAGATTTGAATATTTTATTTAAAAAATGTCAAATGTACAATTTTGGTACGGAGGATGTACCAGCCTTTCAAACCTTTATAATTCTCTTAAATTAACATGTTTAATAAATAAACTGTTAAAAATGTGTTTATTAAAAAATAAAAATGTCAAAATTTTTTTGACATTTTGTTGACATCCTGTTGACATTATCTGCATGTTTTAACATTTTCTGAGATTTTATGATTTTTAAGACTTTTTTTGACATTTTTTAAACATTTTTTGGTATTTATGGACATTTTTAAAGGTAAATTAAAAATTGTTTTGTTTTGTAATTATTAAAAATAATTTACAAATCTCCCCATAAAAATCCAAAAAATCATATTATTGTTAAAAATAAAATAGTTCTTGAAAAGTTTTAGCAAAAATTAATTTTTATTTATTTAAATACATAACAATAATAATGATGAAATTTATTATTTTAAAAATTATTTTGTGTATTTTGTACTATATACTTTTTTCTAAAAAGATTTTATTGAGCATATAAATTAACGAAAAACTAAAAATTATTACCAGATTTAGAGAATTAATAATAATTTTTAAACAATGACGGCTACCGTTTCACCAACAGAGTTGGATTTGGAATTGGAAATAGCCGGTAAACTGGCTGCAAATGATGTTGCTAATCAAAATCAACAAAAGAGACGAGTTTCTAAACAAAATGAAGTAATTTAATATAGACTCTTTATAGTGAACTCCCCCTCTATATAATCTAATAGAAATTAAAGGAGCTAGTGGGCATTTTCATTGGAGAGCCCTCTATATAATAAACTCCCTTCATAATGGACTTTTTTAAGACTTCCAATTAGAGACCGGACTGAGACGGGATCTCGATTCTCGTACGACAGTCCGGTCCGGTCTCTACCTCCAATTAACATAATCTCCAAAAAATAACTATCAGTAAAACCAATTATAGATCTCACTTCCCTCCCTATCTGATAGAAATGGTAGGGGCTATCAGATCCCTCTGATATTAAATAAATTAAATTAATTTCAATTTAAGACAGATGATATAGAACCATTAACTACAGCGGTTGTTCCTCCCCTTCCACCCCCACCACTAGGAAAACGTTTGTCCACAGCCTCAGCCGGTGCTTTCTCTCTTTTTTCAAATACGGCAGGAGATGGATCAACATCTTATTTACGTCTAGTTAATTGGTTGTGCTCAATGTCTGGAATATTGTTTGGATATTCCTCTTCCTCAATTAATGATTCGGTAAATTATACAGGGGATTTAACTATAAAATACCCTCTATATTAAATACTCTCTAGTTAAGAGACGTTTTTGAATTTTGGGTAGCCACGGAAGGAACTGTCCTTATACATAAAGGTTAATTTTATTTAAAATCTCATAGCATTTGATTTTCCCGGCTCCGTCGGAGGGTCTCTTATACTGAGATCCGATAGTGTATCAATTAAAAAAATTATTTTTAAAGATTCCTTTTATGCGTCGTGAGTTAGGATTAACTCCTGCTGGAGTAGGATTGATCACCTCATGTTTTCTAGTGGGTGCTGCATTTGGAAGTATTATTGGGGGAAGATTAGCAGATCGTTTCGGGCGTAAACGAACGCTTGTATTAAATGAAATTTTGTTTATACTTGGAACACTTGGAACTTCCCTGGCACCCAATTTTGAGGTAGTCTAATGAAAATTAAAGAGATAAATGTATTTTTAAAATAAAGACAGTATTAGCTACCCGCCTTTTCCACGGATTTTCTTCGGGTGGAATAACTTCTGTTGCCCCAGTTTTGCTAGCAGAAACATCGACGCCAGAACAGCGATCACAAAGTGTAACAATGGCACTCCTGGTAAATTATTCTGATTTATAATATATATTTTATTTCCGGAAAATTATAACTGAATTATTCTGGTTTATACGATAATTTCCGGAAAGTTTTTAAGTTCCGGAAAATTAATTTAAATTCCCTTCCGGAAATTTCTAAAATTCTGATTTACAAGCAGAAATTATTTATAGATTCTTGTTTTTGGAGAATTTTGTGTTTTTGTTGTTGGGGCAGTTCTTGGCAACGTCTGGTATGAAAAGTAAGTTTATTATCTTATAAATTTTTACGAATTTTTAAAAAATTTAAATTTTCTAGCGATGCGATTTGGCGTTGGATTAATGTATTAATTGTTGTTCCAGCAGTGATTCTGCTTATTTTACATATTCTTATTGTTCCAGAAAGTCCTCGCTGGCTTGCTCAAAATGGAAAAGCAAATCTTGCATGGAAAACGCTTAGAAGAATGCGACGATCTTCGGCTCAAACACGACACGAATTACGGTAGGTTTATAAAAAATTGGAATTGATAGTTATATTCTTTCCGGAAAGCCCAGAATTCTGATCTATTTTTAAATTCCGGAAAGTTATAAATTCTGATTTATTATTTTCTTTCCGGAAAGTTGTAAATTCTGGTGTATTATATTTTTTCCGGAAAGTTATAAATTCTGGTTTATTATTCTTTTTCCGGAAGGTTGCAAATTTGGTTTATTATTTTCTTTACGGAAATTTTGATTAATTTTTAAATTCCGGAAGGTTTAAATTCTGGTCTATTATTTTTTTTCCCAAAGGTTGTAAATTCTGATTTATTATATTCTTTCCGGAAAATTATATTAAATTATAATATAATATATTTAAGTGAAATTGAGGCTGCTATAAATAATATTAACAATAATATTACTACAATTACAAATCCACAATTGGGAGAGAATGAGGATATTCAAAAACTAGAAAATAAGCCAACAACAAAGAAGGCTGGAATAAGCGATATTTTGACAGTTTCTTGGCTGAGAACAGTACTTTTAGTTGGTATTGCTGTTGCTATAACACAGCAAGCATATGGAGTAGCAATAGGAATGCTTTATGGGACTGAAGTGCTTCGAGAAGCTGGGCTAGATACAAAAATGGCTTTAATCGCTAATATTGGAATTGGGGTAGAAAAAAGAAAAATTTAAATTAAAAAATATTTTTTTAAAGTTAGTCTCGTTTCTGGCTTCTTGGGCGGGTCTTTTAGTAGTTTCTAGAGTTGGACGCCGTTCTCTTCTCATTTTCGGCCAAATAGGCACTTTATCAGCACATTTAGCTATAGTTGTTTGTTCAGCAATTTTGCCTTATGGAACAGCTCGTGGTTGGGCTACTTTTGGCCTTTTACTCCCCTTCTTAGCATTCTCACAGGGGGCTATATCTACAGTCACTTGGTTTTTATATTTTAGAGATTTTTCTAAAATTATTTTTAAGGTTAATGTCTGCAGAAATATTTCCTTTAAGTATGCGCGGTATTGGTACAGGCATTTGTATGTTATCTGCATGGACAACTGCTTGTACTATTAGTCAATTATTTCCTGTAAGTATAACTTCCCGGAAAGAATATAATAAACCAGAATTTATAACATTCCGGAAAGAATATAATAAATAATTCCGGAAGAAATATAATAAATCAGAATTTATAACTTTCCGGAAAGAATAAAATAATCAGAATTTAAACCTTCCGGAAAAAATATAAAAAAATAATTCCTGAAAGAGAATAATAATCAGTATAACTTTCCGGAAAGAATATAATAAATCAGAATTTATACATTCCGGAAAAATATAATAATTCCGGAAAAAATATAATAATCAGAATCTATACCTTCCGGAAAAAATATAATAAGCAATTCCGGAAGAAATATAATAAATCAGAATTTATAACCTCCCACATTAATTTATTAAAAATAACCTAAATAAAACAGATCTGTGTCAACAATTTTGGCCAAGCTTTTACCTTTTCTGGTTTCTTTATTTTTGGTTCAATCTTATTAATATTTACCTGGCTTTATCTACCCGAAACAAGAAATAAAACCCTCGAACAATTAGAATGCCAATTCCAAAATGGTGATTGGTTGGCTTTAAAAAAGCCGGGGATTAGCAATGCGGAAAGACGTTTAAATCGAAAAGCAGCTGAAGCTAGAGAGGAAGACGAAGAAGAAAAGAAAAATAGGTCTTTAAGTATTGTTAAAGAAGAAATTCCGGAAGGAAAATATTAATTTTTATTTTTAATTAAATAAATTATTAGGGTTGCCCCTTTCTTCTCTCTCTCCACGTTATCCTCAATTTTCGAGTAGTCTCAATTTCCGGCTGTTTTTTGTTCGTTAAAAAATTATTTAATTTAATAATTTAATTTTTTTAAATGAAGAGAGGAGGGTACTAGCAACCCTAATTAAAAATTTTCAAAATTTTTTTTAATTTGACCATGTATGTTTATTTAAATTACATACTACTCTTAATTATTTTAAATATTTACCACTTGCTTTCAATTCGAACGCAAATTATTTTTTAATAATTATTTTTTATACTTTATTTATTTTTAAATAAATGATAAAGACTTTAATTCTTTAATTTTTTAAATTTTTTTAATTATTAATCTATTAATTGTTTTATTAAAAGATTAATTATTCTGTCTAAAAATTAAATTTTTCTTACGTGTACTTTAATTATTAAATATATTTTCAACTCAATTTTATCAGTTTGATAACTAATCAGCTGTCTTAATTCATTAGTAAATAAATTTAAAGAAAGAACAATTTTATAAAGAAGAGTAAATGTACTTTTGGGTGTTTATTAAACTAATTTTTACTTTAAAAATATTATTCTTAATATTTCTGAGTTGAAATAATGATGATTGGGTTTGAGGTAGGGATCACTAAAGGAAGCTATTTCGGAAGAGAAAATTAGTTGATGTCTTCAATGTGTTCCTCTACTGGAAGAGGAAACATTAAAATATTTCCGGAATATTACCAATAAATTATTTTAAAAATTATTTTTTTAACTCTAGAATGATTATTGGATTAATATTACTTCATTTATTTACTTTAATTTTTTGGAATTTTGTATGGAAACGAAGAAAAATGCCCCCGGGCCCAGCACCTCTCCCTTTCCTTGGAAATTTAAATGAATTTTCTGCCTTGGCCGCTGTCGATGGAATTGGATACAAAGCTATGGAACATTATAAAAATATTTACGGGCCTGTATATACTTTGTGGATGGGGGAAGTAAATAAATAAATTAATTATTTTTAATTGCTCTGTGCTTTAATTGGAAAATTATTTCGATGCAATTTAATTAAGAGACTTTAATTAGAATAAATAATTTAAAAATAAATTAAAAATTATTAAAAAATATTTATTTATTCAAGGACCCATATGTAATTATATCTGATTATGAATTAATTAGACAAGTCTTCCTACGCCAAGCAGAACCTGCTGGGGGTCGTTATTTCTTTAAAGTTGCAAAGATTTTGAGTGGTACGTTTAATTATTATTATACTTCCGGAAGGTTATATTTAATTTATTGCAATAATAATATAACTTTCCGGAAATTAAACTATAATTTCTTATTTATTTCTGAATTCCGGAAAAATGTAAATTCTGGTTTAAATATACTTTCCGGAAGTTATATGTAAATTCTGATTTATTATTTTCTTTCCGGAAAGTTATATTATTTCCGTTAAAAATTCTGATAAATTTATAAATTCCGGAAGGTTATAAGTAAATTATGGTTTATTATTTTCTTTCCGGAAAATGTTGAATTTTAATGCTTAATTTATTCAGCAACTCGAGGGGAAAATCATGGTATGACCAGAACTAACGGAGATGAATGGCGTTTTCTTCGACGTAGCTCTTTAAATATTCTTAGAGATTTGGGAATGGGAAGAAGCAAATTAGACGAATTAATGAAACCAGAATTTCGTAAATTATCAGCAAAAATTAGAACAGAAAAATCAAATGGGGTAAAAGCCCATGATTTGTCCAAATTAATAATTGAATTGAATGGGTCTGCTATAGAATTACTTTTATTCGGGCATCCTATTGAAGAAGTAATTTTTTAAAAAATTAAAAAAATTGAAAAAAAATTTAAAGGAAAAAATGGAAAATTTTACAAAATTGTATGATGATCTAAAAACATTTATTACTCTAGTTCCGTGGTTAGTTAATTAATATACATATATGTATGATAATTTAATTGCTTCCGGAAAGCAATTGAACCAGAAAATAATTATAAACCGGGATTTATAACTTTCCGGAATTTAAAAATAAATCAGAATTAGTTTAATTTCCGGAAGATTATAAATAAATTCTGATTTAATTATAACTTTCCGAAAGGGTTATATTATTCTGGTTTATTTTATTAAGCGAATTCTGAGTTATTCTCTTTCCGGAAAGTATACTTAAATTCTGGTTAATTTATAACTTTCCTGAACATATTATTTTGTATTATTTAAGGAAAACAACACAAATGTGGGCCTCTATGTGGTAATAATTAATAAATTAAATAATTAATTTAAAAAATTTAAAAGGTGGCTTCGACATTTTCCTCCATTTTCTTTTGGATTTAAATTAGTTGATAGAATAGTAACAGATTTATTTAAAAATGTTGATGAGGAGATTTTATTAAAATTAAATGAAAGAGAACAAAAAATAAATAATAAAAATAATAATTATTATTGTTTTGTGGATGCTTTTTTAGATGATATTGAAAAATTTGAAAATGAAGATAAAAATATAGAAATACCTTTAAAACAACATAAATATTTTAAGTAATTAATTGATAAATTTAAAAATTTTTTAAAATTATTTTTTAGTGATGAAGCGCTTAGAAATTTATGTTTTGATCTTTATATTGCTTCTAATGTAGGGTTTTATTTTAATTATTAAATGAAATGCCGGAGTTCTGATTTATATAAATTCTGATAACTTTAATAAATAATAAATCATAATTTATAACTTTCCGGAAAGAAAATAATAAATCAGAATTTATAACTTTCCTAAGTTTAATTTTCGGAAAGTTAAACTAAATGTAAATTCTGATCTTAAAATAGTAATTAAGATTTTATTCAATTAAAAATTAATTAAATTTAAAGTCAACAACAGCAAATACAACAGAATTTATGTGTTTATATTTAACTTTAAATCAAAATATTCAAAATAAATTACATGAAGAATTAAAAGTATTTTTTTTAATTTTAAAAAATATTTTATAAGTTTAATTAAAAAAAGAATTATGCAAAAACTAATGGATTAATAACTAAAGCAATTGAACAATTAAATAATAATGAAAGCGGGGATTTGTGTTTGGACTATATTTGCTCGGCTATTAGTTTGGAACACAGACCTAAATTAATTTATACAAATGCTGTTGTTAATGTAAAGATATTTATTTTTTGTAAATTTATTTTAAAATAACTAGAGGGGTCTTATACTAATTTGATTCCGGTTCCAGATATACTAAGATTTCCAAGACACAGCTCAATAATAAATCTACGGTCTAGACGATATCTCTTTAATAAAACCCTTTCAAAACGTGAAAGACAATTCATTCATAATCCTTCAAGATATCCTTAAAAATCTCGTTATGGTGATTTCTTTTTACATTCATACCTTCGACTTTACTCATATCCATTGTATCCCCAATTTAAGGTAATTTTTTTTTAAATTTAGCGGCATAGGGAATGTCTAAACGATATTACTGATAATGCATACAACTAGAAATAATAATCTAAAGTTTTCACTATCAAAATAATTAAAAAAATTTTCAGGAAACATTAAGACTCGTTAATTTAGTCCCTTTCAATCTGGGGCATTTAGCCTTGGAAGATTTAAATGTTGGAAAGTTTGTGTTGCCCAAAGGTACATTTATGATACCTCAAGTATCTGATGTTCTTTTTGATCCAAAGGTTTCTAAAAATATTTTAATTGAAAAAATATTTATATTTAGATATACCCAAATCCTCAAAATTTTGAACCTGAACGTTATATAGATAATGAAGGGAAATTAAAAAAAGCTGACGAGCTAATAGCTTTTGGTGTGGGGAAAAGGTAAGAGTAAAAATGTTAATTTTTTTTCTGGAAAATTCAAAAATTTTTTTTTGAAAAATATTTCAAAAAAAATATTATGGAAGAAAAAATTTTTACAGAAAATGAATTTTTTGGAAGAAAATTTGTCTTCAAAAATTTTTTAATTAATTTTTAAGGCAATGTGCTGGAGAAGCTTTAGCAAGAATGATGCTTTTCCTTTTTGCTGCAAACTTTTTTCTTGCCTACAAATTATTACCAGAAGACCCATTAAAACCTCCAAGCATAGAGAAACTTGGAGGTTTGACAGTTTATGTAAAAGAAAAATATAAACTTAGAATAGAGCCTTATTTAGATTTGTTTTAATTAAAAAACTTTAATTAATAAAACAAATATTCTATATATCAACCGAAACTACATTAAAAACAGTCTATAAAACTTGTTCTAAGCGGAATCTACAGTAACCCTATCTATTTGTGAAAATTTTTGAAAAAAATTTTTTAATATTTTTTGGGACATGGAAGACTCAGAGGGGTGTTTCTCCGCGAATACATGACTTATTTGGATATACTATAGCTCATTCGAAACTACATTAAAAACAGTCTATAAAACTTGTTCTAAGCGGATTCTACAGTAACCCTATCTATTTGTGAAAATTTTTGAAAAAAATTTTTGAATATTTTTTGGGACATGGAAGACTCAGAGGGGTGTTTCTCCGCGAATACATGACTTATTTGGAGATACTATAGCTCATTCGAAACTACATTAAAAACAGTCTATAAAACTTGTTCTAAGCGGATTCTACAGTAACCCTATCTATTTGTGAAAATTTTTGAAAAAAATTTTTGAATATTTTTTGGGACATGGAAGACTCAGAGGGGTGTTTCTCCGCGAATACATGACTTATTTGGAGATACTATAGCTCATTCGAAACTACATTAAAAACAGTCTATAAAACTTGTTCTAAGCGGATTCTACAGTAACCCTATCTATTTGTGAAAATTTTTGAAAAAAATTTTTGAATATTTTTTGGGACATGGAAGACTCAGAGGGGTGTTTCTCCGCGAATACATGACTTATTTGGAGATACTATAGCTCATTCGAAACTACATTAAAAACAGTCTATAAAACTTGTTCTAAGCGGATTCTACAGTAACCCTATCATTTGTGAAAATTTTTGAAAAAAATTTTTGAATATTTTTTGGGACATGGAAGACTCAGAGGGGTGTTTCTCCGCGAATACATGACTTATTTGGATATACTATAGCTCATTCGAAACTACATTAAAAACAGTCTATAAAACTTGTTCTAAGCGGATTCTACAGTAACCCTATCTATTTGTGAAAATTTTTGAAAAAAATTTTTGAATATTTTTTGGGACATGGAAGACTCAGAGGGGTGTTTCTCCGCGAATACATGACTTATTTGGATATACTATAGCTCATTCGAAACTACATTAAAAACAGTCTATAAAACTTGTTCTAAGCGGATTCTACAGTAACCCTATCTATTTGTGAAAATTTTTGAAAAAAATTTTTGAATATTTTTTGGGACATGGAAGACTCAGAGGGGTGTTTCTCCGCGAATACATGACTTATTTGGAGATACTATAGCTCATTCGAAACTACATTAAAAACAGTCTATAAAACTTGTTCTAAGCGGATTCTACAGTAACCCTATCATTTGTGAAAATTTTTGAAAAAAATTTTTGAATATTTTTTGGGACATGGAAGACTCAGAGGGGTGTTTCTCCGCGAATACATGACTTATTTGGATATACTATAGCTCATTCGAAACTACATTAAAAACAGTCTATAAAACTTGTTCTAAGCGGAATCTAAAGTAACCCTATCTATTTGTGAAAATTTTTGAAAATAATTTTTTGAATATTTTTTGGGACATGGAAGACTCAGAGGGGTGTTTCTCCGCGAATACATGACTTATTTGGATATACTATAGCTCATTCGAAACTACATTAAAAACAGTCTATAAAACTTGTTCTAAGCGGATTCTACAGTAACCCTATCTATTTGTGAAAATTTTTGAAGTAAATTTTTGAATATTTTTTGGGACATGGAAGACTCAGAGTGGTGTTTCTCCGCGAATACATGACTTATTTGGATATACTATAGCTCATTCGAAACTACATTAAAAACAGTCTATAAAACTTGTTCTAAGCGGATTCTACAGTAACCCTATCATTTGTGAAAATTTTTGAAAATAATTTTTTGAATATTTTTTGGGACATGGAAGACTCAGAGGGGTGTTTCTCCGCGAATACATGACTTATTTGGATATACTATAGCTCATTCGAAACTACATTAAAAACAGTCTATAAAACTTGTTCTAAGCGGATTCTACAGTAACCCTATCATTTGTGAAAATTTTTGAAAATAATTTTTTGAATATTTTTTGGGACATGGAAGACTCAGAGGGGTGTTTCTCCGCGAATACATGACTTATTTGGATATACTATAGCTCATTCGAAACTACATTAAAAACAGTCTATAAAACTTGTTCTAAGCGGATTCTACAGTAACCCTATCTATTTGTGAAAATTTTTGAAAATAATTTTTTGAATATTTTTTGGAACATGGAAGACTCAGAGGGGTGTTTCTCCGCGAATACATGACTTATTTGGATATACTATAGCTCATTCGAAACTACATTAAAAACAGTCTATAAAACATGTTCTAAGCGGATTCTACAGTAACCCTATCTATTTGTGAAAATTTTTGAAAATAATTTTTTGAATATTTTTTGGGACATGGAAGACTCAGAGGGGTGTTTCTCCGCGAATACATGACTTATTTGGATATACTATAGCTCATTCGAAACTACATTAAAAACAGTCTATAAAACTTGTTCTAAGCGGATTCTACAGTAACCCTATCTATTTGTGAAAATTTTTGAAAAAAATTTTTGAATATTTTTTGGGACATGGAAGACTCAGAGGGGTGTTTCTCCGCGAATACATGACTTATTTGGATATACTATAGCTCATTCGAAACTACATTAAAAACAGTCTATAAAACTTGTTCTAAGCGGATTCTACAGTAACCCTATCATTTGTGAAAATTTTTGAAAAAAATTTTTTGAATATTTTTTGGGACATGGAAGACTCAGAGGGGTGTTTCTCCGCGAATACATGACTTATTTGGATATACTATAGCTCATTCGAAACTACATTAAAAACAGTCTATAAAAATTGTTCTAAGCGGATTCTACAGTAACCCTATCTATTTGTGAAAATTTTTGAAAAAAATTTTTGAATATTTTTTGGGACATGGAAGACTCAGAGGGGTGTTTCTCCGCGAATACATGACTTATTTGGATATACTATAGCTCATTCGAAACTACATTAAAAACAGTCTATAAAACTTGTTCTAAGCGGATTCTACAGTAACCCTATCTATTTGTGAAAATATTTGAAAAAAATTTTTGAATATTTTTTGGGAAATGGAAGACTCATAGGGGTGTTTCTCCGCGAATACATGACTTATTTGGATATACTATAGCTCATTCGAAACTACATTAAAAACAGTCTATAAAACTTGTTCTAAGCGGAATCTACAGTAACACTATCTATTTGTGAAAATTTTTGAAAAAAAATTTTGAATATTTTTTGGGACATGGAAGACTCAGAGGGGTGTTTCTCCGCGAATACATGACTTATTTGGATATACTATAGCTCATTCGAAACTACATTAAAAACAGTCTATAAAACTTGTTCTAAGCGGATTCTACAGTAACCCTATCTATTTGTGAAAATTTTTGAAAAAAATTTTTGAATATTTTTTGGGACATGGAAGACTCAGAGGGGTGTTTCTCCGCGAATACATGACTTATTTGGATATACTATAGCTCATTCGAAACTACATTAAAAACAGTCTATAAAACTTGTTCTAAGCGGATTCTACAGTAACCCTATCTATTTGTGAAAATATTTGAAAAAAATTTTTGAATATTTTTTGGGAAATGGAAGACTCATAGGGGTGTTTCTCCGCGAATACATGACTTATTTGGATATACTATAGCTCATTCGAAACTACATTAAAAACAGTCTATAAAACTTGTTCTAAGCGGAATCTACAGTAACACTATCTATTTGTGAAAATTTTTGAAAAAAAATTTTGAATATTTTTTGGGACATGGAAGACTCAGAGGGGTGTTTCTCCGCGAATACATGACTTATTTGGATATACTATAGCTCATTCGAAACTACATTAAAAACAGTCTATAAAACTTGTTCTAAGCGGATTCTACAGTAACCCTATCTATTTGTGAAAATTTTTGAAAAAAATTTTTGAATATTTTTTGGGACATGGAAGACTCAGAGGGGTGTTTCTCCGCGAATACATGACTTATTTGGATATACTATAGCTCATTCGAAACTACATTAAAAACAGTCTATAAAACTTGTTCTAAGCGGATTCTACAGTAACCCTATCATTTGTGAAAATTTTTGAAAAAAATTTTTTGAATATTTTTTGGGACATGGAAGACTCAGAGGGGTGTTTCTCCGCGAATACATGACTTATTTGGATATACTATAGCTCATTCGAAACTACATTAAAAACAGTCTATAAAAATTGTTCTAAGCGGATTCTACAGTAACCCTATCTATTTGTGAAAATTTTTGAAAAAAATTTTTGAATATTTTTTGGGACATGGAAGACTCAGAGGGGTGTTTCTCCGCGAATACATGACTTATTTGGATATACTATAGCTCATTCGAAACTACATTAAAAACAGTCTATAAAACTTGTTCTAAGCGGATTCTACAGTAACCCTATCTATTTGTGAAAATATTTGAAAAAAATTTTTGAATATTTTTTGGGAAATGGAAGACTCATAGGGGTGTTTCTCCGCGAATACATGACTTATTTGGATATACTATAGCTCATTCGAAACTACATTAAAAACAGTCTATAAAACTTGTTCTAAGCGGAATCTACAGTAACACTATCTATTTGTGAAAATTTTTGAAAAAAAATTTTGAATATTTTTTGGGACATGGAAGACTCAGAGGGGTGTTTCTCCGCGAATACATGACTTATTTGGATATACTATAGCTCATTCGAAACTACATTAAAAACAGTCTATAAAACTTGTTCTAAGCGGATTCTACAGTAACCCTATCTATTTGTGAAAATTTTTGAAAATAATTTTTTGAATATTTTTTGGGACATGGAAGACTCAGAGGGGTGTTTCTCCGCGAATACATGACTTATTTGGATATACTATAGCTCATTCGAAACTACATTAAAAACAGTCTATAAAACTTGTTCTAAGCGGATTCTACAGTAACCCTATCTATTTGTGAAAATTTTTGAAAAAAATTTTTGAATATTTTTTGGGACATG